CTTTTTATCTTGATGTGTATGTATAACGTTGTTTGGACTCGTAAATCACTTTTAGTCGAGTACACACATGTATACACTAGTGTAAGAAGAAGAAGAAGAAACGACGAAGTAGAAGAAATAAAGGATTCAAGAATATGTCCCTTGAGCAGCTGGTGCTAATCAGAATTGTTTTGCGTGTATGTTCAGTTAGTTCACTGACTGGATCATTAGAGATCCATCTGCGAAATGAGCCGATCAATGAATGTTAGTAGTTGAGAACGATTGATTTATTTTCTATGTGCATTTGACCACGCCCGTCTGTCAATGGCAACAAACTTTCGTATGTGTTCAAATGATTATTGACGATGGACATCTTGAAAAGAAATATGTCTAAGTCGATTTTCATAATTGAATAGTGAGTGATCAACGATCTAGGTGTGTGTGTGTGTGTGTATGTATGTATATAGAAGTACTGTCATGATTTTTGTCATATCGTGTATTTTTCTTTTCGTATGTATGCACGAATACTATACTCAACAGCTGGAGGTCAACGATGGCACTTCACCATCATTTTTCTTCTTCGCACGTCGACAACTATGATGATGATGATGATGTTGTTGATGATGATGAGAATGAGGATCAGCATCATTCATATATGCTGAACATTTATCGATGACACGCACACTACATTTCACATGTTTCATTTTTTTTGTTTAAATTATTTGAGTGAGTAATAACAGTTGGAATTTGAACATATGTGTGAAACTTTGTCCACAGTACAGCTGACTTCCTCTATGCTTGATTACATTGTCGATCAATTATCTCTGGCTATATTTCTTTCTTTGTTTTTGTCTTGAAAAAGAATAATTTAGAATTTCCGGCTTTACTCAAAGAAAGCGAATTGTATATATAAATATAAACAAAAATAAAAAACAGGTGAACATTGATCGATACATATATGTATATATAGACATTTATCTAACCATCTGCATTCTATTCGTGATTATTCTATCTGGTAGAGAAAGATCTTTTTGTCTACTCTATCTACTAAAGAGCATCATTTCCTTTATCATGTCTCCTGTTGCGTACTTCTATCATAAAGATTATAAAGAGAAAAAGGTCACGCAAACACGTAGTCTAGTTCATATTTTTTAAATCGATGATACAGTCTCAATGCATGAGCGTGTGATCCACAGGGGAGATGCTGGTATTTTAGATAGAATACTCCATCATTTCGAACAATAAAATAAGTATATATATATATATAGACAGCGAGAGAGCGAAAGAGCACTAAATGAACATAAAAAAATCATTACTGTATATATATATTAAAAAGTAAAAGAAAATGAAGATTATTCAATGATTAATATCATTTGATTTAGACAAAATACTGTTGACAGTTCGTTCTTGTTACTATTCTTATGCTCTAGAATATAGACGAAGTATGTATATTCATATATATGCCAATGTTTGTTGTCTTGTTTGTCTACATATCTGTCGATATACTTTCCATCATTTATTTTATTCGACAGTTATGGTTTATGAGGCGGACAACAACAGATATAAATAAATAAATATATATATACATATAAGTAGGGATGTGCTCATATAGATATAAAAGAAAACGAGATTTATAGACTCATAAAAATGTCATTTTACCAGATAGAACAAATCATTCTTGAGAAGATATCAAAGATACATCTGACAACATATTCTTTCAATCAATAAGAACATGAAGACTTGATCTTCATTTTTATTGACGTAAGATGGTTTCGTTTTGTGCTGTCGCATGCCATTTGATCCTTTCTTATTTTGTTATAACCTCCTTCTCATCATTATTGAGAAGATTATGGTTTCTTTCTCTTTTCTTATGTCATTCACTTATGAAATAAGTTTGACAAATGGATGCTCATCTTAAACTATAGAAACAAGAGAAAAAAAAGTAAAAGAAAAGTATATGTTCAAAGAGAATGACATATTGGTGTTTTTTTTTGAGAGTCTAGCCTTTTCTTTCGGTCTCTCTCTCTCTCTTTTTCTTCTCAAATAAAATTAAATGAAAGAAGGTCAAGTGGTAACCACTGTTTGATCATTCGTGATATACATGTAACTTAACATATACTCAAATATATTGAGAGAGAGAACGACGGTAGAATCTGCAAAGTATCATCGGTTTGCATTCGATATAGTGATCAGAGAGAATGAGACGAGTGTTCAAAACAACCCGAAGGCTATGTGAAATCATTAGATTTCTTCTTTTTCTTTTGAGTAAAAGGGAGAAAGTTGACAATTAGCTTCTGTATTCATACATACAGATTTATATATATCGAGTATATGTCAATATTTGATACAGCGTCTCTCTTATTTTGCCTTTCGATAATGATCGTATAGGTACGATAATCTTTCGTAGTGAATAAAGTCGTTGATGGCGGCAGCACTTGTACATTTAATTTCGACATAGCGAGAGGAGAGAAAAGTAAATAAGACATCGAGTATGTTTGAACAGTTTAAGGTACTCACCGAGATGATCGAAGGAAAGAGAGAGAGAGAGAGCAAGGCAGGGAGACAAAATAAAAGAGAAAGAAAAACGACGATCGAATGAGTATGATCCGTGTGAAAACAATGAATACAAGGATACCCTAGAAAAGTCAGTTTGATATAGAGATATAGAACTGCAAGGATGTGATGCAATATGATATGTACATGTTTACTAAAAAAATGTGAGTAAGCTTCTTCTTTTTTTTGTCTTGAGATGAGTGAAACCATAGATGCAAACTTAGAAGAAAAAAGTGATAAGATGATTGTGTCAGGAAACGTGAAGTAGATTGAAGATTATAAACCATGAGTGAAACTACATTAAACTTTACTTTTCTTTTTTCCTGTCTTTCTATCCCAAGTGAGGCATGAACATCAACGAGAGTGCTCTCACATTATAAGAGTGATGATTTTTGCGCGTAATGGTCAATGGTCATCTAGGGAATTACATTCAGTGTGTCTTCTATTGCTGACCAGTTCTTTCTTCGTCTTCTTTTCATGCTTTTTTTGCTTCTACTTACATTCTCTTGTCGTAATTATTCAAATGGTTCATATTTCTCGGCTCAACGCAGCAATAGATGTAACTGAACCTTTCTCTTTTTAATATTCGTGCCGGTCGAGACGGAAGGAAATCTATCGTGTGACTTGACATAATTGCGCTTTAACATTCGTACATGTAGTGTGTCATCATTTCATTTATGTTTCTCTCAACATCCATACATATATATTATGTTAGAGCATGACATTGGTTATATGTTTTTTTTTGTTAGTAGATTGTTGAAGCATGCATTTACAATTAGCTGTTCATTCCCACTCTTTGTCTTTGCCCGTCTGTCTGTCTGTCTGTCTCTCTGAACTTGAACATTATACTTGTCATGCGACAACGACTACGACAAGTACTTGTACCATTCACTTTTAGATTGAATACTAGTAATTTTTTCAAGTGTAGACATAGTGAAATATGAGTAGTGCATTATAGAGTAAAGTCGAAGCTAAATTGACTTTCACTTGCGTCACATATATTTCAAATAGAGTAAGATCAAGTTTATGAAGGTATGATTCTTTGTAAGCTAGATAGACATATAGAATGCCAGTCTTTTTAAATAATATATATATATACGTATGCATGTATATGTATAAATACATTATAAATTGAGGCATAGTGTCACGTCATCAATAAAAAAAAGAAGTGTTGATCAAAATCGCGCTTGCGTCATATATTGTGTATTGACACTTGGTTTTTTTCTACCGCTGTATTTGAACATCGATGTGCCCCCATGACGTATTAAATGCTCATTATAATGATGGTGGTCAGTCGCCGTCACCAGTGGTAGTGGTACGAGAAAGAAAAAAGAGAATGAAGAAACGCTTGGTGCGTTAGGTGAAGCGTGAACATCGTTTTTCTTTTCTTCTTTGACAGTTTTATTCTAGACATGGATCAACATGAATTGTTACAAAAGAAAGATGAACATGTGTTGACAATGCCACATATACACGTCCAATTTGCCATACGGGCCACTGGACACACTCTGTATACATAACCCGCGCCGTAAGGCATGTCGTTACATAGATCACATTCTTTTTTTTCCTTCTCTCCCTCTCTCTACCTATTCTTCTTTCTAATAAAGCCTACCTGTAGGCAGTCGGTCATCGGTCAATGGAATGCTAATTAAAAGTGAATCCCTTTTGCCTACTCATTTCTTTCTTTTCCTTTTTCTCTTCAACCGTTATCTGCTTCATCCCCATAGACCGTTCATTATGATGTTTATTTCTGTTGAACAGCCGTGCACAGAATGGGCTTTTATTTCTTCTTCGTCTTCTTACTTATCTGTTCAATTCCAACAGCATGTTGTTTATTGTTCTCTATAGAATCTTCTGAACGCACGGCATGTCGTCGTCGTCGTACACCTGATATTGATTTGCATATAGGACAACATTGTGTGTCTGATTGCTGAACGATGATCTATTACCATAAATTAACACCGAATAGAAGACGAGTCTGAACGCATAAACAAATATAAGTCGCACCCACGTGTGACGACAATATAGATATATTAGAGATGATCAATTCATTTATTCATTCATTCATTCATTCATTCATTCATTCATTTATTTTCTATATTTGTACACACCGCAACAAAGATAGTCTAATATTGACATCGCGCATAAATTCGATCAGTTGAATGCCATTGCAATTCGCTCTTCTCGTCTCTTTGACATGTGTCAAAAGAGAAAAGATAGAAGGAGAGTATAGCGGCATCGACATTCCTGATCTAAGGTCAACTATATATATATATATATGTATATATATATAATACATATATATATATCTGTATGTGTACGGGTATATTACTATCACTTCTGTCTGTTTTAGATCTATTTAGAAGATGTCCTTCTTACTTATCGAACAGCAACAACAACAACAGCAGCAATAATAATATTCATAAATAAAAAGTCCTTGTAAATAAAGTTATTTCAAAATTTTGACAATGCTTTTTCTATTTATTCTTATCGGTAAGTATTTTTTTCGTAGAGTTTTTGATTCTATCGTATTCACAAAAATATTTGTTGCTCAATTCTTGTATCCATTTTTAGTCTCACCATTATTATCGTATTCATCAATATCTGATGAATGGCATTCGAAATCTCAATGTACTCAAAAAGAATTTGCTAATCATATGGATATTAGCTGTAATTCTAATGAATTTATTCTAATTGGCTGGTCACATTATGGAACGAAAAAACCTGGAGGAATACGTTCATTGACAAAACAAGAACAGCAGTCACAACAAAGGTATTATCTTAGTTAAATATTGTTTCTTTCTGTATTGTTAAGACGATTAACAATTTAGGTGTGAACCATCTGAAAGTGATTGCATTATGGATTATACACATAAAATAGCTGAACTTTGTAATGGTGTATCAAAATGTGAAGTTATTCTCACTCAACAATTTATTCATAAATGTTCCGATGAAGCTACTTATTTATTTATCTCTTATCAATGTATTAATAGTAAGTTAAAATAAATCCATCAAATAAAATAAATAATATTTATGCTTTCTATAGATTCAACTATTGTTGATGTATGTGCAAAATCAAGTATGATATCATCAAATGGTCTTAATCTTATTAGTCCATTATTTCCTAATGAATATCCAAATAATGTTAATTGTACATGTACAATCGAACCCATAGAATTAAATAAACAATCATTACCAATCAATATCGATGCTGAGGTATAACGAAAAGATTACGTAGTAGTATTTTTATTGGTCAAATCGATTGTTAAATATTTGAGGAGATTTGATCAGAGTTAAACGATTCTAAGTAAATGATTTCACGCCCTTTTGATTTATTTAGAGTCTTTCATTTAATTTACAAGATAATGATTATTTATCATCATCGAAATCTTTGTCTTTATCTGGCACGATTCCATTTGGTGCTTCTCTATTTAATGAAAAAACTTTTCTTCGTCTTACATTTACAACGGATGAAACATTAAGTCAATCTGGCTTTTGGATTCGTTTACATGGTATTTACATTAATTTAAATTTCATTTTAAGACAAAACAATGTTTTTATTTCTTTTTCATCTAGGCTATTATCAATGTAATCATGACGAATATTCACTTGGTTCGAAATGTATAAAAATCTTTCAACAAAAACAAACATGGAATAATGCACAAGAAAAATGTTTATCAATCGGTTCACGTTTAATGCATTTACATGATATTGTTCAAGAAAAAAAATTAGCATATTTTCTTTTAACAAACTATGAACAACAACAAACATCCTTTTGGATATCTGATGCAAAAGAGAAATATGATAGTAAGAAAAAGATTTATTATATTGAAAAGCATTAAAAAATTTCTATGATTATTTTATTTTTTTAAGTTCATTCATGGTGGCCTTGGCGTTTATCTATAAATGAAGGCAAATGTGTTTTACGTACTCACGATGGTTGGACTAAAAGACCGTGTGATGAATTGCAATCGTTTATATGCGAAAGAGATATTAATCGACAATCAATACCCCTAGCTGTTCGTTGTGGTAATGCTCAAGCTCCTCTATCGTCTACTATCATTACAACAACAACAACATCATCATCATCACCACCACCACCACCACCACCACCACCATCAACAACAATAATTACGACTAGTAATAGACATCCAACTGTTTCGTTTATTCAACCTCCTATTGTAGAGACAGAATTTCCATCACCCATTCATAAACAACATTATTTTACTTCAACAGTAACTCCATCGATTAATACTGAACATATAGAAACAGTAATCGAAACAAAATCAAATTCAATTGATCCAAGTATAATATTGAAATATTTGCTTTAAAATAAGATTTTATTTTATTTTCAACTTCTAGATATTCTTGCAGCTGTACTAGGTGGTATAGCACTTGCTATCTTTTCTGTAAATATCATTATTTGTTATATATGTAAAAGGTATAGTTAAAAGTTCAATTCTTGAAAATATTAACTTGTGTTTTTCTTTCTTTTTCTTTTGTCAGACGTACAAAAAAAACATCAAAATGTAAAACACCAATTGAATCTCAATCATCATTTACTCATGAAGAATTACAACGTAGTCTTATGCAACATTTATATCATGAACAAACGAATACTATCTCATCGACATCAACATCATCGTCTTCTTCAAAACATTCACAATCAAAGTCGAATGATACGTCCACAACAACAACGGCGAATGCTAATCTTTTGCAATTATGTTCTCCACCTCATACATCGAATTCATCACAGTCATATATGACTCGTTCAAATGTGGCTGCGACAGCATTATGTTTTCGAAATCCACATGCTGCTATACAAAATAATGGCGATCCAGTTGATTATCATTTCTATGAAACAATACCATCAGAAAATACAAATTATAATATTTGTGCTACACATAGCGCCTTTAAACCTGTACTTCAATCAAATTCACACACAATTCGACCATTTCTTCCACGAACAAATATTTTTTATCATCCTCCAGGCTCTACAAAACAGTTCTATGATACAACACCATCAGCTGCGACGACTTCTGCCGTTTTAATGCCTGTTTGTTGCCATCATCATTTATCACAGTGTTCAACAGGAACATTAAGACATCATGCATCTTCACGTATAATTCCACCACCGCCGCCACCACCACCAATGCTTACAGACGAGCAGACTTATATGGGCTCGGAGAGTATCGTATAAAGTAAATGATTTTTGTCAATATTACGGTGTTGTCAGATGATTTGAATAACAAATTAAAATTAAAAATCAGAATCACTCACGAGTTGTTTTCGCTTTCTTTTATAATTGTACTTTTTTTCGTTGTTGCTTTTTTTGCTAATAATTTCTCTTCTTTTTTTTTCTTTTGCGTTTATTCTCTATTTTTGTTACCGGTCCTATGTCCTCTGCAATAAAGATTATTAATCATTTTTCTCTTCTTTTTTTCACAAAAATGAATTGATATTTTTAAACTATGATCTTATTGGAAGAATTGAATAAGATTTTATTTTCGATCTAACGTAAGTATGATGCAAACTCAAATGCTCGCTACATTCTTTTGTTTACCTTAATCGTATTACTTACGATGTTCGTAAGCAAGGCGCATATACTCTTGATTGAACCAATGCAAAGCTTTGCAAGGGTAAACGTCAGTTTTTGAGAACATAGACACATTGTACTGCTCATCAAAGCTACAAACTTCGTGAAAGCTAATTTAATCTTTGGCAAAACGTCATCGTTTTGGATAATGAATTTTTCGAAAATCCAATCATCGACTGGCTTTTAGTCTATTGCTGAAATTTGCCTAAAAAACAGTTGTTTTGGTTTCACGAATTTAGTGATTTACTATACAAAAACGAAATAAAGAATTTCAAAAAATTGAGCACTCATGTTTAAATACTTCACGAAAACTCATACTAATTTGTGTGAGAAAAATTTAAGACCGCCACTCCCACTCGAAAATCCTAGATCCGTCACTGATTTTCTGCGGTGTGTTTGGGCCGTTAACCCTTTCAATCCCGCATGTCATCTACAAGATAGCATGAAGAACACGAAACAAACTGTTTTCGTTCTGTCGTCTTCTTCGACGACGTATATCATGTGTTGTATTCTAAGAAAAAGATGAAGGATCTAAATGACACCAAAATGGGTTTGCATTGTAATATTTTTTAAGTTCTATTTTGTAGAAAATCAGCTTTAGTAACTAAAGTATTCAATCCCAGGTTCTGCAATCCGATAGTAGGCATCTATCGGAACCCATCCGATCCGACTGGAATCCAATAGAATTGTATCGGATTGTAGGATATTTCCAGGTTCCTATCGGATCCGATGTCGGATCAGTCGACCTATAGACAAGGCTTGATTTTCACCATAATTGAAATTCAATTTGATTTCCTGCATTAAATTGAAACTTGAATACCAGGATTTTATTTTCAAAAACGCAGAAAGTTATCACTGAATTCGTCTCAGGTCGTTCATTCCTACAATCGGATCCAATCGGATCTTACATGAAAACCGACAAGAACCAACAGATTCCGTCGGGTTTCGGGCCGAGATTCAGATCCGTAGGATCGGAATCCGATACTATTCGATCGTATCCTACTCTGGGATACGATACGCCAAAAACGCTGCTATACTCAATTTCTAAAAAGCTCTTTTGCACTAAATAGAATTTTTGATATTTTTTAAAATTCTTCCGTCGGATTCGTCAATAGTTCCGAAGCCCAGAATCCAATTGGATTTCCTCGGTTAGTAGGATGTTTTAGGATCCGACAGAATCCGTCGTCGAATTAGTCGATCTGGGGTATTGGCATTTCTAGAATATCGTTTGCAAATTCATATAGGCATTCCATATTTGACAGTGTATATGTATATTGACTTCAATATATATAGAGTCAAATACAGCTGATCGTGACGACGGAACGCAAAAGAGAAGGATCCCTAATCCCCTCTCCCGCGACGACTCCGCCGGGAGTCCCCGCAAAATAACGAAATCCCTGGGGGTCTCTGTCGTGAGTCCCCGGGAACTTTTATTTGGGGGACACCCTGGGGATTTCACCGGGGAGAATTGATGAAATTTTGAAAATAAAAAAAAACTTTAATTTTTTTAAATTTTAAAAAATTAAGAAAAATTTACTAGTAATTAGACATTTCATCCATTTTCTCCAGACAACTCCCCGGGGAGTCCCCAGGGGATCCCCGAAAAAGAACGAAATCCCTAGGGATTCTTCTAGGGAGAGTTGACTAGAGATTAAACTTCTTTTTGTGTACTCAAAAAGTGAGTACACTCTAGAATCGGTCAGTGTTGTCCGTCCGTCCGTCCGTAGGCACGATAACTTTCGAAAGGAGAGTCAGATCGTGATGAAATTTTCCACACAGTTCAATCTCATGAATATCTCGGTCGAGTTCGAAGATGAGAAGGATCCCTCAAGAAATGGTTGAGTTATCGAAAAAATTGTCATTTTTGACCAGGCCATCCCTGAGGAGGAGTATAGGGATTTTTTTCCAAAAAGAAATCTTTCTCAGAATTATTCACAACATATATAAATTGACTCAGTTTTTAACGCTGATTCCGAATCTGATATTAGTTTTGAACTAAATCGTAGTTTTCTAACGAAACATCGCCTGAAAAACGTCTCAAAATGCACAAAAACTGCATCCAGCAATCAAATTGCCTAGTTTCTCATGATAATTTTGGTGTTCAAACATTCTAAAATGATTCATATGTCCCATGCACTTTTTGCAGTACACATAACTCTCGGATGAAATCCGAAGTTTCCACATTTTTTCTTCATCATACAGAACGCAAGAAAATGACGGGATTGAAAAGATTACCGCCACCACCAACAATTACGACTAGTAATAGACATCCAACTGTTTCGTTTATTCAACCTCCTATTGTACATAAAGAAATTCCATCTCTCATTTTATAAACAACATTATTTCACTTCAACAGTAACTCCATCGATTAATACTGAACATATAGAAACAGTAATCGAAACAAAATCAAATTCAATTGATCCAAGTATAATATTGAAATATTTGCTTTAAAATAAGATTTTATTTTATTTTCAACTTCTAGATATTCTTGCAGCTGTATTAGGTGGTATAGCACTTGCTATCTTTTCTGTAAATATCATTATTTGTTATATATGTAAAAGGTATAGAATGTAAATCTTTTTTTTTTCGTTGGTAAAAAATAAATGGATACATATGATAAGGGTGAATGCAAGAATCTATTACTTTAATATAATCTGTGATCTTTTATGCAGTATATATTCGTGATTATAATTTAGACCATTATTTTTCATCTTTTTATTTTATTCACATATATTGTATTCGATTAACTCAAATTGTCGTTTCATAGGAGCGCTTTGCTGATTAAGCTGTTGGCAAACTGTGATAAACGAATGTGCCATTTATTTTAAAAATCATTCGTGATAATTTCCATTTTTTTAAATATAGACAAAAATGTTTCATTTGACATGCTTTGAGAATTTTATAGTGACACGATTATTTCCGTTGAATAATAGACTAGTGCCCAAGGATTTTAGACCGGATATCGTTTAGCATCACTAAGAGTCGTTTTTGGACATGTTTATAAGTATCTTTCAAAGTTGCTCATAATCATACTTGGTTACTATCGAATGGAATATTTGAGAAAACTACTGATTGTGTTTCTTGTTGCATTGAGAGAGTAGATCCACTTTGTAATTGCTAAGATGACTGTTGTTGTGAAGACATCATGCTTTGAGAAAAATGTCGTCGATGAATTTAATCATTTTTTAAGCGTACAAACTTACTCGATAGCAATTCAGAGAGAAATGAGTAGCAATGTGGCTCATATTATAGAATTTATAAGGTATTTCGTATATTATGAATAATATGGTGCAATACTTTCCTGTAATTCTTTATAGGTAAAAGAAGCAAAGGAAATTGCACCATCACTATAATCTAGCAGAATAAGTTCATGTTTTATTGTGTAGTACAATAGGACAAGCCGCGACTTCGTGTCTTATTCCGTTTGAGCCTGAAGCATACTTGGACTATGGAATGGTCGACTTTCGGGAAGATCATTCCTAGGCACGAAGTTAACTCGATACTTGTCCTTTTTTGCGCTTATATTTCTTGTTTGGCTACTTGTGTATTTTAAATATAAAGACTTCTTGTTTCATTTGTTTGAAACATCGAGTTTTACCTTTTTTTTCCATTTATCATCGATCAGATGATTTCTCTCAATTTGTTTCTTTCAAAGAGGTGCATAGAAATGATATGACAAGGTTATCGATAAGCATGAGAGTCAAAAAAGTACTTGCATAATATTTAGCATTATAGTTTTGATTTAGATAACATTCGTAAATTAGAAAACAATGAATTGGCTTTGTTAGAAATCTTTTAGAACTTAAAACGACTGGATTTCTTCTCAAAGAAATGAATACATATCAAAATGCACTCGTTTATTATTCAATTGATAAAAAGTGTTTTGATTATTGAATACGACTATGACTAAAATTTCTCAAGCTCTGATTATGACTGGTCAATGGAACTGAAGGTAAACCGACAGCTAATGATGGAATTGTTCTTATAGTTGATAATGAGACAAAAGATGTGGAATAACTATTTGTCATCGATGTGTCATTTGAATGAAGAAATATTTTAGTATACGTTAATCCATCAACAATACAAGCACTCAATGCTGAACGAAACAAATTCATATCAGCTATATCGTACCTAAGATGACCGATAAATTCAATATGCATGTGTACATAATTATATTGGTATGAAAAAATTACCATTCGCTTGTTTTATCATCATAACATTCAACATTCGATACTGTAGTTAAGCCATTGAATCCACCAATGGCAAACATAAGATCATCAAGAATCTATAATAGAGTTTCATACAATAAAAATAATGAAAAACTATCTCGTCATAATTGCTTCAATAGCAAAATTGCTTCTTGGATGAAACATATCAGTAATCGGTCGCCATACATTCATGTTTGGATTATATCGTTCCCCTGTGCTTAGACGTGATGTACCATTGAAACCTCCAATGGCATAAATGAAACCATGATAAGTAATCACACCTATTGTTATGCAAAATATTAATTAATCAACAGCTTGATCGATAATACTTACCAACGCCACTTCGACGACTATTCATCGGTTGTATCATTGTCCATTGATTCGTAATTGGATTATAATATTCTGCTGTTTGTAAACATTCTTGTCCATCAAAACCACCGCAAATATAAACTAGATCTATATTTATATGCAAGTGAAAAAATTTCTCTCCTATGAAATTTATTTAAATAAATATATTACCATTAAGTGTACACGCTGATGCATCACTTCGTTGTACACGCATCGGAGAAATAGTTGACCATTGATTAGTTTCAAATAAATATTTCTCGGCTGTACTTTGTCTGACATGCCCATTAAAACCACCCATTGCATAGAGTAAACCATTTAAATAAGCGATACTAACATAGCATCGTCGTTCATTCATCGGTGCTATTTCATTCCATACGCGATCAATTAAATTAAATGTACGACATGAATTAAAATACTCAGTGCCATCAAAACCACCGATAACATACATTTTATTACCGACTGTAATACAACCATGATAAGCACGTGGTGGAACTAAAAAGAATAAATAATCGTCAGTTCCAAGAAGAATACTATATAAAACAGTTAATACCTTGATCTGTTGAAATCACTACCCATTTATCAGCTCGAATATCATAAGCTTCAAGCATGTTTGTTGCATTACCGCCTGACCATCCACCGTAGGCAAAAATCATTTCATGTGCATGCCGAGGACGAATAAATGGACAATCGATGTCTGCATCCTAGACGAACAATACACATATATATATTTCTGATTAATGAAAGATTTTATTTTGTCTTACCATTAGTCCATTGTTATCTAATTTATATAACAATCTGAGTGTTTCTCCTACAATCGGTTTGCATTCATCGTTATCTTTAATATATGAATGTTGTTTTATTTTAGTCATAAATAATTGCAATGGAATCAAACCAAGACGTAAATTACGAATCAATCGTGCAATAAACTAGTAGCATACCAGGAAAAAAAGAATATTTTGTTTTCTTTTTATATAGATAAACAATTAACAACAAACTGATTTTCGTTTTTCAGTATCATAGTCAATCCATTTAATACATGCACTAAATAGAATTTCTTCGTTACGTACATTCAAATCATTATTTGAAATAAATCCAATAAGTTCTTCAATAGAGAGTTTTAGAAAACTTTTATTTATTTTTGTTATTTCGATAAAATGTCGCCTAAAATAAGTTTTTTAATAAATTTCTTCTTTTTCAGTCAATCACGAATACACTTACATTAAATATTCGTAGGTTGCATTTGATAACTTTGAATTTGAATGCATTTTAGCAAAATTGTATAAATAAAAAATATTGTCATCATTTAAATTATGTCTAAGATATTCACAACAATATTGAAATAAACTTGTCATTTGACATAGTTTTGCTGCATCAATTATTCTATTAACATTATCTAAAGTTAAGCTACATTTACGTGTGTAAATGTAATCTAGTAAAGATTCAAGAGCATCGTATTCGATATCTAATTGTAAAAATAAATTTTCACTATGTTGCATATTTGTAAAAGCCATGTGAAAATATGGACTAGAAGCTTAGAAGAAGAAAAAAGATGAAGAAACTTTTTTCCTTGTTTCAACGATAGTGTGTCTCGTTCATTTACCAGCTAAGATAAATCGATGAATCGGAAATTTCACGGATTCTTCAGTCATATGTTTTTTGCTTGAGATTTTTGCATCACATAACATATTATTTTTTCTCAATTCATTTAATATTTGACATGCGTCAGTCGTAAATACACATGATCGTTTTCTATCACCGAAATATGAAGTTGAAGTTGACATAGTAGACAATAATGTTTTTCCAGTGCTATCACTACCACTAGATTCGCTTTTAGATCGCGATCGTTTTAGCATTCTCCCGATTGCTAATTTGCTCTATTACTATTTCCATATTGTAGAGCGAGTAAAAGCCATGTACTCATACAGATAATGAAGAATCTGTTAGATTCGTTTACTTTATCGTGGGGAAAAAAATTCAGAAAAAAAGTGAAAATGAAAAAAATATTACAAATTTTCTATTTCCAAATAGAGAAGCGCCGAGAGTTTTTCTTTTGAATATTTTACAATCGAAAATTTATCAGCAATTTTTTCTTCACTTTTTATCATGATACTGTACACGAATGAATTGTTTTCTAGGACTTCAGTTAGAATGTTTCATGATAATGTCTTCAACAAGAATATCCTAAAATACTAGAAAAGCATATGCATATTTAAATGAATTAAGCAATATCTTATTTATTACAGATCATTCTTCTGTACTTTTCAATTGTCTACTTGCTGCCAGACAAAAACATTTTACACTAATATTGAAAGATGGATTCAATTAATCTGTGAAAAGGAAAATTGATGGTTTGAGGGTTATTCTCCTCTTTATCTACACACTCACATTCTACGATCGTCACATCTCTAGAGCGCACTATTGATGGTGCTAAGATTAATGGGAGTTATTGTAACTTTTTATACGTATGATCTAAATTATATTAAAATAAATTATCCCAAGTGGAGAAGTTCGTGCCGATTCCCGTAGGTAAACGCTTAAAATCGACGGAACATCGGAGAGTAGTATTCTGGTAAACGGTGTGTTTCGTGCGAATTTTCGCCAGAAATTCATGAACGGCTGTTTCAGGAATCATCGACCTGGGTATTACTAGAAAAGAGATTCCGGAGTTTGATGAAAAATTATTAACGAGAAAAAGCAAATGGAATAAGTCGTATCGTAGGCTACAGTTGTCAAGATAGTTTTGAATAGGAATTTCAGAGTACAATTAAGTAACTATTTTTCAATCATAAGATCTATTTTAGTACTCTGTTATCAACAAAAAACTATTTCAAACATCGTAGCAAATAAGTAGTAGCGAAAAAGGGGCAATTAGTGCTCATATCTTTCAACTGGTTTGATGAACTATCGTTGAAAGCAACGAAAAAATAGACAGATTGTGATAAAATGTGAATTCAAAGTCTATTGGTTGATACGAATACCTGAAGTGAGCCCCATTTCTTTTGGTTGATATGTTTGTTTCACTTTCTATGATATAAATTGACCATGCTTGTCGCTCGCAAGTAACGCTTCTATACTTCTATTGAAAGGGATTATATGTTTTTTACTTTTTATTCTTTCTATTCTTATCAGTGATCAAAACTTGCAACAGAAAGACGTGTTGCTATTCTATTCTTATGCACCAGGCATCTGATTATTTAAAATGGATACAATTCAATGCCTGATTTGTTTTAAAAAATTTTCTCATGAGAGAAAACCAATGATCGTATGCTCCAACGGTCATTCAATATGTCAAGGATGTCTTAATGATATAAAATCATCATTGAAATTGGAATGTTCAGTATGCCGTGATAATTTATTGCCCGTACCTATAATTAATCGTGATGTTCTAAATCTAATAGACTCAATTTGTGAATTAATGGCTCCAATATACCAGTAATCAAAGCAGAAGAATTAACAATGAAATCTAAGCCATTTGGATATGGTGGCAGTACTGATGTATTTCGTGCTCATTGGACACGACATACTGTTGATGTAAAGCGTTTACGTACAGGTGCAAGTGCAAGTGCAAGTGATGCAAAACAGTTATCTCAATTGAAAGGAGAAATAAACATTCATGTTGGATTACGACATCCCTGTATTATTTCGTTATATGGATACACAAGTAATGGTGACGGCAAAGAAATAGTCATGGAATATGCAGAAAATGGTTCATTAAATCAAATTGGAGAAATGCCGAAAACCACAACTCCTCAATTGGGCACTTGACATTATTGATGGTTTACAATATTTACACAGGCGAAAAATTTCACAGTGGTAGATTCACTTCTTAAACTGTATGAGATAGATATCTACGTTTTACAATAATAATTTGTTCGATATCAGTTCTTAGTTTTGAACACAATATCAGAGAAATTACTCTTGATAGAAATTCGAACATTGAAATAAGTTTATAGAGTATACATTTAGAATTAAATTTATTAATCATTTTAATTAAAAAGATTAAAAAATAATTTGTTTCATTTATTATTCTTGTTAAACTACATCTACGAATAAAATTTATCTAGAGATCTTAAACGATAAAATATTTTAATTGCACAAGATAATCGTACAGAATTATCCGATTGTGGAATGGCACGAGTATTAGCAACAATTCAGCATAATACAGCAGGCAACGGTACATCAGTTAGTATAATGACGTTAATTATTATTTCTCGTTATTTCGTTATCTATCATAGAAATATACAGCACCTGAACTGCTCGATGCTAACACTAAATATGGTGAAGAAGTTGACACATATAGTTCTTCATTAATCCTGTACGAAATGTTTTCTGGTAAAATAGCATTTGAAAATATGAATGCAATTCAACTGATGACAGCTATTTATCTTCATAAAAAACGACCTGATTTTGACTCAACATTTTCCAAAAAGCTTCAAAAAAAAGTTGAACTTGGATGGTCTCACGATGCAAAAGAACGATGTAAACCCGACGATATTCTACAAGTATTACTAGAAATGAAGAACTTATTTATGTTTTGATCTGATAAACAGATCATTTCAATGGGAGAAACTCTTCGTGTATCGATGATTGAACAAGCGAATAATACTCAGAAGAAATAATTAGCATATTCACCAATTATACCAATGAAGTGGACAACACAACGTGAGTAAACACAATCCTTAATTGGCGGAACGATACCAAACATTTTTCTGATACTATTATCAAAATGCTATGCTGCAAGTACCAAAGGATTTATTTGTTGATATGGCGGTCTATAAGAATGTTATCAAAACAGAAGATGATAATGAGTGTCTTAAATCAATTTATTATTATGCAAAAGCATTGCGTGCTAGTGAAACACAAAATATGAGTTCAACAGAAATAGCTGCAGCTCAATTAAGTTTAATACCATTGAATTCTGACGATCGTATTTTGTTTCTTGGAGTTAAAGGAGGCTATATACAAACAGTCGCAGCTCAAATAGTTGAATTTCAAGGTCAAGCATGGATAGGCTCACAAGATAATCAAGGTCTTCAACATGTTGAAGATGTTCTGACAAATCATGTGCCCACTATTCTACGGCAAATTATCAAGTGTGTTTTAGTTAGTAATATTCAAGATGTAAATCAGAGTAAGAATCGATTAGAACAACGATTCGACTCTACGGAATAATATTTTAATACTCTTCATGCTTGTGGAGCGCTTTCACAAGATTTACTTGAACGTTTTCAACCACTCTTAAAAGTTGAAGGACAACTCTTAGCACCAATCAATACTGATGAAAACAATCAGAAGTTCACTATGTCACATAAAACATGCGATCAAAATTCTGGCCAGACTACTTTAAAAAACCGGATATTTAACGATTGGGGAATTGTATTTAGTTCTGTTCTTTAATAAATTTAAATCTTTTGTTCCGTAACAAAATCAAACAATTTTTCTTGTATTTGTCTTGATGCAGAGAAAATCGCCTACAAGTAAAATTAAAAAAAGAGAAATAATATTCTCTATATTTCTAAAGACCGATAAAAATAATTTAATAAGCGAAAGAATCTTTTCTTTTTCTTGAAAGACGTTCACATCATGAGTTACACATCTGTTAAATGAATAATTTACAAGAGTCCAGAAAAAAACGTTTTCTTTATCTATGGAAATTTCTTAGATTTGTTCATCGTTCATTGCTATTGGATGAACCATAAAGAATAATATCTTCTGTATATAATAGTTGATATTATCTTCATTTCTGCCAGTGAAACTTGATTTTTATTGTCAAAAGATTTCTAACTCAATTTTCTACAAAATTTAAAATAAGCAAAACAATGTTTTTAGATCTCTCGTTTTCAGGGTCAAATATAAATGAATTAGGTATTTTATTCATTGTGTTAGAACTTTAGGATAGACTGACTCCTACAGATTATTCTCTCCAAGTACGTATAAATCAGTCAGTTTTCTTTTATTTAGAAGAGATTACGTTGTAAACTACACTGGAATGTTTGAGTGTTAGTCTTTTTTTCTCTTGAAAGACGATTAATATTCTGCATATTCTTTAATATGTTTAGATCTATCTATGTACTGAGCTGAGTGTGCGTGTAAATTGTGATGAATATCAAGAACACTCATAAAATAATTCTGGCAACGAAAAATGAATGATTTGTTTACTGATAAGCATTAATATTTTTTTTCAAATAATAACAAAAATACACAAAAAAGTTTGTTTCTCAATTGTCTGATGTCGAAAAAGCAGTGTAGTTGATTGATTTAAATACATATTCTTTATCTTCTCGGTGAAAGTTTTTCATCAATTTTTGCTAATGCTGTTCGATCATTTTGCACTAATTCAACCACATTTTTAATACCACGATGAATATCTTGTAAAATATCTTTAATCTGTTCGATCTTTTCTTTATCGAAACGTAATGATTCATTGGTGTTTAGTATGGATGCCCATTGGATTGGAGCTAATAGTGTTGGATTCATACGTATTTTCATAATTAAGTCTTTTATACGAATGTCCAATGGTGATTGAGATAAACTTTGTAATGAATGAAGATTAGTCCAAATTTGAATTTCAGTTGAAGTTAATTTTGGCTCATATTGACGACGGCGACATTCAAATTGAATTGTTGCCTAAATACGTTCAATGCTATATTTTTTCGATATATCTACTTTTGATATTTACTTTAAGAATTCGATGTGAATATTCAAGTAAATTTGTTTGATAACGTTTCATTGTTAAACGAAATGCATCACATTGATCTTTAACAGAATGTAATTGTTGACGGATGATTTCTAATTGTTGTTTCTGATCTTCATGTTCAATAAACTGAGATTTCATACGATCCCGTAATGCTATTGCATAGTATATAGATATGATTCTTTTTTAAAGAAATTTGATATATTTTCAATTACCTTTTACACCAACCAGTGGTACAGGCAAAAGTAACTGTGGTTTTGGATTTTCTTTTTTCGCTTGTTCCCAGACGAATGCCGTTAGGCCTTAGTATAATTGAATAAAAAATAGCATGGTATTCAATAATTCACTTTTAGAAAAACAAACCTGGTGGTGTAGAATCCAGATATTGTTTATAATCTTGATCACTTAAATCTGTTCGTGCAAAAACTTGAACAATACCCATAGAATCTAAATGTGCTTTATTTGGATTTGCAGGTGGTGCCATCAAAGTTGTTGCTTGTTGCTGTTGTGGTGGCGGTTGAAGATAATTAACAACGACAGATGCTTTCGCTTTTTTAACTAATAATGTTCCAGGCTGTTTTTCACTGACTACAATTAACATCTAATAAAGAAATTTTTTTTGTTGTTGTTGAAAAGGTGTGAAAATAAAAATGTTATTCGATTTACTTGGGTACGATCGTCAGCTAGTGGTGAAATTCCTTCAAGTTCAATGATACAATTTGGATTGTTGTTAAAACACAACCGATGGAGGCTTTCAATCCGTTTATCTTTATCTTTGACAACATCAGCTAGCTTTTGGTTTATAATTAGTGCAACTAGACCATCTTCGTCACGAGTTTTTGGACGGACACTGTATGAATATGTCTATGAGTAAACAAAATGATTTAGTTTTTCTATGAAGATAACAAAATGAATAGAGTTAAATTTACTTTAAAAACGTGATAGGGAAGATTAACGTCAACATCATAAACGCCTAAATAGTATCAAGATTAAATATTATTGTTTTTTTGTAGTTAATTATTTACCTAGATGACAAAATGTTTTACCGGTACCATAGAATACTTGTAGAATATTCCATTTAAGAAGAAGTTCATCTCGTTCATCATTAAATAAGCGTGGTGCAGTTAGTGATGTTATTAGTAAATCATCTGGGCGAATTGCATTAGCTGGTGGAGCTGCTATTTGAGCGGGTGCAGTATTAGTTCCAAATGGTTGTCCTAAACGAATAAAAGATGATTTGTTTATGTAAAAAATGAAAAATCTGTGCTATCTTTGATGAGATACACACCACCACTGAAAGCAAATGCAGGTGCTGTCGTTGTAACTGGTGCCGCTGGAAATCCAAATCCACCGAATGCAGCAGGTGCTGAGGTAGTTGTTGGTGCACCAAAGCCGAATCCTGTTGTTGTCGTAGGTGCTCCTGTACCAAATCCAGTGAAGAGCGTTTTTGCGGCTGTTGTTGCTGCCGTAGTCGTTGATGCTGGTGAACCGAATCCAAAGATTGATGTCGTAGTTGTAGCAGCTGGTGTTGCAAAATTGAATGGTGCAGTAGTAGCTGTCGTAGTTGCAGCAGGAACACCAAATAGAGGAGCTGTAGATGTTGTTGTAGTAGCTGCTGGCGTACCAAATGTAAATGGACTTGCAGTTGGAGCTGTAGCTGTATTGGTGTTAGTAGGAGTGCCGAATATAATCGTTTTTGTAGCAGGAGTTGCTCCAAATGTAAATGACATCTAAAATACAAAAAAGTTAAACTTAATGACGAAACAAAACTTTAAAAAATCATAGAGAAACCATATTATTCTCACTAATAAAATGATATAAATCATAAGAATGTCAAAAAGAGCAGTAGTTTGCCCGTTTTTGAATTACATGAAAGATCAAAGCTATAGAAAAAATATTAAAGGTCCTTTTTAAACTAAAATATGACGCAACGAGAAAGTAAGTTAGTATTATTAGACATAGACAGATTAAAACCATTCTTTTCTGTGAGCGAACGAACGCAAGTTATCGATGTTAAAATGATTGGAAGTAGTAGTTGACCTATAAAATGGTGTGCTTGATGAGGTCGCTATAAAACTGTATTTTACAATTGTATAGCTGGATAAAGTTTATAGTGAAAATCTATTTTACTTTATTCTATTTTTCTATAAAAGACTACATTTGAAAGATATTATCATCACTATATCGTACCTCTTAATGATTTATCTAAAAAATTCAATTCTTATTTATTCCATTGTAAGTAAGCAGATTTATAAACTATAAATCTTATAGAATGTTTACATTTCTACTTACTTAAAAATTATGTATATATTGAATGAAGGCAACAAATTTTTGAACGTTAAAACAATGAAAATAAAGATTCGGTTATGACAAAACTGCTCCTAGTTTCATTCGAGCAACTTAATAATTTGTTTTTCTATCAACGAAACACTGTTATCAATTTAATATTTATATTAATAATAAATTCGAATTCGTTCAATTCAAATACTTTAGTTCTCAAGTACGATTTTCAGATAGCACTATTGATAAACAAGAAGTTGATAAAAATTCACACTCTTGTATTCATTTCATCAATACAATCCTTAAGTAATGTCATGCGTTTATAAAATATTGTCTGACTTCGTTTAAATTTTCAATCGAACCAATAGATATTTAATACTCGTTAGAAAAATACTTTGGAAATAAACTCGATATACAGAAATTTTCAGTTCATTGAACGACTTACTAGAGGCCATTAAAATTAAACAGCTATGTGGAGAAAAATCAAAACAGATCAGTACGAATCGCATTTCTCCTTCCCGTTGTTCCTGACATTGACTCATATAGCTTCCAGTAAACATCTGTCTGTTGTAATTTATCTCAATATGTTTATTAAATCTTTACTAAGGATAACTTGAATGTTTCATAAGTTTATGCATTTGAAGATAGTTTACAAAATATTCATATAAATAAAAAAAACGTTTGTAGCTATTTGTCTATAAAAAAAATTTATTCTAAATTTATGTAAATTGTACAACAATAAAAGAAAACAACAACAATAATAACAACAGCAAAAACAAAAATAAGAAATATTCACAGCCAAATTTGCAACCAATTATCACAGAAGTCTACTTGATAATTTTTTTCGGAATTTTTTAATCGAGATGAATACTCAATGAGCCATTCCTGAATATTTTCTAATGATAAACCATCTGGTATTCGTCCATTTATTGTAAATACAATTAATTGTTTACAATTATCTAAAAGTGAACCTACAATATTCGGTTCAATTAAGTGATCTGTTGTGTGTTTGATTTTTAATGAATGTATACCACTGAAAACTTTTGATAAACTATTAATATGAGCATTTTTAAGTTTAAGATCACTGCTGTGTCCATCAATAAATAAATGAAGAACACGTGAGAATATTAAATCTTCATCTGTAGATTCAAATAATTTAATTGCACAATTAAGATCAATACGCAATGTACTGATAGTATGTGCTGAGATAAGTAATGCTTCGAAATGTTGCCAATTATCTACTGTTCCAAGTATCGATAAAATCTCAAGGTGTTTTAACTTTGGAAGATTGATATTTACTTGCTTATTGGTCGGAACTATAATAAAATCGATAAACATAATATAATTAAATGTAAGATTAGTTTGACTGAATCAACTTATTTGAATTGAGAAAATGCTAATAGATACTTCTCTGAAAAATGAGATCTTCTATTATATCCTAGACAATATTTCTAAAATGACTATTTACAGATAATTGAGAATTAATTCATGATCTACAGCTTCACAACTGTTATGTTTCTAGTGCATTAAGAAGTGATCATCCTATCAATCGTTTATGGCAACTCTGGTTTGTTTCGTTCACTTCAAAAAAATAAATATCATCTGTGACACTAAGGTTAAATGATTGGTACATCTTAAATAGATATAGAGCTTAGTCTGATACTTTCGATCTAATTATTTCTTTTCAAAATATATTATCACTATTCGAAAGGCAATTTTCAGTTGAATATCAGTAAGAAGATGATAGAAATTTTTTTTGTCAACATACAATTAATCGTATCTAGCATGAAAAACTATGGATCTTGTAGCAAAAAGACGAGAATAACTACGTAGTAGTAGATTTAATAATCTGATTTTTCATGTGTAATTATATTGATCTGAATGCACAAAAACTTGAATTCTCTTATAGCAAACGCATGTCTGTTCATTTTATAATGAAAATCAATTATGATGATTCTGGCCAAAAAGAAAGTTGATTTTTGTTTTCTTCTTCTTTCGATACTATTTAACAAAGCTCATGTATTGATTTTACCTGGTAAAACTGTTCTATGATTTTCTATTTGAATATTAAGATCTTGTATTTTTCGACAATGCCGTATTATAGTAAATGTTTCCAGTAAAGTTTTTGCATTTGATATGCATAAATACTGAATATTATTGTAAACGTGATCACTCATATTAATACCAAATGTATTAGCTAGCGTTGAATGTAAATTAAGAAGAATAGACGGATATGGTAATGTATGAAGAAGTATAAAAGATCTATTTTCAGTTTCATTAATTGTATAACCAATAGGTATTGGATTCCATGATGTTAAAAGATTCTCTGAATCAAGGCAATAACCAGCAGAGGCAGAAAAATATACAGCATATTTTAATTTTTGTATGAGATTATTGCTAATAAATAATTGAGAAGATAAAAGTCTAAATAAATGCTGACCATAAATAAGACATTCATCTAGAGTAGCAAGAGCCAATGAAAGATTTTGTATGGTTGGTGTCAGTTGAAGTATTGATGAAATGTCATCGAGTTTTGAATAAAAATCTATCGCATCCAGAGAAAAATCTGTAAGACATCGAAATGGTATTATCGTTTTATTGATTGGTGAAAATTCTTCAATAATGACATGAAGTCGACGTATATTTGGAACGAGCATAGCCAAAGAAATTAAATCATTCGATGTCGTAAGTGAAATACTCATTTCTATGAGATTCGAATGGGTTAGAAGATCTTTCTGATTAATTGATAATATCATTGAATAACAATCAGGTTCAAAATAAATAGATTCAATTTGAGTGTTTCTATGAGTTATTTCTAATAGATGTTTGTAATCATCATTTGTATCTGCAATTGAATTTTTACAAATTGTTGATTGTAGACCACGAATAATAATAGTACGAAGATATTTTAGTTGGCTTAAATGATTTTCGATAAATGAAAATAATATTTCGCTTTTCCAATCATCTAATGCTAATTTTTTTAAATTAGGAAATATTTTATTCATTCGAAAACTAAAATTAATAAAAAAGTATGTTTGTTGTAATCGATTTATTGTTAATGAAATAATGGACGATCCAATATTTGGTAAAACATTCGAATAAATATGAAGAAATTGATTATAATTTAATCGCCGAAGAATAACATGATGACAATAGTTAGTTATTGTAGAATTGAAACGTGAATTTAGATTATAAAATGAATATAATACATGACCACAATGAAGATATCGATAGATTTCCAGAATCATTTCATCTGGTAAATATTCAAAATTGGATTCTAATAAATTGTTCATCTAAAATAAATCTTTCTTTTTCTTTTTCTTTTTTTTATAAAAAAAATAGAAATTTTATCAAAAGAAGAAGTCTTTTCCCTCCTTATAACCACAACTTAAACCATTCATTACTACACTCAACTCGAAATATATCTTGAGATTTTATACGAAAAGAACTTTGTTTAATTATCCATTGTCGAATATCACATTCAATCATATCAGCTGGAATTTTACCATAGATATGAAATATAACTAGTTGTTTAAATTCGTGTATGATTGATTTTATTAGATTTGATTCAATATATTCATCTGATGTTTCATAATCTATTGTTAGATTTCTCACACGATTAAATGTTCGTGCTATAAGATGAATTTTTTCAACAGTTAATTTTGATTTCTTCCTTTGTTGATTTTCATTTTTTGGATCATTAATACTATTTTCTGGATCATTGGTATTATTTTCTGGAATACGAACACAAAGGTCAAGTATGTGCCGATGAAGAAGAACATATAAAATGAGTGGTTCATTTTCATTGTCAAGTAATGTAAGCAAACAATCTAAGTCGATGACTAACACGCATAGATTAGGTGCAGCAACAAGTAAGTCTTTTAAATGATGCAAACCACATGGAATGCCTTCAATCGTTAGAATATCAAGGCGACCAAGAGAAGGAAGTTTTATCGGTTGTTTATTGTTATCAGCTAGAACGAAAATAAAAGTAAAAATAAATTTTTCATGTGATAGAAATCATATTAGATTGATGTCAATAACTTGAAGAAGAGAAAGAATAATTTCGATTTTGCAATCGTAACAAGTTAGAGAAAATTAGTTTGTATAGAATTTCGATTTCCAACTGGATAAAAACACGAACATGTTATTCTACTATGAAAACTTAACCAAAATTATATTATTATAAATTTAAATATAGATTTGCTATAATGTCAATTGCAACTAAAAATCTAGTTTTTTTTTGGGCATCTCATCTTAACATTAGTATGTATATAAGATTATAGAAAGATGTTTTCGAAGTTGTTTGTGGTATGCATCTACTGAATCCTAATGTGTCACAGGATGGGATACTGTAGTATTAAGAATTTAGATAAGAAAAAGAAGTTGATGATAAAGTTTGTTTTTCTTATGATTATGGTTCTTTAGAATTTACATTAGTACTGAACGAATGACTAATAGTATTTAGATCTTTTGTCTTATAGAATATTTTATCCGGATATAATTTATCTATTGAAATTCAATCAAAGAACACTTATGCAAGATTTGAAGATTTTACTTCTCTAAAAAGATTTTTTGCTAAAAGAATTTTCTGCATCCATGAAGTAATTCTATAGATTTATATTCATGAATAACACTATTCACAGTATGCTATCATACAACATAAATTTCAGTAAAATTTGATTGGCATCATGAGCTAGGAAACAAAACCAATAGTATCATGGATAAAACACATTGAAAAATATGGTGAATATTTTTACTCGATAAAAGTATCAGATTTGAGTTCGATATCAATAAGTTTTCTATTGAATTATTTTAATGTTAAATATTGAATTTACCTGAAGATATACATGTTGACTTTGATATTGTTGAATCTTTTGCAGTAAAAAGAGTTAGTTCGCGTACACGACGACATTGTCCTATGATAGGAAATGTATCTGCTACATTAATCATAGAATATACTTGAATTAGATCAATTTTTGAATAAATTTGATACATTTCTTTGTTAGGCATATTTTTAGCTAAACTAGATCTTATTGTCAAACGCGATGAAGAATATGGTAGTGTATGTAGAAATATTCGTTTATCAATTTCACTAATTGAATATATCATAGGAATAGATTGCCATGATTTTTTAATAATATCAACATTAAAATACTCCCAACTTTCATATGGATAATAGCAAACACTATAGTTGATCTGTTTCAGTTGTGACGGAAGTATAGAAAGGATTTTTGTACCATTAATTAAATTAAAATCACGAGTAGATATTGTTAAAGAAAATATTTCAATCGAAGGTACAATCTGAAGTAACGATTTAAGATCATCTAATTGAGAATACCAATGAACAGCACATACAGATAATTCTTTTAGAAATGGAAATTTCACACGAAATGGTACGTGTCCTAATGATGAATTTTTCAATGATACATCAAGTCGATGTATATTTGGTATTAAATGAATAAGTGATGATAAATCCATTAATGTATCAAGTTGAATAGTTAAATTAAGTATATTATGACATGAAATATAATTAGTAAAACCATGATCTACTAAATCAAATGCATCACAATCGTAATCAAAAATAATATTGGTTAACAGACTATTTTTTATATTAAAAAGTTTTTCAATTAATTCTATATTTTGTTTTGGTGATGAACATGATAATTCTTGAATAACAAGTTTTTGTAAAGATTTCATTTCTGGTATTGTTTCAATAATAAATGATAATAAATTTTCACTTGACCAACTTGTTAAAGTTAAAGTATTTAAATTTGTAAATATATTTGATATTTGATGTTTAAATGACAATGGAAAGGATGCTTGATGTAATGGATGAATTGTTAATGACAGAACAGACGAACCTATTCGAGGTAGAATATATTGATATATATAAAGTAGTTGTTTATATGATGCTCGACGGAACCATACATGTTGACAATAAGATGTTATAGATCGATTTATACGAGAATTTAAATCAAACAATGAATAAAGAACATGACTACAGTGAAGATACCGGCAGATTTCTAAGATTATTTCATCCGGTAAACATTCAACTGTTGTTGTTGAAGAGAAATACATCTAGAATTTTTGTTTCTTATAGAATTAAATTATTCAGATTTTTAGAAAATTTAGTAAAATATTTTTTAAGAATTTTCTTTTTTGATAATTACCAAAATTTCATATTATCGAATAGAATTCTTATTAAAGGATGACTTGAAGAATTAAAATACAATTCTTAATTCTTTTTATTCCTAAACGATTTTCTTCTAAAGTTCAAGAAGCATTTACATTTATTACAACCAGATTAGAATTGTCATTAAAAATAAGAGACAATATTTTTGATGGGATAATTCAACTAGCTATATTTTTTCTCAATAAAATAGAATGAAATAAATCTTCACGCTACTTAAAAAAGAAAGACTTAATTTTTTTTTTATATTATAAGAATTAAACAATATTTTTTATAATAATAACTTTACTAATTGTCACTATTTTACATTTTAAAAATGTAAACAAAACAAACTTTATTTCATTTTTGAAATATATCGAAAATCTGACTGAAAATCTGAGTAATCATGAGCTATTCATCAGTACTGACAAAAAATAACCATACTCAGTTTAGTATAGTTGACTTTTCACAAGGTAACGATACGATACGACATCGGAAAAGAGCGAGAAATCTTGAGAATGACTCATTCTTTTACGGTCGTTTGACACTGGACAATTATCGAACAATCAATGTGCAAGCGAACCTAGCGCCTTTATTATTATCAATAGAGACTATATTTTTGTAAATCTAAACTTATTATTTTACAGGAAGTTTAATAAAAAAAATCTTTTTAAAATAATTGAAGTCTTCTAGATTGTCAAACAAATAATTCAATAGCATTTATTAATGAATTAAACTAGAAAGTTCTCCAACAATCATTTTTATTTATGAAATTGTGAAATTGTGACATTATGGCATACATGCTTACTCGTGCTATTTTAACCTAAGAATATCAATAGCACTCGTCTATTTTTTCATATGATACCCATGAATAAATATAAATTTCAAGTTTAACTACGCAAGAACAGAATTTCGATTATTGCTGTATTGCTTAGTAGTATGAACTGGATTTAGAATTTTGCCTGAGAAAATATTAGAATTCGTCTAAAAAAAAGTTTATATAATCAAAACAACACGATATTTCTGAAAAGTTATTTTCTTTATTATGTGCAAATATTTTGACTTTTCGATATGATATCACATTAAAAAGTGAGATCTTTTTTTATACTGAGAACCTCAACTTCTATATTTATTTTTAATCGGTATTTAAACTCATGTTAAAAAAATTCTAAAAATAAAACTGAATAGAAAGTTTGGTTTTCTTTAATTTAAAGAGATTTTTCTATTCCATTTAACAATTAACAAAAGGACATAGAATTGTTCAGTGCTTATTCATACTTGTACAATGACTTTCTTTCCAATAACATTTTGTCGAACTAAAAAACTCACGAACTGTTTTACATGAATAATTCTTTGAAGCTCACTTCTCTTGGCAATCACATGTGTTAATAATTATTCGATCCGATTCTATCAATACTGTTCTATTGAATTATGATATCTAAATCTATGTTTATGACTAATCTAACTAGTAGTGTTGATCGAAGGAAAAAATTTTATGTTCTTCAAAATTAATAATACGAGATAGTGTTATTGAGTATAGTTATTAATTTTGTTTTTGTTATTATCGTATAACGAGACCTGGTCTAGTCCATCATGAATTACTTCAATAATATTTACTCTCGATTAACAACTGAGTTCATAAAATTACAACCTTTCTATCTTTTGTATTCAATTTATATCACAACAAGTAAAGTATATGATCACTAGATTGTATTGCTGGTTGAATTCTAATTAAACCATACATTTTTAAATCTAACTAAATAACAAATATTTTTGTAAACAATTGATCATCATTAATCAAAGAGTATATACACGAGAACAATACTTTTGGTCTAATGTTGTGAACATGTGACAATTAAAAATATTTTACTGCTAAAGCGTAAACTTTTTTATCGTTTATGTCAGTATGTCATATGGATTCGATTTGTATCTTTTTTTTTCTTTCTATTCAGTAAATCTTAGTTTGTTTACATCAACTAGTCTCAAAGAAAAAAATTTCTTCAACAAAGTAAATAAAATCTTCTTATTGAGTTTAACTTTTTAATATTAATTCATCTAAATTAAAACAATTCTACCAATGATATATCTACTTCATTTATTATTGAAAGTAATAATATTTGTTCTTATCCTAGAAACAATCTTCTTTCTGAATTATTGTTCAATACAATTTGTTTAGCATTTTAAACTAATCGATATGTTTAAGAGACATAACACCTAGATTTATACGATACTTTTTTTACAACTTAAGTATTGTCGCAGTGCATCATACCATAAACCACACCAAACTGTTTCAATATCAACCAATATAATTATATTTCATTCTTCTTTTTTGTGTACTCAAAAAGTGAGTACACTCTAGAATCGGCCAGTGTGTCCGTCCATCCGTTTACACGATAACTTTCGAAAGGAGAGTTAGATCATGATGAAATTTTCTACGTAGTTCAGCCTCGTCAATGTCTCAGTCGAGTTCGAAGATGAGAAGGATCCGTCAAGAAATGGTTGAGTTATCGAAAAAATTGTCATTTTTGACCAGACAATCCCTGAGGGGGAGTACAGGGATTTTTCAAAAAAACGTTTTTTTCTCAGTATTATCCACAACATATATAAATCGACTCAGTTTTTAACGTTGATTCTGAATCTGATATTGGTTTTGAAAAAATCGTAGTTTTCTAACGAAACATTGACTGAAAAAGGTCTCAAAATACACAAAACTGCATCTAGAAACCAAATTGCCTAGATATGTCTCAGATGACCAGCAGCTTGGGAGCTTCTCAAATGCCTGGCTTTGTTGCCAGTCAAAAGGGCTATCGAAAGGTAAAAACCCGAACTCGATAGCTAATACTATTGATGATTTATTATGAAAATACTGATGCCTGTATCTATCATATATCTCTTATAATTTCATGAGGTTGTTTACGATCGTAATCCTGCTAGATACAAACACAAAACCATTCAAAAATAACTGTTCTAATCCAGTTTTCGAAGCTGAACACGAATCTGAATTCAATTTCTGTGATCTCTAAAGATATTATATCACTCTGAGAATAGAGTCAATGATCACTGGATAGAGTTGCATACAGTGCGGTCCATGGTAACTTAGCATGCCTGTATTTTCTCCTTGTAATTTAGTGAGAAGGGATGTATCTTGATGAGATCTATGCCTTACAGAAAAAAATGGATGTACATTTTCGCTTTTTGAAGTACACATAACAATCGGATGCAAATCCGATGTTTCCGTATTCATTTTGTACATGTTGTCAGTGAGCAAAGACTAACTTCTATTAATTCATATGAGTAACTGCATGTGCAATCAGAATGTTTCATAAAGATACTATCGTTGAAAACTATGTTTGTCTTTTTTCATGGTCATATGATTTGCACAAGTTGGTATATTCGTTCTTGATTTTAATTTTTTCTCGACAATCTCAACAGATTATATTGACACGCCTTCGTTATATCAGGTAGTATGTGTCACTCTCGTGACTCTTCTTTTTCCATTTCAAAGTAAAAGAACGCATGTGCTTGCATATAAATAACAACGTTATAATCATTAAAGTACAAAGTACTGATGGTAGATCGAAATCCAACTAACGTCATTTTCTTCTACATAGTTTAAAAAAACATTAAGCGTGGGCTTCTTTTTTTGTCACATGCTTAATGTCGGCAATACTATTTATTTTCGGTTGTATCACCAGAACGATTTTCAACTTCTTTCTATGATTCTATAGAAAGAAAACCATTTTTTTCATCAGCAACGAAATTGTTGATTGTCCTCCATAACCTCTACTCTCGATTTGTTTTCTCTCTGTCCTTCGTACTATGCTCCCGTTTTCCCGTCTGTCGATTCCTATTAGATCTGTTTTTTTTTGCGCACGAATCGTAGGTGGAATAACTTCGCAACGATGAAGAAAGGAGGGTGTGTCGATACAAAAGAGAAAAACAAGAAGAATGGCGAGAAGAAATATAAGAAACCGATAGAAAAAGCCGTCAGTATGCAACCAAGGCCGTCCAACAATATACATAAACAACGGGATAGAACGAAAGAGAAAAATAGGAAAAAAAGAAATCTTTTATGTATTCTGACGCTGTTCTGATCGTCACACCCCCAGGATGTTTTCGTAGACGAGAGAAAATATAAAAAAAGTGCATTCAGGGCTATATCTATAACTATATATAAAGATCGTTCTCTCATTTGTAGTAAAATAATTTTATTATACAACGTCTTGTTCCGTCAAGAATTATTTTTATTTAAATAAAAAATATTCGAAAAAAGAAATGACTTCGAAAGCGTGCAATGGATCACATACATGGAATGTTAACGTAAACTCTTCTCCTGAAACAATATATCATTTTCCAGAGAGTCCCGGTGAACCAGGAAAGTTCGATTTTTATCGGTATAAAGAATTTCATTCTCTCATTATTTTCTTTTAAAACTTATTCAATTTCTTTTTCTAGTGTCTATCTTTCTTTTCATACTCATAATTCGGATCCAACATTATCTGGTTGTTCAGATGGTAAGTAACTAATTACTTAAATTATTCTCAATTGTCAAGCGGAAAAATAAATAACTTTGCTTGAGATTTATTTTCATGCAATAGGAGAAAAAAAAAGCATGACATCACTACCATTCAACAAACACATATGAGATATTTCAATCTCTTCCTTTTTCTGAGTAGTGCATTTAATTACTTCCGCTGTTGCATGCTACTGCGTTTATTATCATTTTCTACGGATTTTTTTCTCTTCTATTGTATACTGATGTTTACTGATTATGATAGTAGAATATTTCCGATAAAAATAATTTAAAAACAAATCATTTTTCTTTCTTTCTAGAACCTACCATCTCCGCACCATCAACAATATCATCATCATCATCATCATCAGTAATAAAGAGACGATGGACACCATTTGCTGATATACTTTCATCTGATGAGTCCAAATCTTCAATATTGACAAGTTCACAATCCTCAAATTCAATTTCTGCAGCTAAACCACAGGCGATGTCTTCTATAAATTCTGATGGTTTATCAAATGTTAATGGCACAGAAAAAGAACCAATTCAATCTGCTCAATCATTGTTATCATTGACTGATGCTGTTAAAAATTCTATGAACAAAGGTCAGTTGAGTGCAAATTCAAATAAAATTCGACGTCCATTTGGTGGAACAACATTGTCTTCGAAAGATCTCAATCATTTATCTCCTCAGTCCATGTAAAATGATCAGCAATAGATGCATAAGACAGAAACACAAAGAACAGCGGCCTCTTTAGTTGTGTCAGATAAATAAAAACACGCCTTTTTACGTATTCCCTTACTTTTATTTACTATCCTCCTCATGTCATCAATATATGTGTATATATCTATATTTATTAATTATTGTTTGTGTCTTTTTGTATTTTATTTGCTCCCACAATAATGTGACTCTGCTTTGTCATTTGATTGTTCGTTTGTCTTTATCGTAAATTTCAGTTAATAAAAATCATTCAAGACTGTAGAAATCCATGATCTTGTATATCATTACATAAAGAAGTATAAAATAATATCTGGTTCGGAAGTTTTACACTCAGTAATTATAAAAGACTTAATTCGTTTAGATATATGATGACCCAGTATATTACTAATAAAGTAAAGTGTACTTGTCATCTAGACAAATTTGCTCAAAGTCATGTAAAGGGAAAATTCATTAAAAAAAAGAAAACAGTCAGAATATTTTTTTGATATCAACGGCATATTGTTATCACCGGATCTGATATCTTATATTAACGAGAAGAAAAGCATGTAGAATTCTCGACGAAAGACACTTACTACATAGAAAAGAATGGAGATTAAAACTAGGAACATTTTGAAGTTTTTGTCTGATGTTATTTTCTGAAGATTTTATATGCTTTTTCTAGATGCTATTTTCTCAGTAGAACATGACTTTTGACATTTGACATTTGACATTTGACATGGTAACAATTAGTCATTGAACAGAATGTGAAAATAGTTGCACTATCATAGGACTTGATTGAAGCGAAAAAAACTCATGAATTTCTGCTTGGTCATAAATATGACGACAGATTGAGTCAAAATAAACAATTCATTCCTTTGAAAGAATAGATTAATTCAATGTTGGCTATTTTTTATTTTGGTAAAAATTTATTCCAATATGAATGTCTTCATTTCTTTTTTTATAAGTTACGAAAAAAAACTAATCATTCTATGTAGCTGACATAAATAGACCATAACTTTACATTTTTAATTAAATAATATATTATTAAAATAATTCTTCTAACAGTACTTTTATGTGTAATGGTAGAGTAATTTATATGAATATGAAATTTATAAGAACAAGTAATTCAAAATGGTGTCCTACTGATTGAAATATGTAATGTTGAAAATTATTTTCACTCACAATTATCTATTCATGGACAAATATTTTTCCTGATGAACTTTCTTGAGAAATTTCATGACTGAAAAATGAATTCTCCTCTTTCTCTTACATTTTTTTTCCTTATTTGCTTATAGAGTCTTGCCATTACTTACAAATGTATTTCATAGAATATTAAAATACTAAATTAACCTATTTCCATTTTGTACGAGAGATGCCTTTTCGGATCATATAGTTGTTGTTTTATGTTTTATCGTATTGTTTATCAATAATTTAGAGAACAAAAGAAATGCTCTTTTAATTGCATAAATAATCTTTATATTTATTATTTATTTGGAGCAGATTGACATATTAGCTATTATCATTCGTAATTGTGTGTCACGGGTCAATGGAATATTAGATAGAATTAGAAATCTAATATTCAATAACAAGAACTAATTTATATGTTCGAAATTCAAAACTATGATAATATTAAGGAAAAAATCATCCTGTTAGCAAAGAAATTTCGAAGAGTAGGTCTTAACCATTTGGTTTAATCCAATAATAAAAAACTGCTTGGAAACAAAGCATACAGTAATATAGATTGAATAGCTGACAATATCGATTTATTAGAAATTATTGCTGAAATACAATTTTGAGCCGAAAACAATCGCTAATTCAATTACATTCCTTTCTGGAGAGAAATTCTATGGAAAAGGAACTTGGCCTACTGAAAAATGACAGGAAGAGAATATAATTATATTTTGTTTCTCACTCGATCCCGCCATAGCCTTAGAACAATACAATGTCACACTGACGATGTCAAATAGAGTTCCGAATAGATTTTGTTTGAATGAAAAATCCATGGCATGGGCTAACTTCCCGGATTCTATGCAATCGATGTATGAGATGTTTTTGTTTCATACCGTATGTTTCATAGAATATCTAAATTGTTCGAAATTCTATTATTTATTGAACTTATTCAATTAGCTTAGTATCTTACGATATATTCGACTAGGACGTTCACATGTCACTCAAATATCACGATAAACTGCACATATCAATGGATCTATTGATAGATTCAAAGCTTTTGAAATTCTTTCTATTAAAATAAATCGATGTTTAGAAAACAAAACTTTTGATACATTCATCATAATTGATAAATGATTATTACAACTAATAACGGCTGATGGAAAATTCTAATCTTACAACTGTCTTTCTACAACACAATCAATTGTTTCGTTTTAGAAAAACACTTTCGAACTTGTAAAGAAGTTTGCTTGTTTTTTAAACTGAAAACAAAATATTTATAAATTCGAATGAATTACGATAGATTCCATATTTTAATACTGCGACAAGTCATTGTTTACAGATTTCTTGTTGGTCACTTTTCCACTAAGTGTTAACATCTAGAAAAAAATTCGAATAAGTTTTTGAGTGCGTGAAAGATTCTTATTATTTAAACTGATGACCCTAAAAGCTGTAACAAAACGACTTGACTGAGGATGCCTGGGAAAATAATGTATTTAAAATATTTTTTCTCGCATCCTTTTGTTATTGGATAAAAAAAAGGCACGAAAAAGAGAAGAGAGGGTTAATGACTTTGTTCTGAAAAAGTGAGTTGAATTGTAACTGTTCTCTTGGTCGTGTCTCTGTTTTTCTGTTAACAATAAAACGATTTGTGAGCAAAGCTAACACTTTGAAACGTTTCGGGACTATTATAATTTGATAAAACAATTCATTTTGAGCAAAATGCAATGCTTCAACTCCTTTCATGACCTTTCCTTATTGAATAACATATAATTAACAAAAGGTCAGCATGCCTTTTTCTCGTGTCTATTGATAATGTCAGTGTTTTTCTTTGCGTGCTTGTTGCTTTGGGATCTTCTTTAAATTGAATTCGATTGAATGAAGACAAGTGATGAAAATTTCCAGAACACTTTATCAGAATGGAAATTCTTTTCTCTGCCAAAAATTTTCATTCTGATAAAGTCTTGCATTGATGATTTAGGGGTCCAGACTGTGACTATAGAATCTTTTTAGCTGCTGAAATTATTTGCATTGTTATCGCTGAGAAGAAAACTTGAAATGTTAACCGTTCTAAATTTATGTTCCTAACGATGTATCACGAAAAAACCTTAATCAAAGTTAATATATTACATCTTTTCTTATGTAAAACTTTCAAAACTACTCAATTTTATTTATTGGTTACGTCAAAATATGCGAAAAATACAATTTTTTCGTCAAGTATTTTGTTACTACTTAAAATACTGTATATTTAGTGCAACCTAGTTTCAATTAATATTTTTTCGATTGGAATCTTAGAACTAGAAGAAAGAGAGGCGTTGAAACAAACTACACTGACGTCATTTCATCATCACAAATGAAAATAAAAACCGATTTAACATTTGTGTGACTTTTACCATATTGGGATTATCATCTCGTTAGATCTTTTTAGCGTATTCTATGGTCAAGCTTGTTCATACTTACAGTTTGAGCGAAGATATTTCACTGGATTCTTAATATTGCGAATCAAGTTGTCTCATCAGAACCAGATTTTCGCTTAGAAGTTTGAAGATATTTTCTTTCCATCAAGTTGTACATTTCAGCTGGCGTACTTTCTAGGCAATATGCCTTATTCATCGTACGTTTATAATAGTTAAGTTATCAATGACCTAAATAAGTTCAAAATTTGCACCAAAACCTTAATCCGCGTGAGATTTTTAAAGTGACATTATGAAATAATGTTCGACTTTGTTCACATGAAACTTTTTCTACAAAATATTTTACAGCTAGTTTTTAGCAGTTGATATTTGATTTAAAAATATGAGAGTATGAGCATGAAAAAAGTTTTATATTGCTTTGTATTATTTGTAGTCTCACATTCAATTGCATCGAGTATTTTTTGTTGTTAAATGCGTCAATAAATATTCTCTTTTATAGAAAGAAATGTATAATAAAATTTAGTTTTGAATCCTTATAATTCCGATGAACTAATAATTGTTCTAGGTAGTACCAGTGAAAAGTTGATTTCAGTACGGGACTTTGTTGCTATACAATATCAAAATCCTTTGGATGAAACAAAACAAAATAATGTTATGCCGTTTTTCTCAGAAAAATAATTAAAATAGTTACAAGATTGAAAACAATTGTATTGTTGATGTGATGAAGATCTGCATGTGATATTACGTTCACCATCAAGCGATGATGAATGACGCAAAAGAAACATTCAAAACGCAATTTTTTTTGTATAATTGAAAAAGCACTTACTCATTTTGATGAAGTGGATCGACTGAGTGAATTCTACTCGGAATCACATCAGGACATTCGACGGATATATGTCACCACATGATGGATTCTCTTCGACTTCAAATGCTTCAATTTGAATTAGTAAAAAAGATTCAAAGATTGAAATTCTCGACAAATATTCATTTCACAAAAATACAACAGTTGCAGCAGATGCTGAAGTAATTACAATTCGAAACATTTTTTCCATATCGTGTGCTGATTTCGAGTAGAATAAAATATATGAAGAAATTACTGTTCTCAAGAGATTAGCATCGGGTAAGCAAAAATTCATTCACAATTGTGTATTATTTAACATTAAATGAAAGAAAAGTAAGCAATAAATGCGATCCCATAAAAGTATTCAATTAAAAACGTCAAGATTTCGTATTAAACCTAATCTTCAACATAATATCGAAGAAACTTGTACTACTCATAAGAGCATTTTTACTCGTTACTTATACTCAAGTAATAATAAAGGATAGTCATAAGAATCATCTTGATCAATAAATTCATTTATTAAAACATAATTTTACATCTAGATTTTCTAATGGTCTTATCATAAAGAATTTTTTGAGTCTAAAAAATGATTTTACCACTTAGATGATTTGAATTATGAAAAATAGTCATCGTTGCTTACTTTTTATTTATTATAAATAGGGCGTTCTCTCAGGGCACTCACGCTCGCCAGGATTCTGTTGGATTCATAAAATGCTGATCGGTTCCTGCTGACAGTTGCCGGAATCCTTGCTCGCGGATATCACTGAATTCCGGCCAAATGCGGGCTTCATTCAGCACTGAAGAATTTTTATCGCCACTAGTAAATTAAAAGCGTCTAGATCTGCCACGAATTCTGTTAAATATTATATCAAACCTGCAAAATTCGTAAGAATGTTTTTTTTCTTCAATTAAAAAATTCTATTCAATTTGAGTTTGTTAGAAAAAGTATTTCAAGTTTCACATTTTGTGTTCAATAGAGGAATATTCTACAAATTTTCTACGAAAAAAACTAAAGCTTCTTCATTGTAATGATTAGTGAAAGATTTTTTTCTACGTATTAATTAAAAATTTGTTACGATATTTTAAAAGTTCATTCTCATATATTCGTCAAAAGGAGTTTTTGAAACCGCTTGAAAACTTTTTTTAGCTTAGAGTTTAAGATACTAAGCATACGTTCACCTTACTATCCAATACTCGCAGACTCCACATTTTACAGTTGAAATCAATTCTACTGTTCGTGAGATAGTCACTTTTTGTTGTGTTTAAAAGAGTATCTTTATAAGAATATTCTATTTAGTAAGGATATTCTTTATTTTATGCTTAATGTTCAGTTGTTCGTGTCATAATAACGCCATTTGTATATTTCTTTAAGATACATTTTGTCCATGTTAAATATCTGTTTATTAATGATGTAAAATTTGACACGAACAAGTTCTCCTAAAACATTTTTCTATTGATACGTAGATTTTAAGAAAACAAATTTTTTGGTTATTTTACAAATAAAATTTTCACAATAATCGAAATGGTATTTTAAAAGGTTTCTTTCATATAATTCAATTCAGTAATGAAAAAAATATAAATGTTTGTTTCTTTTTCTTGAATAGAATATTTATCTCAACTGTATATATATAGGTATATTTAACGACGAATAATAATCAGAAGAGTAGTTTACTTATTTCCTCGCTGATCTATTGACTTTTAAATCTTAATAAAAATGAATTATTCAATAGAAATATCAGAATCCGATTAGATTAACATTGAAAGTAAAAATTTTGATTTGTTTTATTTAGTTGAATATGATGATGCTGATTTTTGTATGCACGATCCAAAGAATCTGTTTCATCAAGATTTGATTGTACTGCTTGATGTCTACCACGGTCATGTAAATTATCAATTGTATCAAGTGAATTTGTGTTTGTATAGGTTTACTTCAGAATATTCCATGTGATAAACTAGTATTCCTATTTTATTATCTCTTTACTAGTAGTGAGCTGATGCTGTTCTCGAAAATGTTTCTATTCTATACTTCATTGTTTAACTAAATATTGATAAATAAATTTCTTTTGTGTTTTATTTTACTTCTCTACAGAGTGAAAACTTTGGTTGTTCTATAGGATTCAGAAGAATAAATAAAATAGTCAGCGACATAATAACAGATATAAATTTTAAAAAAATATTCTAAATTTACATGAATCGAAATAAACTATGCAAATATAAATATCGTATCAATAATCGAATGATATTTATCGATTCAAAAACTTGTGTTACACTCATAGAAGTCGATTACATTAGTCTTGAATCAAGATTTTTTTATTCGATCTATTGTTGAATTATTTTATGACCTTGAATCTTCAAAAAAATAAGCTATGAGAGTGCAGCTTGAAATAATAATTTGGCAATGATTTGTTTTCTTCTATATAGCATTACAGCATATTGTTCATATTTGTCTTTTTCTCTTGTATTATGTCAAGTAATTAATATGAAAACTCTTATGAAATAATCAAAGAGAGTACCTACTCTTTTTTCTCTTGAAAATACATTGATTGAATTCATTGATAATACAATAGAATTTAAACTTAACAGCAAATTTTACAAAAGAAATTTAAATGCGAATGTATATTTAAGTGTAAAACTGAACGTTACAATCTTTGTACAAACTAACTAAAAACATGCCAGATAATTAATATAGATAGAGAAATAATCTATGAAAATAAGAATAATCTTTTCAATAAAGCAAGGACATAAATCTTACAGTTATTACTCAAAATTTTATCTCTAATATTCTGCTAATGTAATGTGGAAAGTTACAATTTAAATATAATCTACATGAAAAAATTGTCTTACATAACAATTTCAAGTTGAAACACAATATTTGTTTTCACGTACGAGAATTTCATTGAATTCAACTTTCATATTTTAAATAAACTCTTATTCAGCATCGAAAATTTATACCAAATCAGTCACTTTATTGAATAATATAACACCTTTTTTTTGCATATTAATATGAGTCTCAAAAGATGAAGCTCTAAAGTTAATTTTATTTAAATTAGCTTTTTTTTCATCATGAGATTAAAATAATTGAAATAGTCAAGATTTTATTTTTCTCTAGTAATTACTACAACAAATTTATTATCTTTTATTTAAACGAACCATACGTCTATTAACTGTACGAGAAGAAAGTCAGATTGTTGAGACCAAGTTTCTGTGTTCTGTGATCTCATCATCGGATTATTAATATATATATATATCTTGATTATACTATTTTCGAGGTCGTGTAAACTAACAAAAACCAAAATCGAAAGAAAATATTTCGACTTTAAGAACATGAAGTATACAAACATTGATTTTTTTCCATTGATTTCTTTTCAATCAGTGAACCTGCAAGGCCAAGTTTTGTAACGTTGTTCAACCAATGTCTGATTGAAAAATAATAAATTTTACGTCTTTTGACAGGTATCCACTTTTCTTTGATGCCTATAAAAGAGAAAAAGTCCAGTATGCGGCTTCTGTCGTTTCTGTGTCGCCATCTTCTATGTTGCAAATCTAAGACAAAAGAGAAAAGAAAAAGAAAAGAGTGACTCTACCTTTTCTCTTCTTTGTTCGGCTCTGTCGACATCACTGTGCTAGGTGAAGGTGATGGCATTACGATTTCGAGAGCACGCATTTACACGAATAATTGAAATCTTGAAAGAGAAAAAAGAGAGCAGAAACCCGATTACTATACGCATTTATATACACAGCGAAATCTGCATAGCTATCAATAGCTAACACTATTGAATCGTATTTTCTCCATCTTGTTATTGTTGTATAGAAGTTGATAATCAGATATTCAAGTTTTCTATTTTTAAGTAAATAATTCTTTGTCAAATGCGATCGAGTGAAAAGTATCATCAACAAAATCAATTGTGGATAGGAGCAAGTAGAAGAAGGTACGCACTATAGTATATAATTATTATGACTAATTCTTGACTAATAGTGTTTTTTCACATTGATTCTAAAAACGAATACACACGTATATATATATATATATGTATTAGAAAACAAAATCTAATATATTTATTGTAAATGATTTTCTTTATCACTATAATTTTGTGATGTTTGTTTCTTAGATCTTTTTTTTATACAAATGAAAAATTGTATATTCAGACGTTGAATTAAACTGAATAAGCATATTTAATCAAGGACATATATGTTGTCAAACAAACGAGAGAAAATAAAACTAGCGTAAAGTAATTATTAACAAATAACATAACATCGGATCGACACTGTATGTAGTCGTCTCTATTATGTAAAAGAATAAACTTGAGAAGAAAAAAGTTATGAAATGAGGCTATGAAGAACAGGTGTGTCTCTATATATAAATCTTGTTCTATGAAAGATCTTATTGAACACATATGGTTATAAAGCAATTTTCTCTCTTTCCTTATCTTTTATTCAAGACATGGCATTTACTGGTTTATGTTTTGGTTTCTTACATTTTCCTGACATACACGCACTTGAACGAATAGAGCTGATAAAGAATAAATGAGTTGGTTGCCTGGTATCTTGACACCTCAATTTTTTCTTCACTCTCACTCTCTTCTTTCTTCCTTCCTTCTTCTCGTTTGTTCCACGAACTGATTCTCATGTTCATCATGGTCGGTGTATGCGTGCGCCCGCGCGTGTGTGTGTGTGTGTAATATGTGTGACAGGATAACACCATTTTTTAAAACATCCTCCTGGCGGATATCCTGTCATCTTTAATCTATTTTTCTTGCTTACTTTGAGAGACAACGGTAGATTTTACTAACTTTTGGTCTTATTCAATCCTTAGGCTTCCTTTTGATTCAACTTCAGCTCGCATGTCATCATCAACGGCATCGAAGCGTGCAATTTCCAACGCATGTCGCTATCCGCAATCTAATAATCATCATGACATTTTTCTTAATAACTCTTCATCTTCTTCGATTACAGAAGGTGAAGGTGACGTAAAAACATACGATGACACTATGCCTAATAATGAATTAGGTGAGCCGGATAAACGTAAAAATCCTCTTACAAATGGGCATCATTCATCGATGAATAATCAAAATAGTAAAAAAGATATTGGTGCTCCGATGATCCAAGAATTAATTCAATCTAACATGGATCTTAAGTAGGTACTCAAAGAGAAAAAGAGGGAAACGTGCATTTAATGTGTTTGTTTGAGACTCATTATTTGTTTTGCTCGTTCGTTTAAATAGAAAAGAGATTCGTGAAATCCGACGACAAATAAAGAATAATAACGGAGCAAGTAAACAACGTATTGATCGAGCAATGACCAAAGCAAGTAGTTCGAACAAAATGAATGTAAGCGCAATATTCAGAAGAAAAGAGCAAGAAATAGTATTCAAAATTTAGACCTTGGATGATGATGTTTGTTCATTTGTACCTTCTGAGCGTGATTATTACGATGATCAATCTACAACAATATCAAAATTACAACAATATAAAACAGAAGCAACGGTAAAAGACGAAGATTTTGTTTTATGCAATAGAAAAACATCTTTGATATAATTTTTAGGTTTATAAGCAACAACTTGATACATGTCAAGAGACAATCGCTCAACTTCGAAAGACAATTGAGTCAATGGAAAGACGCATTGAACAAGTGTAAATTAAAATTTTGCCGTTTTTTTCCTCTTTAGAACCATGTGTTTTAGACGAATAATCGAACGTCGACAAGTGACAAATGCATCTGATCCAAATGAGAATTATTCAACAAATACGAATAATAATACAGATCATCGAGTAAACTATCTTGATTTTGTATTTTCTTTGAAAACAGTTTTTCCAAGGTTAAGTGAAAGCGACATCATTGTGAAATATTTTTCGTGTTAAAATATTCAAAATTGTGTTTTGATCAAATGATTATTCCATTAGAACTTTCATTTAAATTCTGTTTCATACTGTTTTGAGAAAACAAAATTAATATCTAAAAAAACAATAGCTCTGTTGTCTTATATCTATGTGAGTAATTATGAGAATACATATTACAAATGATCAGTATAAAAACATTATATGACACGTTTTTTGAAATTCTTTTATATATAAAATAACTGACATGTTTGAAAGTAAAACTAAATCTTTCAAATAATTGATATTAAATATTGTTGTGTCTTTCTAGTTCATCCACGAACTATTTCATTTATGTATTAAACATGCACCACGATCGTCAAAATCAAAAACAGCGATTCCCAGTCATCAAGATATGAAAACATTTATAAGACAAACATTTCATGATTTTATCACAACACCCGCACCCGCACCCGCAATTAAGGTATAGTATTTATTTAAAACTCTCTTTGAAATACTGACTGTGTTCGATAAACTGCTTGTTGAAGTGTTTCTATACGTTCACGTATTTGAGGTTTTATTAAATTTGTACCTTGTCTTAATTCAAACGGAACACGAGTAGATGATAAATGATTAGCTTGATTATTATTGTGATTACTATGAATAAATGCAGTAACAAAGTATTCTTTAGAAATATTTATATGAATGTTTGATTTTGCTATGCGACGACCAACTATAAACCGTTGCAAATCAGGATCATTGTTAACTAAAGAATGTTGTTCATAAAACAATGAATTTTCTTGCATTGTTAATAAAGAATTTCATTCATTTATTTAGATAGGCGCCAACAAAAATCATGAAATCGGTCATTTTATTTGTAAATGTTCAGATCGAGTAAGATAATATTCATTTATTTTTCGATTTATCAATCCCTTTTTCTGTTTCAATTAAGATTCATGCTGAACACCGTCCGACCTATCAATATTGCCTGACTATGATTGAACAATGTCAGTCTCTATTTGATGTAACATGTTTTACACAATTACCAACAGCACTTAATGAATTGTATTATCGACATGGTGAATTAACAAATTTTAAACGATCCATTGCAAGTACACTTGGTATTACAGGTATGAAAAGTCATCAAAAAGCAAGGGAATGAATTTTAAAAAATTTGCTTTTCTTCAATTTTTTACAGAAAACTCAAGATTGGTTAGTTGTCCAAAATTAATTAAAACCTTACAACAAACACTTGATGATACAAAATCAAATGAATTAGTTACATTTAAGAAACTGGCAAAAATTAATGATATGAATGAGTAAGAATAAATCATATAAGTGTTAATCGCCTAATCTACTCAGTGTGTACTTATTGATGATATAAAAGCAATTTTCCATCATTTTCATGGGATAATTCTCAAAATTTATTCGGTTGAATTTAATTAAAGCTAAGATAATCATTTTTCTATATTCATGCAAATCTATTATTTTAATACAACTCTTTTATATCTCTCGGCTACAGGTCAATAGTTTGAACATAAACTTTCAAGTCTTATGATAATTTTTCTATTTTAATAAAAACACAATAGTACTAATAATTCATCTAGATTGATTTTGTTCTATAGAGCTGTTTCAAAAATTCGTTCCTATGATGATTTCGTCCCTTATTATCATCAATTCATTGAACAAATGGCTAGTTTACTAGGTAAACTCAATTTTGCTTGCGAAAAATATTTAATTCAATGAAATTCTATTTTTTAGAAGTGTCAAAAGGAGATGAAATAATGCCAGCTATAAAAACGCTTAAGTTACTCGCACATGGCGAAAGTGATCGGCCTGATAGTAGTTCTCGACGATCTCATTCATTAATGCGTGCATCATCATTAAATTCACATAGAATTCCTCTTGAAAAAAATTTAACGCATTCAAAGTCACTTCGAATACTATCATCTAAGTCGGATATTGACGAATCAAATGGTAAACAATTACAGAGTTTTCAAAACCAAAATGAAGAGAGTGAACAACATGCAGATACAGATGACGGAGATTCTTAATGAATATAACCGACGCTTAATTTGTGTGTGTGTGTTTTTGCTTATGTGTGAATTTTAGAATAGATGTTGCTTTTTTAAAATGTATCTAATAACTTTGATTCTCAAAACAAAACAAAATTCTCATATGATTTGAGTTTTTGCCATTGGACATGTTCATTAATATTCAATTGTCTATAATACAATTTAGTATAGCATCTTTTTTTATACAGTTCATCATCAATTTAGGAATATTTTATGACAATAATCTATTGTATCGAGTTACTTTTGAATATATTAAATTGTTAAAGATAAGAATATAAAAATCTCGAGCGAAAACAATTGAATGTGAGATATGTATCATCAACTTTCTACAGTAACTATATGCAACGTTACGTAGTATATGATGTAATAAAAAGAGAAATGTAGTCATGATGCATACATAGATGGAATTAAAAAATTTTAATATTCCAACTACTCGATTGGAAGACTTACTTTATTCTTGTTAAATCTTTTTTCACAGATTTTATTTACGGAATCTAATACACTTCAATCTTCGCATTGTTCAACAATTCATCAAAAGTTAATCAGCAGCTTTAACAGAATCATGATATATTTCGTCAAGGATTTTTGCATTAAAAGGCTTTATTACTTAATTTCTTATAATATTTACGTAAGTGCTTTTACAAGAACAAAAATTCTGTGAACTTAAAAAATAATGAAAAATCAAACTGAACTTGACTTCTCGTTTCCTCTTTTTGACTCTAATATGTGTGTATGTCAATAAGCAATTGCATATAAGAAAAAAAATACGAACTTTCAAATAAATGCTAATCAATGAAAAGAAACGTTTAGCAAAATGCTTGCGATATTTCAATATTCAAATTACATGTTGAAAATGATTGTCAATTCCACAATTGAATTAAAACAATGCTGAAGTATCACAGCACAAATAAAGAACATGCTGTGAAGATTGTTTTCTTTGAATTCATTTTTTTAAACTGATGAAATTAAGTTCGTATGCTGGGTTTCAAGTGTCACTCAATCAGAAAATTTACTGTTGTATAAGACAAAATTATTTCATACTAAAAGATTTACATTCTTGCCTCTAGGACGACATTTGCAATGTATACTTCAAGTAGACAAGCAAACCTTCTAGTTCTCTTCCTATAACTCTCTATAAAAAAAACACAGTACTCTAATATATTCATACAGTAAAATTAGCAGACGAAAGTTCCTCGAACAAAAAAAAACTTCTCAATACTATATTAAAGCAATACTTAACGTTTTCTACGAGATATTACATGTACGAAGAGTCAAATTAGTTCTTTAGTTTTGACTATTAGATATTCAAAGAGAAGACTGATGTCAATAGACTTATGTCACAATGCTCTTTAAGAAATTTCATTACTTGTATTCTTTTAAAATGAACTTTCGATTTGCCATTACGTTATAAATTTTGTACCATAAATGTTTCAAATAGAAATAGAAACACATTCGAAACCAAGATTTTTGTTTCATTACTTTTATGCATCTATTTCTTTCTTGGATAGTTCGAATAAATCTACTAAACTCTTTTCTAAACTGTTCGAATGCCTGATTTTCTTTCTTCGAACGTATAATTACTAAAGTTCTACGAATCAGATCGTATGTGTTAATACATATAACGAACAACAAAAGATAAATACATTCTCATTTTTCGATTACGGAATTGCTTTTCAAGAAATGATCGCCTAGGGAAACGTACGACTGCTCTATGCAATTTTAAAAGCGTTTGCTTATGCTTTGTGCAAACAATTGCTATTTGATTTTTAGTACTTAACAAAAATTTTTATCGAAATCTGTTTTCAATACAAAGCTATTTCGATGAAAACCATTTATATTTCGTAAGTCTTCATTTAAACGTAGACGACTGTTCACGGAATAGAATGAACACCCTCAAGACGTCTATACGAAGAAAACTGAGAGTTTTTCATGTCTTAACAAAATCTGCTGGCAATCGATCTTTAGTATCATATTCGAGGTGCACTTCAAGAATAAATATTAAATCCTTTTAAGAATTATGATGGATTCATCATATTCCGTATGAAAATATCACTGATTGCTTTTTAATTCTGCCCTAATGGATTTTTAACATCAATTATGCATCGGTATGTTGCTGAGTGACGATTGACAAACATGAATACCTGAGCACAGGTGAATTCGTTAAAAATGATAAAAAAATTCATATTTTTGCAAAGCAATTAATCGGTGAATAACATAAATCATATCAAATGAATTTAGCAACATTAATGAAATAAAATATTGATATTTCATTGCATGATTCTTTTTCTGTACATATATTTGATCTGGTAATAACATTCTGCAGCAATTCATTTAAAAAAAGAAGAAGAGAAGTAGAGAAATCAATGGTAAAAAATAAATTTTACAGAATATAATGAATACAAACGAAGTCCTATTTCATAATCGAACTATTCTTGAATATGGAAGTAACAACAAAAAATACTATCTGTTAGATGACCTAATTACAAAATTATGTTGATTTTTTTCTAATGACGATTCAATTATTTAATAGGGTCATAGGAATATTAGAAATATTCAGCACTGAAGCGTTTTTACAAAAAAAAACAATGGACAAATAGAACAATTATGCTTCTAGTCGTTGGATTAAGAGCGTCTAAAAAGAAATAAAATAAGTATTTTTCATTTATTGAAAAAAGATAAGGTGCATCTACTTTTTCATTTTTGCTCTTTCGTTGGACTTAGTTCCAGAAGAAATAGGCGATGAAGTACGAGGCCGCTTATTATTCTGTATTTCATTTTCATCCGTTCTTCGACGTAATCGTATTATTGCAGACATGTCTCCATCATGATTCGTACTGAAAAATTTAAAATATAAGGTCAACTTTCAATTGATTGATCATTATCATAGCTGTAACTACAAATAGAAGCAGTGTGTTGTAAGAGTCTTTCTCGAGCAACCTACATTCAGGAATGTTCCGATTAGGATTTTTCACAAAATGGCATCAGAACATTAAATCAGAACTTTCCATGCAAGAAATAATATTGAATTATAGTGTAGTTTTGCAAGATACTCGAGGTATTCCATGAAAAACTTCAATTTCGATTCCTCCTCGGAAGCAAACATAAAACAATTCAAGAAAGTTTTCTATTACAATAGAGTGTACTCTCTCGTAATATACATAGCGACGCAAATTTCGAATAAGCATAATGGAAAAGCAATGATTTTCGTAAGACTCAAAACATCGGTCACTACTAGACTTATTTTATGGATATTTAACAAATAGACCGTACCGTTCAGACTATTAACATTCGATGAAACACACTAATTAAACGAAAAAATATATAAACTCAGATGATTAGTTTTTTTATGTTAGAGTGTCTCATCTTCCTAGTATTCTAAAGCCAAGATTGTTGTCAAATTTCGAACCATCACTTTTAGAATGGCTATGAAAGAATGCAAAACAGGAACAACTATTCTTCTTCTTCCATGATAAAACGACGCTTAACGATTACAGGAGAATAATCTAATTGGTTAGTTTTATCAAATTTTTATTTTAAATTTTGCGATCTAATTCAATTCTTTAGAACAATAAGAAGCAAATTCTTCAAGACTAAATAAACATCTATACAATGAAAGTAAGCTGAGAGCAGTATAACATTAAAGTGATGTTCTAACTTTTGCCACATTTATAATCTTACCTGATTGGCGTTGTATTCAAATCATTAATCGAATCTCTTAATTTTCTAGAGCTTTCATCTTCTAAAAACTAATGTTTAATCATTAATATATGTAAATACTATTTACTTCTAGATCCTTGTTGGTTTTGATCTATACGAAAAAAAAAGTTAAGCTTTTCTTTTCTTTATTTGAAAATATTTTTTGAATTAAAATATACTTGTATGTATATGTTCATCGCTACATTTATGACCGACTTCCATGCTAAAAATAGCTCACATAGATAGCAAAAACCAAATAAATAAAATATACCCTTTATCAAACTGAACACGTTCAAGTCGAACAACGATTCTTGGACTAGACTCAGCATGAATATCTGTTGGCACAACTATATATGATCATGAGTAATTAGATTAAATTTCTTAAAATAAACGAAATACAAACTTTTTTCTTTCTTCATCTGAGGAATATCGTTCAATATATTCAAATCAATTTTCTCCGTGTTGATTTCTGCTGCATCGAATTCTATTTCGTTTTTAACAATAACTATAGAAATAAGAATAAACGTATATTTGCATAAAATTTGTTTCTCTATTCAAATGATTATACCTTTATCATTTTGAAAAATTGCTATAGCTCGTTGAAGTTTCTCTAGTACAGGTCGAATTTGTTCAATAGGAATAGCCGATGATGTATTATGTACTAATATAGTTGATGCTTGATGAACAAGTTCTCTATAGGATTGAATATGCTGTTCAAATATTCTTTGATAAATTGTTAAAGAATTTTGAAGTTCTTCACGAATAGCATCAGTTTGTTTCTTTTCTTCTTCATAAAGAACATTATGAGAATTTAAATGAAATAAACACAATAAACGATCACAATGAATTGAGCATCGAAACAATCGTACTGCTTCATGAGATGATGATGATGATTGAATACATGCTGGATCTTCACAATGTCCTAGAGCAGATAACATTATTATCTAAAAATGAATATGTATTTTTGTTTATAAATTCTTTCATCAAATCAGAACAACTTCTATAATCATAATTTTATTAGTCAAATTCGTACGCTTTCATCTAATTGTAAATAGCGATAACTATTAACATACGTATATAGATAACTTTGAATACTCTAAATTTAAATATTGTGACATTCGAATCACTTCTACTAATTGATAAATGAAAATTTTCACTTGGAGTTTCAAACAAGTTAGCTATTAAAGGGCTTACCATTGGAGAATGGAAGAAGAAGAAAACGAAAACATGCTGTGAGAACGGTTTAACTAATGAACCGTCGTCATTTTTTTTGACACGTGTATTTCAACACTTAACAAACAAAGTATATTGTATATCGATCCGTAGATAGATAGATAGACAGACAGACAGACACATATTCCTCGATTTGTCGTACATGAATCATCATCGTTCGTTATGATCGACAATAACTGTCGCCATCTGTAACTATATTACTAATCAGTTCAATCTAATTAGAAAAGCTGAACATATGTGTGTGAGTTGCCATATGGAATCAGTCCACGAATAATGAAAGCTTTATGAATTTAGACTTACACAATTGGAGGCAATTAGTTGATAAGCGACATCTGGTAAAAATTATCTCATTTGTCTCATTATTGTCACTTCAAACATTGAAGATAAAAATCTATCAACTATGACCGATAACATATTTGGGAACACAAGCATTGGAGAAAAAAATAATCGTTGTCATTATATATTAAATTTCTCGGAAAGCTCTTTCAAAATTTTATTTTTGTCATCACCTATTGACTGTTCATGTCCATAGAAATCTTTCAATATGTATCGATCATGTTAATGATCAACAAATAGTAATTTATCAAAAGTAATGGGCGTCGCTGGCTTGTTTAAATTCTATCAAACTTGATGCGACAGATTTCTTTCGAGAAGCTGTTGCCATGTAATTCATATCTCAAGATGTAGAGATAGTATATTATTAGAAATGAAATAATTATTATGAAATGGTTAAGTGCAGTAGCTAGCAATAGTTAATCATTGTCTAATTTAATTTAAACAATGGATATAAGATTTAATAAAAATATAATTGTTGTGTATGATTTTTTACTAAAAATATCGTCTGTCACTTCACAATGATGCTACTAATAGGCTCATTTTTCATCGTCTATTGAACAAAGCAGATTGACTGATGTGTCATTGCTTACTATTGCTATCTTCATGAAAATAGGATAATATATTATTCTTATACGAAAGAAAGAAATTTAAAAAATCATTAGAGATATATTACTTATAGAAAAATGTTCGAATTTGCATCTGGCCTGTAAATATGTCACCACTGATTCATATAATCGAGAGAACAAGAAATGCAATCATGGCAACCAAAATAACAACTTAATAATACACAGGCATAAGAAAGAGTAGTGAATAAGTGATACTTTTACAAAAAGGATGAATTTGTATATTGGACCATTCATTCACTCAACAATACTCACAAAACAAGTGGTTATAGAATTGTTTAAATTCTGCTTTTCATCCGTACAAATCCTACAACACTAAATGTAAAAATCAAGCAAAAACTGTAGGCTTGATCTATTCATTCATCTAGAAATTCTAATCCGTAAAAACTTGTATTAGGCCTTTTGGAAGTGGATTTCATGTTTTAATGAATAAAATTAAGTAATTTAGCAAAACAAAAACTAATAAAATCTAAAACTACTGATTATTTTCAATGTCACTTAATGGATTTGTATTTAATTGAAGTGTGTAATCTTCATTTTGTTGATCATTAATATCATTTGACGAAATAAAATCAGATCGATTCGTATGAAGATACGGTTGTGTTTGTTCTGTTGCTGCATTATATTTGACAATAATTTTCATTCGCTTATTTGATGTTTGCTCTTGATTGACGTCGTCATCAAGACTATTATCATTTATATGTGTCAGTTGTTGATATGAATCAGCTGTAAATATGGGTAGTTTTTGACGACGATGACGATGGCAAAAAGCATATTTATTGAAAATATTTATTATAAATATTCGTCGTTTTTCTCTTGAAAGTATATAAATACATGCTAAAACAATTATAAAACATGCCAGAATAAATATTGATGATGTAGATGATGATGAATTAGATCGATTTTTATTTATTTGTTGAGAGTTTTGACGACATATGCCATCTGGAATGTAGATAGTCACTTCTCCTTGCATTTGATGACAATTATTAATTTGTTTATTCAATAAACATTTATTTTCTTTTTGTTCTACTTCATCAAGAGACAAAGAAACATAGCATGATGGTGTAAGATCTTTTAACACTAATGGATTAAGCGTATGACGAAGTTGACGATATAAATAAAAAATTGAACATGAGCATGGATTATCTCGTAAAATTTTAATGGGTATATGAGCTGGTATATCAATAATACGACATAAATCATTATCAGTTAATATTCGATCAACAATTTCTAATCGTTCTAATGTCATTGATTGATTAAAGCGAAAATAAAAATCCGATGAATTCATTATTTGAAATAATAATTCACCACCTTGACCTTATATTGATAATATTGAAAATAATAAATGGAGCTAGAATTATTAGAAGAAAAAAAACAACAAGAAAATTACCTTCATTAATATTAACAAAAGCATTTGTTGCCATTTGTAATGTTCCCGATGAATGTTGAAAACCAATACGCATTGTACTTGAACGCCAAATATCAATATTTTGAATAGCATAATCTGCAAATATTAAATTTTTTCCATATTTAATCCAAATATCGAGTAATGATCGATCTTCTTGATGAAAATAATTTAATGATTGATTCGTAAAAAAAACATCTAAAGAATTTGTTATTGTAATTGATAGTTTTGATTGTGCACGTTGACTTATATTAGTAAATGCGTCCGTTGTAAAAAGAATATTTTTCGCATAACTTATTTGAAATTGAAATGTTGAATTCATATCTTGTTTTATTTGACTAAACGTTTCAGCTGGTAAACATAAATCATTTGTTATATTATATATTGAAAATATTATTGAAGATTTTACTAAAAAAGAGAAATAAATCAAAAGAAAATTCTTCTTAAAAAAGCAAAAGTAGATTACATTGTGTTATAATATCAAATAAAGATTTCTCAATAGTAAGACTTTGAAAATTTGAAAATGCTAAATAAAATTGTGATTGATCAAGTTGATGAAGATCAAAAAACGATGAATGTTTAAGTGTTGCATATTGAAAACGATCAAAACTTATGCTAAATTTACTCGCATGTTCTTGTGTAATGTGATCAAAACTATGTTCATTTAATAATACTTGTCTAAAATTTGAAAAATATAATTCGATTCTTGCGTAAGATGGCAATAAAATAGAACCTAGACATGTTATAAAAGATGATTTTCAAATGTAGAATAATAAATTTAATTTTACCTGCATTTGATTCAAATTCTAATGTATCTTTCAAGCAAAGTATTGAAAATCGAAATTCACTTGCACTATTATATTTAATACCATCAAATGCATATTGTTCTACTGTTAATAGTGATGATGTTACATTGAATATTTCAATATCAATTTTAGATTTCGGCTGCATGACCAATCCATCAAATATTCGTGTTGGTATTATTGATGATGCATATTGAGATATTTTAATGGACAATGTTCGATCTTCACCAACATCAATTTTCGAAAATGTATTTGATGAAACATTATTTAATCGAGCGAATTGTATTGTGAAAGATTTATTACTATTATAATCAAATAAATTATAATCAAGAAACAGTTCTGACGGTAATATATTAACATTTTCATCAAAAAATATCGTACTATAACGATAACATGTCCGACATTTTTCAGGTAATGATGAACATTGTATATATCCATGTGTTAAACTACATGTACATTGATGATGTTGAAGATCTTCATCATGAGGACAAAATCCGTTAGCTGTAATGCAACAACTCAACAAGAGCCACCATGAGCACCTAGTTATGAACAAGAACAACATGCTCATCTATGCGTGTGTTCGTCTGTCTGTCTGTCTACTTGTGTACAAAAATAGTTTGTATGGGCGAACAGCTCAAGTGTTGAATACGTATGTGCATGTAGTAGAAGCGGTCATTTCTTTTACTACACACTCTCTTTGTGAGACAGAGAATGAACGAAAAGAAAAAAAAGTAAAGAACGAGAATAGAGAAATGAATTGAGCATGCTTTGAATTTTGTTTCTACTGTCTACTTTTGGTCCATTTTGCACGATAACATATGATTTATAATCTCAAGTTCATTAGCAAACTGATGCCACTCATACAGACAAAATGAAGAAGTTTTTTAGCTAGTATACTTATTATCATTAGGAATGCTCTTGTACTTTCTATTTACACAAATAGTTAATTACTATTATTTGAAGGCACCATGCACGCAATACTTGTAACTCAATCAGACAAGCCCTAAGATATATCTTTTGTTTTTGCGTAAGTAGTTTGCAATGGATTAAAGTTGTATGGTTTGATGTTTTTCTTACTTAAGTTTGATTTTAAATGAATATCAAATTGAGTATAATTTGTTTTGTTTGTGAACTTTTATTTTGTGTAAAACTAAATTTGATTACTGATTTGTTGAACTGTCTTTGTTTATTTCACAGATCTGTATTAATTTTAAACTTCTTTTGAAATCAAAAATTTTCGTAAACTCATTTGTTTTCTTCTAAGAAATTGTAACTAAGTCTAATTTATAAGTAATTCATTTTTTCTTCTTCTCTATTGATCAATTCATAAAGATTCATTAAATATAGTATGTAGTGAAAATTTAAAAATCTTACTGCGATAGAATTTATCATTGTTTTCATTTTGGCATATATTTATTATTGCTTCATAATTCATTTTATTTCGTTGTTTTTTATTTATATTGTTACGCAAAAAATAAGTTAATGGATTATATTGAAATATAGATAATTGAAAGAAGAAAAGATAAATAATTATCTTCAGCAATGATTAGTTGCCTTTATCTATTGTGTAGGAGTTTTATCGTGAAATCAGAAGTTCGATGATAATTGATTTTTGTTTTCTCAATAATTAATACTACTAATAAAAGACATTTTTAAAGATATCGAAACAAAAACAAATAATCCCGAACCTTATTGACAAATTGTCTAAGCATTTGTTTACGGTTAAATCGTTCGATTGATTCTGGTTTCAGAATAAAATCGAGACGTTGTGCATTATGTTGATCAGGTTTGTTATCAACATCAATATATTGAGTTTCTGTTTCATAGCCTGAACTCTGTACTTGAACTGCATACATACCATTGACAAGTAAACGATAATAATCACCTTCTAGATCTATTGATGATTGAAGAAAGAAAAGAAATATTTCATTTAAAATTGAAAAAGTCATAATTTAATACTTGATGTAACATCATGATCAATATATTGCCAATGGTTGTTAAGTAATTGATAGACTTTGATATTAGCACCATAAATTGCATTACTTTCTTCATTTTTAATAACTCCTTTAATACCCAAATGAGTCTAACGTAAGATTGATAATTCAAAAAAATAGAGAATAAACACATGTTCTTCTCTATATTTTTACATTTACCTGCGACATATAATTTATCAATGAATTTTTATGTTCATTCCAAATAGAAGGTAAATATTTGCCAGGTGGAAATTTTCGACAACCAAGTTCCAATGTTAATTCAAAACAATTACTTGCCAGATAATTGAAATCTTGCATTCCACCACATATTGGATACCTTAACAAACAAGTGATAACAATAAACAAAAATGATCAATACTAATACTATTGAATTCTGATTTTAATTCTAATCGATTTTACTATCTGGGTATTTTTAGTGCCTATTGACATTGTGGTTCAATGAACCATAACATTTAGAGTCCAAATCAGGTTTGACGACGAAAGAACTCATTCAACTGACATTGTGTCACAGAAATGAATCATACAAGGCAAATACATATAGAGGATTGACCGAAGCATATCTTTATAGTAAAAAGAAATAAAACATTTTCATTAGGTTTTCGTCTCAATATTGCAGTGAGCATGAAAAATAGTGTTTCAGTAAACGTCAAAATCAGTGCGATCAGTGCGTCAATTAACTTCGTCTTGATAAATCGTTATTCAATATTTGTACAAAAAACTTGGCATACGTAGTCTAAACTAAATTAAAATGTTTATACGCATTTACCATGCTGCACCATTCGTTATCCCATCAGCAAAAGCTGTACTACCACAAGGGTTTGTCTGTGATTTCATTCTTTCATTAGAATATGAATAAGATTCTGCCAAGTGTCTACAATATTCATAAGAATTTCAAATGAAAAACACATCACTATGTAACATTTACTGAAATAATAGATCGTCAGATGATGATGAGTACATTTGAAGATGATTTTCTGAATCATCATATGGATAATTAGCAACGAGATCACCGTTATGTAAATTAGCTGATAATACAAATGGATTCTGCATGATCCAAAATGCAATTGCTACTGTTTCAATTTGATACTGAAAATAGAACGTATCAAATATTAATTTTGTTTTCAGGTTATTTTTGTTTTACTGAATTATTTTGACAATCATATCCTGATGTTAACGAAAGAAATGTTTCCATGTCAAGGTGATTATTTCTATGATGAGCATAATGATTATACTTATGAATAAAAGCGTCTAAATTTGGAAAATTTCGATTTAAATCAACATTGTTTGCATTTGATCGACCGACAAGCCAATTTGTTGTACCAGATTCCTAGAAGCCAATAGCAAAGTTATCATAAGTTGTTATTGAAAATTTTATCATCACACTCTTAGCATCATTGAAGTATCTTCGAATTGTTCCGATTTTGTTTCAGCCCATGCATATCGAACGGAAGTTTCCCATCCATCTATAAACAACGTTGATTTTTACGAAAATTATTTTTTATTCTTATTCAATTACCAGGATTCATCGACGGCATAAGATGTATACGTGTATTCTGAATCAAACTTACTATTTGTTCATTTCCATTCTGATATTCTTGACAAAGATGTTCAGCTAATCTTAATAATAATTCACGGCCAGTAACTTCATTACCGTGCATATTTCCAATATATTTAAATTCTGGTTCGAGTAATTCATGATTTGTTGGATCGTCAGAAAAGACGATAACACGTAATGGGCGACTTTGAACAGATTTTAATGGTAAATCATATATATAAGTTATATCAGAACATTGCTGATGTATACGATCTAGTATAATGAACATTTCATCTGTATTATGATGTTTTTCATCTTCGATAATTTGTATTTGATTTTGACAAAAACTAAGTTCGATAAGTGATGAGATAAGGATGAGATGTAGAAAATAGATCGATTTTGGAATCATTATTTTAATCTATAGAAATAAAGAATAAAATTCTAAGTAGCAGCTATCTTATTTGTTTGCTATTGATCAGAAAGAAACACGATACTTTAAAAGTTCGCCAAAAAAGAAAGTAAATTCATATAATTTCACTATTGATCAAACGTAGTCAACTATTTATTTTCTGTTTCATTAATAGGTATTCCTGAAAAGTTTTCTTTTCAAGGTCAAACTTCACCAATGAAATTCAACGCTATCACTTTCGATTGTAACGGAGAAAACACAGTCATTTTCGGTTTCAATTTAAAAAAATTCCGTAGTATTTTTATTATAATGGTTTAATTTTATGTAACTTTGCGTGACTTCTAGATCGGTAGGGTTTTCGCCCATTGCTTATATACATCTATTTTCATTTCTCGTCGTAAAAGGATGATTATTAGTACTACATTCGACGATTACACATGCATGGAACTTATTCATTTTCGTGAGCTCCTCAGTCATCGGTTGAACAATTGAAGCGATTTTATGAGTCTCACAACCCTTAGACTCGGCGCTAATCGACTCCTATTCAGAATGACACATGAAAATAAACGTATATAAACGATAGGACAAAATCTATCGATTCAAAAGTCTAAAAACAACATTCTATAAAATCAAAGCATTAAAAAAGAAATGCTGCGAAGTGTTTTTAGTAAAAACCAAAACCGAATTACTCTCACATAGCACTCAAAAATTAATAACTTTGAATTTTATTTGAAAAATTTTCCACATCAATGAAAAATTCACTGGGCTATTTATTACGTATCTGAATGAATTTCTAGAGCATTGTGTACTCATAAAATTCGAATAATATCAGAAAAAATTTATCGATAATCAAATCTAAAATCGGAGAAACTATTCTCCTTTTTTTGTAGAAATAACTGAGCAAAAATTTTGCTATTTTCTTACTGGTTTGATTTTCTTCAATAGTGTGACTTTACCTTCAATTCATGCAAATCATCAGCGTCACCGATATAGTAAGAGAGAAAAGGTGATATACACGGAATGGTAATTTTTTTCTTCAGCGACTCTTTTTCGTTTCTTCTATAACATAACCACCTAATTAAAGCGACCAATACAGCGAACTCACATGCACTATGTTTACCTATAAATAGTCATTCATGCGTTTAGAATCCCGCTCAACGAAAAATACAAATAAACATTGAAAACATAGTTAGAGGCATTATGTATGATTAGTTCATACGGCTGAAACTTACTTGTCTACATTTCTCGAACATTGACATAGAAAATAATAATATATCTACTTAAATACGTAGGATGTTCTATTCATTTTGATAGTTCAAGAGAATTTTTAGTTGTTGATTCTGGTACTACTGTAGAACACAAACACCCACATGTTTTCATTTCTATAGAACAGAAATAACAATCTATTGGTGTATCATATAATCAGTCTACTGAGACGATGTAGGCGTTCCTATCTCTATAGTAATATCTAGTGAAATATAACTCTTAGTAATTTAATCATGATACGATTGACCTCTTCTCAACTGCATCAACAACCATGTCACAAATATGAATAATAATTCAACAGAAATAAACATACTGTTCAAGCAATTGTGAAATTTGACATGAGGTAAAGTCTGCTCTTTTTCCTAACCCATTAAGATATCAATAACGAAACATTAGAAATGACAGTGATTTCGAAATATCTATTTTTTCTTTAAAAATAATTTCCTACCGATTAGCTTGCTCTGAAAACTACGTGAGAACAATGAGTATTTTTATCAGCAAAATCTCTGTGAGTTTTCACTACGGCTGACACTTGATTGAGCGTCATCTTGACCTAAATTATATGCAACAAAAATGATGATATAATAAACTCAATTAACAAGAATATTGATGCAAAACATATGCAACTTTCCTCTGCACAAGCATTAGTTTTGACCTTCTAAAAGATGATCTCGGATCAGCTCAATCAGAGTTACTAAGCAAAGTTTTATTGACAATCGAAAACATTGCACAGGTTATCTTCAAACACAATATTTATTAATTTTTTTTATACATATTTGAGGTCCTGTAAAATTAATACTCAAAATTCTCAAATTTCTGGTCGACAAACACGTAGTATTGTTTTAGTTCTAAAAAGAAAGTTTTCTAAAGAAATCTTTTCAATTTATTTAGTGAATTTAATGTCGACATTATTTCAATCACTTTAGCCTCCAAAACAAAGTAGATAACTCAATGAATTATTGAATCTAAGAAATGTAAATCAGAGATAAATATTCGATTTAGAGAAAAAACTTTCATTTGAATTCTTTTCTCATACTTGTAAATCTGAGACAATTCTCACTATATATTGTTGCATTATCTATATTTTAATAGGCATGTGGAAAAGTGATTTCGAATCACAAGTTTTGTTTTCGATGACCTAAGTAGACGAAACAGAATATCAAGTTTAATATTGTATTTTTAAGAAAAATTTCATCTACTCAAAATCGATATTGAATTTTTGATAATATTTCATTGAATTAAAACACACAGATTAAATGAATTTTATATTTAAGAGAAATTGAAATTGAAATTCAAAAATAATCAACAAAATTCAATAGAGAAAAATAAGAATAAAATCATAGTATTTTCACATGTATTCACAGAAAAAGAATAACAAAAAAAATTTTACAGAGGTTTTTGTTTCTTTCGTTACGTAAAAACGAATGTGTATCTGTTGAAATAAATAGCGTAAGTTTGATATATATTCAAAATAATATTTATTAACGTTTCCTAAATTGATTGGCGATTAGAACAAGTCAAAAATTATTGGTTAATTTATGTAATTGAACAAAGAATTTCTATCTTTTAATTAGATCTTTATATTCAACTAAAATGAGTCAGAATAAAATTATTCAACTAAGTCTATGGATGCATTTAATCTATTAAATCAATTATTTTCCGTTCAAGATCGATTCAAGTTGTTTGGATATTTATCTATATAAGTAAAAACAAATATCTATGATACTTCTCATGTAGTTTACCTCACTATAAATTGATCTTCTATGGGAAATACCTTTATAAGTCATCATGATTTTCGAAATAAATTAATATCAAATTTATTAAAAGTTATAAAGATTTTCGTTCGCAAATACCTCAATTAATAAATACTCGTTAGTCTTGTTTAGTTCAAGAGAAATAAAGATTATGATGCTGACAACAAAGCAAATTTGAATAAAAACAAATTAGGACATTATTATACACACAAAAGTAGAGAGAGAGAGAAAGAACGAAAGAACAAACTAACTAAAGAGAATGCATTCATATAGTTTTATAGAATGAATGAATGAATGACATTTAGAGTATCACATAATATGTATGATTATTATTATTTTTTTCACTCAAAGTAAGCATCATGAATTCGAGCTATTTCACGTAATATTGATGTTTGAATAAGAAAACCTCTGGTATTGTTCGTCACATCTTTCCATAAAGACATACCCTAAATAAATCGATAATATAAATAGTTATTTCATTTTTAGATACAAAAAAAGAAATAAAAACATACATCAGTACGCAAATTTGGAAATACTATGGATGAGCCATAATGAAAATTCCATATTTCTGCTTCTGTCCAAGCATTATCTGTATTACGAATATCATCAATATATCCTAAAATAGCAACATATAAAATTAAAATAATAAAAACGAAAAGAATTTAATCTTTAACTAACCTCGATAGATCATATGAGATTCAAATCCAGTCGGTCCAAGCGTACCAGTAGATGAGCGAGCAAATGATTCGAAATGCTAAATATATATATATATATTGATTTTAATTAAATATAAAAACAAATCAAAGTAACAAAATTTTACTTCTATCATATCATTTTCTTCTAATGATAAACTATGTTCAGAATCATTATCTTTAAAAGCAAGTTTATTAAAACTACGGCATACAGCACCATAGGGAGATTCAACACCTAAAATTTTTCCCTAAAAAATCAAATATTTAATTCGCAAATAAAATTTTGAGAAAAAAAACATACTCCTGGTAATTTCCAATCATTTGTAAGCTTATCCTTAAACACTAAGGCTTCTAAAATACGTTGTCCATCTACAACAGCAAATTGACCACGATGTGATTTCCATCGTGTTACTACGGCCATTATAGATTTATTTGGTCCCCATCGAATTAATGCACCGCGACCACGTATACCAGTGCGACCCATAGGATTTCTAAAATGAATGTTAAACATTTATATTTGAAGTTCTAAGATTTCTTATATTCTTATACAAAGGCACTGCTAGTTGATTATCTAAACGATATGTTGATGATGTTTTATCATCGCCAGCACCAACTGTCCAAGTAGTTCGATCGAGAATGATCTAAAAATATCGATACGATGATTTCATTTGAAACGAAGAGAAATAAAAACCTTTCTTCCATCGGATAGTTGCATTTCAATTGTTTGATTCCATTTATTATCTGTGAATGGAATAGTAAAATCATTTGTTACTGTTGTTACTTGTGGGCCAACAGCTCCAAATAGATCTGGTTGAAAAAGTGAAGTTGGTGTTATTACAGTTGCTTCAGCAGCTAATTGGGATTCATCATCACTATCAAAACTTGATTTTAACCTAAAATAATATTAATATTTAATTGTTTAACTAAATAAAATAATACTAACATATTTGGTTCAACGAATAGTCTTTCAATATCTTGAAAACATTCATGTTGTTTGGGTAATGTAATGATTGCTGGATCATACAAATCAAATGGTACCTAAAAGTTTTATTTTATTATTATTTGTTTTATTTATATATTTTTATCTCGAACAAAACTTAAACAAAAGGAGTATTATAAAAGCTCACCTCCCAATGAATATGTCTTTCAGTAACAGGAAATCGTGCTCGATTTGTATAAATATATGGTGATTCTCTCGACAACATATGAATAAATTTTCGACATTCAGGTAATGAACGATCTTCTTGATGAATAGCTGAACGAATTTTTTCAAGTAATATATGCGAATCAACCATTAATTTTTCTAATGAAACAACGCGATCATTGATTTGTCGTACAGATTTTCGTTGTACATCCATATCTTTTTGTATATTAGTTACACTAGATTTGTTGTGTTCAAATTTTAGAAAAAAATAAAGAAAACTTAAATTTCATTTTACCTATTTGTTAGACAATCGAGTTTTTCTTGTACTTTATCAGCTTCTTGTGTTTTGGCATAATATTCTTTAGCTTTATATTTCCAATATAAATTAGCTTCACTATCTTCCCAGGAGCGTTTATCCAATTCCTTAAAAAAATATCCAATTCAATGAGCAAACATAAAAATATCTATTGTACGAACAACTTTTAGTCTTTGATTTTCTACAATGGCTTTACATGGTTTACAATCAAGTAAACGTCCAAAAAACGAATGCTCATGTGGTGTTTTAGTTGCTAGTCTATTGATGCCATTTAAATTACTTTCAGAATCACTTTCCACTATAAAAAAAAAGTCGAACAATGAAATTTTATTTATTGATTCGATGTTTATTTTTACAAAAACAAATATGAGTACCTGTTGTCATTGATTGTGTAAGACTTAGAAGCGCAGGTAAATGTTTTTTATCGGAAGTTTTTTGAAATTTTAAGATAGATTGACGAACAATATGTGACAGTAACATCGCTATAATAAAAAAGAAAAAAATTGATATGTTTACGAAGACATTTCGTCAATTTTGTTAAATTCTGTGCAAAGGATCTATCGATAGTTTTTATGGATTTCTTCAAACTGAAAGCGCCTGTCAAGGATTCTTAGTTTCGACGGAATAATGGGATATATCTTAAGATTGTGATTCACTCATCTTGATAAACATTATTAGTTGAATGTTTTGTAATAATGTTTTGTCAATTTTTATAAAATAAATTTTCATTGATTATATTGGAAAACTTAAGATTAACTTAGGATAACGAAAAGATAAAGGTAAATTCGAAATAAAAATTGTTTTTCCAGTAAACATGAAGAAACTCCATTTATGTAAAATCTACAGTTTCCACCTATGAATATAGAATAACTCCCCCTCCCCCACATTAAAAGACCCCGGTTCTTCTATTATGTTCCGGCGTAAAAATTTTCCAGGGGGGGAGGTTTTGTATTAAGAATCGTATTTTTTCCTAATATTTATTCTGAAAGGTTTTCCGGAAAACTAAGGCGATTTTCAGGGTTTTAAGGGTGTCATTATAATTGTAAACACATTCTCTTCCTATTTCCAGCTTAAAACGCTAAGAATCAGGCATATTTTGATGGAAAAACGCTAATTAAAGTTCGTAATTAGCAAAAAATTAATTAATTAAAGGGGGTCTTCTATGCGGGGGGGGGTAGCTGAAAATTGAGATGATAGAATTTTGTACTGTAGCTGTGTTCACCAATAGATACACCAATATTCAGATATCAGTTTGTAATGGAAATAGTCTTTTTTTTCAAACATTCTTGAAAACAGAGATCTTAGCTAATTGTATGCATTTTTGTGAATATAAATTTATTCAAATTCAAACTTAAGGATATTTCTATCAATGCTAATGTCTATCTGTTCACTAAAATAATTAGATAAAATTCTTGTAACTTAACAATTAAAGATTAGAAAACAGAATTACAAAGAGACGTATGCCATACTCATCATGTCTAATCGAACAGCATCTAGATTATGTAAAATTTTTATAATTTCCTCTTCTATCCTTAAAAAGTTATCCAAAATCTTCTTACAAATATAAGAAATAACGATAAAAGGAGGTGGCAAACGTGGTCGCTTCGCATATTCCATAACGATTTCATATCGATTATACATCCATATTTGTTGAGATTGACTTTGTACTCGTGCTCCAGTTAAACTAATTTAACAAAAAAGAACATAAAAAAGAACAATTCAAATAAATGAATGAAATCAATTTCATTTATGTTAACATACCCAAACATAGCTGTTAACAGCGATGTAAGAAAACGTTTAGCTAAAAAGAAGTATTGAATTAATAAAAACCATGCTATCCATGATGTTTGATTGCATTTTGGTGATACTATTCCATATCGACGATATGCTTGAGGATTATCATCTTGAATATTAAAAAAGAATTTTTTTTTATCAGCACAACACAAAAATAGTAATGATTCTTACATTTGAACGAGAGACCATGAGATAATCGCATACAAGCATATTCTTTTTCTGTTTGACTTGTCGCATTTATTGTACATGCTTGATGCTGACTTTTTAAATCAGACATTTCACCACTAAACAATGCCATTAAGCCACGAAACACGAAAGCTTTCGTAATCAATTCTAAACTAAGCGGATAATGTGGATAAAGTACAGCTGTTATTGCAACTCCAGATGATATCATAAATATCACGAATAATTGTAAAAATGTAAAGAAATCATCCATTATCTATAATATCCGTTTTTCAAAGAACAAAAATAAAATTTTTCTTAAATAAATTACCATGCATCGAAGCCGAATCATCATTGGACCCAGTGTTGGACTGATCGGTAGAAAAATAAATAATATTCGATAATAATAATAAATTAATCCAACACCTAATATTGCTTTTGCTGTTAAAATTTGGCAAGCTATTTAAAGAAAATGAATTCAATCATGTTCATTAATACCTTTTCCTCTTTTGTTTAACTTACTGCCAAAATTCCATAGACCAATAATTCTAAAAATAAGGTAAAGCGCAAGAAATAAAGTTTGTACAATAATTTCTAATACTGCTCGTTGTAATGGTAAACTACTTTGAGACTAAAATTTAAAATTATCAATATTTTTAAATGTTTTCTTTTAAAATAGTCTTACACAATATTTTTCATAAGCCACACGTGTATTCTCGAAAGCAATTGCTGCTGTCCAAAACCAAACGAAACAATCAAGCAATAGATTTCCACATGATGGCCACAAAACAGCCAATGTAAAAAACATTAAAAATGCAAGATAAGCAACAAAATTGGTGTAAAACTTTGTTATCGGTGCCGACCATAAAACTTGAATTTCTTCAAAATGACTCATCGGTTTTTCATCAGAATTTGATGGTGCTGGTATACTCTTTTGTTGTTTCGAACTACCAGGAGAAAGACGCCCTTTGATTCGTTGAATAAAACCATTCTAAATATATATTAATATGTCCTATCGAAATAACACGAACTAACAAATTTAGAATTTCAATTTATCGTTTTGTTAGGTTTATTTGAGATCATTAATATACTAATTAATTATCAATTATCTCATAGTATTATCTTCATGAAGGTGTGTGGCTACAGTGAATTTTTTGTAAAACTTAATTTGAAAGAAGCACACACTAGAGTAGAAATATGGAGCATATCTATCCATAGACGCGATAAATACATCTTTGCAATTATTTTATTCATCAGAGTTTAACATAGACTTAACCATGGAAATATCATAAAAGAAGATTGAATTTAAGCGTTTAATATTTTGTCTTTTTTCAGATGCACCGTAATATATACCGATTAATAGTTTGTTTTTGCTTTGTATATTTTCACAATACGAGTATCAAACTTTATATCTACCATTTTCAATTAACGTCAAAAACAGAAATGAATTTCGAATGATAAAATTATCCTGAGTATAGTAATGGTGAGAATGGGTGAATCTAAGGGTGAAAAGTTATTGTGATCTTGCTGTTATTAATAATAATAGCAATAAATTCTTTTCGATAGTTATCTGTTATAAATAACAGATAAATGAAACAAATAGCTTTTTTTCTGAAAACTCAGTTCATTTTTTATATTGGTTATACCATGCGAATTAGCACTATAGAAGTCAAAAAAATTTGTTCTAAAGCATAAGCTCGTATAACGGATCCAATTAAAATATACAGCGAACTGAGACATGATATTTTTCAGAAAAAACGTTATTGTTATAAATAACAATAACAATAAATTCACACATCTAGGTCGATCAGTGTACATGAAGGTCTTTTGTGTATTACCACAGACACGCCTTCACCTCCTCCCACATCTATAATCTATGATCATATAAACTAATAATGAAATGTTATTTTTAATGTTTCTAAATATATGTCTTTCTTTTTATGCTCGTAAAAATGACATGAGCATTTTTAAGATGAAAAATCAACTATCAATAGATCTACGTATATACCAATACTATGATAATAATACTGTGAAATCATTGGTAATTATTAAATTTTTGGGAGTTAATTGAAAAATAACTTCGATAGAGTAGCAAGAAAAGATTATAGATTCTTTCATTCATCTAATACTGGCATGAACTATGGAATGTAATAATACACGAAGAAAAAACAATATCGTACGTACTCCTTGTCGAATATTGACCTCACTAACACGTTCAGTTAAAGCTTTTCCTAATAGATTCATTGAATATATTTTTAATTTAAAAAAATAATATAGGAAAAATAGCTAACCATCAGTTTTTGTTTCTGTCTCTAACGCTTCTTTCCCGTCATTGGGTAAATCATTTGATTTTTTTGGTGCCGGTGGTGCTTGTCCAATAGGAGAAAAATTGATCCAAAACCACATTGGAAATATGAAAATAGCACAACAAATAATCTAAACAAATAAAGAAGAACGATTAATATCATATTGATCTAATATTTTACTCACCTTAAGATAATCTGGACATTTAAATAAACCCCATGAAATTTCACGTGGTGTTATTTCTCCATAAAATTGTCGTGTAACCCATTTTTGACAAGCAGCATGTGCCATAAATTCCTTATTATCTGCATTGTAAGCTAGTTCAACAGTTGTCATATGACTCCAATCCTATATAGAAGTATATGATATATCTTATGAATTTTAACATGCATTTTGAAAAATTCTTACTGTATGTTTTTCATCAAGCATTTCAAATGTTCTCATGCTATCTTCGTTGAATGATTTATCAAGAACACCTAGTGCACAATCGGAAAATTCTCTATAATAAATAAAAGAAATTTAATTGAGATAAAAAAAGAAATCTAAATTTACTTCGCTTGTTTTTCTATTAGTAATCTTTGATAAGATTCATGACAATAGGGTGCCAATTTTTTAAACATCATACAACAAATTAAAGCTAATGGTATTGGTTCTGATGAACGCTTCCATAGAATTTTCGCCAGTTGATGACGATTCATTAATACAGCATAGATAATCAAATGTCGAAGAGCCTGTTTTGAGTAAAAAAAAAGAAATGAATCTTGTGGAAAAAAAGTAGTAAAATAATTTACTTTTTTTTCTGCTCGTATTCTTTGCCGTTGAACCCCTTTGTCTGATTTATCACCAAAATAAATTCCCATGGCATTACAATCCATTTCATGTTTACTAAAAAAATGGCTAATACCAGTTAAACGTTTGACAATTATGTTAAGACTATGTTCAACAAAATTTGGTGGCATTTCTTCTTCATCCTATTGAATAAAAAGTACTTGAATACATAAAAAAACAGAAGAAGAAAATATTTTTATTGTTATTTACGCCTGACAAACCGAGAATTCCTTCGAGTGATGTTGTTGTTAAAAACTCTCTATCTTTTGCTTGATTAAATAAACTAACTAATTTGTCCGATTTTAAATATCGATGTAAAACAAATTCTCGATCAAGAAATAGATCAACAAATGGTTCAAGCTTTTTACCAAGCAAAGCTTTATCAAATAATTCTATTGGAATAGAATATTTAATGTCGTCATCACGTTGAAAAATTTCTGATAAAGCTAAATCTGGTAAATTCCAATCGAGTGTTAATAGAAGATTTCGTTTTAATTGAACATTAACTTTACTACCCGATACTGTTTTTTGAGCTAAATTAAAAATAATGATATTATTAATGAAAGAGAAGAAAAACATTGAATAAATATTTCTTCATACATTGTAAAAGAGCTGAAAGAATATATTTATGAAAATCACTCAATGATGCTGTTGCACTATTAACATCAACGAATGTAAGAAATTTTCTTTTTCCTTGATCTGCGCTTTTAACGATTGAGATAACATGATTACGGATTTCATTTCGTTTAACATTATTATCTTTCAATGCAGGAAATTCTTCAAGTATACGTCGAGCTAATTCAACTTTTAAATAATTATCTTCATTTTCTCTTTCGGATCTAAATGTAAAATAAAACATTTTTTAATTGTTTTAAATTAATCTTTGTTTTGTTTTTACTTAGAACTAATTTCTTCGTACGCAAATGCAATAATATCAGCAGCAGATGAAGTTCCTTTAAGAACAACAACAGGAATTTCGTGTTGAATTTTTCTATATAAAAGTTCGATTGTTCCTGGTGTACCACGAACTAATGTGTACACCATCGGAAAGCCATCTTGACTCCATGGACTACGTTTTTTATCTGCATCGTCTAGATAGAGTAATTAACGATTTGTTTTTTTCTCTATAATGTTTAAACTTTATTCCTACCAGTTGTCGTTTGTGACGATCCAGCTTGAGATGTTTCTTGATGTAGAAAACTTTCAAAATGCTCACGAAATTTATTTGTAGCACTCCCAGCTGAATCAGTTAGTTTTTCTAGCTTATTATCGCTAGTATCTATTTTTATAGGCTTGTTTTCTGAATTATTCATTGAACTAGAACCAATTGGTTGTTCACGAATTACAATAAAATGTGTATGATCACTATTTAACGATAATTGATCACGCTTACGTGCCGGTACTTTAACTACCTATGAAAATAAATCGAAATTGAATTATTAATAAAGCACAACAGAAGATTTTTTAAATACTTGTGATTGCTCTTTTCTATGTTTAAAATCAATAAACTCTTTTATTTCATCGTCACAAACAATACCAATTAACGTTAGTGCTTTACGGTTTTTTGTTGGTCGATCTGCTTGTTTTGTCCATGCATCATCAGCTCGTCTTAATGACTATATATGAAGAAAAATGGAATAGTAATAAGTTTGTAACAATTCACTGAAAGAAATTTCATACATTTTCATCTCGAAAAGCAGATCCAATTAATTGTGGCATATCAACATCGAGTCCATTTGTTATGAACCATACTTCAGATGCGTTTGCAGCCTAAACTAGTCAATATTCTAAGTTTTTTGTGGTAGAATATTTACAGCTATTTGCAAAAATAAGATTTGCATTTTGATAGACTTATTTTTTCTAGTATTCTCATGTTTTCTAAGATAACTAAAAGCTTGAGTTATTTTTTAGCAATCGTTGATTGTCATATAGACAACCATATGAAATAAGGAAAAACACGATTATTTATGTTCTTATTAGACAAAAATTAAGATATATCTGTGTCTATGATCTAAAATAAAAATAGTCTATTTATTTTGTATTATTAGAGCAAACTCCAGGATCTTTTAGGGTTTGGGTTTACGAAAGTAAACTTCTATATTTATAATATCAATAAATGAGAACAAATATTTAGTTAAGTATTGAATTTGATTTAGTCAATGATATATTCTCGATATCAAACGATTTTTTTCGATCAATATTTCATCTTCGAACATAGACGTTACTTGAAAAAATAAATGAAAAGGTGAAAATAATCGAACGAGGACACCGAATTTTAGACATTGGTAAAATATCTAGTAGACATTGGAAAATGTATAGTAACATCATGATAGAACTCGACTGTTTTTTAATCAAAGACTGTTAAAATGCTAATATTATGAGACTAATAAAAAAAAAAGATCAATTTGTTGTTGATATTTTAACAATAGTCATGATTATTTTCCAGTATCTAAACAGTGAGTAGATATTGGTGTTTTTAAGACTATTGCCCTCAATAGAATAAGATTTTGGTGCATTTTCTATGACCTTGACATGGAAAATTATACGAGTTACGAAAAAACAAGAGAAAAATACGTCCTTCGACTGGTTATTTTTATTGATCCTATCATGAATCTTGTTTTGGCAATTTTTTATTTGTGGGCATCATAATCTAATAAAGAAAGATAGTCAAAATTTTGGTCGACCTCACTGTTATTGAGGATGATATGTATGAAAAATTAAATCTCATAGAGCTTTTTAGTACTTGAAAACTACTAGGATTTTCTTATTTAAAGAAACCATTTTCTAATATAGAAGCTATTAATGAAATTTCAGTATAGAAAACGCATAAGAGAAAGTTGAATTGTCTATCCAATGGACTAACCGAATTTAAATTAAATTCTTCGTGTCGTAGGACAACAAAAATATCTTTTTTTTCTTGCAAAAGTAAATACATAAAACCTGCAAATTATATTTAATTTGCTATGTAGTACTCATTCTGAGCTATTCCCTGGCAGATGAAACCGTACAAAGAGGATAGATTTCAAAAGAAGTACTAGGAAAGTCGTACAAGGCTTTCCCTGCAAACACTTGTATAATATTTGTAATTTTCATACATTTTTAATTCCACTTTTTAATGTTTCAACCATTTTAAGATTTTTAAATGGCTTATGACGTGTTATAGTACTAAGGATAGGTATGACTATATTTGGTGTTTGTAATTTCCATTCGTTTATCATGAATTGACGTAGAACTTGCATATCAACATTATCATCAATGTAAAGAAATGGTCGAGCCTAGAAAAATTAAATCAAAGAAAGATAAATTCATTAGATAACTAAAATATCCAATAAGTTACAAAAAAAAATGAATATTTGCTATATACGTATACAAAATAAACCAATAAAACTTACATCATTTATATAATCACCAAGAGAATCTTCAAATTTAAGTGCACCCCAGTACGCTCCATATTGTTCTTGAATAAGGTTAGAAAATTCATCTGTATCTAATGTTGATAGAGCACGATTAACTAATTTATTTGATGATGCCTCCTTCTGAATACTATCATTTTCAGTTATTAATGCTTCTTGCGTCGTTGACGCAGGCATCTAGAAGAGAATATATATTGACATTAAGTTAAATACTTTCAAAATCAATAAGACCGTTACACTTAAGAATCGACTACTACAATGAATACATTCGAAGATTGTCAACCTACGATATAGATGAATAACCAATGAAATGAATAACCTTTTTTCTCTCCTTCACTTTGACTATAACAGATTTGCGTCAATGATTTTTGATATCCTTATATATATATTATACTAGCAAATCATTCTTTTTTTATCTTTATGCCTTGTTCTTTCTGTCGTTTTTTGCTTCAATCATTGAGTACCGCTGTATGTGCATATCTAATGACGGAGTGTCTATGCGACATACGACAAAAAAGAGAGGTAACATAGAAAAGAACACACAAATGATGCAGTACAACATTGGCAAGAAATCGTTTTTTTTTAAATTGGTGTAAATAGTAGCTGAGACGAGCCTAAAGTTCGTGTGTATTTTTTCCTCTTCTTTCGTTATTTCGTTCTAACAAATGGTTTTTGTTGAGTCGCTTTATCCTTACATTTATTGTATTTTATACATCGGTAACAGCAGTTACCTCGTATTTATTTTATGACATTGATTTTCATTGACACCTACAATGAGCCGTCAATTTTTCTATTCAAAATCATACGAAATAAACAAGTCAGTAGGAGTCATAAAAAAAAACAAGATCGTTTCTTTGTTTACTTAGATGTTTATCGTATCATTTTCATGTTACGAAGTGATAGTATCAAAAACACAATCTTATGCTTTCAATACATTAAATTCTATCGTATCTTATCATTTTTGATGAAATGCTCAAAAAGTCTCATTCTGATGTCGATCAGAAATTTCTAAATCAGAATAAAAAGACAGCGCAAATAATGTTAATATTGTCTAATGTTGGCAAAAGAAAAAAAATCACCGAAAGACCGTCACATCTAAATACTGTAGGTTTCTTTAACAATGTGGGATGTATTATTAGAGAGACACTTCTAAAGCAAATAATCATGTAATTTTCATTTTGAAGTAACACCAATGTGTATCATTTAATCAGATAATCCATATACGTACTTGATTTGCGTCCCACATTCTGCCTACACACAAATATATATATACACACGGCCTTTTCAATCTCACTAGACAAATATGATGCAACTTGAAAAGTTACCTTACTATACAACAGCCTTTAGTCGTATAAATTTGTCATTAAATATGCATAGCAAAATTTATTTCTATTGCAAAGAAAAAGCAAAGACACAATGAGAAAGAAAAGGGCTACCCATATAATTTTGCTTCCTCTCCTTTCCATTTTTCAGTATCGATCAATCAATCATTCATAAATAATATTAGGTTTACACTTAAAAAAATCGAACGTGTCCTATGTGCAAGTGTTGATACCAGGCAACAAAAAGGAATACATCAAGGCTGAACCTATCATATATGATTTCTTGTATTGACAAAAGCTATGTACAAAAAATATATACATATGGATATATTTATCATATATCTGACATGTTTTATTATAGAATTTGACTGTTCATAATATTAATTTGATTATGTTCAACAAAATTCAATAAGCCATCGATGTATTCTTGAGTATTTTTATTCGTTCGATTGCCTGGCCATGTTTCAAGAGTAAAATCAGGTCCATAATGTACAAAATACTTATGTTCAGGTATATCATTATCAAGTTTTTCATTTAAACAAAGACCAGTAATTGATGTCCACAATCGAGCTGTATCCGCTATATTATAACCGCCACCACCCAATAAAAGTATTGGTTTATTTAAATTAATTATCTGTTCAACACAATTCATAATACATTGCGTTGTTAAATTAAATGATTTCATAGGATCACCGAATAGTGTATCAGCACCACATTGTACAACAAAAACTTCTGGTTGAAACGAAGAATTTATTTTTGGTAAAAGACGATTAAACAGTGAAAGGTACTGATTATCATTAATACCATGATGAAGTGGAATATTTATGTTAAAACCACGTCCCCATGCTTCACCTATTTCAATAAGCGCACCTGAGTTAATCGGAAAAAAACCAGGCTCATATTTATGTAATGAAACAGTCAATACTTTTGACGAGCAATAAAAGGCTTCTTGAAGACCTAGAAAGAAAAACAAGTATCACCCAAAAATGAAAAGTCGAAAAATAAAACAATAGCTATCAATTATAATTAAAATCAATAGTATGATAATAAACATCGATCGAGTCATTTATTTTAAAAAAACCAATAGAAGATATGACTACACGAAAGGATTATGCATGTAATAAAACTGAAATATTATACTCTAAAAATCCTTCATAATTGCCGAGGGATTCAGTTTCATGAAACAAATTCCTGATGTCAACCTCGAAGTTAACGAGACTTCTATTGTCGGTCTCAAATATCTTTCTGCGAGAATTTTTAGAATAATATTGACAAAATTGATAAAATTCTCTCATAAAATAAGTTTTCCATCGTTCTATGTACATATTCTTACCATCACCATGATGCAAATCTAAATCAATATAACATATTCGATCAAATTTTTTTCTTAATTCATTAATAGCCATAACAATATCATTAATATAACAAAATCCTGATGCTTCAGATCGTTCTAAATTTTAGTCAATCAAAACTTGTTTATTTTATTTCATTAAAATTTACTTGCATGATGCCAACCACCAAAAAAATTTATAGCAATATTATTACTCGCACGATTAAGATATCTAGCAGCTGTTATCGATCCGCCACCAATCCATTTACCTGAATTAATAATAAATTCAAAACTTTTTTTCACAATAAATACACATATTCACTAACAAAATGATGACAATTGTTCAAACGGTGGACATTCATATCCTATTTTATAGATATCCATTTGTTCTCTATATAATTTCTCATCATCAGGATCAATATTTGAAATAAAACTCAAAAATTCTATATAATCTCGATCATGTGCTGATGCTAGTTCGTTATCAGTTGCTAATTGTGGTTGAATAAAACGAATATGATTATGTTTATCAAGTTCATATGCACTAATCAGTGCATCAGTAAGATATGAACGATGACGAATTTTTTCAATATTATCAAGAGATTTATGAAGTTCTAATGATGTTATATAAATAACTTCACGCATAACTTATTTTTTAAATAATTATCTTAAAAATAATAGCCACCAATAAAATAAAACAAAAAAGCAAAGATAAAAAGAAGCAAAGAAGTGTTTTTTCTATTATTATCTTATCAAAATTTCATTAATATGTTCATTCAATTTTTTAGCAAATGGTTTAAATGAAAATTTTTCATTAACATGTATTTTTCCTTGTTCACCCATTTGTTTCGATAAATTTTCATTATCAATAAATTCTTTCATTCGCTGAGCAAATGTTTCAATCAATGGTTCGTCACATAGAAAACCTGTTTGATTATCAATTATTGTTTCTAAAGGTCCACCTGTTGATGTTGCTATAACTGGTCGTCCAGCTTGCATGGCTTCAAGTGGAACAATACCGAAATGTTCAAAACGTGGTGTATACAGAATACAATGAGCTTTGGATAAATATTCACATTTTTGTTCATCGGAAAATGATCGGACAAATGTTATCAATGACGAATCAATATTTAACTGATTTGCTAATTCAACAAGTTCTTGATAATGTTCAACATTTTCACGTAAACGTTCATCATAACCACCAATAATATATAAATGAATTGATTTTGAATTTGAATTCAATAATTTACGAAGATGTGCAAATGAATGAAGAGCAAGTGGTAAATCTTTTTTTCTTTCAAATCGATTTATTGAAAGAAAATTTATTGTTTTTTCATTTTCATTAGAGAATGACGATAATGATCGATCAGGAATAGTTGGATAAAGAATATCTACTGGAATTTTTGATGAAATATATTTTTTAAAAATTGACTGTGTATATGCACTATTTACCAGAATACAATCAGCAAGACATGTTGTATAGGCCTATATAAAATAAACGAATGAATTCTATATCTTAAATATTTAACATAAATAAAAATAAGCTTGACTAAATTCTTATTGAACTCAATAATAGACGAATGTTCGGTCTAGATAAACAATAAGTATATTTTAAGATTATATGAGAATTCATTAGACTTTAAAAGATAAATATGTAATAGAGTAGTGATGATTATTTTTCAATTTGAGTTTTACCTAGATAAAAAATTAAAAAAGAGATGATGATTTGTTGAATTTTAAATTTATTCTTTTGGATTATGTTGTTATTCAAAGATATATTATGTATTTTAACTTCAGGGTTTTTAAATTGATTCTATAGAAGAAAATAATCTCTATATGTAATTCAATGATTTTTATCACTCGTTGCATAAATCCATTTGAATGAAGCAGAAACATTCTAGACATGAATATTCACTGTCAATGTACTTTGCGAAATATAATAGTAATCTCTTGATGCGTCTTTCTATTGAAAGATAGGACAAAATAAAAATGAATGAATATCGCACACTTGATCGGCATATTAAAATAGATCGTAACATTCCATTTATACTCAAACAATGAGTACTTCACCGGGAACTCTTTTGAATGAATAAATAATAAATAACTAAGACAACATGTAAAAAAAATGTTGTAAATTGATATCAAAGACAAAGAGAAACTGAATAAGAGGCCTTTCATATAGAATTTTTGACAGAGTGTAAACATATTGAAATGTTTTTCATTAGTATAACTATTGTGTCTAGTCATTTTTCATCAAACTATTTTAAAATATTCTATTAGAATAATAATTCGATACCGACGAAAACAAACTCACTTCAAAAACATCAATTGGCCAACGATATATTTTCTTTGCTATTGATTCTCTTTTAGTTAATAGCTGATCTGGATAATGACAATAAAATAGAATTGGTCGTTCAGTTCGTTTTAAGACAGGTATACAAGCACTGATTTGATCACATACAAAAACATCATAATGTTTATGTTTCGATTCAATATAAACAACATAGATAGCAAGAAGAATAAATCGAATGTAAGCACATAAAGCATGAAATCTTCCAAATATATTTCTTGGAAACCATGAACATGCAACAAAAACATTTAATTGTCCATTACGCGTTTCATCAAAACATCGTTGTTTATCATGAAAATTAGTGTAAATATCAACATCATGTCGATGAGATTTCAAAGCCAATCCTATGTCAACAATTAAACGTTCAGCACCACCGATACCTAAATCTGGATGAAGTATTGCAATACGTGGCATGTCTAAAATCTAATTATTAATAATTTTTATTTTTGCATTAATAAATAAAGGGATTATTAAATGTATTATTTTCTGAGAAATAAAAATTACTTGAGAAAGGAAAAACAAAAGAAAGAAAACCACATACGTTATAATAATACTGAAGATATGTAAAACAAAAGAAGAAAAAAGGAAAATTCATGACCAATTAATAAGGGAAAGGTCGTTGCATGTGAGAAAGCTGTACAAATAAATAGAATCACGTTGTGGTTAAACAAACAACAAAAATTGGTAAAAAAAATACAACAAATACATATACAATAAAAAGGAAACTGATTCAAAAAAAGTTATCTCAAGTATTTATTGGGGAAACAACAAAAAATAGATCTGGCTAAATAAATGCATTGCTAGAGAATCAAATCTGATTAACAAAAAAGGCCATCGCCATCTGTTAACTAAACCAAAATAAAAACAAAAGGATCATCATTATACTTTTAAATAGAATAATATTATTTAATTCAATACCCACACTGTTAGAATAAAACAATGTTTCAAGAAACATTACCAGTAACATCGACCTTTAAAGACACAAAACAACAAAAATTACTTAAAGCATCAGTTTTCACAACAACACAAATATGAACATCCAAAATTCAATTATTTATTCAAAATCTTACTGGTGAAAATGATACTAATTTTTCTTTATCATCATATTCTTGTTTAGAAGCCATATGGTCTTGAATTATTTTCATTCGAATTTCCGTCTAAATATAAAACGAAAATTTGATTTCACTTTCATTCGTATTAAGTTGGTTTTTCTATATTTTAACTTTAATAGATAACATTAATTAGGAATCTGATAAATATCAAATAAATCACATAAAATGATAGTTGATTATTTTAGAAAGTAATGCTGCATTAGAAAAAACAGCAATACATGACGTATAATACTATACAGAATAGGTAATTATATAAAATATGAACTAATCGTATTTTTTACCACGCATTGATCATCTAGTAAAACTTCATAGTCAAAAACTGAAACAACTTATGAATTCTGTTCGAAGTGCATTCTTAAAAGTCAAGGCTTGCTGTTCATTATATTGTGAATTCTATTTTCTCTGTAATCTCTTTCCATCTAATCTGAATAACCTTGGCACATCTATAGAAGTCTATTAATGGTCATTGTCCTATTAATGAGTGTAGATTAACTACATGTAATAGCTTACTGTATTACTTCGATTAGTTTAGCATCATATAATATGAGATGCAAATGTCTACCGTAAAAGGTCAAATATTTTTATTTATCAGTAATCCAACATGGGATCAACTTTTACGTTTATCTACTGACAAGATCAAAGTTTCCGGAGTATAAACATCAAACAGAGAATTAATAATAATCTATTTAGTTTGTAATGTTCAAAAGTGTGCTATCTATTCGTTTGAGAATGCCATTACAACACTCACAAACATTGATTTAGTAATAAATAACATGTTAGTGTCTACCAATTTTGAACATTTTCATATGAATGAAATAATAAGTATTGAGAGTTCGTATTTCTAATTAATTGAACTCAACAGCTGAAACACACAAAGTCATGAATCCAGTGATCCGAAAAGTTCGAACAATCAAGTACCAAGAATTTATTAAATATTTACAAGATAGAATTGGCACAACCTTTAGTTACTGACTAGAGTCCTGCAGGTTAAGACTTCTTTGTACTCTAGCCCTGCTCTGCAAGGCAGAGCAGGACAGAGCAGGGTAGGGCAAGGTTGTCCTGCAGTACTCTATTACTGACTGTAACAAATATAAATCATGTAGCAATTGTGATAGAGAAAAACAAATTTTCTTGTTTTCCATAAAAAAAAAGATTTTCCTTTACAGAATTATCTCTTACGAGTTCCTTGAGTTGATTATGTAACTGTTGTTTTTCTGTATTTAATTTTTCGATTGTATTTGCACGATTTGATGCACCGCTACTTGTGCGATCCATTTCTAAGTCAGCTATGCGAGAATCTTTTTCACTTAATTCAGCTAAAATTTTCTCTTGTCTAAAATACGAAAAGCAAAATAACAAGATTGTGTTAATTAGTATAGATTACGAAAACAATAAATGAACATACTGAGAAATAAAAGCATTATCAAGATGTTTTATTTGTTCTTCAAGTCTTTGTTCATATTGCCGTCTACGTTCATTTAATTCTAATTCTAATTGTGACATTATTTGAGATTGTTCATTATTCTCATTGCGTAAATGTTCAATTTCATTTTGAAGAGTTTTTATCTAAACACAGAAATTAAAGAAATGAATTAAATATTCTTTTTTGTTCTGTTTAAATACTCCAAATTGTGGTTAAAAAACACGAAAACAAACCTGTTTTTCTAAATTTTCAACTTTCCGTTTTTGTTGTGTCATTGCATATTCACGTTCAGTTGTTATTTGTAAACTTTCTCGAACAGCTTGTTCAAGTTCTTCAATACGTTGTTGTTTTTTATTTATTGCTAATTCATACTGTTGTTCTTGTTCCATCGATTCATTATTTGTGGGTATCGATAATGGTTTTTGCTGTTCAAGTTCTTGTTGCATCCATTCGATTTCTCGTTTCATTTCTGTACGTTCAAGTTCAAACGATGATAAACGATCTTGTAATGCACGATTTTCATATTCCAATTTAGCTGTATCCCCTGAATCAATTTTCACTTGTTTTAAATTTATTATCTGTTGTTCGAGAGTTTGAATAAGTGTTTCACGACGTTGCAGAAGTGACTTAGCATTATTGATTTGTTCGTTTAATTCAATTATATGATTCTAAATTAATTGAATAGAATGAAATTTTATTTCAATAATTATGATAAATGCGATTTTTTGTAGTTTGAGAGCACAAATACCAAATTTACGATTAATACTAATCCGGCTGAGTCAGTAGGTTTTAAAGTAATCCTTTACGTTTTTGCAATAGCCTTATCTTATAGAGAAACTATTTCTTACTATTATCGTTTCCTAGATGAGACAGCTTCATGTCCTATGTAGATATGTAACTGAAGCATATATATATGTTGATATAAAGAGGCATTGGTTTCACTGTGTAGCACGCAAGTAATCCTGATAATTAAACGAATCAATTTGACTTGAACGTGTGAAATGATTTCAACCAAAGAAAAATCTATTTTTTGTTATATTTATTCAACAGACGTGACGTATTTTTTTTCCTTTCATATTTCCTTAAATCACGAGTGGAATCAGTCAAGAGTTATTATTTTGAAATTCTAAACTTGTCAAGAAAAAGAAACTATGATTAGACACTCAAGCGTTTCATTATTATTAAAGTAGACTAGTATTGAATATCAAAATATTTGATAGGATGCAATTGAGGAAGTTCTTTCTTTTATTTTTCATATGCAGTAGATATTACTCGACACTATGATGCATATTGCCTAACAGGTTAATGGCTACATCATATAAATCAATGTAATTTATATGCTGCACATCCACTGAAAATAATATATCAGATACATCTGCTTGGTTAGACAAAATAATGTATTGAATAATCATAGCTTATACGAGATGTATTTGTCGTCAAATCTTTAATTCAACCTTCTAAATAATTCAGTTATGATCTGATCTATTACACATGTGTAACCGTGACAAATTCTAGAATAGTTATAACAGGAGGGGAAAAGTTCTAATTCGATTAGAAACGAAACTTTTTTGTGGATTGAAGACAATTATTTTTCAATCAACTATTTTAATTGTAAATGATCCTATTTCAAATATTTGATACTCTGCTTTCTATTGAAAATTATCTGATGTAGATTCAGCTCGCATGCAGCCGAATTATGCCTCTAATTTCATCATAGAAATATAACTTACTTGTCCTTCATAATAATCTTTTTCTTTTTGTTCGAGTTTTAATCTTGTTTCATTTAAAGTTTTTTGTAATTGTTCTAATTCTTCTTGATGTTCAATATCTACTGTATGTTTTTGTTCTCGTAATTTCTCAATGAAACGTTCTTTTTCTGCAATAGTTGTTTCCAGATTTGATACAAGTGTATTTGTTGTTATTGATGTTTGTTGTTGAACATTGATGGCTGATGCTGTTGTTGTTGTTGCAGCTGTTAATTTTGCACGTGCTAAAGCTATTTGTGCTGATTTATCACGCAGTTGTTCTTCAAGATTTTCAATTTTTCTGTTCAATACATTTATTTTTCTATCACGAATATCTAATTGTTGTTTACACTCTTGTAAGTCATATTCGCATTGTTGACGATCAAGACGTGTAGATTGAATTTTAGCATTTTTCTTTTCAATAATTGTATCTTTTTCTTTAAGTCTTGCTCGAAGATCATTTATCTAAATGAAAAGTGAAGCAAAACTTTAACAAGAAAAAAACCACAAGATAACGAAAACAATTACCTCGGATTGTATCATATTAACTTGTTGATCTTTGATTGTAATTGATTCTTTTAGTATACTAATATAATGTTGTAGATCTTTTTCTTTGCTTTCGTATGTATCAACTTTAGCTTTAAGTGTAACACATTCATTTTCTTTTAAATGCAGATCATTAATACGTTGCTCTAATTTATCTTTAACATCTTGGTATTGTTTTTGTAAAATTGAATTTGTATTTGTTTCAATGGACGAATGTTCTGGAATGGAAAATGTTGATGGAATAGACGTTAACTCATGATGTTGATTATGACGAGATTTTTCAAGTTCATCACGCATTTGTTTTAATTGTTGTTCAAGCAATTGAATATGTGTATCCTTGAACACAAAAAAAAGAATAGGATGAAAACAAAAAATGGAGAAATCAAAATCGAAATTTACTTGTTTAGTGCGTTTTTGATGTTCATTAACTAATAATTGATATCGACATGATTCGTCTTTTCTTAATGTTCGTTCTTTTTTTAATTCTGGACTCCAAAATGTTTTAATACTTTTCATGGTTGCATTTAATTGTTCTTTCGTTATTTTTAATTCATGTTCTAATTGATCAACATAGGAAATATTTTGATCATAATCATAATAATTAGCTTGATTAGGAATAAAATTTTCTGATGGGTAAAATGATGCGTTGGTTGTCGACGATCGATTCATATATTCGTGATTTATTTGACGACATAAAAGATCAGCACTACCATGTCTTTGATGATTTTGTCGATTTAATAATCGTCGAGATTGATGTTGATCAGTAGAATATTTATCTTCTTCAGAATGAAAAATATTCTCACCTGTAGATTGAGATACTGTACGTTTTGATGGTAACGGTTCTACAGGTGGTCGAGGAGGTGCTGGCCCTTTTTTTGGCGTTAAAACTATTTGAGGTTTTATTTCATCGTCAGGTTCATTTTTCAAGGGTTCGTGTTCTATTGGCACCTATCAATGTAATACATAAGAAGAAGAAGAAGAAGAAAAAAAAATATTACAATCATCTTGTTCCTTATTTTTGAAAAACAAATATATTTAATACCTGTTGTGATTGACTTGATGTTGAAGACTTTGATGATGACGACGATGAACTACTCGATGGAAATGATCGACATTGAATAAATGTTGTCGGTACAATTGGCGTTTCATCTTGTTGATTAGGTATTTGTGGTATTGGTGAAATCGATGTCGGATGATCTAACAGAAGCAAAGGAGTCGAACTGAGGTCGCCTACGAAAAACAAATCGATAAATAAGTCATACTAAATAAATATTCAATATAGTTGTTTATTTTTACCGAGACTGTTTGACGTACAAACAGGTAACAATGTATTATTATTCACATTTTGTATAACACTTGATATCGAATTATTAGATATTGATGGAATAACAACTAGATTTTTTCTAATCGGTGATGATGTTATTGCATCAACAACAACAAGTGGAACAGCTACTTGATCATTGGTTCCATCATTCGAATTCACAATCGTATCTTCATATTGAGAAGATAAATCGGTTATAAGAGTCTCCGTCATGACATTTTTTTTTTAAATTCTTGAGTACTGTAAATGAGCGAGAAACCTAAGCTGATAGAATTAACTATGATTTCCGTTTTCAACAATAGCTGAAAAGAAAAAAGCTATTATTATTTTTCTTGTTGTATTAGTTATCTGATTGATTGAGGGGTTTTGTTTCGTCCAATGAAAATATGTGTCGATCAAATGCATTAGTGAGTATGAGTATACAAAAGAAATCTACTTTCATGATGAAGGGTTAACATTAGCAATGCTATCATTCATGGATTCCACTCACTTACCCATATATATTTTTTTGCCCCTTTAAACGTAGATCGCGTGCATTCTTTCCTTTCCTTTTCTTTACGGGGAGCATAGTCCATCAAATTCTTCAATTATTAACGAATCCTGTTAACTGTTATCCTTCTTTTATTACTATTTCGTCAATAAAATTTTAGACTTAAATAAATAAAACATATTCATGGATAAATACGAAAAAATCAAAAAAATTGGTGAAGGATCTTATGGTAAACTCATTTTCCCAATGAAATATTTATTTACATTTCAGACAAAAATGCTTTTCTTTTTACTTGTTAGGTCAAGTTTTTAAATGTCGCAATAAAGAAACAGGTGAAACAGTTGCAATAAAAAAATTCATCGAATCTGATGATGATCCCGCTATTAAACGTATTGCTATGCGAGAAATCCGCATGTTAAAAGTAATTGAAAGAAAATAATTTCATCATGAAGAAAGTTTATTTATTTTTACTTCAAAAACTTCTATCTAGCATTTAAAACATGAAAACTTGGTGAATCTCATTGAAGTATTTAAAACAAAACGAAAGCATAAACTTCATCTGGTATTTGAATACTGTGATCGTACTGTTCTCGATGAACTGGAATCCCATCGAAATGGGTACTAAACATCGTTTAAATATTTGTCTAATCTTTTTCTTTTCTTTTTTGTATTTATTTATATTTAGTGTACCAGAAACAATGATTAAAAGAATAACGTTTCAAGTACTAAATGCTGTCGACTTTTGCCATCGACATAATGTAAGAGCAAGAAAACAAATCAAAGATTTTCCTATTAAATAAATTACAATTTATTTTTCTATTTATTCTATAGTGCATTCATCGTGGTAAGATTGACTTAATGTTTATCTATTAAGTCAATATTTTCTTTTGATTCTATTATCTATTTTTGATGTGAAACCGGAGAATATTCTTATCACAAAACAAAATATAATCAAATTATGCGATTTTGGTTTTGCTAGATTAATGAGTAAGTCTAATATTGCAATTGAAAATTATTATAGAAGATTTAAATTTTCATAAATATAGCTCAACAAATTGAAATGACGGATTACGTTGGTAAGTCATTTTAGTGAAAGAAGAAAAAAACTGACTTGAAAAGTTTGATTGGTTTTATTAAATAGCAACGCGATGGTATCGCGCACCAGAATTACTTGTTGGCGATCGGCAATATGATACTGCTGTTGATGTATGGGCTATTGGTTGTGTCTTTTGTGAACTGTATTCAGGTGTACCGTTAGTATTGGTTTACGTTTTTTTAAAGTTTTATTGCTGGTTTCGTTACGATATAGATTATGGCCTGGCAAGTCGGATGTCGATCAGCTTTATCTAATTCGAAAAACTTTAGGTTATTTAAATCACACTAAACAAGCAACACGTCATAGATGCGTTTGCATTTTTCTTTTACAGGTAATCTTATTGATAAGCACATAACTATATTGAAAAGTAATCCTCACTACAAAAATGTGCATATACCTGAGCCTGATACCATTGAACCATTAGAACAAAAATTTCCATATGTTTCTGAACGCAGTCTTGATTTCATGAAAGTGAGTTCATTTTTCTTTCATTAGTTATTTATAGATTTTGTTGTGTTGGGTTGTTTTTGCAGAGTTGTTTAGTTATGGATCCGGAAAAACGTTTTACATGTGCACAACTTTTACAAAATCCATATTTTGATGGTTTCACTAATGAGTTTGAGCGTGAAAGAAAAGAACAAACGCAACGTTTACAACGTGAACAACAAAAATTGTTACAACAAGTCAAACCTCCAAGTAACGTTTATGTGGCAGGTGCAGGACAAACTAAACAAAATCCTGGAGGCGTAAGTTAACACTGTTTTATTAATTAAATTTAAAGAAAAAAGCAAAAAAGCTCTATTTAATATCTATTGAAAAATAATAATAACAATGCTAATACGGGATATTCGAGCGAGAAAAAAAACAATTTCTCAATTTTTTCAGTATTTTCCATCCCTGTCTCGCAATCAAGATCGTGAAGGAGACAACACACCAGCGTCCGATGATCGTGGTGGACGCAATTTTCATTTACCAAATATATGTACGAGCATTTATTTTCCTATGATAACAAAATTTTTGTTTTTTTTTGCAATTGCTTTATTTCACTCGGTTATTTTATTTATTTTATTTTTTTGAATCACTTATGATTTGCACTTATCCACATAGTATGTGAATTTGAGATACAAGAAACAAAATAGATAAAAATAATAATAAAAGATGAATGATTTAAAACGCGATTTGGTTTTCCTTTAGAAAACTCATCCAACGTTGACGGGCATAACAGGAACACAATTGACAAGTATTCATTCAACATCAACTAATGCAGGAGAATATTTAAGGTCAAGTCGTCTTGAAATCTATCCTGAGCATGATCCACGTGTTCATGTACCAAAAACACGTTTTGGTAATGCACAACATCAAAATTTACCAGCAAATGATTTAGATATGTCTATGAAACCTGCACCGCAAACAAAACGTTTGGCACATGGAGATAACTTCACCCATTTCCCCAGTATACAAAACAATTCTTTTTCTTCTTGATGTGGTAAAAAAAAAGTATTCTTATAATATGAAGGTCTTCTGATTACTGAGATGTTGTTGTTCTTGTTTTCGTTTTCGTTGTCATGATATTATGCCCGTTCATGGAATCGGTTTTTCTTCGCTCATTTTCTTTCTCATGTATAGAGATTTCTCGTTTTCTTTGCTTATTATCATACAAATTCTAATATGTATATCGTTTAAATATATTATTTTAAAAAAGACAAAAACAAAATTGAAATAAACTTAAATTTCATCTGTATTCGATACTTAAAAAGGAATTAGAAAACTATTGACGACGTTCAGAGAGAACCAAAACACTTGAAAACTTGTCATGCTATTCTTTGTTTACACAATAACCAAAAGAAGAGAAGTCATTTTTCAATGTAAACCTGGAATATTTTCTTTCCAATTATATAGTCAACATACAGTTACTTGTCGCGATCGATAGTATAAAGTAAAAAATTCTTGAGTGTCCTTCAACAATAGTTTGTTTTATAATTATATTAAGAGCCATTTAATGGTAACATTTAATGGCTACTTTCTTTTTCTATATTTTCTGAAACTAATGAATAATAAAACAAATAATAATGATGTCAGGTACTTTAGAGAGAGAGAAAAAATGAATATGTAAATAGCGATTTGTTTTTTCTCAAGCAACAAAATACACATGCGAAATATTGAAAAACAACAGTAGAAGTAATTCTTCGTCGAAAAATACTCTCATACAACTATTATGTTATAGTGTGATAAAGAATATAATGTATTATGAAATCCAAAAATTGGATTTATTTTATCACACATATTTGTAAACCCTTCGAAGATAAGTTCAAATCAATCACATAAAAAAGACAGCAAATACTGAATAATATGTTTATACTAAATTTTCCAGTTATATTATTAACAGATAGGCCGAAAAGCAGCTATTGAAGATTTTCTTCGAATATTATATATTTGATAAAAGGAAAAACTGAAACCGTTAGAAAATTGGTCTATAGCACAGCTATCCTTTTGGAATCAATGACTTGAATTCGTTCATTATTGAAACAAATCCACAAAATTTGCAAATTCATCTAACGATATTTGATAGATTGACAATTCGAATACATACATACTATTCGAGAAGTGAGATCCGATAGAATAGTGATAATAGCAGCTATATATGAAGCTAGAATGATCACAGTGTATGTATTTGAATGAGGCGTTGATAAATTGGGCGTCTGACACTGACGAAGATATTATTGGATTGTTTGATTAATATTCAAGTTGGAACCAAAAATCTTATCAACTTCATAGTGAATTAATAATTGAATATAAACTGCTCGTATCGTAGGTACAATTATTCTTATTAATAGTAAAAATAATCCAACAGAATTAGAGATCACAAACAATTTTCCTATTGTTGTTACCAAAAATTACAAATCATGTGACTATACGTACTAGTTATCGGAGAACTTTTTTTTCTTTGATTATGAAGTTTTCGTCTTACGACATCAAAAAATAATCAACTATACGTCGACACTTTTAACTATCAACATTTCGAACATAAAAGATATTTTCTAAAAAAACTTACTAATATAAAAACTTTTCTATTTTGAAATCACTAAAAGCCAATGAATTTAAACACTAAACTAATAATCAATTGTTTCTATAATGTGGATGGTGAAAAATATATCTACTGTGCAAAAGCATTCTTTCTACTCAAATTTTTATTATAAATAGTATTGCATGTTCATGTTCAACTATATGAGTCATTGGTGCCATTAAATCACCTGCAGCATTCAGTGCGATTGTAGATGAATGAGTAGCTGTCTAATTCGAGTTCGAATATAAATGGAGAAAAGAAAAAGTTAAACTAAAACTAAATCTATTTCTAGATTTAGTTTTAGTTTAACTTTCCGATGTTTGCGACATATGAATACATATGTATATGCCCCTTATCCGCACCCATATTTGAGCACTCCTCGATGGTATCCATCAACCACAGCCACATTTGAGATATACCAGATATCCCCCGCACCCCATTCGAATACCCCTCCTACTCACCCCTCATTCGCACCGCCACCCACAATTACCTCTTAGCCCCTCCCCTCCCCCGCTCAACCCACGCCCACTCCATCTTAAACTAAGTCTAAAACTAAATCTATTTCTATCACTTATTTTCGAATTGATACCATGCAGTTGGATATCCATTTATATTCGAATTCGAACTAGGCATCTCATGCGTGTGATGGTGACAATTTTTCTAGTAAGAAATTTATAAAATTCGTGAATTTTCACAGATTCTCGGTTATCATATATGCTATACTGTAAGACTTAACGAATCTGGTTGATTAGCAGCAACAGTTCTAGTTTCAAGCAATCACAGCGTTGAAAATCAAAACATTTTTTCTTTGAACACCATTGTGGTAGTGTCATGATGAAAATATCTGCTTTATATTTCTTGGACAAGATCTTGCCTACGAAATGTTCGACACTATCTTAAAGGTGTAGATGAGATTGAAAAGATCATCTACAAGGATACTTATATATTCGTTCCGAATAATTGGGAGAAAAATGATGACTTTATCAATCATTATCCTTTTATCTTTGGATTATAAAACGCATACCAAATGTATATAATTATATACATTTGACAGAGGTCACTCTTTTACACAAACCTATACTTTTCTAATGAATCATTTTTCTTGTACACCAATTGTATTTTTTCTTGTTGTTGATTTCTGTTCCGAATTCACCGAAGACCAAAAATGTGGTTTTTCTAGGCTAATCTATACATTTTTTAAGTCGAAATTTAGAATAAATCATTTTACAGATAGCTATATCATGCTCGAATAAATGTAAAATATTCTGCTTAGTTAATTTCACTTAATGAAGCTGTAGTTTGACGGTGAATTTCCGAAATAAGATAAATCATATACTCAACATTTAAAGCAAATTTTTCATACATGTATATGAAGAAATAATGATGCTTTAGTCAAATAGAATAAGTTTAATCAATGTATGTACAAAACAAAATCGATTGGTAACGATTTTATTCGTGAATAATCAATTGAACGCCACTATACAATTGAGTATTAAAGTTGTCCTCATCGATCGAATGACATTTGATAGAATCACTCTTTTAAAAGAAAAAAACATTCAATACACTTTATGATTTTATTTTTATTTGAATAAAAAACGAAACATCTGAATTTTACACACTTTGATTAATATACTAATAACGTATTTGTGTTTCTGCAGGATGGCAACGAATTCAAAATTGGTCAATTTGGATCGTGTACCGGTAAGAAGAAAAAAGAAATTGGTTAACTGAGATATATAAAAATCGATCTTTATTAAACATCCGAAGGCTTATTGTGCTCACGTTAATGTAAATGGTATTCAACGAACAAAAGAAGATTATGTTCGTCAACAAATCACAACTATATTTTCATCAAATACATTTGAATCATTATTGATTAATGTTGAACAATTACGCACAAGACTTTTACAAATGGGATGTTTTCGTGATGTTACAGTTCTCATTGACAAAACACATGGTTTGAAGAAAAAAAGCAATAGAAAATTTCTAAAAGATATATTATTTCATATATTTAGATTCCAAAGTTGAGAATAGTTACGATATAACATATGTTACACAAGAACAGAAACCAATATCGGGAGGAATGAATACAGCTGTTGGACAAAATGAAGGTTCACTGGTAAGCAAACTAAAATAATTGAAATTAATTTAGAAAAAATAAAATTCACTATTCTATGACAAAAAAGAAAGCGAGCCTTTGTTTTAGAATAATTTTATTTTAAAATATCTATTTAGTCTTGAAATAAATTATGAATAAATGTCTAAATCAAATAGAAATAGAAATGTGATACAAGAGAATCCTGTAGATTTCTAATGATGTTTGAAGACTACTTTAAAACTGTAACAACAAAATATGATTAATAAAACAAAGATCCTATTGATAACTTCACTTTTCGAACCTTAGCTTTAATAAAAAGAAAAAAAAGATTATCGATATGACTAACTCATTTAAATAGATTTACTAGAACATAGCCAAGTTAATTGAATCATTCATCAATATAGCTAATATAATGAGTTTACATGTTCACTTTAGTTTCGCTGAGTTTTCATAAGCAATAGACATGAAAAATGCTAACATACATAGATATTAATTCAATAGTTCTTTAATAGGAATTGAATCCCATCCCATATGTTCATCAGTAAATAATCGTTTAATTTCACAATCGATTGGTTCGATATGCTAATAAACATGTTTAACACACAATTACTCTATTTATCATTCATTCATATCGTTCACTAAATATTCTAGTTGTTAAGAAGAAACATGCGTTTTCTCAGCTATATTCTCAACGAACATTTTCAAAAATATAATTATGTAATTCATGTTTCGTCTGATTTCTGACGAGAACTAACGGTAGATTTCTAGATGAAAAGGACATTGATCGAATTTTTTTTTATACATCATGCATAGATCGACTTAGTTGTCTATGTTGATCATGAATACTATCATAATTATTACTCAAGCTAAGATTTCAGTAGCGATTGCTTTTTCATTAACGACGTTGTTTGAAATTTCAGCACATAATGTTCATTTTAGCAAAATGAACAAAAATGAAATTATTAAATAACCATTGAAGATATGAATTTGATTTATTATTTTTAGTGTACTAATTTTTCTTTACCAAATCTATTTGGTCGTGGTGAAAAATTAGGCGTTGATTATTCGTATAGTAATCATGGTAATACTGAAGGACGAGTATTTTATTCAACACCAACAAAACTTGATCCTAATAAACAGTAAGTAAAGCATAAATAAACTTTTCTATACATAATGATGGTGTCATTTATAGATTTTCAATCTCTGTATTTCGAACTTATTTTGATAATACATGGAGTTCTTTTAAACAAGATGATCACGGAATAAACATATCTTACAATGTAAAATGAAAGCAAAAGAGAAATCTATTTTTGACGAAGAAATAAAACGCTTTTTTTCTCTATTCAAGATTCCTCTTGGTATTGTTCCTAATGCTGTTCATAATTTTACTTGGGAAGGTGTTTGGCGTTCATTATTAGCTGCTAATTCAGCAACATCTCTTGATGTGCGAAAAGATGCTGGTCATTCATTAAAGTCCTCATTGAAAGTTAGTTTTTGTTTTGTTGTCTGTTTCGTTATCTATAATAAAAAAAAAAACTGTCAAATTTGTTTAGTATGCAGCTACCATTGATAGTCGAGATCATCCAGTGATTCCACAACGTGGTTCTTATTCTCAAAGTTCACTTGAATTAGCGGGTCTTGGAGGTGATAGTCAATTTGTTAAGTGGTCAACACAACATCAAATTAATTTACCATTACCATTGAAATCAATTTTTCAATGGTGTTTCTCAGCTGGTGCGATTTGGCCTCTTTTTCAAAGAGGAAATAAAACAATTAAAATTAATGATCGTTTTTTTCTTGGTGGACCTCTGAACGTTAGAGGGTTTGATCATCATGGAGCTGGGCCCCATAGTGAAGGTAACATAGATCACATATCATCATGATTGGAATAATTGTTTTTTATTCCATTTAGGAGCCGCTTTAGGTGGTGACTGCTATTGGGCAACAGGTCTTCATCTTTATACTCCTCTTCCTTTTCTTTATCATCGCGAAAATTTAATGTCTTATGTTCGTCTTCATTATTTTCTTAATGCTGGAAATGTATTTAATACACAATCCGTTCGTATGTATTATCTTTTTGTATTTCATTGAATAAAATTCTTTATCATTTATTTCTTAAGATTCAACGCAATCGTTATATTCTCAAATAACCAATGCAACTCGACTATCGTGTGGTCTTGGCGTTGTCTTGAATTTAATGAATGTCGCTCGACTTGAACTTAATTATACACTTCCATTATGGACACAAGTACATGATCGGTTAGATTTTTTGAATATTATAAAAGATTTAATATATTATGAAAACTTCTTTTTTTTGTTCTAGAGTGATCAAAGGTTTTCAATTTGGTGTGGGCTTTACATTCATTTGAACTTCATAGAAAATAACCTTTATTAGACTTTGTATCTTCTCTTTTTCTTTCAACGATATGTAGAAGTTTTTTTCTCTTACATATAGAAAAATTTTATATTGAAAAAAGACGCAAAAGTTTTAATTGAAGAGAATTTCTTTGTCATAAATTACCTTCTAACGGATTTAATTTAGATGGAATTTGAATGATTTTGTTGAAATGTTACTCTGACTTTGGCTCTGACTCATTTATCGCTTCGCTTGTAGATGACAACAAGATAAAACGTCACGGAGGTTTTTACACGATTGTATATCTAGATGTAATGACTCACAGAAAAGAAACTTAAAATCATTACAATTATTTTAGAGTTGGCGATAAGTTTCATATTTTTCGACATATGTCCAGAGGGACATAAAAGAAATTTCATTTCCATAGCGATAGAAACAAAAAAAGTGTGTTTTTTTTTATATCAAATGAAGTTCTTCAGTTTCGTGAGAGCAGGTTTTTAGATAAATTTTATTCGCATTCTTATCATTTTTGACAACTGTTAATTAGAAAAAAACGACTCATTTGCTGTTCTTATCACTATCTACTTTTTTTTTGTGAATATGACTAAAACAGTTTTAGATTGCTATGGATATAAAATCGAGAAATATATGGCAAGTTACTATGCCTTAATTACTTGCACATATCACCTTTAAAATCTCAATTAGAACCTATAAACAAAATGGTATGTGTCATTTGACTAATAATTACTTTTTGCATTTATTGTTTTATGATGATGGATTATATACATATATATTGTTTTTTGTATTCTCAAGGCTAAACAACTTATTAAAATAGTAATGTTAGGTGCACAAGCTATTGGACGAGCATTTACTCGAGCATTACGTCAAGAACAGCAATGTAATGAAAAAGAAAATGATATTTACTTGCTATTACAAGTGTTGTTCATATCTAGATGCTAGAACTACGGCACAAAGTGGTAAAACATCAGAGAAAACTGTGCAAACTGATCGTGTGCATGGTATGACTTTACAAGTAAATTTTCTTTCTTTTCAATAGTTGTTTTTTAAACAGATGTTCTTATGTAGGAAGCCAAACAAATTTTAAATCTAGCCGATGATGATTTGAATGCTAGTGAAAAATTAAATAAACAATACGAACATTTATTTTATTTGAACGATAAAACAAAAGGTGGCTCTTTTTATTTACAATAGAAAATTTATCGAGCGAAAGAACACATTGATGAAGAGCTTAAAGTATCATCTTCATCAACGAAAAATTCTCAAAGAAAAAAGCAAACCGAAGACTTGAATGATACTAACACACATTGACTGTTTTTTGTGTAATTATTACCCTGTCTTTTTTCTTGAAAACTATTTAAAAAAAATAGTGATGTATTAAGATTTTATTGTTGTTGCACATGAATATCAAGATTATTTCAGATAATCATGGATAAACATGAGGCATGGGAGATAGTTCGTAATGAAGTTGAAGTTTTTGATAAATTTCAAGCTTATATTTATTGCGATCGACTACAAGATTTACTTGTATATAATCAATCAGTTGGCAGACCTACAAGCTTAACTTCACGTAATTCAACACCTAGTAATAATGATGGTTTTAGTACTACTAATGTAAAGGCAATCAGTAAGTGTAATTTTTAGATTTAATTTTTGAGAATTTTTTTCAATTCGATTTGATAATATGGGTACTGATTTTAGTTTATCTGGAACGTATTCAATATATACAACGAGGTGTTAGTAGCGCTGGTTATCGTTCAGCTCGAAATTACAATGAACTTCGAGCAACGCGACCAAATAATCCAACTGACAATTGTGATCGACAACAACGACAATTAGAAATTTATTATTGTGCCGATCGTCCTCGGTCGAAATATCTTTATAAGCATATTAGTTTTCAATTGATCAAGCGCGGTAACAAAAATATTTATCTGTGAATTTTGTTTTGCTAATACAAACGATTATTTCAGACGATGAATTCGAAAAATGGGTTCAAGCACTTTATACAGTTATTGAGGAGGCAAAAAATTTAGATGATGCAGGAAAGAAAAATCGGTGATAGTCAAGATCTTTGTCTTACTGATCTAATCTTTTTTGCTTTATGTAGATGGCTTTTACGAGAGTATGAAAAATTAAGAGCACCATCAGAAGCTTTAACATTCGATTCAATAAATGGTTGGCTTAATTCTCATATTGGTATTGTCGGGGCGAGAAGTCATACGGAAAGCTTTATAAAAGAACAGCAAACATTTCGTGAATCAAATGACATAACTTATTCAGTATTTAAAGCAACGTATAATCATTTTATTGAAATGCAGCAAATAGTAAAATATGGCATCTATAAGTATATTTATATTTTGTTACTTTCTATTTAGGATCTCATTAAAATCTATATGCCTAATTTATTTGAAGAAAAGTAATTGACGTTTATTTATGGATACGTTCATCTGAAGTTTTTCGTTTCTGTTATATAGAAACATTTCACTTATGACATTTGCTTCACGTATTAATAATAAAGATACTAGTTTAGTGCAACATGAACTGGCTAAAATCAAAGAATATTTTAAACTAATGGATAATCAAACAGATATTACTCCTAGCGAAGTAATTCATGTTGAAAAACAAATTATAAGAATTTTTATGTTTTTATTCCATTCAGTGTATTAATTATTTATGGTCAGATGCCAACTCAGCATTTGATCCAATATCTCGTACAATGTGTCACGAAGATATGAATCAACCATTGAACCATTATTGGATATCATCAAGTCACAATACGTAAATATCATTAGTTTAATTCTAATTTATTTGATCTTATCATTTCTATAGTTATTTAGTTGGGAATCAGTATCGTAGTCCAGCTTCTGTTCATTGTTACATTCAAGCTTTACTAAAAGGATGTCGATGTATTGAAAGTAAAAAGAACAAAAAAATAATAATTTTCTATTTTGCATGAAAAAAGAAATTCTTTTCAGTTGACGTCTTTGATAGCAAAACTGGTGCCGAACCAGAAGTAACTCATAAAAACACTCGTATTAAGCCAATTCCGTTACGTAATATTCTTGAGGCTATTCACGATTATGCTTTTGTTACTAACGAGTATAAATTGATAAAAAATATTTTGTGTTTTGTTTTTATTTATTACTTAAATTTCAGTTTCCCAGTAATAATTTCAATTGAAAATCATTGCTCAGCAGCACAGCGTACTCGTATGGCTGAAATGTTTATAGAAACGTTTGGTGGCAAGTATTTTGTCTGAGAAAATAAAATAGAACTGATGAATTTAACAATCATTCTGTTGAGTAGAAGCACTTCTTCAGTCACCTTTGTCACCGAATGAAACTTGTTATCCTTCTCCTAATCAATTAAGAAGAAAAATTCTATTGAAGGTAGTGCTGCTCAAATATACCCTAAGCTGCTTTCATGATTAATTAGATTGCTTTTTTTTAATATGAAAACAATCATTTTATACTCATTAATAGGATACAAAAAACAATAGTCCATCGTCTATGGAATTAAACACAGATTTGTCATTACAAGGTCTTGATGGTCATCTTGAAATATGGGATTTTTCAAAAAAAGTATGATTTTGTCTATTAGGATTGATTTATGTTTCTTATTTTCGAATTTCTTGCTACTTATTATTTTGAGTGCTAGAGGAATAGTGTCGACAAAATTTCGTTCATTTAGATGTTCTAACTTTCTACTGTTTTTTGTAATTATTTAACTGAAGATGACACCAAAACTTGTCAATTGAGATCTATTAACAAAACAATATCTCTTTGTTGAAAGCAAGTAAAAGAAAACTATAATTAAACTCCAAGTAATACAAATTTGTCTTCTTCTATTTTTCATTGGATATTTAAATAAATATTACCGTAGCTAAGAAAATTCTATCAAGTGAGTGATGAGTAAAGTCAAGAAATCTGCTTGCCGTATTTATCAAGGTTTATAATTAACACGTTTCTGATTCTAAAATTTACCAAGATTTTAAAAAGTAAAGTTGATAAGCGAACACAAAGTATCGTTTCAATCGCATGGCATAGTAAACCGGATTGCAGCACAAAAACTATTAGGTAGTATTTATGTTCTGTATAAAAATTAAACAACAACAAATCTAATCAACTTATTGGTGTTATTCAAAAGTGAGATCCAGTTTTCTGAAACTTATAGATGTATTTGCTTATTTCAGAGCTTGAAATTATTTTCTAATCATTATATCTAAGTTCAAAACATTTACTGTATCTCTCGTATTCCTGTTTGATAGTAAATCATATCGAAAGTGAATCCTTTTAATTTTAATATTGATCTCAATATATTTATGTGTGAATTCACACATACTAAGTAGCAATTAAATAATCGATTTTGTAACATTTTCATTAACAAATTATCTAACTATTACAATACATCCTCATATTTTTAATTAGAAATGGTTTAATTACAATTATTCACTTGACGATACTACTGTATCGTTGTGTAAATATCAGGAAACAAATAAACAACAAAATTCAGATGAAGATTTTAGTGATGATGAAATTGAAAAGGTTTGTTAAAATAATCTTTGTTCTATTTGAGTGAAAAAACAAGAACTTTTCTTTGCTTATCAAAGAAATTACCAGACGATAAATTAAAACAAATTTGGTATCATAAGACAATGTCACATAAAGAGGCACAAACTACTCTTTTATCAAATGCTGGTTATGCACCAGGAACATTTTTAATACGAAAAAGCTCTAATAGAAATTGTTATTGTGTAACATTTCTGTAAGTTTTTGTTTTTTATCTTGTTACGATTTGTTTACTAAGAAATAATTTATAGTGATTTGAATTCTGTGCCTAAAAGTATTGAAATTACACAAGAGAACAGCAATGATGGAAAAACTCTTTACTCATTAGCACAGAAAAAATTTGAATCAATACCATCTCTAGTTTCCTATTATAGAACATATGATTTTGCTGAAACAGTGAAAGGATCAACAAACCTAAAGGTATATCGATTAGGAAAACCATTACCACACCCAAATTGGCTTCAAGAACTTCACCGACAACCATGGTATCAACCGACTTTGTCAAGAAAACAAGCTGATGAATTGTTACGAGGTGTAAGTTAAATTATAAAAATACAAAACATTCTTCGCGAATTCGGTCATTTATCTTGAACCTAGATACTGCATAATGAATGTGTTTTTAATGAGTGATATAGAGTGTATCTAAAGTTACATAAAAAATCAAAATCTTCTCAAATTTAAATGTGTCAAAAATCCATATACTTCTTATAGCTTTTGCAAAACATGTATGGATACTATTATACACATTGTAGTTCCTATGTATTTTAGAGTTTTGATCATTGATTTCTATATGTTTAAAAATGTCTTCTTTTCTTAGATGTTGTTTATTTCATTAATTATGTGGTAACATGACACTTTGCTTACTATTATGCAGTTTTAAAGTTCATATGCTTCAAAGATTCTATTTTTGGCGCCTCAATGATCGATTTCAAATCAACTTGTAAGATAACCATCTTGAATGGTCTGTTCTTCTATATAGACACTATGAATGATTTCTATGTCATATAAATCAGCGAAGTATATCTAGTGATATGATATGCAGAACTACTTTATGACCAGAAAAAAGCAACGCCCTTATCTCTAAAGACTCGATAGGAGAGTACGTATATGAGTTCAGTGGAAATAGTTATGCTATTTCTATTAATTATTTTTTCAAAATCTTATTTCTAGTTATCAAATTTAGTTTTTGGAGACAATTCACAAATAATCTATAAAAACATTATTGCCTATATTCACGATACTTCATTCCGTAACTTGACACTCTCCTATCGAGAATTTAGATATAAGAGCGTTGCTTTTTTTCTGGTTATAAAGTAGTTCTGCATATCATATCATCAGAAATGCTTCGCTAATTTATATTACATAAAAAACCTTTTATAGTGTCTATATAGAAGAACAGATTATTCCAGATGATAATTTTGCAATTTGACTTGAAGTCGTTAGGATGTCAAAGACTGAATCCTTGAAACATATAAAATTTAGAACTTCACTATTGCAGACAGAAATTCATGTTGATATTTACTTTTTTTTCTTCTTTCGCACAAATTGGAACACAGAGATACGAATATCACATAGCTATGAAATAATCAAGCAATAAGCAACAGATCATTTTGCAGCAACCAGAAACTAACAATTAAAAGTACTCATTATAGACTTTTAAAGAGTATCAATAACCATGTCAGATAGAGTGGTAAAAATATTAAAATGAAGTTGTGCTGAGAAAATTTTACGGATTAAGCCATATATAAATACTAGCCATATTTCAAAACGACTAAAATCGTTATATGGATTCATATCAACTCGAAAATTGAGAAAATGTTGATTTTTCACTTAATTTTGTATGCACCAAAAATTGCACGATAAAATCGCATATGCGCTATCTTGGCTTACGATAGATCCTTGAATTCGCCACGTCGCGTTTCTTCTGCGTATTGTTGAATTTTTTTAAAAACAAAACAGACTGCTGAAGACATGACATTTCTTGTGCGAGACTCATCAAAGCGTACTGGCCAAGATTCTACACTATCTATCTATATAAACCATGTAGTACGTCATATACCTATCTATCGTGATGGTACAGATTTAATGGCGATGTCTTTATCATTTACAAGTTTAGTTGAAATTGTTAGCCATTTTTCTCATCACGCAATATTCGGAAAATCATGCTTACGAAAGCCTGCAAAATCTTATTTTGATTTTATTAATGAACAACAAAAAAATGAACCAGATCAAGTTCACCAAGATATAATCACCAGTAAACCACTAGAAGATAGCATTACATTAAAAATTGACACTCTTCGAGTGGGTAAGCTTGCTTTTTTTCATCTTTTTTTTATTAGTTTTTAGTATATGGTTGTTACCGTTTGAATTTATTTAGTTAAAGTTGATTATAATCAAAATGATCAATTAGTTCTAGTTCAATTATATATTGATGAAAAATATAAAAAAGAATGTGAACGTTACTGCTTTAAATTCGATTCAATCAAAGATTGTGGCAACTTTACTACAATGTGTTTTCCTGCACCGTCACCATTATTATCAAGAGCTCGATGTCATGATGACTCCTCAAGTACTCTGAGTCTTTCATCGTCATCTAAAACATCAACAGCCTCTTTAACATCACTGCAACAATCGCAAACATGTAAAACAGAATTAGATAAATTGATTATTTATTTTCAATGTGTTAAATCAAAAAATAATTTTAAAGAGCCGAAACAGCTTAGAGGTAGATAATTTCTATTATTATACTTGAGATGTTTTTCTTCTTAATTCCTTAGAAATAGCTGAGACTTTTGCTAATCTTCTTACGAAGTAGTAGATTTTCAAAACGAGAATATACATCTAGAAAAAAAAAATTCGAAGATAATATAATTTGTTTTTAAATTAAACCTATCAAATTCATCGATGATCAGCTTTTATTCGTGCTTCTTGAAAACAAATAACTATGTTTCACTTGTAGAAGCTTTCTTTTTTTGGAAAGATGAGATTGCCGTTTTTTCTCATTATGTTGATTCGACAACATTGATACCATGACAGTTCTAATTAAAAACAAAATTTATCGAATGAGCATTCCAGTTTTGTATCTTCGAGGTGCATGTACTCGATAATAGTTATCATCTGTCTGTTCTATTCAAGTAGAACTGCAAAAGAATGAGAAATTATTCGATTGTATCACAAATTTACAAGTTGTTTTCATGTGACAGAAGTCGATATTATTTTTCTTTAGAAAAAATAAAATCATTCCAAGAAATGATTTCGCTTGGTCATATCAAAGCCTATGGATTTTGTTCTAACGATACTGAATCAATGATTTCGTATGTTCTATTAAATTTAAATTTAAATGAAAATGAAAATTTATTTTATTTCTTTGTCAATAGATTTAACCGAGATCATTTTACTCGTGTTTATCCCGTTTTTTCACTAAACTCAATCAGTTCATCTAATTTTGAACCCCTCCTATATTGGTTAACTGGCTGTCAACTAGTAGCACTCAATTTTCAAATGCCTGGTTTGTACTGATTGAAATTATTTTATAAGAAATTCTATTCACATACATATCTATTTTCTATTAATTAGATCGTCCTATGCATATTAATGCTGGCCGATTTGCAGCTAATGGCAGGTAAAACTTAATTCTCTAAGTCATAATTATTATTTTTTGGGAAAAATTTAAGCTAGTATTTCTATTGTATTCCTTTATGTTTTTATTCGTTAGTTGTGGTTATGTTCTTATGCCGAATTACATACGTTCACAAAATGAAAATTTACCAAGGCCAGATACAGTATCAATGATAATGAAAATTCGTGTTATAGCTGCTCGACATTTACGTACAAATCAATCGAAAAGCATTTCAAAACTAAACGTTAAAGCTACCATTATTAGTAAACCAAAACTTGGTGGTGATAAACACATTTATTCGAGTAAAGTTTTTCTTTTAAAGAAGTTTTCTTTTTAAAATATTGAATTTGTAAATAATAGTAACACTTGATCACCCATGGCATATGTTGGATTCAAAACCATCAAGAAATCATGATCATATACACACATACAAATCTCTTCAATCAGATAATAGTGAATGTGATCTATTATATTTTGAAGTATATACTGATAATGAAGAATTTTGTGGACAAAAAGCTATCCCATTATCATCACTACGACCAGGTCTATTTTTTTCTTTTTTTCTTTTATTATAATCGAAAAGAAACTAAATTGTTGTTTTAAATATTTTTGTTTCATTGTATTGCTTCTTTTAGGCATTCGATCGGTAGCATTACATGACAAATTTAATGAATATTTAGATATGAGTGCTCTACTAGTTGACATTCAATTTGAAACTGGTAAGTTTTTTTTTTAGTTTTTTAATATATTTTAATAGAACAATTGTCTACAAAATATATTTTTAGTATGATTGTGCTCGTCGACGTTTATAAATAAGGTCATGCTGACTGAAGACATATACTTGTTTGAATATTGAAAAAAAAAGAAAATTATGATTATCGTTCGTGTTTTTATTATAATTTCTCTTTTTTATACACTTTTTATTCGTGCTCTCGTTCTGTTTGCGTCTGTCTTTCCTTCACATTCTGTCTCTTTAAAACATAGAAGAGTATAATTTGATTTCATGCAAGCTAGAGAAGCACAACACGCACACCTGTATTTAAAAAGGAAACAAACTAATACGAGGGATATATATATATATATGTAAAGACAGAACAAGGAACAATTTGATATTTCTTCTTTATGCCCTTTCTTGCCTTTGATGGTTTGTCTTTCTAATTATGTTACATCGATGTTAATCTTGTCTCTTTTTCTCTTTCATCAATATTGGATACTTTTTCTTTCTTGTGTGAGTAAGCTGAATTATTGTCTCTTCTTTCTTTTACTTTTTTCTTTCTTCCGTTTTATTCCTTCTACTAAGATCTGTCAATTCGATTTTTCAAGGGCAATTGGAGAAGGAGTGTCAACATACTCCACTTCATCGTTTATTTCTTTTGTCGCATGCTTTGCAGCTGCTAATGTCTGCTGAAAGGTGTCATATAGTAATATGCTACTTTTCTATTCTAATAGAAAAAGAAAAGAACAATGGAAGAGAGTCTCTCTTTCTCTTCTCGTTGCTTCATCCCATTAACAATCCTCCGTCATTACCAAAGGCAGAACCACTCATACTACTGTTGCCGCGTTGATTTTTTTGCTGTACGCTAGTCGGCATTATATGACGCATATCGTAGCTATACGATCGGCAAAAAAAAAGAAAAAAATAACGAACAAAGAGAACGAAGGTTTGCACAGCCCCGGACGTCCGTGTCAATCTACGCGAGTGTACTTCTGCAATCGTGTTGGATACCTCCTTGTCTTACTTGTCTGCTGCCGTACGTAATAGAGTGCATCATGTGCTCGTCTTAATGCATGCATTTTTACGAAGACCCAAAGAAAAAAAGGAAGAAAGAATAGAACAGAACAGAACGCTAAATGAAAGAACCAGCAGACGAACGAAATATTTTGAATATTGCTAGACGCCCTCTCACATATTCTATAGGTGATTATGAAGACCAGACAAGCTTGTGCGATCTTTCTTCTTTTCTCTTCGTATGTATTTAGTGGGTTGCCCCTCATCATTGTGTTGCTGTGTGCTCTCTCGTGTAATACTCGAGCAACTGGAAAAAAAAAGAAAAAAAAAAGAGAAAAAAAGGCAAAAACGTTGTTCGATGCGATGCGTCTATTGAATATAGAAGAAAAAAACGAGAGAAGAACGATTTTTTTTTGCTTCTTGATAGGAAAAAAACCGGGCCAAGCAAAGAGGGTGGTGGGGGAAACGAGAAAGAAAGAAACGGCAAGGCGCGTGCACTAATCATGTCCTTGAACGGCTCGCTCGTGCACTCTCGATGCCATGGTGGGCGTTCGTGGATTCCGACTGTGCACAAAACGAGAATGAGAAGATGATGATGAAGCAACTTTTCCCCTGTGTGTCCTTTGTCTATGTCTCACTATCTACTTTTGTCTGTCTATCTCTTTCTCTCTGTGTGTGTGTGCGTGTGTGTGTGTGTGCGTGTATGTGTGTGTGTCTCTTCCGAATTGAAGTCAATCATCAGCTGTATATTCTAGAAAACTATTCTCTTGTTTAATTCATGGTCGTCGTCTTTCTTCCAATATAGCAAGCACGTCTCCGATGCAACCATCCGCACCTTATAATGATCCACAACAGTCCATCTGATGTTTTGTCATCGTCTGCACTACATATAGGTCTAACTGGCGGCACCCACAATTTAATGGTTAAACAACAGCAGTCTGATTCTCATCAATACCTTCCTAATCATAACAGTGACTCGTCGCGTTCATCATCAATTTGTTCATCTTCACTTTCACCTAAAACTTCACCGTCGACAGCTGCTACTTCAATAACATTGGCTTCAGCTCCTATACCGTCAACAACAGTGGCAGTTAATTTCGCTGATATTGATCCACAATTAGCTCAACATATCGAATATGAATTAGGTTTAACAAAAAAGAATGGTAGTGGCAGTGGAGCACGCAAAAATGCATGGGGAAATTTAAGTTATGCTGAATTAATCAGTAAAGCTATTACAAGTAGTACTGAACAACGTTTAACATTATCTGAAATATATGACTGGATGATAAAATATGTTCCATTTTTTCGTAATAAAGTTGATAGAACTAGCAGTGCTGGCTGGAAGGTATATATCTTCAACACTGAAATGAATTGTTTCATCAGTGTTATTTTAAATTATTTTAAAAAATATGAAAATATTTCACACTAATTTAATTTCTTGTTCTTTTTTAGAATTCCATTCGTCACAATCTATCACTACATAATCGATTCAAACGTGTACAAAGTGAAGGTACCGGTAAATCATCTTGGTGGATGATTAATCCCGATGATAAAAATACTAGTGGTAACAGTGCATCATCATCATCATCATCAACTGGTATTAAACAACCACGACGACGTTTAGGTCAAGGCAACAAATCCGCATCTTTATCATCGACAATACCAAAAAGACTTCGCACACCTCGTTCAACTAAAACGTCTCGAGCATTGATTACAACACAACAAATAGAACAGCGACATCAAGCGTCAGTTTCTCAACAAATGCAACCTCCCGATATGACTGTAACATCAGTTTATGAAGCGCAGCAATGGCCGTCTCAATTAGAAACAGACAATGGAAATGATCATTTGTATGAACAAGAACTTTATTCAACAACAGTAAGTCCTCCAACAACGAACAGTAATGGTAATTCAACAGCATGTATGCAGTCGGCATATTCATATGACGATATAACAACAAATTATGCTGGTAATGCAGGATCAAACAACAACAACAATAATAATAATAACAATAATAACACCGGTGACTATTCATATCCTCATCCGCATCAATTTCATCCTCATCCACATCATTCACATACACTTTATCAACATCATCATGAACCGAATTATGATAGTAGTTCAACGAGTAGATATTATCATCAACAATCGGTGCTTAATGATCATCTTTCTAATCGATGTTCTCTTCCAATTGATACATATCACTCAAATAATCCAGGAGCATACTCATTACAACAACAGCAACAAATCGATCCGAATGATGAACATATTTATTTACGTGTTCATTCGACTTCATCACATTCATCATCAGCATCACTCTCACCACCTACATTAACCACAAATAATAATATTTTACCGTCATCTTCGTCCGGTTCATCTTCTTCGAACTATACACTTACACATACACATAAATCTTCACCATCCGGTAGTTATCTTCATCCATCATCGAATGGAACACCAACACTTTATAGTCATCATCATCATCAACATCTTTCACATGCATATCATTCAGATATTGAAACATTACTTCAGTTAAATACTGAAGATGATGATATGGATGATGATGATGATTTTTCAACTCTTGTACATCATCATGGACTAATCGATGATCAACAAGCATTATCATCTTGTTTTCCTAATAATAATAATCACAATCATCAATTACACTCTCACAATGATACATCAACATCAATTTTGCGTACGGTGCTTAATAGACCGATTGTCGGTATGTATTACATACTTTTATTTTAGTCAAGAAAAAAAACATGCCTTCTTTCATCTTCTTTTAGATATGTACAATCAACAGGTGTAAAATGACCGGTTTTATTTCTATAAATATACCATTAATATATGCATACATACATACATACATACATACATATATATACATCCCTAAATTCTACAAAATATCACCGACGATCCAATTTTTGTTTTTGTAGATATTGTGCAATGTATTCTTTACTGTGAGAGTCATTTTACATGACATCCACAAGAATGCATTTTTTCCTTCTCTTTTTCCTTTTTTGTTACTATTTTTTCTCTACACGGTAAAGTTATTTTCTTCTTTGTTTGCTTCTCTTTTTCATCATTTAAAGTTCTGGAATATTTTCATTCGGTCATCCTCCTTTAATCGTTCTCTTTCAACCGAAATGGTAACCGGTGATATTAATATAATGGCAAAATAAGAACAAAGAGTAACGAAAATTGAAAAACTCAGAAGTTTTTATTCTAACAGTGAGAAAGATCTTCGTCATCATTAATTGTTCTTTCCTTTTTATACACACGAATAATAATATTTTTTTGTTTGGTTTCTTTTATATTTTTTTTTCGTGTGTCTGTATGTTTGTCAATTTTTGTTCCCAGTTTTCACACGCACATATATGCACACGAGTTGCTTTTGGAGTCTTTTATTTTCTTCTCTCGTGTTTGCGCTTGTTTCATTTTTTTTTTGTATTTTGTAAAGCTCGATGTGTATAAAATTAGAGTGAAAAGAAAAGATGGCAGGAAGATATTAATATTAAACTGAGAAAACCAAAAAAAAGTTGTTCAAATCTTATTTCTGGATCATACAAAAAAATAATCTCATGTGAATATAGAACAAAGAATTCAAATTATTTTAAACAGATATTTTAAGAATGAATAAATTTCTAAGGAATTACAAATTTGGATTCGTTAGAATACAATTTGGATTTAATGATGAATTAAAATCTAATATGATGAATCTCAATGATACAATGGAACCATCGGAATACGATTCAATCGAATGTGAACATTATCGAAAATGAAGATAAAGTATTTATGCAGATATTTTCATATCGATTAGTATTGAGTAAACATCTCAAAGAAAAGTTATTCATATCGTACAATTAATATTATCGTTAATTATCTCCATAGTAGATATGAAACGATAGATAATTAAGTAGGAAATTTATTTAGATTTATTTTATGCAATAAATTATAAGACACGCATAGAAGATTCAATTTTGAATTGTTCAAAAGAAATAGATAGTATATTTTATTCAAAATATCTTAATAAAAAATCTTATATTCTGTTTAAAAAAGACACTTAAAACTACGATTGAATTACTTAACATAATCATTTATCAGCATTTTGCTTTTCTTAACATAGGTTTTTTTCTAGTAGGTTGGTTTTTAATAACTTGTAAATGTGAATGTCTTAAGAGAGCTTAGGTTTAGTTTTTCCCTTGCCAAGACTATAGAAAATATTTGAAAAAGATAGATTTCCTAAGCAATTAATATATTTCGAATTTCTTCAGTCATATTTCCATGATTAGTTTTAATCAATTTTCATAATACTTCTCTTTCTCTCTCTCTCTGTCTACATAGATTTCTGAGTTGAAAAGGAATCTATCTCATCATTGTTTATCTCAAACTCTGAGTTTTACATTATTTCAATGGTTTGTATTGATAATGAACTTTTTTCCTATTAGAAATTCCAATTCAATCAAGAAATTTGAATATTTTAAAATTATCTCATTGATTATGAACTTTATCGATAAACTGTCATGCGACAAATATTACAGAATGTTTCCCTTTGGCAACCAAACGGAGAATGATCAAATAAACTATTTAATTTAATTTGATAAAAGATTGAAAGGAAACCAAATAACATCGCAAACACAAACTCGTATTTCGTTTGCGTTTTTTTTTGGTTGACTCTAGCACGTAGTCTGGCAACGTTGCAGAAATTCTTTCGTTCACATTCTCTGGTGTTATTCTCGTACTTGAATTTTGTACCGACGGAAAAATGTCGTGTCAAGTATTTGAGTAGATAAGAGCATTCTTCTTCAGTAAGGGGGAAACGACCTAAATCATTTCAGTGCATACCTAGTTTAGACTATAGTAGATTGTACAATAACTAAAATCTTCACGTGAAATGCATTTGTTTCTATTTCTCATCGTAAAGTTGTTCCTTTTACATTCTAAGAATAGTGTTTTTTCTGTTTATTATTTAAATTAAATAAGTGTTGATTTTAATCAGCTTATGTATATGAACCGACGCAAATAAACTCAAAGTTTGGAAAAAGTTGAAGACAAAAAACGTATATTGCTTTCTTCTAATTTCAATTCGAATTGAATATTTAAAAAGCACAAAACTGAGCTTTGAAAACAAGAAATGATTGAAGAACATATTTCATCAAGAAAAACACAGATATATGCACAAGTGGTGCATGTATTGTTGCCCTAGCACTACTTTCGGTATTAATCCATTAGGTTCTCTTTTTTTAAATCTGTTGAAATATCTGCTAAAGTGTAAAATAGCTATTCAATTGACTAATAACTCAAAGGATATTTATTTCTATGAGTTCTTCAACATTTAAGAATAGTTTTATTTCATGTAATTACTTCGTCAAGAGGTGACAAAAGCTTGCGACTGATTCTACTTGATTTTGTATTTTTTTTTTACATATTTTAACTAAACAAATTTTCAATCTGGAATAATTTAAATCATTAAAGGATCACTGAACACTGATAATCGTTTCAAAGTTGAGAACAAACAAATATACCTTATTCAAAATAATGACGTTTTTTATTCGTAAGCCGATGATTAGGATAAACTTTGCATTCTTACTGTTGGAAAAAAATGTCGATTCAAATATGTTTTTCAGCATGGATTCACTATATAAATAACTATGTACCTGTAAAATATCTAGTTAAATGCTATGATTCTAGTCTATTCCTTTGGGTGTCTGCAAAGCTGAATCAGTCTACAATATATGGTAGATCATTCATATCTATTGATTCAAAAACGTTTCAATTACAAACGTTAGATACGATTAGGACGCTTCGTTGGCACTTATTAGCTATTTATCGTACAACACTCCACGCTTATTTAGAGACCTAATTAGAAAAGTATATCTTAAATGTATTTCTACAATATTGTAAAAATTACCGAACTTTTTTCAATAATATATAAAGCTTTTAGGACCGAAAATATTTATTAATCGAAATATGAATGCATCTGAATTAGAACTAAATTATTACACTATTGAGAAAACTATGTGCATATATCTATAACTAAGTTAATTTGATAGTTTTATTTTTCATCATAATAAAAGATCAAATATTATATTCAAATCAGAAGTCTAGCTGCTTTGATAAAAAAAAGGAAAAACTCTGGAAAATTTTGGAAAATTTTGGATCTTTTTAACTTCATTTTTTTGTTTTTTCATGATCTAAATTATAATCTATCTTGTTTCAATTGCTCAATGAAGAATATCTATTTGCTGAGTTGATTTTTTACAAATATTATAGAATATACCTTATCAATAAACTCATTGTATTCAAACCAATATGCGACTAACGACGACACTTAATAAGCCAGTAGATATGGTATTCTTGTTAAATAATGTAACTAGTCAAGATTCGGATGAAGTTCATCTGATGAACACTATGAAACTAAGATAAGAGAGAGTACGTTACAATAAAATGGTACAAGTAGAATGCAATTGAAGTATAATAAAAAGCATAAAAATCAGTTCTTGTTTTTTATCACCAAGACGAATAACTAGTAGATCTGATAAGATATGAACAATAATAAGTAAAATCATGATAATCATGGGATAAAGATTACGAATTTTTAGTATTTATTACAAAATACACACAGATGTTTGTCAGAACGTTGTCTTAGATGCCAAAAAAAGAACAGAAATTATGGAAAACATTGTAGATACTGTTATCAATTCATACTAGCGAGAGAAAAATGTTAATAAAATGATAGAATTCGTCGACAGTTGATTTCACTAGATAAATTAGTATAATATTGATAGCTAGATAGAATAGTATTACAAAAACTACAAAGAAAAGGAAATATTGAAAAACTAAAATAATTGCATAGTTTTAGAATATAATTCTAGTAGCTATTTGTTTTATGTCCATCGTCATTGATGCGGATGAAAATGATCAAACTTTAGCTACTGGCAAGACATACATACATCTGGGTATATTTACGAGAGTCTTGCTGTTTAATCAATATCTTACAGTTGATGGTGAGCTTTTACAGTAAGAATCACAAATTTTACGACATACAACTATTTTTTTATTTAGGTATATTTATCTCTTGTCGATAATGAAACCATTAAGCAAAGATTCTTTTAGTATTTACGACTCATAGTCAAATATGAAACTTTGATGTACAAAAAAAAAGTTAATAATCTTTTGAATACTATCAGTTAGGAATGTAGTATAGACTGTAGCAATAAATGATATACAATACCGTGATTTTATGTTTATTGCAGAATGGTACAAAGGAAGAAAACATCTGTCTGACAGAAGGAAAAGACGAACCGAAACATTTTTTATCTATATCCATCACTTTCATTCTTTATATACGTAGATAGATGTGCGTGTTCATGTACTTATTGTTTAGGCCAAACTAGTAAGTCGTATCAATTAATGCAAATGATACGGATTGAAAAAAAGGATAAAATTGTTCTTGATGAAAAACGAAGTATATCATCAAGCTCGAAAAAATATAATTCAATATGATGGGATCGAGGTTATCGTCATCAAGAAGTCATTTGCGGAATAATTCAATCATTCTATTTTCGTGTTCTAATTATTTTCTTAGTTATTTTTGATATCTCATTATTAATTTCTGAAATTATGTTAGACACACTTAAAATGCAATACGAATGTAAACTTCATGTTCATCAAGCGTCACATCACTCCTATGAAACAATTAAAGAACATGTTGAATTAGCGACGGAAAGTACACATTATTCATCCATAGTCATCTTAAGTTTTTTCCTCATTGAATTATTGATTAGAATATCTGGATGTGGAAAAGACTTTGACTTTTGAAATATTCGAAGAAAAAAAATACAATATTTTGATGGTTTCATTGTTGTTACATCATTCATTATTGATTTGTATTCTTTACAGTATGAAAAGAAAATTCTAAGCAAAAAATTACTTATATTTTCGTTTCATTTATGGCGTTTTGTTAGAATTATCAGTAGTAAGTTAGATATTTTCACTAGATAATTTCTATAAAAACGAAATATATGATTTCGTTTCAGGTGTAGCTGAAGGAGTTCATGATGGGAATATCAAGCATAAATGACGGTTAAATAGATAATATCTTATTGCTGTTCATCGACTTGTTGGCCGTCTTTTACACAAAACAAATCATGTTGAAAATAATAGCGAATACTTCAATTCTATACTTCCATATTTTCGTATGATTGATGATAAATATAAATCGTCACTTAATAGGCTTGAGAAGAATCATGAATTATCATCATCAACGATTGTAACACAATTTATTAACGAATCAAATGAATTTGAAGATAGACATGATGATAAAATGAATTCAAAACTGTTGGTCAAATCGTCAGAAGTACAAATGATTTAACATGTTTCTTTTTGAGTGTAAATAAAACAAAAATTCTTAAAAGCTGTCCTGCCTGAAATAAGTTTTACAGCTTGAAGTATTATTGTATACAATACGATGTATTTGATGGGTGGAAAGATCGAAAATATATTCTATGAACAGCAATGATTGATAATGGTTAAAGAGCAAGTCTGAAATGAATTAGTTCATTGATTAAAAAATCAAAAATATAAAAAACAAAAGGAGCTGGGTTTGAGTCGATTTTCTNAAAAAACAAACCGAGCGGGGTTTGAGGCGAATTTCTTGACTTAACCCCCCCCCCCCCTAAAAAAGTTGATTTTTTCGAAAAGATTAAAGTTTGAGTTTTTCTCATGGGTAGATGCCTCAGAGTCTCCTCTTTCAGATTATATATAGGTTTTCTTAAAAAAAGGTTCGATTTTAAGGGATTTCTCGAAAAAATACTAAACCTTACTACCTTGTTTTTCGAGAAAAGACAAGTGGTGGTAAAGTCATTTTTTGACCAAACTATTTTCTGAAAAAGTAGTCACATGATTGGAATCAGTATAAAATTCTGAACAAAATAGTGTACTTTTTTTTGTAAAATCATTTTGCCTTAGTCACCCTCCAGAAAACGAAATTGTTTTTCCTTTTTCCGGAGTTTGATCTAGACATAGCTTATTCAGTACGCTGATCATAAATATGATATTTGTCTTTCATACAAATGTTCTCCGAATAAAAAAAGTGGCACTTCTCGACCCGATGACGATTTTGTTTTACCTTGCTTCACAGATCGTTGTCTTGTAATCAAAGAAATCAATTTATGAAAGAAGAAATACAATGAATCTGTGCAGAAATGATAGTTCTATCGATTTCATTCAATTGAATGGGTTAAAAGCAATGTTGGTTATGTTTATTAGGTTAAAAACTCTCATTTCATATTCATAAGTATAGTGTAGGCGAGTCAGTTGAAAGAATAGAGCTAATAGTAAAGATCGTTTATAGGTGTTGCGAGTTGAAATCACTCATCACATCATCGAACCGATTCAGTGTAGAAATATAACAAATAGATCTTTTTTCTGAATTTTTTTTCAAGTTTAAACAAAAGAATGATTCTTAAACTTATTCATCGTTTTTCTCAAAACAAGGTTTTTTGTCAGAAAAAATGAAACTAGTTCCAAGCGATTTAAGATAATAAGATCATTTTTTTGTTATTTTGAAGCTTCAAGTATAAGTAAAATCTTGTCCGATCAGATTTTGTATATTTGATTCCTGAACTTAGAAACGTCGGATTCTATACCAACAGATGGTCATTTTTAGCCAAATTTTGACCCCTATTCGCGTAAAATACTTGCAAAACATTAACTAAAGTAAATTTTTAAATTTTGTTCTGACAAAAGTTGCTTATTGGTGTTGGGTTTAATTTAAAACAAGCGCGACTTGTATAGCTCTCCTACTGGCAGAGCCTTATGGATTCTCCTGGTGGCCATAATTCGTATGTAGACAAGCCATATGTTCGGCTCAGTTCAATATATCGAGCTGAAATTTTTATCACGGTTGTTTCTAATGAAGACCAGTCATCTCTGAAAATTTAAGCTCAAATGAACCTTTCTAAGTGACGACTCAGATCTGAGCGGGGGGAGGGGTCTTAAGATAACGAGTTAGATTTTTTAAATTATCAAAAGGCTTCAATAAAAAATAAAGAGGTATCTAGAATTATCAATATTTACCAATAGAAAATATGTGCTACAATATTGATTACTAATTAATAAAATCTTGACTAATGTGAAATAAACTGCTGTTAGAATGATGATAAGAAGTACAAGTATAATTTTTAGCTCAAGATTCTTCTATAGATTATTCATATTATAGAATAGATATTTCGGGTGAGTATTTCATTTAAACATGAAAACTATTATTGATATTCGATATGACTGTATTCCTATGAGGTTTATCATTCATTCACTATCGTATAGGCATCAAAAGACTATGTTTCTACTGAATAGTAAAATGCGCAGTTTCTAATAGTGATATTCACATGAAATTAAGACCGAATTTTTAAAGTCAAGAAGATTTTTACACGATTGAGGTTTTGTATTCAGAACAAAAAATTGAATAGTTTAGTAGCAAATATGGATCCTGTTAAAGTTCTAAGCTATATTCATTATTGATTCAAATAATCTTTTCAAGCCAATTTACAACGAATACAGAGTTTGATTGACTAATAAAGACGATGAATGCACGTCTTACTGGCGTAGTTGGTTGACATATAGACAGATGATTATTCCGAGTACGGTGATATGTATTTTTATGGCTGGAATTTTTCGAAATAATATTAGTCTGAACAATTAGTTCGATTGAAATCAGTTTAAAAAAAGCTGTTTTAGTTAGATGGTTGTCCATTTTGATTATATTTCATTCATGGTATTGCTTTAGAATTTCTTTCTATCAACCTTTGAAAACATGCAAACATTTAAAGTTAACACAACATTCGTCTTTTGACAATTATACATGAGAAAGCCGTGGCTACTTTGAAGAAGTTATACAATCGTATTATGATTCATACACTTAATAATGGCAATATGATACTTAAAAAACAAGTTTGATAGGTCATTCTTAAACTATCAAAAACATATACAAGCAACACATAATTTCGTACGATGTATTGGTAGTTTTAGTGACAGCATGGTTGTCATGAAGAATTGAGCTATCATGTCGTCATAAAATGTATTGGCACATTTTGTCATATGGAAATTCGAATGAAAGTTATTGAGAACAACATAAGCAAGCATTTTTCAAAAAAGTATATTTAGAAGTTTTGAATATCTAAACCCATACTAAGAACTAGGTGTTTCAAGAACATAAAGAAGATGTATAATATAATTGGAACTATATCATATTAGTGTCACTTTAGTTTAAGTTTTGCTCAGAAATAAGTATTACAGATCATGGCAATAGATGTCACTAATCCCAGTGAGAGAAATTATTAAAAATCAAATTAATCAAAATTTAAAATTATTTATATTTTATTATTCTAAAAAAGTAAAAAAAATAATGTTGACTTTCTTTTCTGATTCAAAGTCACTAAAACTAACTAGTGATTATACCATGAAAAAGAAAAATATTATTTTCTTCGAAATTATTTTTCATTTATTTTAACTTCAAAAGAGGGGAAACATTTTATTGCTGACATCAATTTTCATTGGTGAGCATAAAATACCTACCGAGCCGTCCGAGCAAGCGAACGCTCGATAGCCTCGATAACAATTTGAGAAACAAATAAATAACTAATAGAAAAGAAATCATGGCTCGAAAAAAAAATTTTTTTTTTGTATACGGTATTTACTATTACTCATGATTAAAGATTGAATTAATCATTTTAGAATAACGGTAGTATCACAGATATGTTCTGAATTTCTTATCGAAATCAAATTGAACGACGCAATTAACTGAAATAATCTTGTTTATAGATGGTGATTTCTAGGCACTAAAAAATATTTATGATACATTTTAATCGTTATGTAGCTAAAATAAGCAATTATCTTCGAGCAATTAATTGGAAACATTAATTTTAATCGATTCTGTTTTTCTTCTTTTTACCATTTGACTCCTCATAATGACCGTAAGTTGTTTAAACATATGAATATTGTTATTATTTTTAACAAAAATATAAAACGATATATTTTGATTTTGTAGGATTTTATTTTTGGTGATTTTTCTGAACAAGAAACAGAAAAATTCTTTGGTCATGATAAACAAACTGTAACAATAAATGAACCGGAGGTATTGTGCATGTTTGTTAGCGACAACGAAAATTGTTTAATATTGTTTTTTTTCCTTCTTCTTCGTATGATACTAGTTCCCATGGGCAACTGATGATTGTATGACAACAACTATTGAATTTGGTTTTGACGTGCCATCTGTCATATCTCCGTCAGGTGTCGGAGCCGTTTCATATCCAATGTATAATTCTTGCAATGGAAGTTCATCTCATCAGGAATCGACAGGTTCTGCATTAACATCTCCACCATATTCATCTAAAAGCTCATCAGTAGAAAATTTAAAAATTACTAAACAATCATCATCATCACGTAACCATCATCATAGTGATAGAAAATTAAAGAAAAAACGTCCACCGAATTATTATCGACAAGAATATCAACAAATGCTTGAACAATCTACACTTCAACAACAACAACAACAACAACAACAACAACAACAGCAACAACAACAAATCAATGGACAGAATGATGAAACAACGCCAACACAAATATGTTCCAACGAACAAACACCACAAATAGAACAAAATGCTAATGACTCTAATTTATTATTACTATCTACTAATGATGATAGATACATTTCATGTGATCAATGGGTAGATTCAACTATGAAACATCAGATGGTAAACAATGACGAAGATCAATTATCATCAAAACAATCAGTTGATGATGACGATGATGAAATAGATTCACATGGTAAAATTAGTTTTGATCAATTTATATGAAACTGAGCATCGTCAAAACTTAATAATCAGTTTATTTTTCTTGAGTTTTATCGAAGTCACTACATTTTTATAATCTTTCGTGTATTCTTCCTATCTTATAAATATTCAGAGCTTCTCGTACTGTTCGATAAAATTTTAATTTTGACACATTACAAATATTTTAAGATCGACACATTGTACAGATACATAATCTACTGAAACAATTCAGTAGAAGTGTTTCGTAACTAAAAGTATTTGTACATGTAGTTCCTTCGAGGCAAAACTGTAGAAATAATATGTTTTCTTTAGTCTGATTAGACATATATAAAACATGTCAAATGAAAAAGCTCTAATCAGACTATTGATGTTTTCCAAAAGTAATTTTTCTAATTTATTTCTTGATTTCAAAAATTCACTTTACTTTTTTACTGATCATCTATTTTTTTTTACCTTGTTCCTATTCGCTCGATGTTTTTTTAAATTTTCGTAAGTAGTTTTTCTTGATTTAACGCTATCGTTCTAACTATTAATTTAATCTGTAGTAACAGGGCTTATTTAATATATCTATTATATTTACAGCACGTTCTCAACGTACGATGCTATATCTGGAGAAACTCATAAACACTAAAGTTGATTATTTCCTACAGAGATAATTCTATTAGTTCACGCGATTGATGTTAATCATACAATGATTGTGGCAAATCGATGTATCCGTACTCATTATTTTCGACGTCTTTATTATTAAATTCTATTTAGAAAAAAATTGCAATATTGCGACTATACGGACGCATTTTTTTAGAACTCTGTAGACTTCATTATAAATACTGTTGAGTACAGATTCACGCTACCAAGTAGCTTCGTGCCAGGAATCATATACCTGTAATTCTCGGTTGGTATAGTAACGTATCCAATTACAATTGACTTCTACCTGTGCCACTCTTCTCTCCCGGTTGCTAGAAAAAATATACTGATTGTTCTCTGACCTTTGACCTACTGTAATATGAGAGAGGGGTCAGAGAAGCCACGAAACATCCACTCAAAATTCCTACTTACTATGTTTTCTCCGCAACGATAATGTCACTACAAAATAAATTCATATATGTTATTCATTTTAATTGAATAAAGATGTGATAACCAATGACATTTTATCTTTAGTTTGTTCACCTGTCGTGATTTAATACTTTCCATGCAAAATAAACTAATCGATTTCATAAATGTTCATGCGTATATCATGAGATAAATCCAATTAGATTTAGAAAGACCAGAAAAATATTGTGTCAATACTCTTTTCTATTGCAAATCCTTAATCAGTCAATAGAAATAAATTCTACATCGAATAGGATAAGAACTACAATGAAAAAGAATATATTTCAAAGATATCTTCGTAGTCTTCATCAAGTAACTAGTTAAAGTAAATACGAAAATGATTTGAACTAAGCATCAATAAAATCTTACTAATAATTCTGACAGGACGATAACAATTCTTAACTAAATATTATCATTTTTTCTTTGCAGGACCTGAAACAACAACAGATACAGATAATGACAATGATCTTCTTCAAAGTACATCAACAACTCGTCCAAGTTATCCCGTTAACATAATCCCAACCGATAAAAAATCAGAAAATAAATCAATTCAGAATAGCACTCAAAATCTATTGAGTACACCAAATCAATTAACAAATGATTTAAATATTTATTCTACGTCAGTTGCCAGTGGAACATCTATTGAAACGTTAAAAGCATCAAATAATCTATCGTCACCGTTATCTTCACCTAATAAACAAAATGATTTACCAAAGTCAAAACCAGTATCATGGGCAGATTTATTTCGTAGTCAGACATCAGCAGCAGCAGCAGCAGCAGCAGCATCGCCATTATCAAATACTCAATCTCCTCTTCCACAACAAACAACTAGTCCAAATAAAAAACTCCAAACTGTTTCAATACCTGTTCTCAGTGGAACACAAACTTCAACAACATCATCTCAACAACAACCGCAACAAAATGGAAATATTACATCAAAAACAAATACAAATAGTTTTTATTCAAAACCAAACTATCATGTTTATAATAGCAATGGTTTAGAATCGAAATCATTAGAAGGTTTAAACTATTTCGTTAATTTTGGATTTTCTAATTAAATATTTTTTTTCATAGATTATTTTTCCAAATGTGAAGTACGTCCATCAGCTATGGCTATCAAACCTCGTGGTCTAATTAATAAAAATAATTATTGTTATATTAATGCTGTATGGATTTTTAAATTTTAACTAAATCAAACATAACTGCTTTCATTTTTTTTATTCTCAATAGACTTTTCAAGCACTACTTGCTTGTCCTGCTTTTTTTAATGTGATGAAATATATCCCACTAAATGAAGATTCTGCTGATCATAATGTTCCATGTATGAAAGCTGTGTAAGTTTTATTTAATTATTTAAAACAAATGAAAAACCTCTAGAGAAGTGCACATCTCATTAATACATATGGAGCGAATTGATTTCTCTCAAGAATAGAAAAATGTACTTAACTAATCGAATCCATTTAAGAATACTAAATTTAACTCAAAAGACAATATTTAATCAATTGTTTCCTTAAGGTTCTTCGTTGTTGAGACGTATGAATTTCTGGGATCGTTCAAGAACATAATTATTTTCACTGTTGAGATTGCTTTTGTAATGCGTTTTAAACTTGTTCTTAACTTTAACATTCGTTCTAGTTAGTACTTAATAAAAGTAGACAATTTGTTTTTGTTATTATTTTAGTCATGCATTTGTTAATCAATTTGAAAAAATGGATCGAAGTAAATCAAATTCAGCGAATCATAAAGACATTATATGTGGTCAAGCATTTGATCCAACTGATATTCTTCAAGAAATAGCTCGTTTTCGTCATGTATCTCTTGATATTGTTAAAACAAAACAAGAAGATGCACATGAACTATTGTGTCAATTGTTAAGTGAAATTCATGATGAAATCTGTTCAGTTTTGTATGACACAGCAATAAATAAAATCGGTAAATTCACATGAAAACTTTTTTTGAGAAGAAAAAAATAGTAACTCTATTGTTTTCGTTTTAAAGACGAATCCTCGTCTACATCTGATGTAGCAACACCAGCAACAAGTTTAATTCAAAATGGAGAAGAAAAGTCAGAAGATTGGCTTCAAGTTGGTAAAAGAAATCGTACACATGTTCTTCGAACGGTAAGTTTGAGAAGAAATTGTTTATTTCCTATAAAGTAAACTCTTGATAATTTCATATTTTTAGAATGAAATTCGGAAAAGTCTCATTGCCGATATCTTTACTGGAAAATTCCGTTCAACAGTACATACTGCCGGAAATCAAAAATCAGTCACACACGAACCATTTTTTACACTGTCACTCGACATTAAAGTAAGCCTTGCAGACGATGAAAATTCTATGATATTCGCCATTTAAACATAGATTGACTAGAGTTTAGTTCGGAATAACTCAAATCAAGAAGAAAAATAAGTTCAAGTTTAGAGAAACGTTGTAATCAGCATAAAAATCTTCGAAATAATATGATATTTACAAGAGACATGTTTTCCTAGAGATAACAGCATGATAGTTTGTAGGCATGCGAGGGATGAGACTCGTGATTATCTGATATAAACTTACGGTGATAATCAGGGTTGTTTTCTTTGGATTAATCGACATTTTGTACTCCCAAGTAATTAGCAGAATTAAATATACGGTTTATTGCAGTGGAATTGACTAACTCATATTAATGGAGATCACTTCCAGTACTTTTTCGAGATTTCTAGGGAACGACTTATTAAATAAATTCGAAAATTTTCAAGCTGCTAGATGTGGATAACTGGAAAGAAAATTATCATAGATTCGAAATTCTGGAATCATTCTGTGTAATACATATGAAAACCTTACAATGTCACAAATATTTTACTTTCTCATTCACTAGGAGTTTCACCAAATTAAAAAATTCTTCTATATCTTTACACATGGTATTTTCTTTGAGCCATATCAAATTCTATTCAAAACCAAGTAATATCACGAAAACAAAATGCTTCTTGAATTGTCTATTCTTTCAGTGAAGCATTGTCTGTAAACCTTGGAAAAAATCAATGGTATAGAATATTTCGAAACAATTGTATGACGTACTCAAGTGATCTTCTTGGAATAATAGTTAATTTGAAAATTATAGGCTAGCGGGGGATGCGTCGTTTACTGAATTTCTTATATTCCAGTAGTTACTCTGTATTATTATTATCGTCATATCACATGTTGAAAAGATCTTTTCTTTTTCGAGAACGATTTCTTCGTTCACCATATCTCAGGAATTTATGTCCATGATAATTTCAATGGAAAAAAATAATCATGTTGAAGTATCGTGACAAATAATTCTTTTGCTTTCTAGGATCCAAAAATCACATCACTTGACGAAGCTCTCCTACGTTTTTGTGAACAATCAACACTTTCCGATCATATTGATAGTAAAACTCGTCAAAATGTATGTTAAACAATAATTTGCAAAGATGAAATGACTTTATTTTTTATCATAACATTAATTTCGTGTAGGTTCATACAAATAAAACAATGCTTATCGAACAATTACCACCTATTCTTATTATACATTTAAAATGTTTTTACGAGGAATCAGATGGAGTAAAAAAAGTCAATAAATCATTCAACTATACAGTTAATTTAACATTACCAAAAGGTAAAAAAAGAAAAATTATTCTACAACAATGTATAAAATAATACTCTTTGTTTTCTTCTTAAAAAGGTATATTAACTGAACAAGCGCGAAAGCATTCTCATGAAAGATACAAACTGTTTGCTGTTGAATATCATCGAGGTGAACGTGCAACCGATGGACATTATTTAACCGACGTATTTCATCCTGGTCTCCAAGGATGGCTTCGATATGATGATTCTCATGTTCATGTTGTTACATCAAGTCAAGTGATGAATTCATCAGCTGAAAAACTTACGCCTTATTTACTTTTTTATCGTCGTGGCGATTAGATACATTCTCATTTCGTTCATGTTTTCGAACAAAAGAAATCTTTTTTTTTTGGTTGATGATTGTTCTTTGTTTTTGTTTTGTTTTCATTGGCGCGCAATAGTTCTCTCTCTCTCTCTCTCTCTCTCTCACTTTTTTTGTTCTCATCCGAGTGTATTCTATCTCTTTTTTTGTCTGCTAAACCCAGCTTTCTTTTTTTTGTTTTTCCGTTAACCGGTGTCGATTCGTGAGCAAGCTGTTTGTTTCTATCAAAACAAAACTAAACTAAGCTTATTACTATCTAAATTTTGATGATTGTGGTGATGGTTTTTATTATTCTTTATCTCTTCTGAATTATCATGTAAAACATCCGGTTACTCAAGTTGACTGGCAACATGCGTAATTAACCTAGATTGTTTGTATCGGCAATCGATTGTTTTTTTCAATTCTTATTCTTCACGTAAACCTAAAACTCTTTTCACTTCTTTTTGTCTTTTGAGCTCGTTACCATTTATCACTTTTCCTTTATCGTTTTTTCTTTCATCATAACTGTGTGTCTCTTTTTTTCTGTTCGTTTTTGCTCGCTTTTTTCGCTCTATGTCTGTTGTTTGTTAACTATGGCCTTTTTCAACACACTCACTCATATTATCTTAATCTTGTTTTTGTCACTATGCGCACAAGCACATCTTTTGATGATGAGCGTCCAAAATAAAAATAAAAGGCGATTGTGTGGTTTTTGGCGGCATAAAAATGTGCAGTTTTATATCAAGCTATTTATTCATAGAAGTCTCATGAAAAAGAAAAACATGACTGTGATGAAAATCCAAGGGGGAAACAGCGGACTTTTGGACTTGAAGTGACTTAGAGCTACTTTACGCTACTTCAACTTACTTCGAAGTACTTGAAGCTACTTCAAGTAGTTTACTTTGACGTACTTTTGTACTTCAAGTCCGCTGTTTCCCCCTTGTGAGAATCACTTAGTTTAATTTAGTATGTTGCATCATTTATAGAAAGTTAGTCAGATAATAATCTCAGTCACTTAATAGAAGTTTCTTGCAGATAATATCGAGATAAATATAGTTTAATTCTTTCTTTTTATTATAGAATAAACAGTTAGGTAGCGAAACGAGTATAACTACTATTTAAACATTGTTGATCGGATCCAGGAGATAGTTCACTTCAATGATTAAGTGAGCGTTGCCTTTCGGCGATTCTCTCTTCATGTTATCTGTAACAGATATTTTCGTCAAATGATATTTTTTCGAAAGTAGCATTAATCAATTGTAAAAAATTTGAAGAATCGAACATTGATCGAAAATATCTTTTAACAAATCGAATATTCGAATTTATAACTCGGCCTCAAAACTTTATTCAGCGATTTCTTTGTTGCTCTACATTAAATATGAAAGTTATTTATTTAGTCTAAATACTTATGGTAAATTCAATGTGAAATGACATATAAATTGAGTTATTTTCGCAAAGGGAAATCATCTAAATAATTTAAGTACTAACTTACTTTTTGTCGTATTTTAAAATTTGAACAATTTTCAAAGTCCAATATGAAAAAGATTCAACAATTTTTCTCTGATTTAAATTGACAGCAGTCTCATCAAAAAGAATATCTCTTTCTAATATATCAAACGAATAATTATTTCAGTTCGAGATAGTAGCATGTCTAGTTCATTAGCAATAAGCCTTATTCGCGAAGGCGTGTTGGTCATACTCATGTATAAAATAGTGGCCATATTCTTTTGAGGTATGTTCAGATTTCCAAAAAACGAAATTACCCATATTTCTGAAATTTCCATCAGCTCGATTACTATATAGCAGTACAAATCAAAAGTTTTTAGACATATTGGAAATTTCTGTAAGTACAGCATTGCAGAAATTTTGGAAATTACATCATTTTAGGAAATAACGTTCAATTCCGAACACAAATGTTTGAAATTTCCGAAACTTCCAAAGTTTCCTTTTTCGGCGGAAGTTGGAACACTGCTGATTCTTTTACGTGTTGCTGTGGACAGTGTCGTCTCTCTCATCGATCTTTCTTGATTGCCTTCGTGGCATAGAAACTGTTCAGGTATTATCTTCTCTCTCCCGTTTGATCTTTTCATTTATTTGATGTTGTCTTTTTTCTATTTCTGATGAAGGCGATTAAGACTGGAATGATGAAGAAGCTACACTCTTACTCATTTCTAATCAAAGTTATCATCATCGAGACTGAAAAAAACTTATTCTTCCACAGACAATAGTTTCGTTAGTCACACAATTCATTATTTCTTCACAAAAATTTATTTGTAACAGATTAAGGTACTAACTACTCATACATAAGTTTTTTTAGTCTCGGTGACGGTAACTTTGATCAGAAATGAACAAGAGTGTAGCTTCTTCATCATTCCAGGCTTAATCGTCTTCATCAAAAATAGAAAAAAGCGTGTGCACGATTTACCACCCGAGGATTTACTGTCCGTTGATTGTTTCGAAGATGAGAAATGAACAAATGAGTAATATTTCGCCAATGAACGTTTCCGATGAAAAAATTAGAAAAAGTTTTCGAAAAGAATATTCATCGACGAACGAGTGCATTGAATTTTTTAATTGATGAGTAGTGCTCATCAATTCGAGGGCTAAAGTAGTCCTTAGTATGATAAAATTTGTAAAAATGTTTATAAGTGCTGAAATTACCTTCTTCTTTCTCATATTGCTTTTTAAAATGTCTGCAGTATTTGCTGAATCTACACATGGTAAACGACATTTGTGTTACCTGGGTTATCGATATTCTTTGAAACATAAAAACTAAAATGATTCTGAGTATTGGATGATTTACTGCGAAAAGAACAATCATTAGCATCGATCGCTAGATTTAGAGATGATATGGGGGCTCCAGCTCCAAAACGACGTAAAAAAAGTCATAACAGATGAATGTTTAATAAAATTATGGCAGCGTTATGATGAAGATCTTCTTGACATTCCATCATTTTTGAAAGCTGCTGAACTTAGATACTTTCAAAGACCACCAAAACGTTAAACATCGATTCATCTTTGTTTTCTGTTAATGGTATATTTATTGTTTCTTTTTCTTATTTGTTGGTATATTTATTGAAATTCTTTTTCTTCTGATAATACATTGGTTATCGCAATTAGTATTCACTTATTGCTTTCTCTTTCGTCGATATAATCAACGGACAGTAAATCCTCACACGAAAAAAACACTAATTGAAAAAAACATTTTTCTAATCAACGGACAATAAATCCTCACGAGGAAAAGTTATCTTATTTCGAGAAAAAACACAATTAAAATCGAAAAGCAATCAACGGAAAGTAAATCCTCGGGTGGTAAATCGTGTAAACCGCTTGGGTGTGTGTACAGCGTCCATATAAGTGGTGTCAATTAACTATTGTCAGCAAGGTAATTTGATACAACATAAACCAGCAACATTTTTTCTCAATTAAAAATTCATCACAAACAGAAGTCTTCCCAGATGAATCCATCCGATACCGAATCCCATCGGATTCTATGGGGATCCTGCCATCCGACGAAATCCCGTTGGATTCCTGATTGAAGAAGCAATGTCGGATCCGACAGTCGTATATCCAATGATATCCGATTGTCGGAACCAATGAAATCCGAAGCATTCCGGTTCCGATCGACAATTGATGTCGGATTTTATCAGTTTCCGATATCGATTCCGGAACCAGGAATCCGACGATAATCCGATAGTTTCCTTGCGCCTTCCGAAGAGCTCCGTCGGATTCCAATAGGAACCGATCGGAACTCATCGGATCCTAGGCTAGGATTCATTCTCCTGGGNTCCGGAACCAGGAATCCGACGATAATCCGATAGTTTCCTTGCGCCTTCCGAAGAGCTCCGTCGGATTCCAATAGGAACCGATCGGAACTCATCGGATCCTAGGCTAGGATTCATTCTCCTGGGCTTCCGCAGAAATGGAATCTATGAGATTGAAAACTTCATGATAATTATAACATCATCAACTGGTACAATCAAAGATCATCTTCTAGGCATGTTCTGTAACTGTGCTTACATTCATTTATTAATGAATGAATATAAACGATAATGCAATCAACAAAAGAACAAGTTGCCAATGAGATCCTTATAGGATAAACATATCAATAAAGTAACATTTTTATTCGTGTTAATTGAATAGTTTTTATTATCTCTTAATATAATTGTTGAATAATTGTCTAATTTCAGCATCTGTTTTACGATGAAAAGAAAATATTACTTTTAATATGTCGCGATGCATTCATAGAGAAGCAATCGTTTCTAGAAGTATGCTCATGTTTTAACTACGTAGTTGAAAACAAAAACGAAAAATCTGTTAAGACTAATATGCAATTGACATAATACGAACAAATTTTTATTTCTCATGTGTTTTAAAAAACTTTCTATCTAGACTAAATTACTCATCCAGCTCATTTACGTTGATCAATGACGAATAGTACTAGTTTTGACCATGTATGGCAGTTATCAGTGAAAACTGATGTCGAATAATATACATGGCGAAAATGACTAAAAACGTAGCATTGATAACTTGTTGTCTTTCCTTATTCTATGTCAACTAGAATAGTGTAAAGTATATGTTCAATAGTAGTCACTTTGAAACACTTTCCAAGTGTTCATAATATAATCTTCACCAAGATCTTTGTTGAAATATTGTCTTAAAAATACCCTTTTTTAAAATACATTTTTGTTAGAAAATACAACTTAGAACCTTTAAAAAAGCTTTTCATGACTATAAAAGTCGATGACGTGAAGCTTACTATCAAACCCATTCGATGAAAAGTGGTTTCAGTCTAAGAAAGATTGTTATAATCTTCTTTTCCGTCAACCTTTTATAATATTAAAATAAGAATCTGCTCGATTCTTTCTTTGTATAGATTACTTTTACGTAAACAATTTATTGAATGATTAAACGTATATTTATGTATTGTTGGAAGGTTGATCTATAGTGATGATAGGCGAAACAGTATTGCTTATAAGTCCTTGTCTTTTGTGGTCATTTTCTGATACACATTTAATTGTAAATGCTAAGAATTTATTCCAAGCGTGTTCATAATCATTTGTAAAATTATATTCAAACATATGAAAACGTTCATGTATTATATCGATGATAGATTTTTTCAGCATCTAAAATTGCAAAAGGTCAAACAATAATATTAAATAATAATTGTTTGAAAATATACCATTAAAGAATCATATTCAAGTGTTGATATATTTTGTAACAGATCAAGAGACTCAATTTGTTTTGAAAAAAGAATTTCGTCGTTTATCGATGATAAAAGTTCTTCAAATATTAATATAAATTGTTTACTGTGCTCACGTAAACCAATATGCCAACTTAATTCACTTCTTACACATGATTCACCTTGACTAAAATCAAAATTATTAGCATCAATGATCAATTTTGACGTCCAAAAGTGTCGAACAGATGGATTTTGATTTATGGTTCTAAATAAAGATTTGAATATTTTTGTTTTTCATTGAAAAAATGTTTTCATACTTGATAAGAACTTCCTCAGCAAATTTATCAATACCATGTGTTTTCAAAATATTCCATGTCTTTGTTAAATATGCTATTTCTTCTGGACTAAATGTATACTTCGTCGAACTAAGCTCCAAAGACGAATGAAAACAGCCCATAAACTCTGGTTTTGTTTATTGAAATGTAGTGTTTACATTCAGGATAGATGTTCTCCTGTCTTTTCCCACATCGTCATGAATGAATAAGAAATATTTCTTTTTTTTCTTCTATTTCCAAAACACTTCTCTCTTATATCAATTCTTTGCTATTTTATTCATAATTAATAAAAAAAAAACGATTTGTCTTTATCTTAGTATAAATGTTTTTTATAGCTTGAGAGAAAAAAAGAAGTAAAAACTGGTATGTAAAATGGTAAACTAAAGTTCACCAATCGAGTGGCTCGGCAAGATTTTCATGTTCTTCTTTTGAAAGATAAAATTGATTGTACCAACGGCGCATTTTTAATATAGGGCCGTCATTTTTAACAAGAAAAGGAGCACGTTTGAACACCTAAAATAAAATATTCACATGAAATAATTTCTATGTTCCCTTTAGTTTTACTTTATTTTCCCAAACAGTAATATCACGACGCCATTGTGCAATCCAATTTCCAACAATATACCAATTTAATAATCGTGGTATTTTTTTTTCAACATACGCTCGAAATTCAACATCTAATTCCATGTAATCCGTTGGCGTATGAGTATGAAATAAATAAATTCTTCCAAAGCCTCCATCGAAACGAAATAATGTTATGCCACCTGGACCGTAAAATGTAATTGATGCATCAACTTTACTTGATTCATATTTTTTTCCAAATAATTTTAACGTTGCCGTATCATAAAAATATACTATATGTGGTTCATCCGTGCTAAATTTTAATGATGCTTCATGATGAATCAATATACGTGGTACTTGCAATTCAGTCCACGGTATGCACATGTTACCATGTAACGGATGAAAATGTTGAACATCAGCTGCATTTTCAGCAAATTCTTGTAAGTGCATATGAATATTTGGATAACGATAAACACCACGAAATTCAAAATTATCACCTAATAATTCATCAACACTAATAGCATCATAATGAGGAGGTTCATTTAATGGATGATACCAAATCATAACCATTCCATGACGTTCCACACACGGATATGTTTGCATTTTAGCCTATCAAGAAATCAATTCATTTCTTTTCCTAAAAGAAAAGAACTAATGACGATATTTTTACTTTATCCGGTATTTTCCCATCTACATAGGGGATTTTTGTACAACGACCATTTTCTCCGTTAAATTCCCATAAATGAAAAGGACATTGAATACAATTTGTACCGGGCATAACTCGTCCACCGTGACCTAAATGTGCTCCCATGTGAATACAAAATGCATCTAAGACATACACTTGATTATGTTCATCATCGGACCGAAAAATAATCATTTCTCGACCCAATATAAAAGCATTTTTTATTTGACCTCGTTTAGCAACTTCATCAGAATCACATATGCGATACCAACCGCATGGATATTGACGAGGATATGTTTGACATCGATCAATACCTCGACGGTTCCGTCGACGAACTTGTTTAGATTTCTTTGATCGATGTAAATAAAAAAGAATAAAAAGAATAGGAAGAATAAGCCAATAAGAGGATTGTAAAGAAGATAAGTTTTCCATAATAAATATATTCATAATATTTTTCTAGAAATAGAAAAAAGAAAATTTTTCATGAATACTTATCAAATGTAAAACTTTCTTCTATATTAATCTAATCGTAGGAAATAAATAATCCATAATGAATACATTTTTTTCCTATTGATTATATATGAAAATATTCAAAGATATTCATCTTTAGGGAAATATATTGTTGTTTAGAAAGAATAGATTTTCTCTTAAATATTTTAATAGACTTTTATGTTTGATTATCAAAAATACTTTGTGTAAACTACGTTTGCTTTCTGATATAAAAATATCTTTGCAAAATCTTGTTCTCTTGATTACTTTTGTCTATAGTTTTGTGTTTTGAATTCGTACTATAGGAATACATAACGATTGAACAAAGTAATGGCGAAACAAGGTATAGAACTTTGTTCAATGAAGTCATACAAGTGTACTTTGCTCCTTCTACAACTACTTACCTGTATTCCAGCTTGCATACTTGATGTAGTGTGTGAATATTTTTATTTCGGGTGCTTCGAAAGAAACATGCAAGCGTCACGAGCAACAAAATTATTTTTTTCTACGATTTATAGCCATCAGCAACGCAATTTTTTTCTTCTTTTCTATAAGTGTACGCTGATTGTAAAGTGCTTAAATTGCTTCGATTCTAAATCATATATCCAGGCACTTTTATATGTTTAGTTAATGTGTTTTGCATTTGCAAAAAAATTTGAAAATCAATAATGATTAATTTACTATTTTGAAACGAATAACCTATAACCAGTAATACTCTAGTCTTTTTCGAAGTCCATAGTAACATGAACAAAAAACACAATTCGACGTAACCTAACAAATGCGGAACTACAGTTAACTAGCGCTTTTTTATTATATTAGAACTGAAATTTTTCTAGAGAATGTTAACAGTAAATTAAGTGTAGAAACTATTTAACACATGGTTTTATTTCTTTTGCAACTGATTATATTCTTCAATATTAGTTGAAGGAAAATGTTATCATATATGCTTTTTCTAAAAGAAAAACAGCATTTTCCCGAAGAAATAACACCATTGTATAACGCAAAAAACAGAACTTTCTTAGACATGCCACAATTTAGCTAATATGAAAAAATATGCGATTGCTTGTAAACAGGAAATATCGTGCAGAAAACTTAAAAATCTTTTGCGAGTAGCCTGCTCATGTTACATAATACAGCTATCGTCTTCAATGTTTCTTTTTCTGTTAGTAATTTTTCGACAAATAAACAAACACATAATCGTTCAAAAGTGCAGTTGCTTTGATTTTTTGAATATATATATATATTCCTCTTGCGTTATTGTAAGAAATATAGAGAATTAACTAGTGTGAATAAAATCTATGATAAGATTTCTATCAAACATCCTTTTTTTTTATAATATCAACTAATTCAAAATGAATTTATATGCTAGTCTCTGAAGAATTTAATTAGACAACAATATTTTGATAGTATTGTTAGTCAGAAAGAGAGAGAGAGAGAGATTATTTCATTCTATCTATTTTAGTACTTATTTCTTCATCAATGTTGTGGAACTCATATATATTATTTTCATCGAGAACAACAGTGGATGTAAGTTTGAATTGCAGTTTTTTACAACTTGTCTTCTCCTTTTCCTAAATTCTAGCATTCGAGAGACAGAAATAATCTTTATTAGTATCTGTTAGAATAGCAATAGAGGCATGGGGCAAACTAGAAATCGATTGTTAGTATTATTTCATAGCAATAAGAAATTGTGCTATAGTATAAGGTTAGTAAAATTTTGGCAATGATATGAATTACCACAGTACCAGCAATACCTTTTAAAGTAATCATTGATGTACTTCTACTACGAAATTTTATTCATTTCGTTAACAAATCAGTTACTAAAGACTATCGTTATTGCATAGCAACAATCAAACAAATCATACTCTAGAAAAGAGGTCGTGAATTCTAAATTTTTTCACTGGAGGCTGCAATGAAAGTTATTTTTTTACTTTATTCTTTCGAAGTGTCATAAACAAATGATTCATATATTGCAATTAGAAATCATTCAAAAACAATTTATGCTGATATATCAATAATATTGGCCACAGTTCGTTACACGGAGAGAGCATGTTAATTTCTACTGTACATGCTGCAATGCTCTTTTTGTGGGGTTCTCAAACGAAGAAATAAAGTCAAAGGAATATCAAACTAAAACGATTCCTAATCTATGTTAAAATCATTTACAATCTACTTGAAGAAGTCAAACTGCCCGAGTGAATAACTCATCATCGTTATAACAGTTACTTTGTATGCGAGTCATAAGTAAAATGTATCTTTATTAAACGACATAAAATAGTTCTCATTCTTACTAACATTAAGAATGTTTTTCACAAATACCACAACTTTTCGTCAACAAAATCTACAAACATGCATATTCTACATTCTAATACGAATAAGTGACATCTATAAATTACTTTTGTAGTTAACGTTCTCCTTCAAATATATATGTTATCGAGACAGAAATTTCCATTGATAACTCCAAAATTTCAAAAGATCTTTAACAACAACTCTATATAATTTACCATTTTACCCTAATATCAACAGAAATATGTAATCTACTCACGGATATATGATTCGAATATCTTTTTACAGACAGTTCTTTTACAAATATACCAAAATATATAAAGAATAGGATAAGACTTAGCAGCAAAATAAAAACAAAAATATATAGTAATAATCAGTTGAGTTATACAAATTTTTTAAATGAATCCAACATGGATTTTTTAACAGAATAAGAAAAGTATAACTCACCCGTTTATTTAATGCACATTTTAAAATACCTTCTTATAAGTTTATTTCAAAAACGCTTCAAAGCTATGGCATACACTTGAAAAGAAGCACTATTATTAATCGATGGGTCAATATAGAAATTGTTAACTAAGAAAACATCAATATTTAAGTAAGAGATTCAATTATATAGCTGTGAAATTGGCAGTCTTTTCATGCTATTCGTAGCTGTTATCGTTTTCATTTTTTAACCAGTGATTGGTCATTTACTGGTTGAATTGTTTGATAAATATTCATATTTGTTGTAACAGGAATAATATATTAGCAAATGTATTTCTCGAAAAAAAACTGAACAATTCTAAATTTTATTTTTACTATATCATACGTTATTTAGAAAAATTAATTTTCATACTAACAATTATAGATCTTTACAATGATCAAGTGGTGTCAAACCTGTTCTTCTATATCGTTTTTTATTGCACTTTATACTTCGTTATAATGGTGTGTATGTGTATCTCACAAACTGATATATATATATATTGATCAGTCGTAGTTATTCTTTTTTAGATGATGAAAGAATCATTTTAGCCAATAGCTCCTATTCAAAGCACTAGAAAAATTTCTTCAGAAATAAGTATAATTAATTTTTCAAGACTATTTTCCGATCAGTATCGACAAGAATAAAAAAAATAGATGAGAATATGTATGTCTGGCATACTATCATTTATAATATCTCTATATGCCTATCATTTCTCCACTGTTTTACTTAACAAAAAAAAGTACTTTACTTATATATGATTTTTAAAATTCAACGAAAACTTTTATTATCTAAAAACTAGAAACTGACGTAGTGTTCAATGAATTTAAATACCATTTGAATTATTTACTAAGCGTATACCATTTTTACTCTTTGAAATACAAGGAGCTATATTCTGGAGAGTTTCACTAGGTTCAGGTATTCTCCACCAGTTCTAATCGTGTTGAACATGAGCAAGAAATTAATGTAACTTGTTTGTTAGAGATGAACCTACCCTTTTTTCTTGTGCTTTTATAAAATCCAATCGGGTTCAAATGAATTAACTATGTAAATCAACTGATTAACTGATTGTTTTCTTATTTTCATGTAATTTTGCTTAACTGTCTTCTTACTTAGAGATATTTTCGTAAGTAATTATCTCAATAATAAATATATCAATGGATTAAATATTTCTGTGGGCGTTCCTTAAGAACACATATACTATGTAGTACTGTGGTGTTCGATATTAGTAGTTTTAACATGAATTACGAATATGATCGAACCAAACATTATTGCTATGATGCAAAAGTCCTCATTAAATTTATTGAAAATCCGAAGACAACTGATATTATTGAATTATTGAACTTTATTTAAGCGAAAAATGCTAATTAACTAGTGTACAACATAATATTAATTCGTTTTTGCACATGTTGTAATATTGAAAAAAATAGTTTTAACTTCTAAAATTCTTTTGTAATACAGTACCTATTATGAATTATCACGTGAAAGAAATGAAATGATTCATGTAGTTTATATTAAAATTAATTATTCGCGAAGTTCTTGTTCAAGCAATGATACAACCAGTTGAATACTTTAAATTGGAACTGTATCGATTAGTAAAACCTATATCGAATAATAATTTGATTCGAATCCATTTATTTATTTCTGTCAATTATACAAAGATAATATTAACACGTTTTAGAATCAATAGCATGAATAAAAATCAACAATAGACGTGTCAAAACCATTCTATGGCAAAAACAATTTCCTGCAAACATGAAAATAATTAGATCATTACAATAAATAATTCTACTACATCATCTGATTGTGATCGAAATCAATATTAGTGATTGTTAGCAACGATCATAGGGCACATTAAATCTTGGACTAGATTTTTTAGAATAAGAAGATTTTTTATGTTCTTCATATATTTGCATATATACAACACGTGTTTCTTTCGGTTTGTTTATTTGACGAAGAAGACACTAGTGGCAACATTTTCACTTTTCACCATTTTTATTTATACTAAGACAAGCATTCAACTTTAAAATGCCTTTCACCAATGATACGCTATTAGAAACATCGATATTGTCATCATCACAAATTAATTTTAATAATAAAAATCATCGACCATCAAAACGTTTTCGTCCATTAGTGCAATGTAACCATATTGATAAATTAACGAATGAACAATGTACAGCCGATGGTTTTATGGAATGTGTTCATTGTGATCAAATATGCTGTCTTATTCATATAACTCAGCATCAAGATGAATTAAAGCAATTGCGAGACAATCTTCTTGAAGTGAGTTTTTGTTATTTTAATAAAGTTAATTTTTAATTTTTTTGCTTTGTGTTTACTATATTTTAGGAAGCTAGTGAAACTTATATAACATTAAGTGAAATGCAAGTAACTGACTCTCGTAAACAACTTCAATCAAACTTAGTTTTATGGAAAACAAGAATGTTGACTAAAATTGAACGGATTTACGGCAAACTTCTTGGTAATTATACGAAATAAATTTTGTTTCACAAAATTTTTCAGATGGAACAAATTTTCTAGCCATAAATTATGTGAGATGATCGCATTGATTTTTTTATATAAAAATGAGATAATAATGTCAATACGTTAAAATTCTTTCATAGATAAGATTTAACATGTCCGTACGCAAGGACAGGTAGAACAAACGTTGAAGAATCTTTGTCAGCCTTATTATATAAAACATGGAAAGATTCAAAGTTGAAAAAATTAGGACATAAGCATTAGGCTTCCAGTTTTTTTTCGTTCAATTAAATAATAGAAGAAAAATATTTTTCAAAAATTTTGTCCTGATATAAAGAACATCATTCAATCAGGTAGTTGAAATATTGATACGTTCATTAATGTGAATTAGAATTGAGCTTGATATAGTCGATTGCTACAAAAAAAAATTGGAAAATTCATTTGATCATAATTTAACAGATTTGCTACAAACATCAATTCTATTGTGCAGTTCTACAGATAAAAATGTTAGCGATTTAGTAGATTATTGAAAATCTTTCTTAGAGCTGCATCAAAACATTTTTATGTATTCAACTTTAACTAATTCTAGATGATGTAGAAGAATCATTTGTCAAAGTTAGTTCAGACTTTGAAGTAATAAAAAAAAATCTTGCAAATGAATTTGAAGAAAATGTTTCCTCAAAATTAGAGCGTCTTTCAAGCAAATGTGATTTTTATCCTCATGAACTTGACGAATTAAGGCTGTCATTAAATGAAATGCATATTCGTATACGTGAGGCACGTACATCAATGATAAATATTGACTTCGGTAATGGAAATATGTGTCTATTAGATAGTGATGATAGATTTGAATTTACTAATAATATTGAATCACCAAAAATTACGATTCAAACAAAACCTGATATCGAACGTATTCTAAATGGTTCCTATCTAAGACAATTTAATATTGAAATCGATAATGATTCAAATCATATTCCACTGTTATATGATACATCAAATACACATGTAATCATTTTATTTCATAAAACAAAAGAAACCTTCTATTTTGTTTAGCTACTTGTTTGTAATCATGAAAGTAACACTCTTGAATTATTTAATCATGTAGAACGTATTGGTGGAGGTTTTTGGCCAAAAGATTATTCATTAATAACATGCATTAAATGGTGTTCATATTTAAATACATTTCTTGTTCTTTGTTCTCAATCACTTTATGCGCTTAATTGCTGTCAAGAACCATTTAATATTTATCCAATCACACAAGTAAAAAAAGAAAATTTGTTTTTTAAACAGAGCTCCCGATGATAGTTTGTAAACGTTGCAGGAGCGTAACATTTTGGTAGACAGTCTGTTTTATAGAAAATGTCAGAGAAAAGTCACTGTCTAAAATCTGACAAATAGTGTTTCTACAAGAATCTAAAATCGTCATAGACATGACTTAATATTCGATGTGGAATAGTCAAATTTAATTGTCGTGTCATATTTTGATCTGTATTTTTAAACATCAATCGTTGTCATTTTTTAAGGTAACGCCTATTGATGGTAATCCTATGAAATACATTAGTATCAATAATGATATTTTGCTAATTAAACATGGCCATGGTTTATTTGTTGATAGTTATTCATTAGAAAAAATGGAATTAATTAAACGTTGGACAAAAAATGATTTTTATCCTGATACTGAAAATACAATTTATATTCATCGTATCGAATTATATTCAAATTTTTGTCTTGCAATGAATGTTGAAATCGATGAAGATAATGATGTTTTAGATTTATTTATTTTTCCTAATATGCAACATTTACGAAGAATAGACAATTCTTACTTATTACTTTACTTACCATTAAATAATTATTGGATAATAAAGCAAAAAAAAGAAAATAATCAAACAGATTTATGTCTTTTAGATCAACATGGGCATATTGATCAGTTAAACATAAACAATAGTGAAAATATCAAGTGTATACGTTTATTTGGAAAAAACTATCTATTAGTGATGCGACAAAATAAAACATCGATTCTGATGCAGTTATTTCACATTGATAAGTTCTAGAATTCGTGTTTGTTTTTGTTGTGTTTTGTTTTTATATGTATGTATTCTAGGATCTATGTAGAATAAAAGAAAATTGATTTAGAAAGATTAGCTTCAAATTGTTATCTTGCATAAATAAGTTTGCAGTCATTCATCAATCTGGCTCAGTCATATACATATAGGATTCATATTTTATTCATAAAAATGCGTCAATACTATTGATTAGAATATAAGAAGAAATGAAAACACTCTATCTCGATTTATATTGTGGGAAGAAACAACAGTTTTTGTTTTTAGCTATTCGAATATTCTAAAAAAAACCTCAAATAACAACATAAATCCAATAGAGTAAGAAGAGAAGAAGGATTAAACCTCCTCACGTACCCAATATAACATCCGACTCGCATATATCCTTACTTTCTCTCTCTCTCTCTCTCTCTCTCTCTCACATCATTATTTATTTACATATATATTACATTGAATAAAACATCTACTAGTAGTAATACCAACTAATTCGAAGACAATCAGTATTGGTTATGTTCTATTCATTGCATTTTTAGCGGGTAGACCAGGGAGAGCAGTTACTAAAAAAGTTTCTTATTAAAAGAGAAAACGTCGGACTAATCTTGACGTGAAAGAAAAAGGAAGACTCTTTCTTTTTCTCGTCAACCAAGTGTAACTTCCTCCTTCTCATCATCATCATCATTTTTTGATCTCATACTAGCAAAGATTCTCTGCTTGATTTTATGTTCTTCTTTCTCAATTTTATCCGAACAAATTTATTTTGTCTTTTTATGTTTATTTTTTTAGTTGTAGCAAATGGCTCTGATGACATTTTAAGACCAATATTTTTAGTCTCGTCAATGAAATATTTAAAAGAGGTGAAGACGTTCATTTTCTTTCCTTTTCTACTACTTCGTGTTGTTCTAGTCTTAGCCAATTTATAATTAAAAACTTACTATTGTCATCATTATCGAGATTATAAAAAGCACACTAAGTTATTCTCACTATTCTTTTCATGAACAAAACAGACGTATGAACACTCGGTAATTGTTCTTGTCCTCGTTGTTGAACTCTTTAAAACTTAGTCATTTTTTTTCTTTAGTATTGCTTTGTTCTATAAATACTTTTTTTTTCTTTCTTTCATTCTTCATTTCTTTCTAGATTGTCTGCTTGTATTTTCTACATATTTTAATAACAGGCAGGTCTAGTTCATCAGTCTACTAGTCAAACAGTTTAAATTGATGATGCGTTCAAACAAACTTTTGTTTCTCATCGTGTTGATACTATATTTGATTGTCGGTCTTTCGCTTCTGATTACTGGCAGTGTTGCTCATAGACATGCGACAGAAAGTAAGTTTAATTTAATTAATTTAATCATAAATTAATTTGAATTCTTGTTAGTTTCAACTATTACCAGTTATTCATTTATGTCTAGTGCTCGATTTATTATTGCATTAGGTGTCATAATTACCATTCTATCAATACTTGGTAAATAGATAGTTCTTTATTTATTTTAATGAAAAAAAAACTAATACTTGCTTTCATTAGGCTTTATTGGAGCACTCAAAAGTCGTTTAAGTTTTTTGAAAATTTTTATTGGTTCATTACTTATAATACTTTTACTTCAATCGATTGCTGCAATTGTTACATTTACTCTTCGTAATAAAGCTGAAGAACAATTGCATAGAACATTACTTCGTTCATTACCAGATTATAAAAATGACAATGTCGATGTTACAAATGAATGGGATCATCTTCAAAAAACATGGTCATGTTGTGGTGTTGATAATGTCAATGATTGGATTGACTATGGTAACCTGAATGTTCCACCGAAGTCATGTTGTCTTAATGATGATTGTATACCAACATCAAATGGCACTGTTTATTTTGATCGTGGTTGTTATGGATCAGCTCGTGATCTTTTCTTTCGATATTCAAAAGCGTTAGGAGGTGTATCAGTAGTTTTCTTTTTCGTTGAAGTTTTTGGTCTTGTCTTAGCGATATTTCTCCTTCGTGAACTAAAAAGTAATTATGGAAGTGTTTAAATAAACAAAAGAACTCTTTTCTTATTCTTTTTTTCTCATATGCAACTGCAGTTTTTTTAAATTTCTGCCGATGCGTATCGTTTTTAATTTTTCACTTTTTTGTTGTTGTACAGTTCGTAGATGGTTATTATATATCGTTGCTCTTTATTTTTATTATTATTTTATCAATATATTCAGTAAACATCCTATTTCAACACAACATAAATGAAAATATTTTAGCTTTGATACATTAATGAAGAAGAAGTTTATCATGTAATATCGTGACGATATTGAATAGATTTAAAAATATGAATTTACAATGAAATAGATACAATTTAATACTAAAGTTAAAATAGTTTTCTTAGTCAATAATTAATATTTTCAATGAAGTAAATAGTCAAACAAAAGCCTTCATGTTCAATTTGATAGTAATTACTATTAAGTATGGATTCAAAATTTTTCTATTGATCAAATATAATTGGTTAAAAAAGTTTTCACAGAAAACTAAGTTCCAAAACAAAAGTGTAATCTGATGTTATGTAAACTATACTATAAGAAAATATTGATTATAAGACATGATCTTCTATTGAAGGAATTTGAAGAGATTTTACATATTTGCATTAAACTGAAATAACGCAAATTGCATGTTCTTATTTTTGAATCAGATATCATAAGATATTTCCTACTAAAAGTCGATGTAATTCATATCGATACTGTTATTCTTTTTAATTAATTATTTTATTTGAAATCTATTCTTTCTTTGGCATATCTTTCATATTGATCAAGGTCAATTCTGAAAATAATTATATTAAGCCTAAGAGAAACTTGATGTGTTTTTTCAATAGTAACTTCAGCACTTTTCTGTCGTCTTGCTAAATCGAAACCGCAAATGTATCTATACCAGACACATGATTATTTTTCAAGTGCGAAAAGGAAAAATAAGAAAAACAAAAGGCTCACTTTCATATAACGCAACATGCAAATAGATCTTTCAAATTCAGTATCAAATGAAACATTGACAAGATTGTTATTGCTGTCATTAGTCGTTATTATCATAATGATAGTATGATAGATTTATCGAGTAATTTTCATGAGTCAATTTTGATAATTTATCAAGTGAAAAGTCTCTCTTTTTTCTATTTAAAAAATAAACAAAAAGTTTCAATGTCAATCAGAAAGTGCATTTGTAACAAAATATATATATACAAAAAAAACACATTTCTTTCTTTACTTATGAAAAAAATGATGTCTTGAAATTTATTCTAGAGTAAACCAATCAATAATTTGTTCCCATTCACTCTTTTTTGGTTTTGGATAAATATGAACAATAGAATAATAAAATATAAAACTAATTATGAATATAATGATGACAAGTATCATTAAACGAATTAGAATAAGAAGAGTATTATTTACATAAATTTGTAATAATGAAGGTTTTTCATTTGATTGTTCACAAGATTCATTTTCATTGTCTTTCTTTCTTGTTTGTCGTTTTCGACGTGTAATACTATTGCTAGATTTCGATATTTCATTGAAATGAATTAAATCACTACTGTGATTATTTCGATATTCATTTTCATTCGTAGAAGAATGATGATGACAATTTTTAGAAATCTGCTGTTCATTGAAAACCTGTTGATTTGTATTAACAGCTGGTTGAGAATGATCTAATGAAATGTTTCTGTCGGAAACAGGTGATGATACAAGTAAAGGACGAACAGTTCGATAACGAAACATTGATGTACGATGTTTACTCATGTTAATTTTTCTTTTACGAATGAAATAATAAATAAAGGAAATAGGACACAAATCATTCATTTTTTCTTCAGAGCGCTAAATATAAAGTTTCAATGAAATCAAAGAAACATATTACATAATACAAGTCGTTGTTGATAGCATTTTTGTTTCTTGTATACTCAATTAGAAATTCGATAGTCTTAGATAGAAGATGTTCAAGTTTAGTTTTTGTTGATTTTCTTTTTCAAGAATAATTGTAGAATTTCATGATAGTTATTTCATTTTTCTTACATAATTTCTCGTATATCAAGAACTATTTTACAGTAGAATTTGGTTGAAAGAAAGAAAAAATATATATGTAACATTTTTTATTTTCTGATAAATTTAAAATGACCGATAATGTACAAGTTTCATAAGACTAAGATTTGTATGAAGTAGACCATTTTATGGTCTTACTTTTTCTTTCTATGATAATCAACAGTCTATTTGAAGATGTATATAGCATACATCTTAACTTGGCATTTTCAATGGTCAATAACAAACTTTATCATTCTTACTGTCTGCCGTTTAATAATCTACTTTAAAATGAATAAGAAAAGCATCGTTTGCATGTTGTCAAAACAAGATCCTGTCAACAGACGATGAGTTCAAACTGTCTGTCTTTTTGATTGATTGCTCTCAGCTGTTAGTTGAATGAACGGTAAAGTGGGTCACTGAATATGGTACAGTCTCTCTTTCAGTATCCAACGACGGTAGTAAGGTGTATAATTGAGTCAACTCATATAAGTGTTGAGTAGACCAATGAGATGGTGCCACTCTTTAGTATATTCTTTATGTAAACAGACAGGTACTATTCATCGTCGTCTTCGCTCATCCATTGTTTCTTAGACCAATGAGTGAAAGTTGATCCTGAATATTTGAACAGCTTGCTGAGTTTCTCAATATGTATGTAAGAGAGAAAAAAGAAAAAAGAAAAAGAAAAGATGATGTAAAATTACGAGATCGAGGTGCTGCTGCTGTCCTAAGATTTCAATTTCTCTTGTTCTCATCCTCTCGCGTACCCCCTTCACACACAAGAAAGAGAAAAGAAGAGAAATCTACGTAATAGTCCTTCTCAGATTGCACCATGTGAAGGTTAATCATGAACAATCATCAGCCCGCAAAAGGAAAAACTAGTTCAATAATAATACAAAAAAGAAAGAGAGAATTCATGTTTATGTAAATATATACGTCATGATGATGTTGATGATGATGGCTGTGTGACTCTTTTTCATCAATTTTCATCATAAGAGTTGTATGTCTCAAGTTACGTTTTCTCACTCTTATTCATATCTCAACATACACAAATACTAAATAGAATCAGAAACTCTCGTTCTTTTTAAAACAATATGCTAATGTACTTATTGATTAGACAAGAGGAGGCTCTAGGCATAGATAGTGTTTATTCATATCTTCTTTTTTAATACTTACATATTGACTTATATAGTTATATTTGAATTCAGCTTCTTTTACGTACAAAATCAGTTTCATATTGATATAAATTTCTATCGTCAGTTCAAAGATAAGCAGAGCAGTTATTTATGACTTTACTTATGTACCTCAGCAGGTAGCCTTACGTTGACTTTCATCAGCATTTTTTTCTTTTTGTACATGAAAACCGCAGGCAATAACGTTTTTCATTATATCGCCTTTACTTTTCAAGAATGTGTTGTTCTTCTTTTTTTCTTTTTTTTTAACCGTATGCTTCTTTTATTGCATCTTGCAAATATATATACACATCCCATCATCGATCTCATCATAAGAGAGACACAGAGAGAGAGAGAGAGCGTGCACGCCCGACAGAAGAAAGAAGGAGAAAGACTTGAAATTTTATTCACTCTCTCTCTCTCTCTCTCTCTTCCTTCTTTTGTATATGTGTGTGGGTCGAAAAAAAAAGCAGAAAGAATTTCGATTCTTCCATACACATTCATACATACACCTGAAATCAGTCTAAGTGTCCGCGCCCATCTATCGTCAACGTCCCTTGATGTAACAAAAAAAAGAGAAGAAAACGAAGAAAAAGCACCGAGATCAAACCGATGGCTCATCTGACCATCGTGACAAAAAGGTATAGTGCATTAGTTTATGTACCCGGAATTAACGCAAATAATTGATTTCACGCAATCATGTCCTATAGATATTTCCGGTAATGTGACGCTTTGTTTTTATTGTTACGTCTTTTTCTCTCACACTCTCACATTTCTTTCGTTCTCGTCAGTTTTATTTCCATTACTTGCCAATGTTTTCCATGAGAACGATGAAAAATAGACGCCATAATTATTCTTTGATGCTTATATGTGTGCATAGAAAACTCAAGATTCTCTTCTTCTTCTTTTTTAAACATAAACTGATTGATTAGAATGAAGACTTGTTAGAGCTATGTAAAATTACGCCATCGTGTACGTTTATGTTTATTCAGACAGCTGAAAAGTCAGTAAGCCGTATTTTCTGTTAGTCGATAGTACTATATTTCAGATGTTCTTCGAAAGAATTGCATCATCGAAAATCATGTAAACAGATACGTATCAAATTGCTTGATTAGGTTATCCTTGAAAGAAAAAGCGCTATTTAAATTTCATATGAACGAGAAGGCATTGAATTAGTAGAAAACTTTCACAATTATCTAGTGAGATCAGCACAAAAAAGAATTTAGAAAACTAGAGAAAAAAGAAAAAAATATGTTATGACGACAAGGCAGAATTGTATGCATCCTTGAGTAAAATAAAGTATCTAATGAAATTGAAAAAGCAATTTAACTCTTGAGAAACAGCACGCCAAAACAAAGAGTATGAATGTACCATTACCTGTATGTTTACTGAAAACAGTTTTTGATCGCATCCCAGAGAACCTGAGAATATTCTCATTTTTCTCTGTCTATTTTTCTTATTACTTTTCCATATTATCTTAGCTAGATTCTTTAACTAGTCGAATCAATGAGAAGAAAAATGTGTATAAAAAATATCAAAGAAAATAAAATAGAAACACCATTATTATCCGAAGCCAATATTAAAATAACAATATCGTAACATATAGAAAAAAAACAATTTTTTTTGTCTTGAAATGAAAATAAAACAAATTTCATGCTTCTATATTTATTTTAGATCATCGATGACACAATGGCCAATTCAACGAAATGTTTATACATTAGTATCACAAACTAATTCAATGAATAAATCAAATCAACAAGAAAATACAAATATATTAACAACACATAATATAAACACACCACGCATATGTTCAACAACTAATCAGTCTACATCTCAGCAACAACAACAACCTTCAACATTTAGCAATTTCGATGATAGTCTAACGAATCTCTCATGGTTACATGATATAAATATAATAAAACGTACGATGCCACCAATAAATTCTTCTTCATCTACAACAAATAATAAACGTAAAGAACAGTCATCGTCTTATTCATCGTCATCAAACCGTGATAGTATTCATCCTAATGATATATCTGATAATCATGATTTACCAATAAATAATGATGATGACGACGATCAATGGCGTATGTATAAAACAAATCCACAAGCAAAACCGGTCTATTCATATTCTCAACTTATCCTATTAGCTATGAAACAATCTGGATATGATAAAATGACATTACAAATGATATATGATTGGGTTGCAGAGAATTTCCCATATTTTAAAAAAATGGAACCAACTTGGCAGGTATTTATTTGTTTTTCTAACTTTGAAATTTTTTTTATTAAAATAATTAAATGAATTTTCCAGAATTCTATTCGACACAATTTATCATTAAATAAATGGTTTATTAAAGTTCCACGTACAAAAAAAGAAGCTGGCGGTGGCAAAGGTGGCTTTTGGAAATTATCATCTGATTATGAAAGACAACGTTCGTTAATTTATATTCAACAACAACAACAACAACAACAACAACAAATGAATTCTACACCTAATAAACGTGTACGTCATTCAAAACGTTCAACACCATCAACACCATCATCATCATTAAATCAAAATATATCTAGTAATGTAACACCTTTAATAAAAAATTCTTCTCGTATATCTTATGAAAATATTAAAACTGAACCATGGATTGATCCAATACTTCCATGTATTGGATCAAAAAGTCAATCACCACTTCATTGCCATACAACAATTCTTGATCGTTCATATGTACGTATGCCAAGTAGTTTTCTTTCTCCAACATCATCTCCGGACTCTCTAACTGTTTCACCATTTAATCATCAACAAATACACGATTTTTCATCTATATTAACTCCATCACCATCTACTTCACCATCATCAATGTCGTCAGTCATTTCAAAACAAAATTTAAATGGAACAAAATTAGATGATGCAGATATGCTATTATTAGATTCGTCAACATTCGACTGGGATGCTTATTTATGTGAAACACCAAATGATATTGATGTTCAACCATTATTATCATCAAGAACAGAGCATGATCTATTCAATGATTTTAGTGCAGCACTATCGGATTTAACATCTTCAGCTGAAGCAGTAGCAGCAGCTGGTGCCGATACAAATACTCCGTTTGATGCATTCGATTATGCATCAAAAAATTCAACATTCAATTGTTTATTTGACGATGATGATCAATCACAACAACAAATTATTGAACCTTCTAGTAATTCAGGAGATTTAACTGTAAAAGGCTGTGGAATAAAACGACCCTCGTGGTGGATTACAAATGAATGTGCCACATCAACTAAACTGCCATCACTAGAGACAGCTTTTGATCTCAAATTATCTAAATAATGAACAGAATTTTGTTTTGTTTTTCTTCTGTACATAAATTTGTGTGTGTGTGTGTGTGTGCGTGTGCGTGTGCGTGTGTGTGTGTGGGTAGTAGAGTCTTCCGTTTCTTGAAATGATTCGTGTGACATATATTTGCAATTGTATCTGCTTGTTTTTATTCCGTCCAAGAATAGTCTTTGTTTGAAGAAAAAAGAAAATTTTTTTCTTTTTTGCTCATCACTGTGATTTAAAACAGCTGCAGACACACTGTCCATTTTATTATCACATTGTGTGCATGTGTGAGTATTTGTTTTCTTTTGCAGAATTAAAAAACTTAATAAAAAAAAAATCTTTTTTTTGTTTCTGTAATTGAATTTTTTTGTATTTGTTTATCGTTCGCTGCAAATCGGACAAAAAAAAGAAATAAATTGTAGTGAAAATATTAATAATATTGAATTTATTAGAGAGAATAGATATTTGTATGTGTTTAAAATAATATTATATAATCATTTCGCTGTCTCTCTCTCTCTCTCTAAATATATCACAATACATATATGTGTTACACAATGAGCAAGGTTTTCTAAATAAAAGAAAAACAATGAAGAAATACAGATCGTTGATAAACACTTCATTTACATTTCGTGCGATCAAAAGAGAAGTGTTTATAGGAAGACTACTCTTCATCAAGTAGTTCTTTATCTAAAGAAGAAGACGACGAGGGCGAAGAAAAAACTTCGTTCGTATTGTATTTTATGAAGTTTGTACAATGAATAACAAAAACGAGAATATTTTCTTAGTCTTTAGCTAAAACAAAAGTATTTATATAAATCAATTTTCTGTAAGAATAGAGAAGAAATTCAAGTATACTTTCAGTATAGATTTTTAAAAAGAAGAACAGTGATATAAATAATTATTTTAAATACAAGAAATAATTAGTTTGTATGAAAAAATGACTTGCTATAATACAGTTGAATAGTTGTAATGAATGATCATAGCAAAAGAAGAATACAAAAAACTATATCTGTAAAATTAGAAATGTTAACTGGCGTTCTACGTAAGCTCTTTTTATGAATAGCTCACTGATTATAGCCGAATGGAATTGTAATGAATATAAAATTGAATTGATCAGAGGTTGTTTTTTTTAAGAACATCAAAATATAACGACTAACTAATGCAATAGAACTTTTGTTTGCTTCAATCAAGAAATGTTAAATAATTATTATGACTTAAACCATCATATCACAATGTGATATAGATTAATCTATCGATCGATTACTTATTGTTCCTTTGCGTTGATCTGTAGTCCAGAACAGATTTTTTTCAAATGTAATTGATTCTATAATTCGGTATGAATTTATTTTCTAGTCTTCGCTTCGAACTCATTTTATTTCTACAACAATGACCGATAGGGAAAAGTTCAAGTATACATTAGCAGATTTAAATAAAAAAAATTTTTCATATCCATTTTTCATAGATGATAGAGTTGAATGAATGAGATGCTTACATTATATCAGTCGTATTTCACGTCATCGACAACACCAAGTCATAATGAAAAGAACTAATATGGGATTATTGACTTACAACGAAGAGGTACAAAAACATTTAGGCAGTAATTAATAGTGATAAAAACAGATAGAGTTATTTCTATTTGGAAATTTATTCTTGTACAAAAAAGAAGATTGATTTGAATTTAAATATTAATGTAACTTATATACTAATCAATACAAGGTCTATAACATTAAATTGATGTTCGGCTCAGATATTTGATATTGGTATTGAATGAATATCTTGTGCTACTCTCAAAAAATAGTACACTCTATTAATATTTGATTTTTGAAACTAAAAAACTCAGTTAAGACTTTTTAAATGAGTCAGTTGAAAAGATATTGAAAATATTAATAAAGACCTATGTTTGTTTGAAAGTTTCTATTTGATTACACTCTTTATATAATTGTTATACATTTGCAATGTATCATGCTTTTTCATTTCCTTTTCAAAAAAACAGAAATCTGACATTGTTGTTTGTATGTGGAGGGGGGGGGTGGTGACGGCACCAACGTCACTGATATTATCTTAGTGCCTGTTTGTTTCTTTTTCTTTTGTTTGTTTTTGCGCCTAATATTGTTAATTCATTATTCTTATTCTTCTCTTTTTTTCTTCAAGCTTCTTCATATATCTCTCCTCACTGAGATATGCCTATACTCATTCTTTCAATACCTTTCGCTCATCATTCGAGGGTATCTTTTCTGACTACTATTCTTCTTCTCCTCTGTCAAAACGAATCATCTTTTTGGTTAATTACATATTACGTGTTTTTCTTTCAACTTGATTGCTCATTACAATCAATCTAATTCGATTGTCCCTTACAATCGTTCGAACTCGTGTCAGCTACTTGCTTGTGGAGTTCTTCTAATTCACAACTATTTCTGTTCATTGAATAAACAATTGGATCTTCATCGAATATTCAATATTATTTTATTTCCACTGCTGTCTTTCTGCCATAACCAGTACTGTGGCACCTGACATTTTTGATTAGTTGCGTCTCTGATCCTCATCAAGACGTTATAGCGGGGCTCTTATTCGATTAGAAAAAGGTTAGAAATGTAAATATTAAGTGAAAAGGTATTTTTTTGTTAATATAAATGTCTTGATCGTCGAACTCTAGGTGCAATCAATAGATATAATTCGTTCACTATCAAATAATTGAACTAATATTGAATAAAATAAAGTATCTGTCAACTAGCGGCCTCCTAACATATTCTAAACAATGTTATACAATCAGGACTTCAATGAAGAAAGTTAGAGTAACTAACGTACTGTTTTATTTATTTATTTTAATCATTCTATGATTTAATTAAAACGTGATTTTAATTAAAACGTTGCTAAGAAACAGTAACATACTAATATGTTATAATAATCATTAATTTTCAATGATCATTTCATCGTATTATTATACAAAAAAGAAACAAAATAAAAATGGTAGTCGGACAAAATAATAAAAATCAACAAGAAGAGTCTGTCTATAATTTAATACCAAGAAATGAAATTCGTCCACCAAAAGCATCTTGGTATATAATTCTTGTACGATTTAAATTTTTGAATTAATTACGCTTTTTTTTCATAGCTATGTATCAAAATTTAATCCAGATGTTCGTGAAAAATTCAATGAAGGCAAACATGAACATCGCACAATGGGTTACGCAGAAGAACCAGTTCCAGGTCCACAGCAATTTCTGAAAAAAAATCAAAATAACACAAAACATAATGTTATTAATAATAGTAAAACTTTTTTGTATTTTTATTTTCTTTAAAAAAAATGACTAGATCTATTTTTCATATAGATAAAGACACATCATTAAATAAAGATCGTACACAACGTAAACCACCTGTTCCAAGTATTCGTGATGCTCCTAAAATGGGTACACGAACAGAGAAAAATTTCATTCAAACAAATTCACTCGATGTTGTTATGACTGTACCAAAAAAACCCGAACGAAATACTGTTGATGATCGTTTTGGTGATAAATTTCCAGTAGATCAAAGTGGTTTAACTCAAAAATATGTACTGAAAAAAGTATTTAGTTTCTTTATACTCTTATGGAATGACGTTTTAACTGATAATAATTGATTTTTAGAATTTTGGTGAAGTACCTGTCTATATCAAAACACGTCAAGCAGATATGGAAAAAGCTAAACAAGAATATCAAACTTACGTTTCAGATTATTTTCGTCGTGGAGCAATGCGTGAAATGGATATCGAGGAACGAAAAACAATTGTTGACGGTGTGCTTGAAGAAAAAACTAGCTGTTTTTTTTAAATTAAATAGTTTCATATCTAAATTTAGGTTTGAAAAAACAATGGGAAGATGTTCATCATGAATATCAAACACTTTCCGTTCTTATTGATACAATTCCAAAACGTCAATATAAAGAACGTCTTGAACATCAAATGAAACTACTTGAAAAAGATATTGATTTATTAGAAAAACATCACGTCATTTATATTGCTGATTGAAATGCCTAGTTCTTCTTATTTTGCTTTTGTGTGTATTTTTCTCAAATTCTATGCATTTCCTTGCCTTAATCCGAAAAGACAGGGTCACATTTGTATGAACATTTTTTTCAATATGGTAGAATTAACTATAAATAAATTTCTACTAACACTATTGCGTTAAGCCTATTTTGGTCAGTTTTATGAATTAAAAATTGTCACAGTCAAATGAAATTAGATATAGGTTTCATTCAATAAATTCTCATTTGTAAGTCTCTGTCACATTAAGAGATGTTTTAATAATATAAGTTATCCTTAAAGATATCATGTGTTGGATGCAATAGAAGACCTTCTATAATTAAATTGTTTCTTGACAAAACGAATACATTCAGTAGGATAGTTACATAGAAGTTGTCTAGATTTTAGAACTTTGAGATATAAAATCTATAAATATAATTGTCAAAGTTAGTTTTTGGGCCGCAGAAATTCAAATAGTTATTTGTAAAATCGCTTAGCTTTTATAAATATTTTCCTAATGAAGAACGATTGGACTAAATGTATGACAGACAATCTTTGCAGTTGACTTTCAATAATTGTCGACATTTCTATACTTATAGAAGTTTCGTCGATAAAATAGAATTGCAATATAGATGCTTGCAGTCAATACAGTCTTGGTTAAGAGGTAAATCTACTAGTTAATCATGCTTGCTATATTGTACTTTGAACAATCTATTTTGTTAATTAATGAAGAAAATACAAATTTGTCAATATTGACCTTGAAAGTGAATTTTTTTGACATTTGTTAAAAGTCTAGTTTGGTTAAAAATAAAATAAATTCTATAATGAATAATACGACTTAAGATAATTGTCTGAAGTCAGTGTCACGGGTCAATGTTGTAAACTCTTTACTATCCAAAAACAAATAGAAAACCCCTCTTAACATTTGGCATATTGCGAGCTAATAGAACATCTAGAGTATTGTATATTGAAGAAGATATTTATTAGATTATAAATAATCTCTTTCAAGTTATTGACTTTTCTAGATAATTTATGAAATGTAGAATTATGATCAACGATGGAAATATCTTTATCGTTTGTGTGTCGCACTTGCTGAAACTTTAATATTAAATTTTAGAAACATAGTTCAAAGATGCATTAAACATTGACATTTAAAACCTTACAGCTATTCTGACCCAAGGCATCACCAATGAGGACAATTTTAGACCATTATCATTAATTTAATAATAAAAAAGAACAGTTGATTGGATTTTCTTTATAACATATAGATAATACATTAGCTAGTACTTAAGTCAATATTTTTCTTAGATATCTTCTAACGCATTAATAACGACCTTTTCTAGTTTCTAATGCTTGATCAAATTTCCATTAGAACGGAAAATATCTTTTTATATGACTTTTCCATTTAGCAAGCATAACTATCAAAACTTCTCTATTTCAGAAAATATTTCTAAATTGTTCGATATGAGCCATGATGTTTAAAGTAATTTATATCCTAGAGTAGAAGAAATTATTTAGACTCTGACGATTTTGATACTTTTATTACAATATTTTTCTCATCATTCTTATCGTTATTTGCGTTGAGAATTATAGCTGACCTTTATTTCATAAGTTACACGTCAGACGTAATTATATGTATTCATGACAGACAACGAACGGTATAACATTCAAGAGACTATTATTTGTTTTTAATATATTCAAACAAATAAAATTTTTAGTAAAGTGATATTTTGAAAAGCAATTTATACAAGACGTTGGTAAAAGTAACCGTCAGAACTTTTATTCTGGTGGAACATATTCGATTCGTAAAACAACTTCATCAAAATTAAAGATTGAGTAGACTTTTTTTTATTCATGGGTCATCTTTTAACACTTATTGAATTTTATTCCATAAATTCAACTTACGAAATATCATGAGCAAACATTTTTCATTTGATAGGAAATGTTTACACTTTCTAGCATAAATGAATCGATAAAAGTAACGAAAAACAAAACTTCCATTATCTACGCGTTTTCTATTAGTTAGTTTTTTGTCGATTTGTTTTAATAAGTCATAAATTTTTTAACAGCATATTACATGTCAAACAAACAAAAAAAAGGAACGAATAAATTATAGGTAGCAGTTGAAAGAAATATCGATCTTTCAAAACACAAAAGATACATTATAACTATACAAAAAGAAATTTTTTGTTTTCTGCTAGTTAAATAAAAAAAATGAAATCGGATAATATTGTTTTATAAAATATTCTATTGACAAGTAGCTCTGAATATTTAACCAAAACAGAAGCATAGACATAGAGAACTACAACAGAATTGTTCACGGGTACATTACGCTTCGGAAAAGAAAGTGCTTTTTGATACTTCGACAAGCGAAACGAAAGAAAATCTCTTATGGAAAATAGGACGACGAGAAGAAAATGAAATAATACAAATTCAAAAGAAAAAGATGAAGAGTCAGCAATAACTCGTTACGATTAACATCATGCATTGATTTTCTAAATACATGAAATAAAAGAAGAGTATTTTATTCGATTGTCAACAAATGACAATGAACACAGAAAACTAAGCCGCCTGAAATTAAAGAAAAAGAATATCACACTAATCACAAACTTAATGTTTTTGTTATTTTTTTAATCCGACTTTTCAAGTCTAAGATAAAATCTACATGAGAAATTAACTGGTTTTAATGAACATTCATTTTTTTCATGTTCTTGGTTTTTTTAAAACCATTGCATTTTTCAAATTTAAGATAGCACCGCATCATCAAATGAATAAATTTTCTTTGTTTTTGTTTTGTTTGCTAATAAGAATATTTCGATGAAAGAATATTCAGAACCAATATATGAGGTAAAAATGAATGAAGTTCTGGTCGAAGATTAGCATGAATAAGGCGAATATCACCTGTCCACTCATGACATAATGTTGTTAACATTAAACGTTGAACATGTCCACATGTTGGTGATTCATCAAGTAATCGTTCAAGATGATGAGTACATCGATGATCAGGAGAAGAATTTAATGATGAAAGAAACATCATTGGTGAGGATAAATGAGTAAATTTAACAAGAAGTAAATATGCATCTGATGATAGCGTAAATGGTGGTGTTTGAATTGAGGACGATGATTTTTCTGGTAGAAGAATGAAGTCATGTGGTGAACCAAATTCAAGAAAATATTTCATTTGTTGCCGTTTACGTGGTGGTAATGATGATGATGGAAGAAGATCTTTTGTTGATGCGACACAATTATGTAATATAATTGGAGTAATAGTTTTTGAAGAACTGCAAAAGAAAAGAAAAAGAAAAGAATATACATTTCAAAGTATCATTCGAACTATTTACTTTGATTGATCATCAAGTTGAATTTGTTGTGTATCTAAATTATGATTCATTGGTGCTTGGTATTTTTGTTGTAGCGTCGAATTTTTTTTCATTGTTATTCGTTTATTTTTTATTTCAGTTGTTTCTGATAATGGTAAATCATGTACTTTTATTTGATTCTTTTCTTTTCTCATTTGTATAATTAAATCTCTACATTGAGAGAATTGAGGTGAATTACGTAAACAATATGGATAATTTGAGTCTTTAAGAAATCTTTGGATACTTAAATAATACGAACGTAAAGTTTCAGGATCATATTTTAAACCTTTACGTGTTCGAATTGATGTTAAATAATCAATTAAATAATTACGCATTGTATCAGGATCAATATCAACAAGTGCCATTGATGTTAAATCATAATGACGTTTTAAAAATTTACGAAAGCGTCGAACATCTTGACGTGTTTTTAATTTTGTATTACCCAAACTACGCCGTAACGGTGTGTGATTATCATCGTATGATGAAAAATCAAACTACAACAAAGAAATATTCATGGACTAAGTACGATATTGCTTTCAAGAAGAGTCTTTAAAAAATTTGTATTACACATATACATATGATTTATAAATTTATCATCGAAATGCGTAATAGAAAAATGGATTCCAAGATAGAGTTAGATAGTTAGGAAACTTTGTACTCTATATATTTTTAAACGTTCCTCTTTCTCGAGACGATATATATAATTTATATTTGATTAAAGATAATATTAATTTTAAATTCAAAGTTATTGTTCTATATCATTTCTTATAATGAGAAGGTTAAAAAATTAATTTATGATTAATATGTCATACTAGATATGACATCAAGCAATTTTATTTGTCAGATTTTATATGGACATATCGTTGAACTCTATATTCTGTCAATCTTTAGAGATATGCAGAACGAAAAGCCAAGCAAAAGAATGAGCCTTTTCTTCTTCTTTGTGTAAGCATATTTTCGTTGATTAAAATTCGAAGCATCACTTAAAGACACAATCCAAGAAGCAATATATGCGTAGATTTTCTTTTTTTAGAAAGAAATGCATTAAAAAAACAATTATATTTTTAACTATCAAATGATCTATTTTTATTCTAAATAAAAAGTACTTGTTTTGTATTTACACAAAAAATTCCTTTTTCACCCTTTGATAAAGTACAATACTTACTGATCTAACTACGAGTGCCATACTTTGTTATTTCTTTTTAACAATTTGTGTGTAGGAGTTTTTGACGATAATAACTAACTTTATCTCTCGTTCTTTTTTTTTGCGGTGAATTCAAAAAGAAACAAAGGGATTTATAGAAGCATTTCTTTTAATCGACGTGCTCTTTTTTGCCCTCGCTCTGTCTCTTTTCTCTCTCTCTCTCTCTCTCTCTCTCTCTCTCTCTCTCAATAAGGACACACTGTGGCAGATTTTAAATGAGTACATAGCTATTAAATTAGAACATAATTGAATAGAAAGAATAATATTTTCTATTTTTCGTTTTTACCTATTTAAATATGTTAAACTAGCAAATCATAGTTATTACCGGTCATTGTCAGCTGGCTAAATAGTCAAATATTAACTTGATTGAATATTATGATCAGAAAATAAATATTTATATATATATAATAGTTCCGATTCTATACCAATAAGTACTTAAAGCATATATTAAGCAAAGAAAAAACATGTATTCATATTTAATATACGTGAGAGACGAACTCAGATATCGACATGATAGGAAAAAAAACGTGAAACCTAATAGATTACTTCTTCTTTTATTTTTCTGTCCTATTTTTGGTTCATTGAATGTAGTTTTTTTTCTATTTTTATTTTATGAGTATTGCCAATGTCAATCTGCCTCTGTAGATAACAAATCATGTGTGGAATAATAAATAACTAAATTGTCTACAACGCTTTATATTGATATAATTAAATGAGAAATTATTTTTAAACTCATATTTGTTCAATTTAATTGAAATTTTCGAACTGGATTGACTATAGATAGTATTGTAATAGAGAGCGATGGGTATATTTAGTAAGACAAAATCATATTACTTCTCATCTAATATTTTTACGGCCTAAAACGCAAAAGGTTATGTATCTTTTCTTCTTTATGCATCTGAAGAAGTATTCATGGAATGAAGGTCATCAACCGCTGTAAAAATCGTGTAAGACTAATCATAAATCGACAATACAAAAGATTAATTTAACTCAAAAATTCGTTTACCTGCTCGCTGATCATTTTTCTTTCTTCTTTTTTTCCCTGAGACACTCTTATCATTATTTAATACCAAAATGTGTAAAGCATGAACAATGGCGAAATGTTACGAAGGTCACAATGGCCTCTTCCACTTTCGTTCCATTTCTGCAAGTTATGCGTAAATTTATCTAATAATGTGCATAGAAAAACATTTCTTACAATAACTTTAACTTCGTTAACATTATTCTATCAATGTTAATAAAAGACATATTCTAGATTTTCTTATTTTCCTACAAAAATTATCGTTTTAAACAAGAGATTGTCACTCGAGGCCGACTGCAATCTGATAACAAATATGAAATCATATAGTTGTTATTTATTACAAAAAAAAAGAAGAAAAGAAAAGGATTATTGTAATCCTTATCGAGAAATGTTATCTATTCTCGTTTTCCAATGTGAGAAGTCCTGTTGTACGATCATAAAGATATATTAAATTCTAATAGATTATTTATTGTTTAACTTTCTGATGATTATTCTCTCAGTTAATTTAGAAAAAAAAGACAGCAGAAAAAAATCTAATGTACATCATAATCTTATCAGTACGATGATCTTAATATATCTTTTATGATATAAGAACGTGAAAATTTATAGAAGAAATTTTGCATACCAACAGTTGATAATTATTGAAGGCGTTATATAGACTGTCAAAGTCTGACGAATTACGGTTATTTTTATAAATATATTCTATTTTTGGCGTCGAGCAATATTTTTTGTATGCTTCTGATAAGCATTCATGTTTTTAAAAATAGCACAAAAAAAAGATTACCTCATCATCTTTAATTGGTATTGAATTTGATATTAAATTTGAATTTAATGTGGAACAAATACTAGGGTGATTAGATGTTTGTCTGACATTTGTTCTTGATAATTTTAATTTAGTTTTTGTTTGAAACGATGATAACGATTCATCCGTTGAATCTTTGCTTGTTGATGACGATGGTGGAGTTTCCACCGTATAAAAATCGGTTATATCCATAGATTTATTTGATATACATAGATATGTACTATCAGTCATTCGTAATTTATGTATCAGTTATGGACACGCATCATACGCAAAGAACATTGAAATAAGTCTAAACGATGGTGTAGACGATGAAAATCGATGATAAAAATAGACAACAAAAAATGACGACAACGGCTTTAATGCGTGTATGACTGTGTATCTTTTGAGTAGTAGTGATAGTAGTTTAGTATGTATGCGTTTCTCTTGCTTCTTTCGCGTGTTTGACGAACGGATAGATTGTTGTTGCATGCAGACACATTATCGTTGCATAGAAAAGGGAAAAACAGAACAAAACATCAGACGGAAAGAAACAACGAAGGGAAGAGCGAGAAAGAACACACATCAGAGTGAATGAAAAGAACGAAAAGAGGCGGACCTGCCTTCTTGTATGCTGAGTAGGTGTGTTACTCGTCTCGACGACAACATACTACTTCTTAGTTATACACAATTAAATCAAGACATAATATAATTTTACTTTTGAATATATGTGTATGCACATGATTTTCATGGCTTAATAAGATACAATTATGAGTTTTATCTTTACGGTATTCTTCACGATTTTCGTTCGGTGTTTTTTATGATTGTTATATTGTTCTATGACATACAGAAATCGTCATAAAAACTTTCATTCTTTCTTTTTTATATGAATCCAAATAAACATGTTTTTGTCATTGTTTATTCCGTTTTTTTTCTATTTATTATACCCAAATGAGTGAGCGACAATAATCAACAGTAGGACATGCAAAAAGAATCAAAGGTATTTCTATGCACTCAGCAAAGTACTTGGCTTGATCAGCTGTCTGAAAGAATTTTTTTCTCTTGATGACGTATTATGAATGTTGTTTTTCATCTGATCGTGATTAATTGACAGTGATAACCTTTGCTCAGTGGCAAATGATGTCTATTATGAAGAATGTAATGTATTGGAAATATACTTGCTACGTACCTATATTTACATGATCAAAACACGTATCAATGCTTTTCATTGAAATGATATAGAGGAAATTGATCAATATGATAGATAAATTTTTCTATTTTACATGAAATGAATCAAATCTCATTTTGGCAAGTGGAAAAAAAGTGATGCAATAATATGTAAAAAATGATATAGTACTGTGCCTGTGTTTTAGTTTTTCAATTTCATCAAGCCTTTTTTTGTATAAATGCATTTTGTTTGAGTGAAAAGGAAATCGTTGAGTTCTTGACTAAATAAATAGCAAGATGATTAATGACTACTACTGTGGAAACTTCATCACTATCGGCATTTTTTTAAACACAAAAGCAACTTAAAATTTTATTTACATAACATTCTATTTTACCGATAGGTACGAAAATGAAAACAAAATTTTCAATGTACTTTATCTAAGTTTAATTTCATCACTTGACTGAAAGAGATATGATACGATTAAATTATAATATACGTATATGTAAAACTTGTATTGAAAGTCAGTCGATAGTTAGCTATATGACTTGATAATGAATAGAAACTAAAAATTATTTTAGCTGTTAGTCTCTTTTTAATAACATAAATTCTTATGTGCGTTGGTTGTTTTTGTTTTTGTTAGAAAATTGTCTTTGTATGTTAATACCTATTTTTTTCGAACAATGAATGAATGTTATCTATCAGAAGACTATGATAATGAAATTCTTTTAGATCTGCTTTCAGTACGCTTTGACGCGCATCGGTTAACAAATGAATAATTATTATTAATAAAAAAAAAAAAGAAGTTCTATAGATAATTGAGATAAACTTGATAGAGAATATTCGCAACGTTCATCAATGATAACGAATTAATTTCATGAAAACTGTATTAGTTAAATTATTAATCCATGAAAATACTTTATTGTCACAACCTATTTAAATAAAAATTGGAAATTAGAAGTGAGCCTTGAGCAAAAATGTTTTCAACATACAAATTCAAACAAAGTATAATCATTATTACTTGAAATAGTTAATTGTAAAAAAATATTTTCTCAAGATCTGAATGAGTTCAAAAGAAACTATTTTCGAATAAGTTTCATCATCAAATGTTTCATTATCGATAAAAAAACGGACGGCCGGACACACTGACCGATTCTATAGTGTACTCTTCTTTTTTTGAGTACACAAAAAAATGCAAAGTTGCAATAACAAAAGATGTTTTGGCTCAGCATTGCGCAGTTTACATCGTACAGTTCTCAAAATAACTATGTATCGAGATTAAATCACTTCTTATTGTACCTCCGTATGTTATGGGAGTTAGTCCGTGAATCAAACTGGTGTTGAGTAATAATATCGAATGCGAAAAACATAGAATATGATTGCGTCGAGTAATTGCATCGTATCAAGTGGTAGAATTTACCGGTACTAAAATGGAATATGATTTGTAAAAGTATTGCATTGCGTAAGGGAAGAACTCGAATGAGTTTGATGACTAGTTACCAAAAAACATCGAGTTCAATTTAATTGCATTCATTTGTTCTCAAGTGTGTTTTTTTACTCATAAGCATAAACTTGAAAATTTAATCGATCTTAAATTGGAAAAAAATTTCCGCGCTTGAGAAAACTTCACGTGAAAAAATATTTTAAAGTTCTCTAAGAAATCGGAAAACGTTGTAATCAAGAGAGATAGTGACAAAAAAGTGTTTAGCTACGCTGATTCTTCATTATTTTCTTCGTTAACAAAAATAAAATAGAGAAAATAGTAGAAACTTTCAATTAACTAAAATAATATCTTAATAGTAGTCAAAAACAGAGCTCAGTGGCGTTTCTCAAAACCTAACATTCATAAATTTTAATGTTCTATGTTCCATCAAACACATCGTCTAAATTTATCGAATGGGCAGATAGAAAATTTTCGAATACAATAAAAGTTATTCAGCAATCTGTCCAAGACTCCTATATAGGAAATCACAGTCATTGCTCGTTTACAACTAAAAATTCCTCGATATTGTATTTATGAAAATGTATTAGCATTTGATACAGTTTAGTTTTCAATTCTATATTCGCATAAATGCAGTGCACTGAAAATAGATTATAGAAAGCTCAACGGTATTCTATTTTGCCCATAAGTATTTTTTGTAACAGATGAACTTGTTGTTTTTTTTCAGTAACATCCTGGTAACTTCAGTTTGATCCTTTCGTTTGCTAACTAAATGTCATTCGGAATTATTTGATTACATTTAAACGATATCCATCTTTGTGGGATACTGTCCTCTGATTTATTATAGATTTAACACTTCAAGGATCAAATCAAAAATATTTCGATCGTAAACTTCTTTGCTTCACTATAAATTAAAACTATTGCTCATTTAAACGAAGATATTCCATCGTTATAGTAATAAAATCATACATATCGACCTATAGATAATGATAACCATACTATGCAATGAAGTTTGTTACAGTAAATAATATATCCTTATTCTTTTCTTCGAATTTGCTGTAGTGATAGAATGCAAAGAGTTTTTACATACTGAAAATATCGTGTTTACTCTTTTCTATTATTGATAGTCTTAGTGACATTAATACAACAGCAGTGATCTTCAACCAATGGCTTGACTCACGTATTTTCTTCTACAATCATTTCACGCAGATTTTCGAGAATAACTTGGAAAGATAATGTGATCAACAAGAAATTTTCCGTTATTCGTTTAGTTTAGATTTTTGTACGAAAAAAATAGATAAGATTTATGAAAGTTTTACTTGCTTAGAAGTAAATCTAAGCTGTTATGCTTGCTTACATATGATACAATTTTATTATAGTCGTGTCTGTTAGATTATTATTGTACTCATAATCGTATATCATCATATACATCTCATTTTCATAATAATTAAAATAAGCCTGTAATCAATTTTTTATATTCCCCCTCAAATTATTTTCTTTGTTACTATTCGCAATCTAAATACAGAATTATTTCAATAACCATCTAATGATACGCAACGTTAGTTGATAACAAATCAGCATGTTCAAAATATAATTAAACATGATTAAGACCAATATGTAATAGTGGAACAATTTACTGGAAAATGTTCAACAAAATTATCGAATTCAATGATCGATTATAATCGGTGGACAAATATCAGTTTTTTTGTACTTCTTTCTTTACATTTATCGAAATAGAAAACATATTAATAGTGTTCCTAAAGATTGAAATAAAATAATCGTTTTCATTTAGTGATTATCTATTGATGATACAATGAATTCTTTCTATGGAATGTAATCCTATTTCTTTCATATAATCAAGCAAAAAAACCTTTTCTTCGCTTGTGTCTTGAATAATGAATGAGTCAATTTTCAATAATATTACGTCGTATGTTGTGTAGCAAAAAGAAACTATAAAAATGATTTTGCTGGCAGTTTTTATTTGTAAAATATTATGAATATCACGTCGTACATTTTACTGTATCTATAATTTAACGATTCATTGGGAAATATAGCACTAAACGAACATCAAGACTTCATAATATTTAGAAAGCTTGTGTAGTCTACAAATGATTTAAGATATCGTTCGATATTTTTTATGCATATCTAAATCTATTGATTCGAAGTTCGAACTCAAGTACAAAACAAAGTCTTATGAAACCCTTGGAAGTTGAGAGGGTTTCTCTACGAATGATTATTGTTAAACTCAATATAATTGTCAATGATACTGAGAGTTTATTCCATTGAATATGGTTTTCTTTGCAATATTCGATACATTCTAAAATTTTCTACTAGCTATCTAAAATCTTATTTTCATTGCTTTAGACTCATCATGATCGAGTTCTATTTATTATTATTTCATTTGGACAGAGGACAGGAAAAGCAGCAAGCAATACATGTTATAAAAACAACATTCTAAAAATAAAATCAGTATACTTGCAGGAAGATCCGATTTCTTGTTCAGTACGACAATTAATCCAAGATATCGACATAGTTTATACATATCATCTGACGAATCTCCATTTACTTTTCATTTCAAACTTATTTATTTGACCTTAGTGATTTAAGAACTTTCTCGTTCATCCATTATCGCGAGTTGTACAATTCTCAATGAATATTTTCAAAGATTATTAGAAAATATTCGAGATCATCTTATTCATTTAATAAATTCTTTCGAATTATTGCTAATAATAACCATAGTAATAATTATTATTAATCAATCTTTATTAGTATGGAATGAAATTGAAAAATTTCTTTGAACAATCTATGCTTTTCTCCTTGTATTACAAGATAGTCAAGAACAACTTTCCACATACAGCTGGTAGAAGAATGTCGCAGCAGCCATAAATGAATTTCACAAAAGATAATATGAATAAGATTATCGTTCATATCTGACTGATACGACTACTCATCAATAAATTTATACCATTTTCAACAGATCTATGTTGATTTTGCAGCGATGAAAAACTGAATTCCTTTGTGCAACTTTGATTTTGTAATGTTTTTTTAGTTCGTTCGTGATACACTTTTAGAGATTCGTTTTATTTCATCGTAATTAAATTTTATATTCACCTTCTATTCTTATATTTCAGATCGTAAATATTTATTGTGATGAGAGAATTGTAAATATATGGCGTATTATGAAACGTTGATACGCAAACATCGCAATCAAACGTTGAAAAAAATTGAATTTTAACAGAATTACTCGAATTTTCTTTCTTAGCAACCATGATTGTTTTGTATGTAGTTCGACGAGTGATAGAATTGACGATAATATTATTTTTGTTGGGTGTATGATAACGTTGGATGAAGAATAGATGATTGATTTTTTTGTGATTGTTGGTTTTCGGTAGTAGAATCAAATAAAGTTGAAGTGTATGAATTAATAAGAGGATTATAATAAAAAAGAGAAACGAGAGAAAAAGTACATTGGTAGTCAATAAAAACGAGGAAACAACTAACCAGTGGCAAGAATGCTGGTGAATAACGTACCCGATGAAAATGTATTGAATAGTCCACCACAAATTATCATTAAAAAAGAGAATATTGGATTAGAAGAATATCAACATCAAAAATTTCAGTACAATTTATTCAATAGCATTATTAAACATGATCATTATTATGAAGAATTAAGTAGAATTAAAGATCGTTTGGATAAAAATGCACCATGTATGCAACAAGTTATTCATACGGATATGAAACGAGCTAATATAAATAAAATTTATGAACGAAAACTTAATCGTGATTTAACTGGACCGAGAGGTTTAAATTGGCAATACAAGTAAGAAATCTCATTTTGAACATCTTTATAGGCAAGAGAGAAAAACAATTCTTCAGATTAGAGAGTAGAATATTTTTGTCATTACATTTCCATTCACTAATTTTTAGTTAATAATATTCTTTTTTCTTTGCACTAAGTAATGAATCGCTTCGATTTCAATAGTCATATCGTTTGCCTTTATTTCTGTGAACTTGTGTGACTTTTCAAATGCTCGTGAGTTTATAAATTAGTTGAAATGTTGTCATTTTCTTTCTTTCGAGTATGAATTCAATTGTTCTATTGTTTTAAATAGTAACGGGTGTGCGATGTTTAGTTAATTCGGCAATGTTAGTATCATACAAGTATTAAGATTAAAAAAATGAATAATGATTCTTTTAATAGTTGATATTTTAGATAGAATCAAATAATGTATTGTATATCTTTAAGCTCTTGTAATTTTGCACACTCTCAGAGAGAGAACAAAGTGTATCAACTGGCGAGACGCCCCAAATATAATTAATTCAATTTCAAACGCAACAAAGAAACAACAATAAAGGCGAGAGAGAGAAAAAGAACATAGCGAGAAACTCGCGCAAAATCAGAAACAAGACACGTGATATGGCGGTCCAGAATAAATGCCGATCTCATTATTACTCAATATTGTTTTTATTTTTCATTCATTTGAACTGAATCTTTTCGCAAAGGATTCAGCATTCAATTCTTTACAAAATCATATGTAAGCGAATAGTTCTATTTAATAACTTTAATTTTAGTTCGAATATGATGACAGAGAGACATAATCATGAAAACTTTAATTTAGATTATTTAAAAGGATTATTTTTATTTAATAGATTTTCTTTTCCGCGAATGCTTATTAATGTATCCATTCTTTCAGCTTATATCTAATCAAAATCAATTAAGTTATTAATAAAAAAAAATCATCAGCGTATAATTCACTGGTTGGAAAATAGAAAATGCACTCGATAACACTAACTTTATATATTTACAGTTCTTTAACTGATCTATTTTACAGAGCTATTTTGGAGCTGCAGCAGAAAATTTTATTTTTTTCTCATGATTTCGTGCTCTTCGATATACATCTTGAGTCACTTAGTATCTTCTTTTAAACTTTCATTCAGTTACAATAGGATTATTCTGATACCAAGACACTGTCCCAAATTAATCATTGAATTAAAATGGATTGTTACGAAAGAATTGATTCACAGAAATTTTTGTTCTCAGTAAAACGTGTTTCGAAGTAAAATCGAACGAGTTTTCTTCAATTTTAAGTTGTATATTAACAAATCTCAATTTGTACGGATAAAATTGCTTTTATCAACTGAAATGATACATGGAAATAATGTCAATCGCTTCTTTTAGATAAATTTTTAGTAGTAATGTAGTTTAATGATTGCATTATATATTTTGATTGATTTGAAAAGAAAATTCTTTTTTTCTTATTGACATAACGGACTTTGATCTCCTTTACTCAGCTTAGAATCTAAAAAGGTGGCCATGAAAAAGTTCTATAATATTTTATTTTTATTTAGACAAGAGTTACAACGTTTGCAAAGTAGCGAACGTAATGTGGAACGTGATTTGATACGTCTTAAACGTGATCTAGCACGAGTCTCGTTTTTGTCTTCATTGAATCAGTGTCCATTGTCATTTGAAAATAACGATATTACTCAAGTTCAATCAGAACAGGTATTAACCGTTAGTGGAATCAATTCACCAGTTCAATCACCACAAAAAAGAAGCATTATTCTACGACGATCAATTTCAATGAATGGACCCAGAACATCAGCAAGCCGTTTGTCACCCATTCATCAAAAGCGATTCTCATTAAATCATCCAACTTCAATCAGTGAAAAGTTTTCGATTGAAAAACAACCAAGCTGGAAAGGCAATGAGGATCGTTCTAATCTTCAAAAACATGCTGTTATCATCGATCAAGAAAAACGAGAAATTGAACAAAAATTAAAGCTCTTTTTACACTAAATTGGATCATAGAATTGATGCACTTGTTTGTATATGTTGTAGGCAAAATTAAAATCCAGTCAAATTTGAAATTTGACTAGGCAAAATTAGAATTAGAATTCTGCCTAGGCAAAATTCAAATTTCAATTTTGACTGATATATTTCCAGTCAAAATTATAATTTTAATTTTGACTGGGCAAAATTCAAAATTTTAATTTTGACTAATATATTCTCAGTCAAAATTATAATTTTAATTTTGACTAGGCAAAATTCAAATATCTTTTTTATAGTTAAAAGAACGCGAAGAAAGAGAAATAATCTAAGTGTGAATAGGTTTTTTTATTTTACAGTACTTTTTAACAAACATTATTTAGTTCTAATTATTTTTAATCCATGTTTAAGCATCCACCTCTCTTTGAATGACATTTGGTAGAGCAGAAAACATTTTCTTTTTTACATGGACATGTTTTCATCGCACAATTGCCTCGACAATTACAAGTACGTCCTGTTGTTGAACCACGAGAATACAGTCTTGAATTCTTTCTCTTTACTTCGTCTTTTGTCTTACTGGATTAGTCATTCATCGTACATAACAGCTGTTCTTAGTTCTGACCTACTTTTCTTAGCTGTGAGAATAACTATAGTTAAGAGAAGAAGAATAGAAAGAGAAATCGATCAACACGCAAACATTTTACTTCTTTTAACTATAAAAAAGATATTTGAATTTTGCCTAGTCAAAATTAAAATTATAATTTTGACTGAGAATATATTAGTCAAAATTAAAATTTGAATTTTGACTGGAAATATATCAGTCAAAATTGAAATTTGAATTTTGCCTAGGCAGAATTCTAATTCTAATTTTGCCTAGTCAAATTTCAAATTGACTGGATTTTAATTTTGCCTACAACATATACATACGAACTGTTGTACGATATTTTAAATGTTTGGTAATAAAGTTTTGGCATAATAATTTTTTTATACAAGAGCCTAAATGAATTATTAATTAAGAGATATTTTCAATCACGGTTTAACAAACAGAAAGAAAAATACGATTGAGTTATTGAAGCAAAGTTAAAAAAATGAATTCGACACGGCTTTCCCAATTGTTTATATAAATACACACACACACACAGAAACATCACAAAAAACAAGAAAAATAATTATTATGAAATAGTTAATATGTTTTCGGGTCAATTCCTGCATGCAATGATGAAAGTGATCGTGCTCGATGGTTCACACCTGTTCGCCGAGACGGTGGACTTGGACTACGACGACGGCCATGTGCTGAATGAGTATTTTGACGAGAATCAGTATGGTAATGACCATTGTGATAAGGAGGTTTTTGTTGTTGTTGCTGGCTAACACTAAGCGGTTTTGTTGTTGTGGTCACAGGCATTTGAACGACAGGTATTCCCATTGCTGGTTGAACAATAGTAAGAAGATGTTCCAATCGAGCTGTTATCTCATAATCAGGTACAGCTAATGTTTTAGCATCTAAGCCAAGCATACGAGCTATCAAAGCACGAAAGTCAATTAACTGAAAAGAAAATAAAGCTTTTTTCGGTGAAAACTATAAAAGAACAACAATATTCTATTTTCTTACACGTCGTTCTCGTTCAGTAACTTGTTCAAGTGAACCCTTCAAAAATCTTAATTCATTAGACAAAACTCGTACAGCATTATCAGACGAAAGTAATGTTCGATTAGCATCATCATCAACAGAATGTATTTTATCTTGCAACGTTGAAATTTTCACAGCTTGTCTATCACGTGTACCTTCTAATTTATTAATATCTTCTAAAAGATGGCGAATTTCTTTTTCTCGTTCAGCCAATCGACCCTGAAAAATATTTAAATATTAATAAATTTTTTATTCATATTAAAGAATTATAATACTTTAAGTGTATGAACATCTGTAGATTGTGCTTTTAATTGCGTATTTTCATTTTTCAAATCGTTCACTTGTTGAGTTAAAGCTTCAACTTTAACTTTCATTTTTCTCGATAATATAACATGATCATCAATTTCACGTTCTAAATCTGTTTTAGCCGTACGTCCTTCTTCTAAAGTAGTAACTTTCTTTTTTAATAAGTCCAAATGTAAATCTTTATTTTCCATTTGTTCTTTGAGCTGTTTAATTTTTCTTTGTAAATTATACATTGAACTTTTTTGATCAACAATAGAATCATTTTCGACTTTCATTAATTGTTCTGCGCGTACTAAAATAACATCAGGATTCAATTCATAACCAAGTTCATTTGAAACGGTTTCAATTCTCATAATTGCAGCAAGACGTTCAAGAAAATGAAGAAATTTTGTCTTATCTTGTTTAAGATTTTCTCGATAAACTTCTGTTGTTGTATAATTATTATCAAGTGTTTTAACTCGTTGTTCTAATTCTAATACATGTGATTCAGTATGACGTCGTTTTTTATCTGTTTCTTTGTTTAGTTCAATTTGTTCTTGTAATTGTTTTGATAACTGTTCTTTTTGATTTTGTAAATTTGTGATTATCTTAATAAAGTAAAACAAAATTAGCATTTATTTGTCATTCAATTTATAAAAATAGAACTCACAATTCCTCGATCTTTACTTGATTGCATTAATAAATGAATTTTTTCTTTAATTTCATCTTCTTTTGGTTCAACTTTAACATAACCGTCAGATAATAATTGACTAACTTGCTGTTTAAATGCATCCAAACATGATTTATTATAGAGTGAATCGTTTTCTAATTGTTTCAAATGTAATTCATGCGATGTAAATCGATTTTCACGTTGATCTAATTCATCACGAGTATTTTGCCAAGCTTTTTGAACGGAATCTAAACGTGATTTAACTGTTTCAAGTTCTTGTTTTATTGTTTCTTTATCATGAAGTGCAGCATCACGTTCTGCTCTCATTGAATCAATTTGTAAACGATGATTAACATTATTATGATCAAATAAGTTTAATTGATTTGACATTTGTTGAAGTGTTGCACGATTTGAGTTACATTCACTTTCTAATGATCGATTGATTTCTTCGATTTTAATCATTCTACCTTTTAATAAGGTATTTTCAGCATTAATATCAGCAACCTTTATAATGAAAAGAAGCATTCGTTTTATATTTCTATTCAATTCAAGAATATTAAAGGCTATATAAAATATGTAAGGGATATATTTAATGGTCAACCATTGAAAATTCAAACAAATCCGATAGGATACAGTTTCTAAAACGTTTATTTATTGGAATTATATGTGATCATATCTTTTGGGAATCTCATTGAAGAATTCTTTAAAATTCAAAGAACTTTTATAGATTTAATTGAATTCCATGTTATTTTTGGTACTCCCAATATTGAGATTGCATTTATCAATCTTGGTAACTTCTTCAATAAGATTACATCTTTGTCTTTTGAAATATAATCCGTTTTCAATACCTTGGGTTTCCTCTTGAATTTCATTCTAATTATTTTCAAAATTCCTGGAAGGCTATTATAAACAAGACAAAGTCAATCTTAACAACGAAAAATTTTACAAAACGAAGAGAAATTCTTCAATAATATTGAGTAACAAAAGTAACTAGTTTCATTGAATAACATTTATAGTCATGATGCTCAAGTATGCCGAACATTGTTTATTACAGCTGCCAGAATTTTAAAAAAAGTTCAACCGTTGATATCATAAAATAACATGTTAATTTAACTCTCACAATTCTGTGAATTTGGAATAATACAGCTAAGACTAGTCAAAAACATAGGAATGAGTGGATGACATATTCTTGATCTATCGACATATGAATTCTCTGTTATAAGTCGCACAGTACTGCTAAACTGGATAGCAGCAATGACCTTGAATAACAAATATTGACTCATAAGATACCTGATTTCTATTTACAACTTTCTTCTTTGCCTTAAATATTTCCCTATGTGTGAGTTGTCGTCTTTTCTTGTGTCAACAAAATAAAATATTAAGAAAAAAGAACTTCTTCTTACTCTACTCATAACTTTATCAAATGTAGCAGTAGTTGGTTGTCCATAATCAGTTCCAAGTGTAACACTCAATTGCGAAAATAATTCTTGTAGTTTTTTATATAGATTATCTGTTTTTCTTTCACTCGTTTCTCGATCTTCCATATGTGTCCTAAATAGAAATTTTCCAATATGTATAAATAATGAAAATTTTTCTATTTACCTTATTCGTGATTGTAGCTCAAGTATTTGATCTTGTTTTTCTTTAATATCTTTTTGTAATGAAAATATTGTTAACGATGATTTATTAGCAACAGAATCATATGAACCAATGTTAGATTCAAGTTCACGCGCACGTAACTGCAATTGATTATTAGCATGAACAACTAGATCATGTTCTTTTTTTAATGATTCAATTTCATGTTTTAATTCATTGATGCGTTCATCTTTAGCAGATGACTTTATTGATAAATCTCGTAACTAAATTTTTCAAATGAAATATAAAGAAATATTTAGAAAGCGGAAATTAATTAATCCATTACCTCATGATTTAATCCTTCGACTTTTAGTCGATACTGATCAAGTTCACGTCGAATTGCTTCAATAGATGCTCGATCTTGACCAGTAAACGTGTCATATCTATTTGATTCGAAATGAACATGTTTGTTTGAATCTCTTTAAAAAAAAGATAAAATAAAAGCGTGTAAATATATACATGCATAGATGCAATAAAATTCTATGTCAATCATTACCTCATTGATGATAATTCCTGAATAAGGCTATCTTTTTTTTCTAAATCTTTTTTCAATACACGCATTTGATCTTGTAACTAAAAATATCAATGTTGTATAAAAATCACTATATAATAATGAATAAATTTTACGTCAGCTAAAGCTTTTTTTGATTCAAAATTTTCTGTAGAACCATTCCCTCCATATCCAATTTGATGATAACTTGACGTTGTAGTTGTAAATGGTATCTGACTTGATAATCCATATGATGTTCGAAAAGTATTTTGTTGTGGCTGTTGAGTAAGTGTAGTATTGGAATGTGCATCTATTATAGTTCGTGCTGAGCCCAACAGTTCACGTTCTAACATATAACTTGATGATGTCATTTTAACAGTTTATTTCGAAGGTGTGTCAAATTAATATGGTGCTTAAAGTATACAAATACATAATGCCATCAGATCAATGCTTTAGCTAGGCAACAACCTTTAGTAAAACTTAGCTTATTTAATTTTTATGAAAATATGTTAAAATAATTTTTAAAATAAAAATCTACATTCATCTTAATGACTAAAAAGTAAAAGATATGAATGTATTGATAAAATGCATAAATGTGCCATGTAAAGAAAAGAACCAATGAGAAAAAGAACAAGCTTAATAATCTAATCTTCATTCGCTTGTTATTAATTGCTGTCGTTGTCACTTTTTTTTATTTTCAAGATATTGTATTTGTTTTTGCTTCCGGTATGAACTTATCCATTGGTTAGAATTTGCAGAGTAGACATATCAATTCGTATATCACTTGTCCTTGTCCATGCGCAATAGCAGTCAAGCATTACCTCAGTATTTTTTACCTTTTCTTTGCTATATGAATTTACCTAATTTACCTATTATTGATACCGTATGAGGGTACGTCTTCTTTCAAGATAAAAATTTAATTTTTCATTATTACGCACAATGCCCATCATCATAATCAATGTAAAAACCCTGAGGATACATTGATAGATGATTTTTGATGAAATATCGAATAAAAAAAAATTTGAATTTTCAATGTTTTTTTTTAACAAAATATTGTTATTTCTATCAAATGGTTATCCTTCATTATCAATATTAACATCGAGAACTTTTTAGAAGACTATTTTATATTTAAGCCTAATAATTCTATTCACTAAAACGATGAATAATTCTATAAGTTTAAACACATATATTTCTATACTATAGATGAAGCCAAGCATCTAAACAAGTTTATCTTAATTGTTCTAGTTGAAATAAAAATTCAAATTTGAATAATGAACCTTGATCGGTCTTCCCATTTATTTCTTTTTGTTTTGATCACATTACATTTCATTCATTGTGATGAACACGATCATAAAGTATGAATATAATTTTATCTTTTTCTCGAAATAATTTTTATGTATTGTTAATAATTTAGTATGAAGACGGCAGTGAAGTTGTTTTATGGATGAATACAGTTGGCCCATATCATAATCGTCAAGAAACATACAATTATTTTTCATTACCATTTTGTCGTGGAATAAAAAAAGAAATCTCTCATTATCATGAAACTCTAGGTGAAAATATACTCGGCGTTGAATTAGAATACAGTGGAGTTGAGATTAATTTTAAACGTAAGAAAAATTTCAATTTCAATCTTATTTCAAACTATTTCAATGGTCTTTAGGTGATAAACTAAAATCAGATTTTTGTGAAGTAACTTTAACACCAGAATCTTATGACACCTTTATATATGCAATTAAAAATCATTATTGGTATCAAATGTTTATTGATGATTTGCCAATATGGGGTTTGTTAAATATATATAAATATATATATATTTTTTTTATAAACCTATAATCAATGCAAAACAATTATAGGTATTGTTGGTGAAATGGATGAAGCAGGCAAATCTGTATACATATGGACACATAAAAAGTTCGAAATTGGATATAATAATGATCGAATTATTGATGTTAATTTAACATCGGAAGCTAAAGTACGTTTACAACCAAATGTACAATTACAATTTTCCTATGAAGTTATTTGGAAACCAACAAACATTCAATATATGAATCGATTTGATAAATATCTTGATCCCGGATTTTTTCAACATAAAGTAATTAGAAAAGAAAATACATGTATACTTTCTATGCTTCGCTTTTTTAATCTTCTAATAGATTCATTGGTTTTCAATATTTAATTCATTTATGATGGTTCTATTTCTTGTTGGTTTAGTTAGTATGATTTTATTACGTACATTAAGAAAAGATTATGCACGCTATGGAAATGATGAATTAGATCCTATGGTAAAGAAACGCGAAAGAATTTATTTGTTTTAATAGCACTTGGTTTTGTCTTATATCAGGAAAGCGATTTAGGTGATGAATACGGTTGGAAACAAGTTCACGGTGATGTATTTCGTCCACCAGCACATCCGATTTTATTCGCTTCATTGATCGGTTCAGGTTATCAAATAGCAACAGTATCAACACTTTGTATTTTAATAACAATCCTATTCGATATTTATACAGAGTAAATCATACGTATTTTTCAATTCGAAATGTACACATTTATTTGATTGTAGACGCGCATTACTATTCAGTACAGCTATATTTCTCTATGCAGCATCATCTATTGTTAATGGGTATGCAGGTGGAAGTTTATATGCACGAATGAAAGGTCAATTATGGATAAAACAACTAATAGTTGGCGCATTTCTTGTTCCAGCTGTTATTTGTGGTGTAACATTTCTTGTTAATTTTATTTCGATTTATTATGGTTCATCACGTTCGATTCCATTTACTGTTATGGTTTGTTTGAGAAGTTTTTGGTTCTTTTAATTTAATCATATGCGTAAATGATCTTATTTAGTTGAGTGTCACAGCAATTTGTTTGTTTATCATTTTACCGTTAACAGCAATGGGAACTGTATTAGGAAGAAATATTAGTGGAGAACCAAATAATCCATGTCGAACAAATGCTGTACCACGGCCCATACCGGAAAAGAAATGGTTTGACAGGGGATTTTAATTTATTCTATCAATGATGTTTATTTTTGATTAGGTTTATGGAACCAAATATAATTATATTAGCAAGTGGAATATTACCATTCGGATCGATATTTATTGAAATGTAAATTAGTTTTTGAGAAGAATTTGTTTTCTTAAAAATATTCTCTTCTTATTTTTTTATAGGTATTTTATTTTTACTTCATTTTGGGCTTATAAAGTAAAGAAAATATTCACTTTAGATATATATATATATATATACAGACATATGTATGTATACGTTCTATCTAGATCTATTACGTTTATGGATTTATGTTACTTGTCTTTTTAATACTTGCTGTTGTTACTGTATGTGTAACAATCGTTGCCACTTATTTTATGCTCAATGCTGAAGATTATCGATGGTAAAGTTTACAATTTTAAACAAATAGTATTAACTGATACGAATCTAGATAAATAATTGAAGAAAAAAAAGCACAATTATCTTGTAGATTATTTTCAATCAATCTCTTAATATTCTCTACCTCAAGGTTTTTGAGAAAATTTTGATAATTAAATTCTGAATACAATCATTTGAATCTATAGAGAGTAATGAGTAATCGATTCACTGAAAATATGTTCATTAAATCCAGTTTACTTTTAAAGATAAATTATTGTACAATTAAAACTGATGACTTAGTTTTCTTTTTAATTTTCTATTCAGTTCAACCAATCAGCATATCTAATTATGCATTACAAACAAGTGGACTCGTATGAGACCAGCAGAAGAAACTTTCTGAAGTATAAGCTAGAAAGAAATTATTACGACTGTTTTAAGCGTAACTTAAATGAGATCGATGCATGTTTGGAAAACCTACAACAAAGATTCGCAATTGAAATTTTGCTTGTCAATAGATTTAATATTTATTGGAAAGTTTCAAATACATCAGAGTTGTCTTTGTTGGGATATTTATCTTTGACAAAAAAAATGAACTGTTCACTATGCAAAGACACATTCAGTTAATTTACTAGGAAGTAAAATATTTCGAAAAAAATGTTATTGTTTTCATAGGAAACTTAAGCAGAATTCTATAACTATTACACCTATCTAATCAAAATGAAAATTAGTCGTTTAACTAATAAGAACAGTCAGGAGTCATGACTGTTCACTAGTAGATACTTGGTGGATATTGTTTTAGACTTTACAGGTCTTGAAAAAAACCTCTGCTCCCTCGTAGCCATAATGTAACGCTGTTCGACAGTTCAACATATTCTCTGGCAGACACACCCCTAGAAGTCTTTTCTAAAACATAATTTCTGCATTGAATCTACTCGTTTTCATCGGAATGGATTCAACTATTAACTTTGTTGATCTGATTAAAACATATTTTGATATCTGTATTTTAGGCAATGGACAAGCTTTTTATCTGGTGCATCATCTGCATTATATGTTTATTTATATGCTATGTATTATTTCTTCTTCAAAACGAAGTATGACAATACATTACGCGAAAACAGAACTAAAATAAACTGTTCATTTTAATTTAGAATGTATGGAATGTTTCAAACTGTATTTTATTTTGGTTATATGGCTTTATTTTCTCTTGGCCTTGGAATAATGTGTGGTACATTTGGTTACATAGGAACTCAAGCATTTGTTCGAAAAATTTACTCAATTAAAATAGACTAAAATAAAAAATAAACATTTGTATTCCAGTGATATTATTTCTCTTTTCTTTTACTGATTTATTTGTTTGATTTTCTTTCTTTTCTCTTCTTCAAAGCAAAATCTCATATATTATTATTATAAAGCGACCACATAGTGAGTGATAATCGATTGTTTAATAAGAAGAAATGAACCGATATCGGATGGACACAAATGAAAAGATGGGATTGAAATTTCTATTAACAAAATAAAAGAAACTGTTTGTTGTTTCCCTTAAAATTTACACTAATATTCGCTCGCTTTTCTTTCTTTTGATTTCTTGAATATGTTTGTTTTTTGTTATCGAGGATATGGAGAAAAATCTTCTTTTTTGTTCTTTAGCTCTTTTTCTTTTCTTTTTTGCTCATAAAAGAAACAACCGAGCAAATAATCATATAACGTATTTGCACAATAATATTTAATTGAACAAAATCGTTTATTTATTATTTAAAGAAATGAAACACCGATAAAACGAATAATAAGTAAAATTTATATTTAAAATGGTCACCGGCATGATTGACCATACGAGAATCTGAAACAACTTTTGTTCTATGTGATGATGCTACAACAATAACAAAATTAGGTTTATTTGTTCGATTCGATTTTGGTGATATAGAAGAATTCGTTGGGCGTACTGTTGTCGTTGTATGAGTTTCATTTGTGAAAGATATTGTAGATGTTGTTAATATTGAGTCAAACATTGTTTCGTGTACACGACGAGTAAATGGAAATTCACCTCGATTACAGAATAAACCTGTATAATCATCGTAATCTAATGTCCACCTATGAAATTTTAAAATAGACAAAAAGATGGATTTAGATGTACTAGAATATGTTTCATAAATAATTGATACGATTTTGACGACAAAAGAAACATCTATTTTCGGATTGATATTAAGCTTTTCATGTCTAGCAACATCTCAAGATTGATAGATATGTTAGAAATAAAAGGATCTAAGAATAGATCAATTTTAACGTTATTCATCATTGAACTAATGGAAAGTGATGTACGTTGTCATGAAAAAATGATGAGTTTCATTCCTATGAAATGCAACAAATTTCTTCTCTCTTGAGCGAAGAACTTTCCCTCAACCACCTCCCATATTTTCATCTTTCATTAATCACCACACAACCACTTGTATCAATACTATAGGGAATACCATTTACGATCCGTATGCACAGCTGACAATAGTCGGACTGGCTTCATACTGTACTGTATACATAAACGCTGTGATAGACGGATCTTAGTTTGGTTTTCATCGCATTCACGTTAGGTAATTATATTGTATGCTATGCTATTTTCTCCTTCATTTTTTGTTTCCTTTTTTTTATCTCGTTGTATCCTGTGATAAACTATACGTTTGCTGGTTTGTTTGTTTTACTCCTTTTTCTCTTGTCTTGCCTTCTTCCCACTTGGAAGTGACATGTACGTTCGTGGTTACATTCCGCCCTGCGAGAGGTAGGCATGTCTATCTCTAGTTTTATTTCAATTTTTGCTGTATCTCTATTTTCTATTTTGTTGGTACTACTCTTCGTCTTGGTGCCTGTATGTTCAAGTCGTTCAGTGTGTGAATTGTAACCTGTGAGATTGACATTGCATGTACAATCATCTCCTCTCGAAAATTCTGTACCGCTCGTGATGTATTAATAGGTCTTAGGGCATAAATTATTCCATTAAAGCATAAAAAGAAAAGATGAATTTCATATTCTGTGATCAAGAACTTTTCAAATAGTATTCTGCACATATTTTCTATTTTTATTATATCTCCAGATGACAAATTCATCAGGAATCTGTCTAGAGAACTCACTAGAAGAAAAAAGCACACGTTTTGTTAATTTTTCCTGAAAAGACTATGGTTCTTATCTTCACAAAGGATATTTTGAGAATATAATTACTCAAAGCTGGAAATATGTTGAATTTAGCTGATCAGTAGACTTTCTAGTAGTTTCTTACAATCGGATTGGATATGGCAATATTTGACACGATGATTAGTCGTTCGAATTCAAATTAGTTAAGATTGTTTAGTCAAATGTCATGTTCACTTTTCTAAACTCCGGGTTTGTTCTTCATTATTTTATTATTCATTACGTCTGTTTTAAATTCAAAACTACAACTCTTATATATGCGATATTGTATTAATTAGGAATATACCTGTTCTTATCTGTGAAATCGATTGGGATGCATGTTTTCTTTTCCTTTCCCTTTTTCTGATTACTAGACACCAGTATGACCGTCGACCATTGAAGGGTATCATTTTTTTAAATTGAAAATCAGAACCAATGAACAGAAATTTAGCTATTTTATCACTTTGAAACTTTTTTTTCATTTCTCAACAAATAATTCTTTAATACTGCAGCTAGAACTTGTTCATCGGATTATTTCAAGAGAAAAACATTTAATTGATCTAAAACAATGAAAACAATACTTACAACATAGCTCCACCAAGTCCCATTGTTTTACTCCAAATAACCTAGAATAAATATATTCAAATTTTAGAGTATCACAATCATTTATTTCATTCAATAAACGATATATTTCTCTTACTTTAAGTGTTGCACTTTTAAGCGAATCATATCCAGTCCATTGACCAGTATCCGAATAGGCATATTGTGATTGAGATTCTACATCCCATTCAGTTGTCCAATTATGTGCACGTAATTTTTGACATATCTATAAATATTCTTTAATAATTCTGCACTTCCAATAATCGAATATATTTACTTCAAAATATGCTAAAATACCTTCTTCTTTCGTATATGGACCAGCTAAAGACAAATGTATTTAAAAATAGATCAGGTTTATATCTATACAAAACTTTCGATTAAACAACATTTCATACCTTCTCCTCCACCTTCAATAATTGGCGCGCCAATTGAGTTATTTTGAGCACTGACTAAAGTAAACGATCGTCCATATAAAGCTAAACCTAAATTCATTTTTGATGCTGCACATCCATGATTAATCCAATAATAAATCGATGAATTCTAATAAAATCAATTCGAAAATAAATATTTTAAAGAAAAGTAAAATTCTTTTCTTACAGTATTTTTCCAATCTTCATGATTTTCTAATTCTGTATGACTTCTATATAAAGGACTATTAATACCTGTAACGGGATCCCATTTTCCTGCAAGAAACGAGTAAAAATTCGAAACCAACCATTAAATAAACTTACCATGATAATCATATGTCATAACATTAATATAATCTAAAGAACTAAATAATAAAAGAGTTTAAAAACAAAAATGAATTCTAAACGTGATAAAATTACTTGCAAAATTCTTCAACAACATAACCTTGCTCAACTTTTTTCGGATCAGCAGCTACAGCTGCTGTTAATAATAATCTATTTGTTTTATTCATTCTCATTGCATCATCTTCAAATGCCTGTCTTAATTCTCGAATAAGAATATTGAATTTAATTTTACTATCTGCCGATGCACCCCGATCACGTGAACCAGGAAATTCCCAATCCTACAAGGCAAGAAAAGAATCGTTTTGAAAATTAAGTAATCAAATAATAAGACATAAAAATCTTACAAGATCTAATCCATCAAATTGCCATTCCTCAAGAAAAGTAATTGTTTGATTAATAAATTTTGCACTAAATCGTTCATCTTGAATAATTTTATTTTGTTTTCAAATTCTATTCTTACCGATTATTATCACTTCTTAAAATAGCATTGAAACCTTTACTACGTGCTGACCAACCACCAACAGATAAAACAATTTTTAAACTAGGATTTCGTCGTTTTAAACCATACATACGAAGATAAAGTGGCTAAAAATTAAGAAGCATAGAAGTAGGAAGTGAACAAAAAGATTATTATGACAGTTACCATTCCTAATCTATCTGTCCAATGAATATCATGTTCTTCTGTTGGTGATATGGCTAATGTTAATGGATTAATATCAGCAAATGCATAATGTATATGTGTGCATAATAATGGATCGATATGATCGGGATAAAGAGTTGGCATTGCTTCCCGATATAATGACCAATTCGTATAATAACAAACAACACGTAAATCAGAATTTTCTATTTAATAAAAAAAGGAAAAGAATTGAATACAAGAAAATTTTAAATATATTCGTTTACGAGCAAATTTTTTCCAATAGATTATTATCAATTGAATCATGAATAACAACTTCATATCGTTCTCTTTTTCTTTAGTGATTGAAAGACAAGACAAAAGATTTATTTTTTTTCTTTTTTCTGCATAGATCAACTTCGTTTGTCTGTTTACATTGAGCTCAGCGATGACTACGTCGGTGAGTCTATATATATATATATATATGTGTGTGTGTGTGTGTGTTCCTGTGTGTCACTGACCGGATTGAACAATATAGTTTGTGTGAGTCTAAACGAAACGAGGCACACACGACAAACTTTAGATAAATTCATTCGACTGTTCACAAGATAGACAAAATAAATGTCATTTACCACTTGTACTGGTCAATTTACATACTTTTTTCTTCTTCTCTGTTATGTATAGTTAGATTATGTTTAAACTAACAGATAAACATTCATTCTGATCAATTTTTTTATCTCATATTATCATTCATTTAATAAAATAGTTTACATATTTTTTTTTTCGATTGGATAATTTATAAAAAGAACTTCATTTATAAATATCATTGACTGTATCAAGCTTTCAAACATCAAGGCTAAGAAATTTTTAAAAGAAAGTCAAAACGTGTCATCAATTTCTATTGGTTTACATCAAATGAAATTTAATTATTTTCATTATTTCTTCTTTTATATCAATATACAATTTAGGTTATACTGGATGAATTTGTAAAAGTACGATCATCTTGAATCGTTGAAATAATAAGTTTTCAACTATTTGATTCTTTTGAAAAACCATTTTATATTCTTGAATATCAAAATAAAAATAAATAAAATAATAAAAATATAGTAAGTAATTATTGTCCAATATGCTGTCGTGTATAATGCATAATGGCAATAAGTACCAGTATGATACATATTTATATGTTGAACGTCATGCTGAACACGAAATACTAAATAATTACCAATAATAAACCATATGATTAAAAGTATGATAAGTATTTGAAAAATGCCACAACATATAAAAAGAAAAGAAATGATATAACGATATTTATTATATAAAAGAGAGAATATTATAAGAAGAATTCCATTTAATGAATATCCTATTTGAAGGATACTCATCACAAATAAATAAAGTATAATGCGACCATCTATTGTACAATTCTTGTTATAAACTATACTAAAACGTAATTGAATAATTGCTATAGATATAGCTAATATAATACGAATATAAAACCAATATGTAAGAATATAATCGGATATTAAAGCGCATTTCGAATACCACCAATTAATAGATGTCCCTTCCTCATTAGTGTCCATCGATAGTTATTTTTCATACCAGGTAAAATTTATTTGTATTCATGTGTGACTTTTGTATGAAAACATGCTAATTATATACGTGTGCATGATTCTTACTCATGCATATATTATATTTTTTTGGACACGCCCGAATGATAATCAAGTAGCTTTAGCCACGCCCTACTCTGTTCGATGAAATATTTTGAAAATTTCAACCGAAAAAATTGAGTAAAAATCAAATACTATTTTTGTTGAATTCATTTTGGTTTTCCTTACAATATTTTCATACGTGCAAAACATCAGTGGTATTTTGTTTACGTATTGAAAAAACTAAGAATAGTTGAGCAAACTTAATAAGCCATAATAATTCTATCTAAAAATAAGTTCAATTTTAACGAATAAATTATTGTTGACGCGTATTATTTGCAATTACAAAAAAAAAGAAAAGATTTCATCATAGAAATAATATAACTTTTACATGCGTGAACTGTCATGGCATACTATTTATGTAAAAATGTCAAAGACTTAATTTCATTGGCATCGGCGCCATGAAAATGGCTGTATCTAAGTTTTTAAAATTGACAGGCGATAATATCAGAACAAAACAGTTATCTAGAATATTTTTATGGAAACCAATGGCAATGTTCATCGTGTAAACACATTCATAACAGATATAGAATTAAAAGAAAAACATAAAACGTTTTCTACAAAACATGTGGAAAATGTTTTTAGATAAAATATTATAAATTGTATAGTTTAAATCATAGATTTAGCTTCTTTCGTATTTGACTATCAATTTTTGTTTAAATGTTATTTGAAACAGTTAGCTACATATTACGATCGTTCAATCATTTTAAGACTTTCGTATCTATAGATTCTAATAATTATTAGGCAATTTGAAAAATAAAGTGCATTTTTTCAATGAATACTCTATAATTATAAGTAAGTGATTCCATTCTCATGAGAAATCAATAGAAAAATGTATAGGAAATTTAAAAAAAAATTTTGCATGTATCAGTATTTGCAGTACGAAATTATATTTTTTTTTTGCACGCCAACGGAGAATCGCCTTAGTATCAATTTTCGTAAGTATGACTTTGTATTGACATGCAAGCTTTGACAAAGATCTAATAATCTTTTGAATACACAGCGGTGATATTTTGACATTTCCGTAAGGGTTGTGTTGTGTTAATATACGGAAGTAGCACTTCCCTAACATCTTCAAACATGAAAGTTATGCATGGCCGTGCATGTTTTGCGAAAAAAGCTTTTGAAAAGATTGTGTTTGCATATATTTATTTCTTAGGCACACGCACATTTTTATTAAATATCTATCGTTCAGATGTTATACACCAAATTTAGAAATATTTCAAATAAATTTCATTACCCTCAATGTGATCAATGAGGATTTTGAAAAACAACTTTTGGTAACTTGAGGAATCTTTTTTTTAAATTTTTTGTTGAGAGTCATCGGAAAAAAATAGCATTCAAGTTGAAAAATACTCAAAAAACTTCAAGAAAAGCATTTGAACATATATAGTGCTATTTATAAACATGCCATCGTCCGGAGACAGAAAAAGTCCAAACAAGGAAAAGATATATTTTTGCTCGTATATGAAAGCAAATTATACTCAATCAGTGGTGTTATTCAATTCTTAATTAAGAAAAAGGAAACATTTCTATTTTTTTAAAGGTCAAATGCTCTTGACATGAACCCTTTTCATTCCATTAAAGCTTGAAAGAATAAATGATATTCAGTATTTTATATTATTATAATTTATGAAATTATTTTTAAAGATTTAAACATTTTGAGTTTACATTTCTACAATAGTGAGCATGAAAAGAATTAGTCTACTTTTCAAATGTATCTGCTTATGTTTTAAGAATGAACATTAATAATTCTACAACATGACAATAAAATTTCACCTAATTTTTTAAACAAAATAAAGTGCTAATATCCATATTGAAATATTTGCATGAAAAGTACCTGTTGATGAATGCCATCGATAGTAGAAAAAAAAACTTCCGTCAGCATCTTGCTCGTTGATACTATTCATGTTTTCTTTCGTTTCTATGATCTATGAGATGTTTGAAAAATGATAGACACCAAAAATATGTTGGTGTCAACTAATAAGGGTTATTTATTTTTCATCATTATTAAAAATATGCAAGTTACAAAATATAGAAACATCAAATTGACTGATATCTATTTGAAGAATTTTAATGATTACATAAGAGCGCATGTTACAGTACAGAAGTTCTGCAAACAATTACATTTTGCTTCGTTTATTTTTTTATGAGACAACGTCATATCTGTGAGTATATCTTGCAAATACTTAATAAATTAATATATTATTCAGCTTTGCTTCTCGCTGTTTATCTTAAAAGTCACAAAAAGTTTCCTTAATTATTTCATGAATAACTGAAGTAGCTCATCCAAAAATACACAAGTGATTGATACAATTAATAGTTGAATAGATTAAATCCCTTGAGATAAGCATGCTGATTATAAGATGGCTGAATGATTTTTTGTTTGGGTTTGTTATAAGTATCTTTTAGTTTGTAATTCGATTGTAGGACATCGCGTGTTTTTTTTATTAATACTATTTATTTTATGTTCTACTTGTATTAAACTAAGTGGTTTTTGTTTTACTATTCTGGATTATGTTAGATAATTGCCAAAGATCAATTATTCTTTTGTGTTTCCTTCTCGTTTCTTTGTATTTCTTTTTTTTGTTTTTGTGCGTGTTCAAGGAGAAGATTATGTGTATAGTTTAAAAAAAAGAGACAAGAAGAAAAGCATAGAAAGAAGGCAATTGTAGGAGATAGAAAAAAAACGAGAAATCATAATGATAACAAATAAAATCAACACAAGAAAATAAAAGATTAAAACTGTACAAGAATAAAGTGATTTATTTAATATGATCTTATTTTATTTTTCTTCATCTTCAGTTGATATAGACAAACCATGAAATGATACATCATCACGTTCATATATAGATGATGCTGGATCCGCTTGCAATTGTACAGTTAGGCGATGATTACATTTATTTGTTAATGGTTCACTATTAGGTACAATTGAACATTTTCGATTTCCATTTCGTTCTAAACGTTTACGTTTATTAGTTTTTTTACTATTTGATAAACGAGTCTGATTCACTGGTGGAGGAGCTGTTGTGTGTTGTAAACCACTTGAATCCGTTGTATTAGTTGAATTTGAATGAATTTTCATTCGGCAACATTTAAATAGATTATGTCTGAAACGTGATAATAACGCTCCATCATCAGGGATACGTGGAAAATCGGCTGGATTGGTTGGTTTTCCAACAATACAATATAGACATGCGTGTAAAAAATTAGTCATTTCAGAACGAAATTCTTTCGCTGTAACTGAATAAATAATAATATTAACTGAGTGATTAAGATTCATTAATATGATGCAAAATACTTTAATTAACAGCAATACTGTGAGTCGGTATGAATTACTGTCACCCTTAACAAAGTCATATACACCTAAGAATATAACGATTGGAGCTGTTAAACTAATAAAAACAAGATTGACAGTGATTAGCATCACAGATATATTGCGACGACGACGTGAACGACGAGCTGATGTTGAACCGGCTCGTGATGATGAACGAACAAGTGTTAAAATAATGATTATTGTACAAGCAATCATAGCTGGAAAAAAAAGAAAAGTGTTGTCTACCTATTTATTTATTTATTTATTTTATCTATTAGAGATTTTACCGGTGAATGGTATGAATACATTCATAGCAAGATCAATCCAAACCCACCAAGCATAAAGCCATTGATATTTTTTGGTATTTTCCATTGAACAATATATCATGTTAACATCAAAACGACGCAGTGAGTTTTGTGTAACAGTTATTACACTATCCAATTGATCTTGTAACGTTGTGTCTCGATTGACAGATTCTATTGGTAGTGGTGTAACTGATTCATAGGATACAGATGAATCACTTGCTCCTGAACCTGAAAAACTATTCAAGAATGCATAATGTTCATGATAACGATCAAATGTATTATGTGTAAAAAATGAATAGAGTGAGCTGGCATTATTATGTAATTGTTGTTGTTCACCAGCAATCTTAGTTCGTTGTTGATTTCGTTCTTTAATTACATTGTTTTCATAAAGAAAAAAATGACCATTCAGAATACCGAGAAATACACCAAGTAAAAATGTTACAAATACTGAATGTTTCGGTTTCGACCATGTTTTAGCTAAACGAAGATATTTTGCTGATATAACACGATCAATACTAACAGCAACTAATATCCATGATGAATATTGTGGAAGAAAATAAATGCAAAATGCATATAATTTACATTTAAATGCCTCAGCTTGTAGATCGTAATCAATATGATACAAAGATATAAAATTGACGCTAAATGTGATTATGACTCCAAGATCAACAAGAGCAAGACAAGCTAAATAACAAAACGTTGAATAGCGTCTCATACCGGTACGAATTAATACGCAAAATGAAAGTAAATTTCCAAATGAACCCAATGTAAATACAAGCACCGGATAAACTTTGAGTAATATTATCATAAATGTAAATAATGTTCGGGTCTCAGGATCGAGTGAGTCAAGAAATTCAGGCGGTGGTAAACCGTTAATAATATCGATTAATTCATCTTTGTTCTCTGTCGACATGTATATTATTTGGAAAAAGAATATTTAATTCAACAAACATGATGAGATTGTTGTTGCTTTTTTTTTCATAGTCATATCTTTAATAGAGAGTGAGAAAAAAGAGAAGAAAAGTTTAGCTATTTTATTTGACATATTAAACAAAAAGAAACGGTAATGTGATAAAAAAAAAGAATTTTAAGTGAATTGAAAAAAAAATGCTTCAATGCAGAGAAACCGGTAGGACTTATTCCGCTATTTCCTATTTTTTTATTATTCTGACTAGCTCTAGAAAAGTAAAACGAAGAAAAAAGTCGTACCATATTATTTTCTAGATGAGAATATATATATATAGATAGATAGATAGATAGATAGATAGTCGTTTTAAGCTGTATTATCGACAACGAAGATTCTTGTTCGTTACTTTCCTGAATTAAGTGGGATAAAAAGATATTTTGTATTTAAAAAAATATTATGAAAAAAACAAGCATATTTAATGTCATCAGTCATATTGATTCAAAAGACAGCTAAACAAGAGAGTCAGTGGCTTCTTTCTTATGAGAGAAGATTTTCAGCTAAATACCGTAGCTAAAATTATATATTCATGCAAGTCATTGTTAAGCGTATAGTTTTAAATAGATGTGCGTGCGCTCATGTCATCTCAGAAGGTTTGCTTTTCCTTCGTCTTTTTTGGATCTATATACAAATGAAGTGATATGTTCTTATCTAACTAATAGAGACTCATCATTGCCAAAATTTTGTTCTTTGTGCGTTGAAAAAAATAGAAAGATGGAGTGAGAGAGAGAGAGAGAGAAGAGAGAGAAGAGAAAAAATGACGATAGATTAAAACAATGTTCTCGGAAATGATGCTCATCTTTGCCCGATTCAATTAGTTGATAATGGTGTCACTTGATAAAAAAAAAAGGATTTCTTTCTTTTCTTCGTATATTGATACTCGTCAAAAAATTCTTCTTCTATCAGACATAATGCGATTTTGAATTAAAGTCTTGGTTTTTTCCTCTAGTAAACGAGCATACTCACTTGTGCGCAAACGCCTCATTGACAAGTACGAATAGGCGAAATCGACGAGTTATCGAATAAGTATGAGAGGAAAATGAAGGAGAAAAGCTGTTGAAAAAATCTACTTGAACTGAAGAGAATTAATCGGGCGCAAAGTTCTCGATAATTTTTTCTCGTTTTTTCTTCTTAACGACGGATATTTAATAAGATATATTTTTTTTTATTCGTACACAACGAGTGATATAAAGCAACAAATTAAATCCGATAGAAAATGACGATGTGTTGATCAATTCGTCTTTATATGGCGTAAAGTGCATGTGTCAATACAACGACATCGACGTGCACAGGAAAACAGAAAAACTTAATGATACGTACACGTGTGAATAAATAGATTAGTAAATGGCAATTTTCTCTCATTAACTTTTGTATATGTATTTGTCGACTAAATACTCCATTGATTTGGACCGTTAATAGTGTTGTGTTAGATAAGTGGAGAGGGGGGGGGACAATGAAAAGCGGCAACTGTTTGAAGGACCTCCTACTGTTTTATCTGTTTTACATCTGATCGTCTATTGCTTCTGTCGGTAAATATTTTATGCGAGTCTTATTTTTTATCTATCATGACGTATTTTCGCAACTCGTCTAAATAAATATCTAATCCCATTCACTTCTTTTTTCTATTATGACCGTTGTTTCTCTTTTTATTAAAAAAAATATTTTTTCTTGTTTGTTTTTCTATCTTCAGCTTCTCACATTGACATCGGACAATAGAAAGCTTTGGGCAAATCATTTTCTCGAGATAATTTAAACCGATTTAACTTGATTGTATAAGTGTTTTTTGTGAATGGCTTGTACGATAATAAAAGCTTGTAATTGAGCTTCGAAAATAAATGAGGTCGATAAAAGAGAGTGACAACGAGAAAACACAAGTGACAAAGAAGACAACTAGGACGACGAGTCAGTGCAATAGATTCGAGTGTCTTGGGAATAAAAACGAACGCAACGATGTGACGAGCGTATTTGAAGCTTTAGTAAAGAAAAGATAAGTGAGATCGAACATTTAGCATTCAAATATGGATTAGGCTTAATAGGTTGATGAGTGAGCAATCAAAAATAAACAATAACCAAGAAAAACAATCAAATCAAATCAAATTGAACACATTGTTTTTCATATGTCATTAAGGTTTTTTCCGATAAAAACATATTTTTCGTCGTTTTAAAAAGTAGAATAAACGATCTTTTCTCAGATAATAGATGTGTACATATACTTACATTATAATTCCATAGCTCATTGAAAATATAGATTACTGATGACTAACTTACTAGTTAGCTAATTATTGGTAGAAAATCGCCTGTGAGTCTCCCATGAGGCACTGGTGGAAACTCACCCATAATTCATTACCTATTGTGTAAAATTATAGCAACGCAGTCATTTTTTATGAACAAGAATAAGGAATAAGCAAAGCAACTATAGAATATAGGAAATAAACTACACTTGGGTCGCGATTATTTATTTGCCTATATGCCTATTCTATTTCCTACGTCATCTCAAGCCCTGAAGTCATTCAGCAAAGAAGAATAAAAAAAGAAGAATAAAGAAGAAGCACATGGGATAATTAATTTTTTTTGTAGCTGCCTTTTTGAAAAAAAAACAAAAAAGTTTTCATCAAAAGTAATTGATATGAGTCAAAAACAATATATAACTAATAGCAGAACAGTTTAAGGTTAGGAAATATGGTTGAAACATAATTAGTCGCACGATTACATTGTCTAAGCAAAAATACTGTCGTAAGTACAATTTTTTTAACAAACATTAAATTTGTTGACATTGGTAATGAAGGGATGAAATGAGGCGAAGACAACATAAAGAAAAACAAATAGCGAAGGATAAGACATGAAAACAACAGTAACAACAACAAAAACAGCAACAACAGAAAAATCTTAAAATAAATTGCTAACGAAAAACAAGCAACAAATTAAATAGTCGTTCAATTATTAAACAAGTTTTATTCCGGGAAGTGGTTGTGTACACTCAGGTGCACATAGCCATGTGGCTATGCGCACTCAAGTACATATAGCCAACTGACTATGTACACTTAAGTGTATATAATCAACTGGTTATGTGCACTCAGAAGATAGAATCAATCTATTAAGAAGTTTCAAGTTACTCTCAGCCCTGGATACTCTTTATTATTAATATAAGTTCGATATTTTAAGTTTTTATGAATTTTACCAGCTAAATTGCTTCTTAAGATTAAGAAAAGTACGAATCAGATGCTGCGCAACTAAACGAATATAGAACAAAAAAGCAAATAATCGCAATAAAGATTAACTAATGTAGAAATGTTACTAGATATCGCACTGTGACTCTTGAAAAACAATGTATACTATTTTATTATTGTCAGAATATTTAACAAGTTACATTGTATCAACTGTCTCTTAATTACATCTTCCTTCCGTTGGTTGATCATGAAAGACAATATTTTTTTCGTGATTAATTGGATTACAAAATGGAATATCGAAATGTATAGAAGCTGATTAACGTTCGACGTCGAGATATGTAGTCTATTAAGATACGCTAATTAATGCTCGCTTCAAAATTTCCTTTAGCACTTTTTATTGATAATGAAAAATCAAATATACACATTCAATAGCCTAATTTATAATGAGAAATAAACTATTATAGAACTAAATAACTGTAACATTGTCACACTGCTACACTGGAATCCATGTGCTTCATTCATACAACTATGTGTTTATACTAGCATATTCGTTTTGACTCTTGTGTTAATGCTCAACAGTCGATAGTAGGGGTGGCACCTTAACGTTTAAAATAAAGTTAAAGTTAAAGCAAGACACTTTACCAATTTAACTTTAACAAATCCGAGTTAAAGTGAAAAATAATTTTTTTAGCTCTTCATAATTAATTCTCCATTGGTTTTGACTGTAACTTTAACTTTAACATCAAAATTGAAGTGCCACCCCTAGTCAATAATCAGATCATTGTTGTTCTTTAAAACATATGTGGTAAGATAAAGATTTTTACTCGCAAAGCAATTCAACAGTATTGGCCATTTTTAAAAGTACTTAAAACTTATTTTCATGATAACTATCAACAAGTATGCGGCGTGAGTAGAATGTAGGTGAGATTATTCTAAAGGACTTTCAATCACCATTGTTCTCTAAGCAAAAATTTTCATGTGACAATTCTATTAACTAGATGGTATTCGAGTTTCATTCGTATACGAAATGCGATGCGAAGCACGAGCCGAGTACACGGAAACATTAAAAATTTAACGGAACAGGAATAAGCAAGCTTAAAATTAATTAGACATCGTTTTGACCTGATTAGTTTCATATTCGCTTGGGAAATACACCTTTTTGTGTCTTCAGCAGTTGTAATAAAAAACAAAAAATCATTACATGTTTTGTTAGTTCTCAAATAGTCATAATAGAATTCATTGCTGAGAAAACGTTTTTTCCGTGATTATCACCATAATCCTAGAGAATGCTTTTGATTGAACATTAAATTATTTCAACGATTCACTATCTTGGATGAGATGCGAAGAAATAGATTATTGGCTACTATCGCTTGATGACATCATTTTAATTATTTCCAAACTCTCTAACGATAAAAACCTTACAAAATCATCATTTTTGAACGATATTTTTAGGCGAACGAAACTTTGTATTGAAAATTTGCAAAGAGATGTAACAAGTTCGATCTTGTAACTTTCATATCTAGTTTGAATGGATTTTCTATCATTTACGGTTCTGCAGATCATCGCGTCACTTAATGAGAATTTTTTATGCATACTCAAGTTAGAAAGAAAAACAAAACTCACGACAGACTACAAGAATGCTGTGCTTCGCATCACATTAAATATGTTTGAAATAATAAAATATTAATATAGTCTTAGAAACATAAGAAGATAACGGATACTATTTCAAAAATAGTTGAATTCTATTCATATTGGATGTTTTCCCTACGTTCGTTCGTTTGGTTGCGCAGCACCTGACTCGTACTTTTCTTGATATTAAGGAACAATTTATCAGGCAAAATTCATAAAAATTAAAAATATTGAATTTATATTAATAATAATGAGTATGCAAGGTTAATAGTAACTTGAAATTTCTTTATAAGTTGAGTCTACCTTCTGAGTGCACATAGTCAGTCAGCTATGTACAAACTAAGTATATATAGTCCACTGGCTATCTGTACTCGAGTGCATATAGCCACTTCCTTAATTGTGTGAAGAATAGAAAAGAATATTGACTCACGAGGGAAGACCTCCAAGTGATACCAACCATTCGAGTTCATATTGTGCTCATAAGTAGGAGGACCCAGTGAGACTATAAAAAGCGTAAAAGATTTCGTGCGATTAGGCCTATCTTTCAAAGTTATAACCGTTTTACTAAATTTCCGAGCTTGGACAAGGAATGTATTGAAAAGCTGAATGAAGGAAGTTTGAATTGAAATTTTTCCTAACAATAGGTCTCATCGATGTTAGAAGGTTCCAAAAATTTCAGTGAAAATGGATGCTTCATTCTCGAGATATTGCATATTGAAGAGAAGTCAATTTTACGACATTTTTCTGGAAAATGGCCGTTTTCATCAATATGCAATATCTCGAGAATGATGTATCCATTTTCACTGAAACTTTTGCAACCTTCTAACATCGATGAGACCTATTGTTAGGAAAAATTTCAATTCGAACTTCCTTCATTCAGCTTTTCTATACATTCCTTGTCCAAGCTCGCAAATTTAGTAAAACGGTTATAACTTCGAAAGATAGGCCTAATCGCACGAAATCTTTTACGCTTTTTATAGTCTCACTGGGTCCTCCTACTTATGAGCACAATATGAACTCGAATGGTTGGTATCAATTGGAGACCTTCCCTCGTCAGTTTTTTCTCCTAGTATATATTTTGTTTATAATGAGGAAACAAAATTCAATGAATCTCTTCAGACAGGAGAAAAATGATGCGACAGCATAATTAGATAAGTAGTTCAATGTGCCATAAAGTACCTCTTTACTTGTCATCATAATTATATGTCTACTTGTTAAAACTATTTTCTGCCAAAATAAACAAATCAAATGTTTAAAAATATATATTTATTCTATAGTAGATTTTTATACGTGAAAACTCACACAATACATCAATATAGTTTCACTATGATAACTTCTTAAATATGAAAAAAAAATTAAGAATCCAAAACTTAAATCGTCATAGTTATTTATCTAATTCAAAAGATTTAATATAATAAATATAGAAACAATTAGCAAATGTGTTCATTTTTGCTAGCAATAACAATAGCTAGCCTACAGCTAAACCTATCGGATAATCTAAGATGTAATTACACTTGGCTGCCCATTATAATCTTGTCACGCCTACTTAAGAAGATAAGATTGAGATAGTAGAATAAAACCCGTAAGGAAACTTTTTCTTACCTGTTTTGTGTTCTTTCATTGGACCGTTGTGATGAACAGGCAGCCACATACCAGCAAATTTTCATGATGTCCTTTTATTTAGACTTTCTGTCTCTCTGTCTAACTCTCTGTTTCTTTTTCGTGAAACTCTATTAATTATAATGATATTTTCAAAAATTTATGAAGAAAATACTTCAAGTAACTGAGAGCGAGATTTATCATCGAAACTTCGTAACGTATAAGTACGTTTTTCATCGACCAACTAGTCATAATATTTGTTTCTTTTTTCTTTTATAAAGCTTTCTAGATCTTTTCGTTGTTTTCATCGTGAATCTATCATTGATGTGGCCGTGAGCTCGAAAGCTTTAACGCAAAAACGCCTTTAATCTCTTATCTTTCTTTGATAAGCTAAAGAAGGAGTGTTGATGTAGGATTATCCCTATTTTTCTCCTATATTCATTTTTTTCTCTCAACTCTTCGTTTCCTTTCTGTGTATCTTATATTTGACGGAAGAAAATAGAACACACCCGATCATCATCACCACTACCATTATCATCATCATCATCATCATCATCATCATCATCATCATCATCATCGTCATCATCATCATCATCATCGTCATCGTCATCATCATCATCGTCATCGTCATCATCATTATCAACAACAGTAACATCAAGCATAGAAACAAAAGAACTACGCCAAAATAAGAAAGAACGGCAATAAGAAAGAAGCAATGTTCAAAATCGTTTTCTTCCTTCTTTTCTTGTTTCTTGTTTCCCTTTTTATTTTATTTTCTACGTATCTTGATATGATTGTAACACTGAGCAAAAACAAAAAAAAACCGAAGAAAAGAAGAAAGAAAAGGATAGAAGCTGGCACTCAATGAGCACTCAGAAAATTTCTATAGCAGTATTTAGACAATTCCTCTTTTTGTTGCTATATGCTGTCTATCGAACTTAAGGATAAAGACAAAATAGAAAAATATGAAGTAATATTACTATTATTACCACTCTTGAATTTTTTCAAAAGTGTCAATGATGAAAATAATAAAGGAGCATAGATATTCCTTCATTTTATTTACGGTTACGCTTTTGTTTTTAATATTGATTTATTCATTTGTCTGGTATTACTTGAGAATAGACTACTCTAAAGAACTATACTTATTGTTACATCTGGCTATTTCTCTCTCTCTCTCTCTCTCTTTTTTTAAAATTTTATTTATATACATCTTGGCATTTTATTTCAGCAGCAACAACTAAAAGTTCTATCGGCATTATTCGAACACTGACAGATATTATTAAGTGTCTAGACCTTGCAAAACACGTTTCGTTCTCATTTACTTATAGAATCACATTTGATGTCTATGTATGAAACTAATGTCGATATGCTAATAATATATTGAGTAGACATGCGTAGTGAACTTCTTATTGATCATTGGATGTACGAATTCATTATTTTAATAAGATTTTAAAAAGTTGGTAAAACGTTATTGACAAATCCCATGAGATATAATGGTCTTTTTTTTTAAATGTGCGGATATATATATATATATAAGAAAACATCTTCATCTATATAGTGTAAACGCGTTTATGCAAATGAAATATGTTTCAGCGTTCTTATCCTTATATTTCAAGAAGAATAAAAGGAAGAATTAGATTAGTAACAAAGGATTTGCTCTTGACGTTGTTGTTTTATTAGTGTTGGTATTAGTATTCAAAAGCACAGAAGAAAACACTCAAGAACATGTCACACTTAAAAAAGAATAGAAAATGTTCATCGATTCGATACTATCTCTAATACTTAACATATATATGTATATATCGTTACTTACTGGTTGATAAAATGATGTGTGTCTCTGTAGATGCACTTGCTATCAAAAGATTAGTGTACTTATGAGAATATTCAAGAAGTATTCTCATACGTATATATATATATATATGAATCCAATGTAGACACATTGTTCGAATAAAAAAAAATTTATCATGTATATTTCTTGTATCTGTCTGTTAAGACAGATTTGATGTATCGAAAGATTCAGACGACTAATACAAACTATTGATCCTTCATATATTCTATATTTGTCTTTGATATAAGGAAATAAGTGTAGGTGTTTCTGTTCACCGACAAAAAACGATCGTACCAACCTTATTTTTGGACATCAACGGGAATTTTTCTCTCTCTAAAGAAATCTAAGTACTTACTAACGACCGTTGTTTTTCTTTGCATCTTGTCGATGATAAAAGTTCGGTTGTCTGTCTTGTGTTTTCTCTTCATTCAATGAGGCATGAGAAAGGACACATTTCTTTATCGATGCTCGCCAACATAGTGTTAAAGGAAAAGCTCTTTACCCAAAATCAATTTGATGATGACATTTGATGGGATGGAGTGGAAAATAGAGAATACGCTTCTTGCTTTTCATAAGTAATTGTCCAATGTGTAAAAGAATAGAAGAAAGAGCAAGCGAAAGATTCGATCAGCTATTTCTATTTTGTCTTAATCTTTTCTAACAGTACTGTCAATGATAATATAGTGACTAATGATGCATCGATTCGTCGACAATTATACGAGAAAACGATCGATGTAATTATATACTGAAAAGAAATTTTAGTATCCGTAGTGTTCAATGATGAACACGCGCATGATGATTCAAACGAGTATTTTGTGTGCTGCTCAAATTTTATTTTGCATCAATGTCTCTCGTCTATAGAGCACAGAGTCTTTACTTCGTTGTCGAATCATATATGAATCATATGATACTTTTTGTAACTTATTCATCGTATCATTCATTCAAATCATTAAAACCTGTTTTGGAAAAGAAAAAAAATAATAATATCATTTTATGTGAAACCAAAAGAATCTATTTTTGTTTCGTCTTAATTCAATCATCAATACGTGCATATGATCATATATGTGTTTTTCGTAGATTCAAGTATTAAAACGAACATAAAAACACGTTCTAACAATAATTACATTGATTTGCATATGTGTTAACAAGTCATGTCTACCGAGAAAAACTTGTCTGGTTCGCTTGTTAAGTGTAGACTTGTGATAATTATACAAAATTGTTGTAATTAAATATGATCTTTATATCGTAATATATCTTTAATTAAAGTAAATGATTGGTTTCATAAATCCAGAACTCTCTTAAATGTTATTCGTATTCTATAACGATACTATAATTGACTTGAAGCCTTCTAAACAGTACTCAGTTGTCTTAGATATCAATGTTACAATCTTCTTCTTTATTTCGCCGTCTTCTTATTATTATTGCATTCTCACAAGAAGTAATCCCCTTACTTTAAATGTTAGCACTCGTTTAAATAGAATAGATACGAGAAGAAGAATGGAATGATTGTAAACGTGATAGTATGAAACCGAGAAAAGCCGAGAGAGCATTCTTATGGCAGGACAGATATCTCCTGACATAATAATCATTGTTGAGTGCAATGATAAAGATAAACAAAAGATTGTGGCACCATATGGGCAAATGGTTTTTTTTAGATAGAATATAATTGTCGATACGAAACACATTTCACTGTATCTTGAAGATGAAGGTACTCCGAGCGTGTAGACAAGATGACTTGCGAGTTAGAACAACTGACATTATCATCCAGCGAAGTTATAGCATTTTATTGTGTAGCTATGTTACTGAAGAATTCCAAAAATGAAACGAACATCTAAGAAATTCGAGCAACTTTAAGAAAGCGAATTCTTCTAATTAGTTCGTTAGAGAATTATCAAATCTTTTAACTCAATCGTGGTAATTTTGAAACACCCAAGTCAAGGATTAAATTGGTTTGAATTGAATTCTTACTCAATATTCTATAGACTTGACTGTAATTATTAATCAATAATACACGATATGTTCAAAAGAAAAATGATATTTTGAAGATTATAGATCTAAGTATAGATAAATAATAAAAATTTCTTAATTTCTCTTTTCAAATTATCACGTGCTCCTTCAACAACATCAATATAATCACTATTTGATCTACAACTATCGTTTTAAGTTTTCAAAGCTTCTACAATTTAATTTACGCTTGATTTTACATTACTTGTTCATTAAATCTTGATCTATCTTTGTTCCTTATGTCCTGTTGAATATATTCAAGCCATTTACTCTTCATGCTCGGTGTTTTGATACATTGAAGTATGTTAAATAATTGTGTTTGCGTATTTTATCCAGATAAAATGTTTTTTGTATAAGAAAGAAAAAAGGAACACATGAAAAAATGGCACATGGTAAAAAATTCATTCTTACTTTGTTACGTCTTGTCAAAAAGAAAAGAATGCCGAGACCAAAAGTCTTCGACAAATATGGAAGAAAAAAAATCAAATAAAACATATTTTTGTTGAAACTATCAACTAAGTCATACCATAGGCTAAATATATTTATTCTCTATAACAATTAGAGTTCTCTAGAGACTAACTACTGCGCGACAGCAGCATGCACAGATTATTATGTTTTAGTTTTTTCTAATGTTTTTTAATGTTATTCCGTGTTTCGAACAAAAACCTTGACATCTAATCGTATGAATTTATCAAATTATGTAAAATATTCAAATTTGCCCTTGTAAAAAATAAATATGACGATAAGAAAATGACGATAGGCGTAAAAAAATCAAATGAAACAACAAACACCATCTCATAAAAACTCAATACTGAATGACGATATTCGAGGAAAATAGATACAATTCAATTAAATCAACAAATCATTCATATTGAAATCGAAATACTCAAGGTATATCTCGATGCATATTCGCTGCCAGAACAAGAATGCACAATAAAAATAAAGAAAATTTTTCAAAAGTATAAAAATTACTTCTTCAGTTGGGAAGTGGGAAAAATTGAAACTGATAAAAAATTCGTAAGATTTTAATACTTACAATAAGAAATTGAATGAACTCTCTAGAAATTAGAAACATTATTTAATCATGTTGCTTTCGATCAAGTTGTCAATTTACGAAATAAAAATATTATAGAGTAATCTTCTATTTCTTCTGTCACAAATCATATTAATAAAATTCATACAATATAATAATGTAAATATACTTTATCTAATTAGCTCCTTTTTTGTCCCGAAAGATCTTCAATAAAAATACGTTATTCACGTCTATATTTCATTAATCGTTATTTTTATTGAAAAAAAAAGCTTCAATGCTCTTGTGCCATGAATAAAAATAAGTATTTTCCTAGAAATAAAAATGGTATAATTCAATATCAAAATTCTTTTAACAACGTAACCCCTAAATATCATATTCAAGATTTATAAGTTCATTTGAAATATAAAAGAGAATTTTACAAAAAAATCCATAGCTAGATTTATATTTAGGCTGATAGTACTCTATGAAATGTGTCGTTAATCTGTACGTTTTCATTCAAAACGAAAACAACAATTTTGAATTTCTAAGAAATTGTTGTCTCTCATAGATGACAATTCATCAAAAAAGAATTTACAATCCTTCCTTTGCGTTCGAAACGAGGTTGAAAATGAATGAATCAAAGTAAACAAGAGTAATATTTTGATTCGTGGGTGTACCTTTCTTTCCTACTTATACGAACTTGAAATGCTTACTCTTTTCTTTAATATTGTTGAAGTTGGAAACTTGTAGAAGTCTCGACGATATTTAAAGAAGCATTGATTCATCTTGTTTTTTTTGCTTTTTTTGCTTTTTCTTTTGTCACATCCCAGGAAGTAGCAATCACTGTAATAAGTGTAGGAAGACTGCTGGTATATAAGTATGTGTCTATGCCAAAATAAAATGACATCAATTTAAGAAACGTCTCTTTTTTCTGTCAATTATCCTTTCATCCATTAGCCATGGCTATGTTTCAAAGCACTAACTATGATGTTAAAGCATTTGGTAAAAATGTTACTATTCCCGATGCTGATATCGCGAAAATTATGTATTATATTGATTGTGTGTGTACCGTGATTGAATATAGTGACGGTGATATTCGACGATATCGAAACTATGTAAATTGGGCAAATATGTCCGACGAAGAAGATCGTCTCATCTTTATTCTAGCTCTTGCTTTGTCACCTGATGAGTTGGAAGATAAAGTTTTCTTTAAATCTCCCGCTCTGTGTCCCAATTCTAACAATCAATTTTACGAAATTGGACAAATCAGGAATCAACTCCTTGTCGTTCGATCAGTATTTATTGGTGGTCAACAAAGACAAGTGAAAAAAATTATGGCGTATAAACAAGCCTGGATGCAAACATTTTACTTTCAACCGATGCGAAATCTCGCTTTTCGATTCAGCCCTGAAGGACAACGTCAAGAAGCGATACGTCGAGAAATGATATCTAGTGCCTGTACCATCTCATAAAATTCAAATATAAGATGGCAGGACAACGAAATATATTTCGATGTTGCATAATGTTGCAAATCTAAAACACGATTGCTTTTGATTTATGCCTATTGTAGTTTTTTCGTTGTTTTACATGCTTCAATGGACGCTTTAATAATTGAAAAAGATCAAGATATTTTATAGAAAAATACGATCACACATGTATATTTTAGAAATTTTGTTTCTCAATAGAAGAAACTGTCAAAATTCGAAATGAGCTTCATTTATTTTGAAATTAAAATATCTCAGTGCATATTTCGATTTACAGATACTTCTGAATTAGCCAAAAAAAAAGTAATAAAAGAAATGTAAAGTTGAATTTAATGGTACATATCAAACATGACAATAAATAATAAACATTACATCCTCTAATTTGTTATAGCATATCCAGAGTAGCCAATATCTACAAGCTCAATCAACTAAAAAATAGTTATAGGAAATTTATTCAACGCCAATAGTCAAAATTGATTTTTCTTCTTAGATTCACTTAACTTTGGCAAAAAAAAGTGACAAACGTATATCATCGTGATCAATAAGCACTCGTTATGTGATATTGAAACTATGAAAATCTGTTTTCAAATACCGTTCATATCTATGCAATCAGTTTATTTTATTTTTGACAATTAACTGAAGCAAAACATTTCTTCTAAAATAGTGCTCATCAAAAATCTTTTGATAAGTTTTGATTTAATTCATTTTATAGAAGTTAATAAATAAAATTTCGTCTTACTATAAGTCTGAATCAGAGACCGAAATCGAATCGATTCATTTTTTTTCAATTTCATTCGACTATTCAAAATCATTTTCTTGGTTTTGATATTATGGTCGAGGGCAGTTGACTAGTATAAGAGATGACGCATGAAGAAGGACGTCCACTGTTTATCTTTCTTTGTTTCTGTCAGTCGTCCTTATTTAATGGTCATCCTTGTTCTGTTCATATCGTTATCATGGTCAAGTGCATTTTGATTGGTATAAGAAATGTTCACTTACAAGGAGCGTTCCATCTTTCTTTTTTCGTTAGTCAATTTAGGCCCCAATCACACTGAGAAGTAAATTAACATTACAGTTGAATTAAGGGGTCAAACACTAGAAAAAATAAAACCGCATTAACCACTAAATCGCTTCTAAAAGATGATTTAAATGTGAATTAACCAATCACGTTGCTTAGTTCAGTTTTACTTTTTCTAGTGTGTTTGACCCCTAAGCCATGTGACTCGTGGATTAAGAGTTAAGTAATATTTTAGAGGTGATTTTAACTTTTAACGTATCAATTAGATTACTTAATAAGACTTTAACTGTATTCACATTTCCAGTGAGATAGGGGTCTTGATATCAACCTCTTTATTTATTAAGTATGGCTACGGTCAACTGTAAATATAGATCCTTATACAGTAAATGACATTATTTTTCTTCGTTCTATAGAAAATAAACTTATTTAATTAGTCTACTTAGATGTGTTCATTAATTTATATTTTATGTGTTCTTTCTTGAAAAAAATGAATAATTCTTATGTATATATTTTGATAAATTATATTTATTCAACATTTTTCTATAGAAGATCAACAGGCTATTCTCATTCGAAGAAGATGACAGTCCGAAAACAACAATACTATGTAATAGTGAATACCATGTTTTAGAAACCCAATTTGAGTCGAATCGAATTACAATTTTGAAAAACGAAAAAAGCCGAATCGAATCCGAATCAAGGTCCTAAAAACTCGAATCGAATCGAATGGCATTTTTGCCATTCGTTTCGGTCTCTGGTCTAAATAGAAGACTTTTTTCTAATTATAAGATGTGCCAGGACACAGAATGAGATTGAATTCAATCTGAGAGTGAACTTTGAACATACTCAATATTATATCGAAAAGAAAAGTTTATATAATAATCACGCTTAGTCTTTAGGTAAATGCGAGGGCCACCGCTTAATCTTAACTTCAACGAATACGATTAAGTATGGAAATAGGCGATACTCGTTAAAATAAAATTTTGGTGATCAAGTATTCTGTACAATTCTATCGATACGACAATGATCAATAATCGTTTAGCAGATCCAATCAATTGAGAAAAATATTCCTATTTATGTAGAATTGTTTCACACCATATCACTTCATGCATATTAACAAGAAATAAAATGAAAGAATAGAAAAACACCATCCAGCAATTATGCACCATGTCTGTAGATAAATTTCTATTCAAATAGCTATAATTTCCTTGAAGATTTAAGGTTACTGATCGTTATCAGTATAAAATTTTGCCTTGTGCTTGTGAAAACAACGTACGCAATGGCAACTGTTTTGTGTTTCTTGAAAGTATTTTTCTCTTGAGTCTACAGCAATGAACTACTTTTACCACAAAATGAACGATGCCTCGATTTTAGATGGCACTGTTTAGTCCTACAAAAGACCAAATGGCATATTAGTTTATATGTATAACATAGTATTGATCTATACATCAGAATAAAGAAAACATGAAATAGTATTTTTACTTCAATAAACAAATTTTAGCTTTAGCTATCAATAATTCATACTATAATATAATATAATAGACGAGAGATTTAAACATTCTTAGAATCCTCACAATATTTTATATTTACGTAAGTCAGTTATATTTATAGAGTCTATTCATTTCTATGAAGAAATCGTTACTTTTTTTAATACAAACCTTACGATTCTAAGATTGCATTACTTCTGATCGTATGCTAATTATTTTTCAATATTCAAGTATATTGTTGTACGAAAAAAACATTGATTTATTTGTATTTGTATATGTAGCATCGTAGATTCTGCTATATAGTTAAATAATCCTATAGAATCAAAGTTTTTTAATTTTAGTACATCAATTAAAAATGATACGAGACTTAAGTTGTATACTATTTTAGTTTAAAATATATTTGACCAGATTAAAATTTTTTTTTAAACTAAAATAATCATTTAAAGTCATGAATACTTATATATGTGTATTTGTCAATGAAATAATAGTCAATGACGTCAGGCTAAAGTCTTCTGTTCTCTCTTATCAAGCAATTGAAACAGTTATGACTGTTTGCTAAAAAAATACTATCAATGTTTCAGTAATTTGCCTCCCATCTATGTGTAGATACTGACACATTATAAGAGAAGTAATGTTTTCAGAAAAAAAAGAATATTGACGCAGGCACAGAAAAGCATTCTTTTCACATTAGTGATGAGAAGCAAACCTCAGACGATTTTTTTTCTCAGCACTCGAATACTAGTATAATGCTTAACTATTTTAAATAAATCGACATAAGGAGAAAAGACAAGTAAAGTTTCTTTGAATTTATTACCTATCGATTTACTTACAGATTACACGAAATATTCTGTTTATTTCATGTCAAATAACATACTAAATTATATTTTATGACATTCATCGAAAACAAAATGGCTTTTTGATACTGATTTCATGAAAAAACATACAATAATATTCGTTTTTATAAATGAAAATTTTTCATTATCGTTGACGTTTTTTTCCCGTGATATTTAGAAGTCATACTCGAAGTAATGCTAAGCTTATAGTAGCTTCAACAACGTATAGGCCATTTTCTTCTGCAAAAGAAATAATATATTCAATTTTTCAACTTTATCATTTGGCTACTTTTTTTGTTTTGTTTCATGTATTCGTTGAAGGATACTCATTCCTATTACGATCATTATTAGTCGCATACAGCTGCTGCTTTAACATTACAAATATGAAAAGAACAAGGAAAAAGAATCTTAGAAAAACGATTAAAATATGCGAAATTGTGAATCACGAAAAAACAGCGTTGAGTTTGTAACTATAGTTATTTTATACAAGTATAGTTCGCGAGTCAGGAAAAAAAACGAAATAGAATAGGAAGAGTGGAGAGTCATTCATTCTTTCACTCATTCGTGAATCGAATGGCTGTGCGTATAATATATATATATACATGTGTGCAACGAAATAGACAAGAGAAGAAAAAAGAAGAGAAAATATACAAAGCGTTGGCGTTTTATATTGTGTAGTGCTTTGTTTGTCTTCACCACGAAGCACAACAGACAACTTTCAATCAGGTTTGATTTTCGTGCAGGTGTTTTTATCCGCAATAAAAACTATTATAATGCTCTTGTTATTTTCATTTTTCAGATTAATAATGTATTCTTCCGATAATAAAAATTGTCATTCAATTAGAAATGCGCTTTTCGATGCAGCAATACAACTTAGTGTACCTTCTGTTACAGCGACAGCTTCAGTTGCCAATAAAATGCATACTCTTTCAACAACAGATGAATCTATATCATCATCTCGTTCGCGTTCTCCTTCAACTAACTCAAGATCTAGTCTTTCATCCAGTTCCAATTGTACTTCTCGACGATCTACTTTAATTAAACCCAAAATTCTACGTGATGCTGGTACTCAATCATCACCAATAGTAATAACAGATAATAAAATTCAACGTCGACCCAGTCGTTTGGATTTAATATTAGATAATAATAATAATCCAACCATGACATCATCTATATCAGAAACATCAAAAGAATATTTAGCTGTACCACGACATAATCAATTTCAAATGTCACCAAGTCCTTCTCCTACAAGAAATGGTAAATCGTTGAAAACTACTTTACTTGGTATTTGGCAAGGATTGAATAGTGATGATTTGAGATCTGCTGCAGTATCACCGATTGATCCAATATGTTTTGAAGAACGAGTTCGAATAGTAATTGACAAAATAAAAAAATCTCCTTTTGTTGATATTGAGTTCACATTAATTCTCTAGAGTACTCCGAGTTGGAAGACGTTTACAAAAGTTGTTACTGCTTTACTTAAATTTACTCGAACCAAACAAGGACAATATGAATGGATACAATTAGTTGGTCATCCAGGTAATATCATGTTTATTTTGCTTCTTCATGTGAGCAATTAATTATCTTTGTTCTAAAGGAACATTCAAAGAAGGTCTTCACGAAGGCTATGTTCTAAAAGCTTTATCAGAAAAAGAACGACGTTGTTGTGAATTACTTCAAAATGATTTACTAAAAGATTTTGTTCCAAAATACAACGGAACTGTGGCAGATGAAGAAGGAAAACGTAAGAAAGAATTGAAAAATAAATAAACAAAATAATAATTGACATATTTTATTTTAAGATTATATTGAAATGGAAGATTTATTAGCTTCATTCAAAGAACCATGTATAATGGATTGTAAAATAGGTGTACGAACTTATTTAGAAGAAGATCTTGATACATCAGAACGTGATCCAGAACCCAGAGCTGTATAAAAGAAAAGTCTTTTTTTGTTATGTGTCCATTGGTTTTATTTTTGTAGGATCTATATGAGAAAATGATTGCTATTGATTCAACAGCAGCAACAGAAAAAGAAAATGAAGAAAAAAAAATTCTCAAGCCACGTTACATGATGTGGCGTGAAAGTTTGAGTTCAACTGAAGAACTAGGCTTTCGTATTGAAGCTATCAAAGTAAAGGTGGCAGATACTTTTTTCATTCTGATCATGATTAATTTAACACATAGAAATCTCGTGGTTTAATGTCGAAAGAATTTCAAAGAATTAAAAAACGAGATGATGTACAACAACATATAATAGAATTTATTGCTAATTCAGTACCACGTGCTGTAAATAACATTTTTATTTATTAAAAATCACTTTAGTCTAGTTCATCATTTTTAGGTTCAATATCTCAATCGTCTTATTGAATTACGTTCAATATGCCTTCAATCAAAGTTCTTTCAAACTCATGAGGTTTGTTTTGATTATTGTCAATTTTTTAATACAATACAGAATATTTTAAATTAAAAGATTATTGGTTCATCTTTATTATTTATTCATGATGCAAATCGAGCATCGGTATGGATGATTGATTTCGGTAAAACTATATTATTACCTGACAATATTCATCTAACACATACGCAACCATGGATACGTGGTACACATGAAGATGGTTATCTTATTGGTCTAGATAACTTAATTTTAATTTTTAAAGAAATAATTAATGACATGAAATTAAATTTAACTTCGAACTAAGTATCGAGTTTTGGTGTTTGTATATAGCGAAGAAAAATATTCTTTTTGTATCTATTTAATGTGGTGACAACGATTCAAAATTGAACGTCAATTTATATTTAAAAAAAAGAACACATTATGTTTCCCAGATTCATTTAATTATAATTGGATCGAATGATTCCAATTAACATTTTGTTTTTGTTTGTTAAATTAATATCATTTGTGTCACTTTTCAGTAGTTTTGACATCATTTTCTACAATACCGACGATAGATTTCGAACAATGACAAAAAAATTTGGGAATAAACATGTGTTTTTCGCATTAATTTTCGTTTTTAAAGTACTTGGCTCACTTCAAAGCAGCATATCTTAGATAAATGTCAACTTTTTCTTCACTATTCACATTTGCAAGTGAACAGATGGAAGAGAAAAAGAAAGACAGATGAATAATGTATGAGACAATAACACATATGCTTTGTTAGTTCTAATTACGAAGGTGCTATCAAATAAACGCCTACAAAAAAAAATATAGAAGTAATCTAATCCAATGCAGATAAAACGAAAGATCAAAGTGAAATAAATAAGTTATCCGGTCTGTTTTTGTTATCAAGAATATCAAATATGATCATAACTTCTTTTTTTTGCTGTTGTTTGCAATGAAAAGCTGAATTATTTTTCAATGCTATGTAAGAAATCTTCTTACACATCTGATCGCTTTAATTTTGCTATGAATGTATCGAACAAGAATTACGCAGTAGCTTTTATTATTTTGTTTTGTTTTAATTCTATTATTTGTATATAATTATAATCTATTTGAATTTCAAGAGATCGTTAAAAATAGAAACTGAATATATTATTTTTTATATTTATTGAACTCTAAACTAAACAACGAATGAAGAAAAAACTGAATAAATTATTTCTACTAATAAACTATTATTATGAATCGGTAACGATTATAATGTTAGAGGATTTATATCTTAACTGTTGCAACATGGTCCCATTGACGTATTTTATTTATCGAATTCTGTTTTTTTATCGAAAAAATGAATATATATATATAAAATTGTTTCTTGATTTCTTCGGTAGAAAACGATAATTGTCTACATAGTTCTGTTCAACTAATATTCTGTGTGTTATAAATAGTTTAGAACGATTTCATCATCAATAGAGTTCATTTTTAAAAGGAAGCAGTGCCCCATATATACGTATATATATGTAGTTCATCTAAAATTGTATCAATATTTTATAGTGTGATAGTCATGATAAACGGATAAAAGTTGTAAGCTATTAAATCGATCTTATATATTATAAAACTATTTTCTATTTATAATCCAAGCTATTATTCATTAGTGTTTAATAGAACAATTTTTTTCCTATCAAAAATTATTGAATACTTCGAAAACAATTATACCAATATTTTAGCATGATTTGAATTTATTATAGAGTAATATCTAAATACTTGCTAGCAAAATTATATTTAGGGGAGAAGAAAATAAAAAATTCTCTATAGTAAAAATCTGTGTTGAATTTTTATTACTAAGTAATTATAATTAATTTTCTTTATATAACTGAATAGAAAAATAAATGATACAATATGTCTATCATAGTACAAACACTAGAACTAAGTAGAAAAATACATTATCTCTTCTGACAAATTTTTTCAGAAGCTTCAAATTATAATTATTTCCGTACTTGAATTTTCTATGTTAGCTATAGAAATAGACAGAATGACTTATTTAAAAACTAGAACATGAAAAAAAAACTCTTCAATGAAATTTCTATTGCCAAGAAAAACTGTATACTACTATTACTTCGAGTCTCAACTCATTTCGATTGAACAGCAAAATTTAATACGAATGATGATATACTTTTACCTTGATTCCACGAATATTTAGGAAGATGACAGAAAATAGTCGTTATTTTTAGAAAGATGTTCATTATAATACTTCATATGCTTTGTAAAACCAAATATGTTTTATTCTTTACGAAATTTGAATCCATTATAAAGATTAAACATGTTTCCTATCATTTCAATTTCCAATTTTCAGAGATGTAATATACTGAAGTCTTTTTATTGTAGTTAAATAGCTTCAACCATCATGGTTGAACCGTTCAACCATGATGGAATCGTTTCTGGCATATAAACATTTAGCAAACAGTGAAAGTTCAGCTAGATTCGAGTGGAAAGCATTTTCATGTTGAAAAGCAAAATGTAAAAAGATTATGTTTTATTCATTTTTGATTATTAAGATCTGTTAAACGAGACTCTTCTGGTAATAACTCCTAGATAATTCAGTACTGAAAAGTAGTCAAGTTATTGCCAAGCTAATTCGATTGTCGAGTTCTAAGATAGATGTAGATAATAATTGCAAGAAAAATATAGAGGACACAAATCAACAGTTGTTTAACAGTAGCTTCATTAAACCATAAATAGCAAAACAATCTTGAAAAACAGTCGACACAAAAGTTGCTACAGTTATCTATGAATCATAATAGCTGGGATTCTATACACAGTTAAAACGATACATCATCGGTTAAGAAGATATACGAAAATGTATGTAGAAATTCACAGAAGCATAGGAATACATCTTCGTCAAACCTGCAACGTGCGATTGTAATATAACTATCATATACTGTATTTTTTTTCAACTTGAAAACTCATAAACATTAGCTTTTGTCTCGCAAATATTCAGCCGTTTCAGTTGCTTGTTAAAATTTTCTTGTCGACAGTTGAAATAATCATCGTTAACATATTAACCTGTCTTTATGATCATGTAATTACAGAAATCAAAGTCAGGTGACTATTCAGAAGTTTTTAAATAACGACCATAAGAAGAATTCAGTCATTTTCGTATTTTATTGAAGCGCTTAGAATACTCGAGCACTGCATGTCTAAATAGTGTGGCAGACTCGATCTATTCTATCTTTTATCTAACATTAGACGCTCAATTGGCAGAACACTACACATACATTGCTAGGACATGTACTTTGTATAGGAAATTATGCAAAATAGAAAAGAATTTTCCCAATGAAATTGAACCAACAAAATGCAAAGCTAAAAATATCATTTCAATAGTGTTTTCATAAAAAAACTAATCTTGTATACTAATCTCTGAAAACAATCGAATCAAATGATGATGCTATTTTTACCATAGTCATTTATTTTGAACATTGAGACAATATAAGTTAATCTTATCATGAAAAACTAGATGAGTGCGAATATTGTATACAATAAATGCGTTTTTTTATTTTGTCAAGCTAGGAAATGATATTTCGAAAATGTAACTGCAACTAGTCTGGATTAAAGGATTAATCTTTCGATATATTCAAGTACTGGACGTTTGAAATTGTAAAAGTTCAAAAAAGATCTCTATTCCAATAAATAACGTTCTTGCGTCGCATTAAAATATTTCACATCATTCAATTTATCAAATCAGTTTTTGTTAGACGACATTTGCCGGCGCTTGATTCAATTCAAATGATTCTATTTATTGATTCTTTTTTTGGTTCGAGTAGTTTCACCCTAAGTGCTTTACATAAATCAATCAATATACCAAGGATTCCTATCAGCATAAAACTAATGCTTTTAGTTGAGTGATTGTTTCATATTTTATCGAAAATTTACATACAAGTTGGTCAGACAAAATATTGTTGTTATAGATATATTCAATGACATTCGTCTGATGTATATACAGTGTGTAATAAAAGTAAATAACCTTTCACACGAGAACTTTGTACAAATACATGCAGAAATAAAGAAATAAAATAATTACACGCTGATGTCTTTTTTGCAAAGAGATAAAGCTGATTCATAATCACTCTATCCAGTTTTGTGAAAAATAGCTGATGTTTCAATTCATTTCGAGTATCATCAACTCCTAAATATTGAAGGAGAATGAATCGATTTATAAAAAGTAATTGATTGGAATATATTCTTTTGAAACATTCATGCTAGAACGCACCTGTAAACATGTATAGATCGGGAAAAAATATAAATGTTGAATATACGTTTTTCGACATTTTAATGAGTATCTATAAAAAAATTGGTTATTTAATGTTTCGTTTCACACGGAACTGAGACATAAGAAGAATTTGAAATTTTAACTCAACGTTCCAGTAAAACTTACTTAGATGAGAAAATTGGGTAAGCAAAAAATCTTGAAGTAAAAGCTAATGAGAACACTCTTCGATATCTTCTTTTCGACTTTTCGGCGTTTTATTCTCGTTCATCACGATGTAAATTCTGAAACAAAGAAAAGTTTTAAATAATTTAAGTTCAGAACTAATATGCATCTATGTAAGTTGTATTGTACTATTTCAAGAATGAATGCAACTATGAAGTTTAAAAATAGATCCGAACTGGACATTTTTCTAATTGAATGACTTAAAAAACCGGGTCTAGGTTAGTTGCTCGCAGACACTTGCTCGCTAGGACACTTGCTCGCTAGGACACTTGCTTACAAAAATATTTAGAAGCAAACATGTAAGTAAGACATGAAAATATTGATTAATAACAATAAGAATAATGATTAACAAAATACAAGAGAAAAGAGACTCTACATTGATAACAAACGTCCGATATATTTCAATTGGTCCTTCATGTCTGTATGTGGATTTTGAACTAAATTATATAATCGCGCGTTCGATGATCCTTTTCTTCGTTTTGGTGGCTGACGACCAGACACAGCATCAGCGATATCTGGAGGATGTGTGGAGTGTGAGATGTGGGTGTGGTTGTATTTATCATGTCTCACTATAAACCTCACACCGACACACACACCCACGACCCACGCTCACGAGCAAATGTTCAAGCGAGTAACTGTCCGCGAGCAACTGTCCGATGAGCAACCGTCCTGCGTGCAAGTAATCGGCTCCCTAAAAAAACATAGCTGAAAAAAATGAGCACAAAATCTATTGACAAACCATTGATATGAAGAAACAATGATGATATTCGTTTCTATCACAAACAGCATATGAGCTGTGACTATCTATTAATGAAATAGAACTTCACTATTTCAGGAACAAATATATAAATGAGTAATTGTGCTCTAGTATGCAATGGATGTTTTTTGCGAGTAAATATGCAAACATGCCGATATTGTATTGTTTTTTTTATTAAGAAAAAGATGAAGTAAGAAAACCAACATTTCTATAAACTCAGAATTAAATTGAGAAAAAAACAGAACCAATAGGCACTAAGTGAAAAATAAGATAAATTGCAGCTTAGGAGATATTGCTCGTCGAGGTGTAATTAAAATTTATTTAGATTGTAATTCGAAATCTGTTAATCAACATAAAAAGTAAATCAAAGACTTCGTGCTGTTTTCAGAGTGTATGTGAGTGTTATTGAAGAATAGGAGCGATACAAGCAAAACATAAAAGAATCAATTGCACTATTTCAAGATGATTTGAAGACGCTGATGAATGGTGTCCACCTTCACTTTCTCCCTCTTCGCCACCTTCATGAGTATCCGGTCGAAAATTGGCAAGAACTTTACGTGTATGCAATTTTTGAGTAGGTCGAAAATTGAACGGAATTATATTGCTCTCGAACGCACGAAGTTGATATGCTGAAATAGGTATGGTTCGTGCAAGCACTGTCCAAATAACACCTTCTGTACATGGCGGAGTAGTTAATGAGCCATTATATCGATAGAAGCGAGGTGGAGATGTAGGTAGAATACGAGATAAATCTATCGATTGTTCAATGGCAATCGATGAATTGACAGTACGATTTACAGCTGATAATAAACCGTTTAGATGTATATTATCATCGCGTTGACGATCAAACATAATACTAAGAACAGCGAACGCTCCTGTGAATGGCGCACGATGAACGAAATGAATTTCCAGAGGATATTTTCGTCCATTGATCGTATGTTCAGAACCTTGAAATGCATTGTATCCCCAATGTAAATGAAATTGAACTAGGTAATAAGTATCTATTAGGCCACCTCCACTCATTGATAAACGAGCTAATGGTGGCGGATAAGCAATAATTGTGTGTCCATTGTGTGTCAAATTCCATAGAAACGAAGACATATTAGTTGCATAGCCATTGAGAATAAGTGGAGGAAGACTTGAATCATATTTAACAAGAGGTGTTCGAATATCTATCGGAGATTGAGCTTCACCTTCACATGTATCAAATAAATGATGCCATGCATCAGGTCCTTCTCGTTGATAATCCCAGTGAGTTTCTGGTGGATTTGTATTTTGCGTATTGATCGAATTCAAATATGGAAGCAGAAATAAACATTGAAGTACGAATTTCAAAAGCATGATTTTAATATCTAACCACAATGATGATTTAGCACTTGTAACTCAGTAAAATCAATGATAAGTCACGATTAGCTATTCACCTACACGTCTTTTTGTCTCAATCGTATTTAAATGGCGTTGTGATGCGATGCCATTCTAAGTTGCCCATGAAAGGCCATTGTGCGCATCACGATTTTTCATTATTTTGAACTTTCTCCGAGAAAAGACAACTTTTTACAAGTCGAAGGCCATGAAATTTTCCGTCTAGACAAAAAATATTTTTATTGTTTCGCAAGATATCATATAAAAACAAAGAAAGAAAACAACGAAAAAAACTAAAGTTTGACGTCTACTAGCATTCATTTACTGCCTTTGATTATAGGATTTGTTTTGTTTTTAATATTTTAACATTTATATTAAATTGCTATCACTGCCATATTATGGCAAGGTTGTTTGAAAGATTAAATCAACGATTGATGTTTTTTAAATTGGAAAGTAATTTTATTCGTTGTTTGTTGATGAAGGTACGATAAAACTTACAACAGATTGTCTACATCGGATAAGACTGTCATTTTATTTTGAAGTGGAAGAATAAATTACTAATAGCTTGAGTGTAATTTTTTCTTCACATCCTCTCGTTCGGTAATATTTTAAAAGTCACAAAACAAAAGACTATTTAAATTCTTTAGCAACACGCATTTTATTCAATCGTGTTCCTGATATGCCACTGATCTATCATCCTCTTTCTCTTTTATGTGTATCGAAAGAATCTGCATATTTATCATGCTTGTAAAAACAAGCAAACTGTTACCGTCTTGTTTTCTTACGTTTTATTAACAATACTTTGTTTTGTTCAATTATGCGTAGAATATTAAGATGTTTTTTTTGCAGCATTTTGAGATTTTCAGCTACCGAATTTTGATTCATACTTTGTATTAATTTACAAATAAAAGAAAAAAAATTAAATTGACATTCATTTTTTAATTTATTTTGCTAATGAATCAATTATGTAAAACTAAGTGTTAAAAAGAACCAAAATATTACTATAATGACTAAATATATTTATTTGCTGTTTCAGGTATCAGTTTTTGTGTACTCAAAAAAAACAAAAGAGTACACTATAGAATCGGTCAGTGTGTCCGGCCGTTTATTCGATAACTCTTCACAATTACATTCGATTGAGCTGAAATTTTGTGCACAGAATTGTCTCGTCAATATTTCGGTCGAGTTCGAAGATGAGAAGGATCCGCCAAGAAATGGCTGAGTTATCGAAAAAATTCTCATTTTTGACCAGACCATCCCTGAGGGGGAGTACAGGGATTTTTTCAAACAAAATATTCTTCTCAGAATTATCCACAACATATATAAATCGACTCAATTTTTAAACGTTGATTCCGAATCTGATATTAGTTTTGAACTAAATCGTAGTTTTCTAACGAAACATTGCCTGAAAAAGGTCTCAAAGTGCACAAAAACTGCATCCAGAAATCAAATTGCCTAGTTTCTCATGATAATTTTGGTGTTCAAACATTCTAAAATGATTCATATGTCCCATGCACTTTTTGCAGTACACATAACTCTCGGATGAAATCCGAAGTTTCCACATTTATTTTAATTATACATTGCTGAAAATGTGCAAGAATCTATCAAAATAAGTTAATATGAAACTTAGAATAAAATTATATTCATTTAGTTTTCAGTTATAAAAGAGTTGTAGCTATGAAATAAATCTCTATGGGTAAATAATAACTTGCACAAATTAATTAAAGAGCTTATTATTTTATTTATTTTCATAGCTCTAATGTGAAAACCTGCATTGTAATTTGAATTTGAAGCACCATACTAAATTTTTCAACATAGCTGAACTGCGACTTTATAGATTCTCTATCAGCTGCAATTCTTCAATGGATTTAAATTGCTTTTCGTATGCATATTTTTCTATCTCATCTAATAAGAAAATAACTATTGCGATAATAATAAATATCATGTCATAATCTGTCGTAAATAAAAATATTGACTTATCAAAATTATATATTATTCCAATAATTTGCATTCTAGTTTCCTTGTTTTACTTTTCTATTGAAATAAACTTGCAGGAACAATTGGATGTTTTAACTAATTTCTTTTTCTTATTTTAATTAGAATGTTGACAACATCTCTTTCACGCTTTGTATACAGCATTAACAAGAGTATTAAGCAACAATTAAGTCTTCATGTATCTCATATAAATTCATTCTAAAGATAAAAAAATTGCACTACAAATTGACTTACGTAAGTGTGAGTTAACTACAGCATATTCACATCCAGTATATACACTTCCAGAGGTCTTTTCTTCTATGAAATATTGGTTGATTAATCAAAGTTTAATAGATAAAGTTGCTTATACATAATCCAAAGAACTATTCATGGATGTCACTTGCTGTCATCAAAGATCAATTAGAGATTTTAGAAAAAATATCAAAACTTGGAACAACTACCATCAAATTTTTATTCAAGGTATATATATATATATTCTCTGTTTTACATGTCACATGATTGATTGATAGATGAAACAACGTATCAATCGATGTAGAACTTCAGATTCGATGAATGTATGTTACTTGTGTTCTCTCGAAAAGCTGACTAAAAACTCAAGGGAGAACAACTGCCTTTTGTACTTGAAGCTACTTCAAATGGTGCATTTTCAACTATTTTCCGACTTCAAGTTCACTTTTCTCGCCCTTAAAAAAGCTACAGTGGATTGATGTAAAGTTTTGGTAAATTATCGCATGTTTACTCTAATATTTTGAGAGAGATCGAAAGAGAAGACATTGAAATACATTTTTTTTTTGAATAAAATGTACGATGGAATTATTTTGAGAGCTCATTATTTTTACAAAAAATTAGAAAAACCATGAGAGAATAATCTTGTGTTGCGGCTCATTTTTGGTAGCTAGAACGTAGGTATGATAACAATTAATTTATTTCCATATGATGCAACCCATCAATTATGATATTGGTCGTTCAACATGTGAGTATGAATAAAGAATCATTCCGATGTTGTCTATTACTAGTGGTCCTAAATATTTTTTTTCTAAGCTTCACTTACAAAATCAAAATCTCTTCTGAACGACAAAACATTTTTATGTGATTCCTTGAATATTTTTTGTGTACATGTCTACTTTGAAGAGAATTATCATCTTAAACATACTTCCACTATGGAACTTCACATATTTTGCTCTTCTGATTGTTGTGTTTCATAGATTGTTGACTACAATGATTCGTAGCATATGACTCTGCTTTTCAATCTGTTTCTATTGGGGTATCAGGATTAATCTTAATTATATTTTTGAATCTAGTATCTATCTAGATCGAATAAATTGAAGCTTTTCTTCGTTGTTTATGCATAAGTGATGTACAAGTCATGATTCATTTTTTTTTCAAGGAGGATGAAACTATTCATAACACTTTATGAGTCTGATAATAATAATTAACAAAAAACATATGGTAATGTGTGGATATCTCGAATGATTCATCTGTTCGATTTTTATTGCTCGATTTTTAGATGAATATATGATTCATATATATGAAATTTGCAGATAGTGGATGATGCTTGTTCAATTCATTTGACCGTATGGTCATTACTATTACAATAATTTCATTGCCCACATTATTATCTACTAATTTCTTTCTATCACTTTACATTCATTATAATGTTTGCATGTAAAAAATTATCTCTCTCATTCTATTCTACAAATGCAACACGACAAACGATATCTGTGCTATTTGAAAAAGAAAAATTGTGTCTAACTAATTTTCATCAGCTAATCCAACACAAGTTTAAAAATTATTCAACTAAAAGCACTGGATTTGTTCAAAATGCTGCTGTTATTTTTGCTGCAATTCCATCTAGCTATCCTGAAGCTGGAAAACATATTAGATATGTTAAAAATCGAACAATCAACGTTGACTGTGTTAACACACAAGGTGGCATTGTAACAAAAAATCTTGCCATATCCATTGATCCATACATGAGAGGACGCATGAGACCAATTGGAACGAAAAGTTATGTAGAAGCATTTGAACTCAATCAACCATTGACAAATTTCTTCGTCGGTAAAATTGTTAAGTCAGATAATAATAAATATAAAGCTGGCCAATTTGTTTATGGACAAGGAGCATATGAAGAATATACAGTTCATTCAAAAGATCAGACTGAATCACTTCGTATTCTAAGTGATGAAGAACTCAAACTTGGCTTACCACTAACTACTTGGGTAGGAGCTGCTGGAATGTCAGGACAAACAGCTTTCTATGGTTTATACCATATTGGAAAACCAAAGAAGGATGAAACAATTTTCATTACCGGAGCTTCAGGAGCTGTTGGTCAGATTGTTGGACAACTCGGTATGTTAACCTCGTGTTATCTTCATCGTTTTCGACATTACTGAGTTTTTAAGAGAAAAAGAATGTTTTTATTTTCAAAATTGTTAACGTGTATAATTCGACTATTCAAATAAATACATAATAAAAATATTAGTGACTGATTGAAATTTTAACCAGGAGTAACAGTTGTGAAAACATTATGTAGTCAAAAATAAATTTTTCATTGTATTGAAAATTTCACTAAATTTTATTTTGTTGTTATAATATAATTTGTAAAAATTTCAATATTCCCTATCATGAAGTTCGATTTCTCATCAGCACTAACTTGCCTTATTTTCGTTTAGCTAAACGTGAAGGTCTCAAAGTAATAGGATCAGCTGGTACAGATGATAAAGTAGAATGGCTTCAAAAAGAACTTTGTTTTGATCATGCATTTAATTATAAAACAGCTAATGTAAAAGCAGAACTTGCTAAATTTGGTCCATTAAATATTTATTTCGATAACGTTGGCGGTGAACAACTTGAAGCAGCGCTTGATGCTGCCGCTGATCATGCTCGTTTTGTTGAATGTGGCATGATTTCACAGTTTCATAAATCTAATGATAGCGGCATTCGTAATCTTATCTTAGTTGTTCGAAAACGACTTACACTTCAAGGCTTTATTATTTTGGATCATGCAAAAGATGAAAACTTTAATAGAGAATTTTACTCGAAAGTACCCAAATGGATTGCTAATGGTGAATTGAAAGTCAAAGAAGATGTGACGAAAGGTTTGGAAAAAGCTCCTGAAGCAATTGTCGGAATTTTCAAAGGAAAAAATTTCGGCAAAGCTGTTATTAAAATAGCCGATGATTAAATGATTTTCTGAATATGTTTGATTTCAATGTACATTAAATTTATTGTAGTTTATCGTTTATAAAATATCTCCATAAAAATAAAGTGTTTTCGAATTTCAGTGTGCAAAATTATTATTAATATATACGTCATGCCTCTTTCGTATTCATAATGATTCTACTCTTGTCAAAAAAATCATTGACATAAAGATGTACTTAACAGACGGTTATCATAACAAGTAAGAATGATACATAGAAACTCGAAGAACAACTGATACAATCTTATGTATATGTGTTCGTGTCTGGCATTCTACTAATTTGCTCTTAGAACTATTTATTCATCAGGAGACAATTATCTATCATTATTATCAGTGTGTCATTTTTTATCCCTGGACAGCAGTACCAAGTGTTTTCTTGTTTTGTGATGCTTTTTTGACAGACACATAATTGGCATTTTTTTCGTTGATACCTCGTTATTATCAAGGCATCGTTATATCTGATGGTAATTTCTAGTGTATCATTAGTTCGAATCGTATGTTAACTAAGGCATTTTGGCCTCGACCTTTCGATTGAAGCGCATGTGTCCATATCTATCACACATCAATAGCTCTTTTGTGTTTCATCTCTGCTTTAACAACTAATTCTCTCTCTCTCTCTCTCTCTCTCTCGCTCGCTCTGTTTAACAGAGCATCGTTCTGACCTAGTATATCATTCATCTCTTCATACAGAAACAAGATACATTTGTTCTTTTCTATCGTTTTGTACTTGGTTTTGCATTCTAAACAAATATGAATATATTTCCAATCTTGCTTTTTGTTTGCTTAATTATCTACCATGCGAATAGTGCACCTATAGCAAATACAAATGGAGCAAGTATGAAAGAATAACATTAAGAATCAATTTTATAGATAGTTCATTTAGATACTGTTCTAGTTGCAAACGGAAAATTAATTGACGACCTGACGTGTAAGACTGATGATGGACGAAGTAAGTTATAGTTTTTATTTTGTTCTTATTGATTTCATAACATTATTTAATATTAATTCAATCTAATAGTTGAAATTCCAATCAATGGAAAAATCCGTGTGGGTGCCAATACTTGCAAAGGTAAAGCTACATAAAACATTATTGCACATAACAATATACATACATATATCTATATATAATAATTTTTTTAGTATGTACATGTACTGTTTCTGGATTTTCATGTGAAGATCAATGTGAAACAATCCCAGCATCGACTTCAATAGGTGCGCCGGGAGGTAAATATGTTTTTTGTATAAAAAAATCTATTTATTATATAGAAAACTTATTTTCCTTTCAGAAAGTAGTACCACAGCTATTTCAAGTTCTTCACCTTCACCCGATCAATTAATACTTTCATCTACTATTCCATCACAAGCAGTATCAAATCCGAATTCAAATGGTGTTAGTCTAACGAATTCAACAATATCACCATCGCGAATTGAAAATTCTGATAATGATACAACATCAGTTATAGCTGGTGGACCATGCGCACGTATAGCAGTCAATGGATTAGTACCTTCGCGTGAATTTGCATTTATGGATTGTAGTGAAGTTTATTTAGCTGGAAAACGAACAAGTGGAATGTACGAAATATGGTAAGATGAAGAAGAAGAAAACTAATCAATAAGTATGAGAAACTTTTATATATTGAAAGGCCTCGAACAAGTCCAAAACCTTTTCGAGTTTTCTGCGATATGGATACCGATGGAGGTGGATGGACAGTTCTACAACGTCGTGGTGATTACAATCAACAATCAAATTTTTTTGTTACATGGTCATCTTATAAACGTGGCTTCGGTGATCTTAATCGTGATTTTTGGCTTGGAAACGAAAAGATTCATGCGTTAACAAATCAAGATGAATATCGTCTTCATATTGACATGGAAGATTTCAACGATCAATCACGTTTTGTTGATTACGAATGGTTTTTTGTAACGGATGAACAAACAAAATATACATTAAATTTAGGTCGCTACATGACAACATCAACTGGTGGTGATTCACTATCATATAATCGTGGTATGCGCTTTACAACACGTGATCAAGACAATGATCAATCTATGTCAGGACAATGTGCTGAAAATTACAAGAGTGGCTGGTGGCATGCTGGCTGTACCTTAGCAAATCTAAATGGACTTTATTTACGTGGAAACGATTCAACTGCGACAGGAGTTTTTTGGAATAATTGGTTGGGTGCAAAATATTCATTAAAATCATGTGCAATGAAAGTTAGACCTACTGGTTTTAATACCGAAATGCTTACGTGAATAAGACACAAGTCCTTTTTTCTTTTTCTTTTGTATATTATCTCATTTTATTATTGAATGACAAACAGAAAAAAAAAATAACTAATTGCAAACAAATAAGATATGATATCTTATTCAAGTAATGTTGATGATTAATTTCAATAATATGAGAGATTAATGAATAAAATACATTGTTTTATTTGGTAAAAAATATTTCAGATAAATAAAGATTAGCTTTAAATTAATTTATGTTGAATATTTTTCTACATATTGACTTAGCGAGAAAAATAACATGTATATTTGTTTTTTGAATTACCGAATTTATTTTAAACAGGATCACGTATAAAAATTGCATTACTGATTATGTTGGTTTGTCCAAACGTAATAGCATTACATTTTTTGAGATAGCTCTTTGTAATTATCTCAAAAAATCGAACAGATAGAAAGTTCGTTCAGAAATCATTCGATGTCACTTATCATTCTCTACTTATGGTATGATAATGACTTGTTTTTATTGCAAGTCACAATATTCCAGAAACGTTTTATCATTGCTTAACGTTGCTACTACGCTAGATAGTTTCTTTTTCTCATAATAGTATTTCTTCAAATGTAATGGCACTAAATGAAGTTATGTAAAGTATCCAATGGGTTTCTAACTGGTAAAAAAGAATTTTCAAAATTACTTATAGTTAGATAAAAAAAATACAAAATGACTAAATGTCATACCCTTACAATATATTTTTTCCTTCAGTTTTGAGTCACTTCACTTGTTCAGATCTATTCGATTTTCATAGTCACTGATGTTTTCTCTTCATATACCCGTTGTAAAAAAAACTGAAATGGCTGTATCCGATATCGACTGTGATCATCTACACAGTATGTTGATTTGACAAGAAGATACAAGTTATCTTGAGAAGCAAAGCTCAGCATAAATTTAACAGTTTGTAGAGAATAAAATTTTCTACCGCACGATGTATCAGTAAGCATTTTTGAAAAGAATATCTTTGTGAACAGAATTCTAAAGAAAATTTAAAAAAAGTGTAAAAACAGATTTTGGTTGGCAAAGTACTTGTTTTGTAAAGAGAAAAAGTTAAATTTATATTCAGTGCAGAAAACTGCATCGATTGATGTATTTGATATATGTCCTTCTCGAAAAAAACTATTTTCAAAAGCTTGATCAGTGAAGCGTCACATTCTGTTTGCTAACCGAAGCATAATGTGTCATACAATAAGGAAGACTAATTGTTTTGTATATCTATCAAGCTAAACAAAGTAATATTGACTTTTTTTTGTTGATATTTCTATTCGAGATTGAACAAAAAAGTAATTCACCGTTAATTGAAATTCGATGTATAACTATCCACTTAATTAGCACTTTTTTAATCATTTTTCTTTATATTAAAATCATGTTTGTCTTTTTATCGTTCTGTCATGTGGGCCTATGAAAATAGTGCATAAATGAGTTGATTGACGTTATAAAATTTCAACTACCTTATATCTATCGATAGAAAACATCCTAAATAACTCATTTTTCAAAAATAGAAAACACTAAATCTTGCTGCATGATAAGAATCAACTTCATCGATCACATAATATATATGTCGTAGGATAGATTAAAATCCAGTACAGTTTTAAATCGAACTAGGACAGATTAAAATTTTAATTTTTCCTAGTTCAGATTAAAATTTTAAAGTGAACTAGTTGACTTCGAAATGCATTTTAATCTCAACTAGTTGACTTTAAAATTTTGATCTGAACTAGGAAAAATCAAAATATTTTAAACTGAACTAGAACAGTTTCAAATATTTTGATCTGAACCAGGACAGATTAAAATATTTTGATTTGAACTAGTTCAGATTGAAATATACACATTTGGATGGATAATAGGTGAAAGTGAAGGCGAGCGCGAGGACGCGGGTAATAGTTCCATCTTCACCCATCATCATTCACCATAGACCCTTGTCGTCACCCCAACGCGTATCTTCAACCAGCCAGCCACGGATAATTTGACTAAACATTTTAATGTGTCCTAGTTCAGATCAAAATTTTAAAGTCAACTAGTTGAGATTAAAATGCATTTCGAAGTCAACTAGTTCACTTTAAAATTTTAATCTGAACTAGGAAAAATTAAAATTTTAATCTGTCCTAGTTCGATTTAAAACTGTACTGGATTTTAATCTATCCTACGACATATATATAGACTAATCAAGTGCATCAAGTGCACGTACGAATCATCTAATATACATGTCTAATTTTTTGGTTTTGGTTAAAATTAATTATTTTTCTGAGTTGATATTACTACTTTTCCGATATTAAAAGACTAAAAAGCTTCCTAGTACTGTTATATAGCATAGATTTTACTTGTTAATCAAATCCTAAGAACAATTTCACGATATAATCGTACTTTAGACAAGCTACGTCTTAGTTGTGGATACTTTTCGAACACTATACATAGTCACACTTATATAAACTATTCTAGATATTCTATATTTGAAGATGATAATAGACATCAATAATAGAAACTATCATTTTATTTTCTAAATATACAGAATTTTGTTTTCAATTTAAGATTAATTTTTATTTTCTGCCTAGCTATTGATAAATATCATAACTATAATATTTAATAGATGCAATCAAAATGGTATTCGAAAACATAATTGTTTATTTACTTGATAAATATTTGGGTAATTATATCGACAACTTAGATACGAAAAAATTCAAAATTGATTTATGGAACGGTAAGTGAACGAAAGATAATTTTCGATTCGTATGAAGCAATTATTGATTCGCAGGTAATGTCGTTTTGGAAAATCTATATCTCAAGTCTAATGCATTGGTATATATTTTTCTCTAAATGAAAAAAGTAAAATTAATTTTACGTCTAATTCTAGGCCGATTTAAATCTTCCTGTAACTATATCTATTGGCTATCTACGTATGTTCAATTCTGTTCTATGTTTTAGAAAGTTTTTTTCTTTTTATTAATTTTCATTTTAGAAAAACTAGTACTTCAAGTTCCATGGACAAATATATATACACAGCCAACAAAGGTGACAATAGAAGGACTTTTTTTACTTGTTGTACCCAAAACGGGTGTGTAGAGTTTATTCTTTTGTTATTATTGAAATGTTTTTATTTGATTTCTAATATAGAAGTTGAATATGATGCTCAAAGAGATGAAAAAGACGAATATGAAATGAAAATGAAAGAAGTTCGAAAAATTGAAGAACTTCGAAAACAAAGAGAAGCTGAAAGTAAGATAACAATTATTGAAAACAATGAAGATTGTTATTTTTATTATTTAATGAAAATTTAGAAAATCCTCAAGGAAATGATAAAAATGATACGTTTGTTGAACGTATACAACTTCAAATAGTTCGAAATCTTGAATTATCAATTCGAAATATTCACATTACCTATGAAGATAAATCTTCTAAACCTAATCATCCATTTGCATTTGGAATAACACTTAATTATTTTACACTTCATGTATTATATTAAATAAATTTTATTTTTTATTTAAAATAACAAAACAAAAATTCTTTAACCGATAGACAACAACATCAGATTGGGAACCAACTATACTTAAAGACGATACATCATTAATTCATAAAGTAAGAAATAAATTTATAAAAACATCAAACTAACTTTTCAACATCAAAAAAATTTAAAACATATGAAAAAAAATTATAAAAATAACCAATAATCCATCTTTATTCTAATACGTAGAGAATCTAACTAGACAAATGATGTCTTTTGAATTTAGCTTGGTGAACTAAGTGCCTTATCAATCTATTGGAATACCAATTCAAAATCTCGATTAGATTTATCAAGAGACGATGCTATTGTATGTTAAATATTTTAAGTATTTTTTCAAATTTCTATTTATTGTTACAAATAGCATGATCTTAGAGAGAAAATCGCAATTGATAATCAACAAGCACCATCTGATGTTGCTTATAGTAATTTTTATCTGAGTGATTTGTTTTCATTTTTTCACTGAAAATTTGATTTAGTTCTTCGACCACTTAATGTTAAAGCAAAAATTATATTAACCATGAAACCACGTCAAGAAGGTTTTCAACAACCTATATTCGATATAAAAATTGATTTAGATGCAATCAGTTTAAATATGAGTAGTGGCCAAGTAAAATTAAAATCATAAAACTTTCGTTTTGTCTATTTGAAATTTTCCTATTTTTTTATATAGTATTCAGATTTACTCGATCTACTTGAATTTCAAGATTATCTCATTGTTAAATCAAAATATATAAAATATCACATGAAAAAAGATCAAGTAGAAAAGTCAAGTTTAAAAAAGTAAAACATTTTTACTTTAAATAAAATAAATTGTTTGAATTATTTAGTTGGAAATTTGCGTACGAGGCTATTCTTAATGAAGAAATCCGACCAAAATTCGAATGTTATAAATGGGGAAATATAAAAGCACATTTAGATAGATGTAGAGAATATCGTGCGATTCATTTTCAAGAATTGACTGGAAAACTAACGAATGAACAAAAACAACGAGCTGAAGTAAGAAGACAATTAATTGAAATAATACAAAAAACAAATGCACGTTTTGAAGGCATTGGAAAAAAAAATTGACGTATTCAATTTAACATATATTCGTCGTAGTGCAGAAATTGAAGCGAGAAAAAAGAAAGAACAAGAACCTAAAACTTGGTGGGGAAATGTTTCGAATTGGTGGAGTGGAAATAAATCTTCAGACGATTCAGGTTTCATCATTAAAATCATTATAAAATAATTACTGTTTCATTGGTTTCTCCATTAATAGAACTAGATTTAGAAAAATTTATGTCACCAGAAGAAAAACTGAAACTTTATGACGCTATTGGTTACGCTGGTGAAGATACATCTGCATCAACTTATCCTGAAGAAGTTTGTTCTTCATGTTACTTTATACTATAGCCAAACTAATGTCATGTGTTCTTGCTCATTTTTAGTATGTTGATATCAATTTAAAGATTCGATTAAATATGCTCGATATTAATTTTTGGTCAAAAATGGATGAAAATGATGCTCAGTAAGATTATTTGTTTGGAAGTATGAAGATTTTATGAACTTGTTTTAGACTTCGGATTATTGCTCGAGCTGTTGTACCCGATACAAGTTTGGAATTCAAACGACGACCAGCAACAGATGCACTTGTGTATGTTATAAATTTCTCAATGGGATCTTAAATGAGTGTTCAAAGAAAGAACATAAAAGTATAGGCTACCACAGACTGTGGCAAAATGTTATTGATAAAAGATCAAGAGCTTTTAATTACAATAATAGCAGAACGAGTGCCTTATTATTTTCGTGAAGGATTAAGAACTAGTCGTCTCTCTCATTCTCTGTGTGAGTTTTTCAACAGTTACTTTAACAGCAATTGTGAAACTCTCAAATTCGATTCATTTCGACCAACAGAGACAAATTTGTCATCGATTTAGAACTATCAGATAAATTCCTTCGACAAGATATATATTTTGTGAAAGAATCAAAAAATAGTTCGAATCTCTCAATTCTCTCTCTTTCTCTTTCATGACTGAATCCTTTTTTGTCAATAATCATGTGAGATCCGAATGCATAGATATGCATTTGTCTTTGAAAAGTATAGTTTCTTTTGGTTTCGAAAACTGAAATACTGTACAAATCCGGCCAATGTTTTCTATTAAGGCAAACGTTTTAGAAAAGAAGAAAATAACAGATTCACTTTTGATATTTGAGGTCGGTTTTGCAAAACAAATATGAAATTAAATTATTCGAAATGAATAAAATTAACAGCTTTTGATTGTTAAACTAGGTTTTCCATGGATTTGGGTTCATTTCAAGTATTTGGTATTGCAACTGATTTAAAACAATCTGAATTATTAAATGATAGTCGTTCTACACTTGTAAAACCATCTCTATCATGTTCTAATCAGCAGAAGTTATTACAAGTAGAACTTGAAACAAGTCCATTAGATAAAACTGCTGATTATCGTATGAAAATTATTTCACAATCATTGGAAATAAAATATAACGCCGTAAGAAATTTATTCTATATGTACATAAATTTGTCATGTTGTCTTTTTTTTTTCGTTAGCCCACCATTAATAAATTAGTCGAATGTTTTGAATCTGATACTAAACGAAATTTATCAGGGTAAACTTTAAGTTTATAAGAAATTTAAATTTAAATTTATTTGCATTTAGTGTTAAGCAAATAGCTTATTCAACATATACCGATGTTAAACATCGTTCTTATATATTAATGAAGCATAATATAGAAAAAATTAAAGTCTTGGATATTTATATTGATATTCAATCATCGTATTTTCTTCTACCTGAAAATGGAGTTTATGAAGAGTAAGATATTATTAGTTTTTCTCGAATAAAATCAACCAAAAGTATTTTCTTCTTTTGATCCAGTGGTGGTGCAGCTATATGTATGGATTTAGGCCATTTAACATTAAAACGAGCTACAAACGATAGAAATAATGTTAGAGAGACATTTTTATCAAACAGAACAATAGTAAAATGTTATATTTTATTTATTCAAATCTACTATTTATCATTTTTTAAAAGAATATGGATGATGCACGAGAATTATCTTACACTGAATTCAAATTAAAACTTGAAGATATTCAACTAATTTATGCCAATCGAAGTAAGCGCAGATAATTATTTTGATACTAGAAAAACAACTGTTTTGTTTGCATTTAATTCAGATGAAAATTGGGAAAAAGCACGAAGAGAGAGAAATACTCGTTTACATTTAATTAAACCAATGGCACTGGAAATGAATGTTGATAAATGTATCTATGCTGATGATGCTGTTTTACCAGCGTATGAAATTGTTTTTCTTATTATTCAAAATGAAATATTCTAATAATTTATTCTTTTCATTAGATGGAGAGTAGCCGGAAATGTTCCGAGTGTAGAATTACGTTTATCCGACAAACGTCTTTTTGAAATAATCAATCATATTCAATCAATTCACTTGCCACAATTGAAACATATCTTAGATGATCAAACTTTAATTGAATCTAAAGTTGATAGAGAAAAAAGAGAATCCTATTTAGATCGAATAAAAATAATCTGTTTCATTTAGATATCAACAGCGGACTCCTCACTCAATTATTCTGAACAAGCATACGAAACTGTCGTCGATATAATACCAGATAAAAAAACTTTAGAAGAATCAGAACTTGATCACACTATCAGCAAACAAACTGGTAAACAACAAAATGATCTTGAAGGACAACTTACACAATTAGAAGCAAGATTTACACTTGATAAAGTATTCATTTAATCTTTTCATTCATAAATAGAATAATTGATTTTTCTTTAATGATTAAAAGATCGATCTTCATATTGATGAAGCATCGGACTGTTGCGATGAAAATGAGGAAGGTGAACCGTTTCTTCATCTTATACTCGAATCAATAATGGTCAAAACAAAAATAAAAACATATGATATGGAGTTCGATGCATCATTGACCAATTTAATTCTCTATCATGAACAATTTATTGGAAAAGATCGTCAACGATTATGTTTGTTATCAGCTCAAATAAATAAAAATAAAAATAATCGAACTGATCAAGAAATTCAAACGTTAGTTAGTGTTCATTTTCTGCATACATCATCCACAAATCCGTTATTTTTATCAGCAATTTATAATGGAATCGAAAATAAAGCTCATATTCATGTCTCAAAACTTGTTGTTATATTACAATTAGAAGCCCTTTTATCAATATTCAGATTTTATGATTCTTTAACGAGAAAATTATCTAAGAGCATACTTACACATGAATTCAAACACAAAGAAAAAGAAGAAGAAGAAGAAGAAAACAAACATAAAAACGAACCGTCAAAATTATTACAAGACAATAAATTATTGCAAAGCTCTGCAGATATTTTTGAAAAAACAATGCTGAAACATGGTAAGAAATTGGATTAGCGCAATTTCTTGAAAAAAGAGTCAGACAGAGCAATTTCATTGGAAAAGGTTGTAGAAAATTTCTACAATGGTTAGTTTGAGATTTATTCTTGCTTTTTAAACCTATACGCTATTATCATTTCATTACAGTAGAAATGAAATAGATTTAAACAACGATAATAGTTTTTGTTTTTATTCGTTTCATTTCATTTCAATTTACTATTGAGATTGATCTCCTAAATAGCACTTACTATTTCGTTATTATCAGAGCTAAGCAAGTATAGTTATGTACTCGTATCACAGCGATACATACACGCACACAACAATTGTCGATTAAAATGACTATCTTCTATGAATGCATCATACTGGTGAGTGATGCACGAAATCGTTGAATGAATATATTCGGCGCTTTTATTAGCTATGTTTAACTTTGTCACAGAACATTACCTGTATGACAGACTGACGTGTTTTCCATTAGTAATTTTTTGATTTTCAAGAATTAAATTCAGCCGTCTCTTAAATCATTCACAACATCAATGTGAATTGTCTACGCATTCTCTCTATCGAGACAATATTCTAAGGTTTTAGAATGTCTTTCAACTAATGCTCTGCCTATCTAATCAGTAGGTCCCGATCATTTAATGGAAAATTTGCAAAATTTTTTCATGAAGATGTTTGTTTCTAAATTTAAATCCATTTCAATACACTTAATACATAGAAAAAAATGATGCCGCAGTTTTTAGTAACTATCAAGAACAGTGAGTTTCGCAAATGCACTTAAGGATCACTGCGTAGATTAAACTAGACATTATAACAGTCAGAATTTGACAACTGATAAATCCTCAAAACTGAGCATACTCTCGAGAAGATCTACAGCGCCGTGTCTCTTAATAGTCATCGCTAAGGTATTTTTGATTTCTTTCATGTGCATGAAAAATACTCGACACGAAACAATCATTCGCATAAATATAAGAAAACTTTCTAGAGTGCAGCAGGTTCGACTTATGAAATATTTTCTCATTAGATGTTTTCAAGCACTTTTGTTTTTCAAGAACATTGTAGTTCGAATTTAGTGGCCTTTCTTTCAATTAAGTTTATGTTAGTAGAAATAATCTTCGATACATATTTATTTGCCTAAAAATTTGCTATCAGTACCAAAGTCATCCTAAGAGAGCTATCGAACCAAATTTTGTGAATATATGGCGGTGTTACGGATTATTTGAAAAGTATATTGATTGATTGATTGATCAATTACAGCTCTGATTGTCAGACACTTTCGAGTTTTTATATTAAATAAGATATTTCACAGTGAAATCACTGCAACAGACAGATACGTATGTTATCATTTAAATCACTTGAAGGAATAAGTTTAAAATAAGTTGGCTATACTATTCTTACGCTCGAGCTAAATCGATTTTGCAGAACTCTACTATTGAATGATTTCGACATCACATGTGATACTTTAGTCAAATAATTTGATCGATCATGAAGTTCACAAGAAAATCGTGTTTTATCATTAAAATCAAGTTCCATGGAAAACTACGCTAAAAAGAATGACTAATATTCGAATATATTTGTATGTCTCCAAAAATACTGCATTATAAATTAGATGAATAATTTGAAAGTTTGAACATATTAATGATTTGATATTATAAATATTATTTTATTTAGCAATCGAAGTAACACCAACACTTAACATTAAAGCTGATTTAGAAGAATTTCAAATAATAGTTGCATCAAAAGTAGCTCAGCTATTCGATGTTAAAGTTCAAGGTTCGATTTAATTTTTTGTTTAAATTCTTGCTGTAAATTTTCTATTTATTTAATTCAGGTGTTAACGCTGATATATCTCAAGCACCAAAATTGACAGTGGTCAATTTAATTCTTTCAGATGTACGTGTTTTTGATCCACATGAAGATGCACGTTATCGAAAAGTGAGGGAAAATTCATTGTAGACTTTTGTTTATGTTCATCAAATTTTCTAATTTGAAAGATTGTTTCGCAACAAACTGATTATAAAAAATTACTTCGTGTTACCGTATCTTTATTTGGTTATGATGATGACTACCAAAAACCGATCGATGTTGTTGATTGTGATGTTAAAGTTAAATTTGCTAAAGCAAATATTATTTTTCTGTTTAAACACATTGATGCGATTTTGGTAAATAGTTTCACAACAACAATAACAAAAAAAAGACTTTAATTGAAATTTTGCTTTTTGCTCTTAAGATTTTCCTTGATTCATTGAATATAAGTAAATCTACAATGGATTTAGCAGCAGCACAAGCTGATATGGCATTTGAACAAGTACACAAATTACAAGAACAAGCTTTTAAACTTCGTCTTGATGTAACATTTAACGCTCCAAATATAATTATTCCAACAAGTTCATGTTCCGATGAAGCACTGCTATTTGACTTAGGTCGATTAACAATAAATACACGTTTCTATGATGATCCGAAACGATCACTTGTTGAACAACAAAGCGTTCGATTTGAAAATGTTCGTGCCAGTCGTATTAAACTTGACCGAGAAAATCATATTCTTGGTGAAATTTTATTACTTGAATGTGCTGAATTAAATACATTAATTAATCGTTTACTTTATCCAGAAAAGAATCAGACAGAACCAGCCGTTTCAATCAAAGCTGAATGGGAATTAGTTCATGTATGTTTTGACAAATTTTATTCTCATCTCTTTTGTTTTGGAAATATAAATTTATTATGATTTTTTCAATAGTTTCAATTAGCAAAAGATGATTATTCTGGTGTGATGAAAGTTTTATTGCAAAATTTTACAGAAAATATTCGTGATCAACTATTAGAAAGTGATGAAATTAAAAAATATTACTATAGAGATGAAGAACAAGAAAAAGTAGAGGACGCTTCAAGAAATGCTGTTATTAAAAAACAGAGAGGTCTTGATTTTATTTATAAAAATAAATGATACAATGTATTCTTTTCTATAGATATGTACCACGATGATATATATCAAACAATTAAAATTCAAGCAGAAATTAAAAAATTAGCGTTGACACTTTATCTTGGAGAATCTAATTTGGTTTGTTCTTTATTCTTTTTTATTTAAAGATGTATTATGAATTGATTTCTATATGATTTTCAAATAATATGAGTTATAAATATTAGTTTTGATTTTAACCGGAGAGAAAATGTAAGGGCTATTTATCAAAGAGTATCATCTACTATATATTCATGACTTATTCATGACTTACTTGATCAACTTTTACAATAGATTTAAGAATAATAAAATGTGTCGTAAAATAATCTTCATTAGAACATTAATTTAGAGATGAATAGTTTTAATTTACTTACTACCAATCTGTCTACATAATGATATCGATATTCACAAAAGTATTCGAATAGGTCACTACGACGAGATATACCTTTGATAAAATTATTGCCTAGTCTTTTTTTAGCGAACACATATACTATCATAATAAGTCCTGTAGTCAATAGTATGTCGGTGGATCACTGTTCGATATTCACATAAATAGTAAACATAGTTATACTTTGATTATGTCAGATATTAGTTAGCATTGTTATTCTCTGTATGATTATTTCGATTCAGCTAATTCTAGAGATTATTAATTGATTGGTTTTTTCAAGCAATTCTTTGCTAGAACTAATTAATAATAAAACATCATTGATTATTAAATGCTCATATATGGATGTGTATTGGGAGATTTGAACCCGTGATATAAATCCTTCGTAGTTTATTGATTAAAGATTATCTTTTTATTAGCATTGTTTGATTTAAACTTTTGCTTTTTTTTAGACTGTGTGTCGCACTCTACGTGATGAAAAACTTAAATTAGCTAATGTTGAAATCAGTATGTTAGAAGTATTATTTTGTCAACGATCTGATCAAAGCTATAAAGCGATGGCTCGTGTTAAAAATTTGTTGCTTGATGATTTACGTGAAGCAAATAAAACATCAACTGTAAAACGTATGATCGATAGACATTCTAGAGTTGATCCGAATACTCATATGCTTATTGGTGCCTTTGAATTTAAACCGGCAAGTTCATCGAATTCGATGCCACTTCGATTATGTAAATAGAAAAACGAAAATCAAGATTTCTTTATTTTTTTCCAATTCAAAAAAACGTTTCTCTTTAAATTTTAAGTTAGCGCACAACTCGAAAGTCTTTATATATGTGTTAGTTTGGATTATTTAATAACATTACAAGATTTTTTTGTATCTGGTTTACTGATGGCGAGTAGTAATTATACATCAGGACCTGATACAACAATGTTGAATACTGAGCAACAAATGCTAACTAGCACAACTGAACTAGATAGAGAAAAAAATCTATCAAGAATATCTCAAAAATTAAGTGGAACTTTAAGTATAGTTCATCGACCTTCAACAACATTATCAAAAGGTATTTGATTATTTAGCGATTCTCGTTTTTCTTAAATATAAATTTATTCTTCATAGATCTTACACCTCAAACTCCATCTTCACCAATTACAGAGACAGACATTGAAACAAGAGTTGATATTATTATCAAAAATCCTGAAGTTATTTTACTTCAAGATCAAAATAATTCCAATTCGAATTGTCTTGTACTTGATGTAAATTTATCTATCAAATCAAAAACAAAATGAAATAAATAAGAAATGCTTTTTGTTTCTTTTTTTAAGTTAGATTTTCAAATGCGTATGATAACTGTTGGAGAATATACCAAATTACATGGTTGGTTGAAAGATTTAACAGTTTATTGTTCAAATTTTGCCCTACTAAGAGATGTAAACAATTTAGCTTCCAAAATAAAATATTGTGTAAATAAAGAAAAGATGGTTTACGTATTTTATTCTCATGTTTGTTGACTTTTATTAGATTTTACAACCGGCTAAAGCTGATGTTGTTATGATTATTGATAAAGAACAACAAAAAATTGATGTGCAAATTTCGGACATTATTGTTAGTATTGCACCAGCAGCAATTAGAACATTGATTGGTGTTACAAACTCGTTGGGAAAACTTCAAGTAGAGCAATAATTAAAAAAAGAAATTGTCATGTCTAATTTTTCTTCAAATCTTTTCTAGGCAACAGTTCAAGAAAATGAAAAAGTTAATATAAAAACATTGTTTAATCCTAAATCATTTAAGGATTCGAAATTCTGGTTTACTGAAGGTTTGACAAATATATTGTTGTTTTGTATAATCAAATCAGTCCATCCGTTTTCTGTATTGAAATAGATTTTGAAGAACAAGATAATCGATTAGAACTGATTGAAACATTAGAAACTGTAACAGGTTTACCATCACTAAATAAAACTACGAAAGAAGACGAAAAGAAAAGAAACTTACAAAAAGAAAATATGTCGTCAGTACAAAAGTCAATTTCACAACACGTAGGAAAAGTTCATCCAGGATACTGTTTTACAAGAATTTAATTTTTAGTTAATTTTAACTTTGAAAACGATCGAAATAAAACTTGAAATTGGTTCAGGTTCAATGACGAAATCTGTCGCTGCAATGTGTGCATCCAAGTTAAATGTTGATGCTAAAAATTGGTCATCAATAGTATGAATTGCAGATGTTATTTGTTTTTATAAAACATTCTATTTCTATATTTAGTTTACTCTTTCATCAACTGTCAATATAGAAGCTGCACTATTCAATGAATACATGCTTGCCTGGGAGCCGCTTATCGAACCAATAATTGATTCTACTCGAGCTATTCTTTCACCTTGGTGTATTGCATGTTCTGTTGTACCTGTAAGTCTTGTGTCGGAAAAAATATTTTTTTTTGTCATCTAATATTTCAGGAATCTAGTGTTTACATTTAATTGATTGATCTGACTAACTTAGAAAAAAGGGGAATATTCTGTGTAATTATTCGAGTATTAATTGAGATGTATCGGCAACTATGAAAATATCCTAATGTTTTGTTAAGTTTAAATATTTCTCAACATAGTTGATTTTTCGTTTTTACTCGTTAAGCTTTTTTCTACTTTCTTCTATTAATTAATTAAAGCTAATCATTGTCAAGACGGAATTCAAACATTCCCCTTCAATGAATGTATAGATACTTGAAAGAACTGATCATTCGTTTGAATGAAACTATTACAGTTATAAAAATAATACAAGCCGAATGATTGACTAGAAGAAAACAGAAGTTTTTACTCTTTATGAAATTCTATTTTAATCTTGTCAATAGATTGCTTTTCTTTGAGCTGCAATTAGAAAGTTTACGTGACAATTTGTTCTTTAATATAATAATTTCAATCGAAAAATAAAAGATATTTTGATTTCACATGATAATTTATAGTTGAATGATGAAAAACTCGACGAGATTCGAAGTATTTACAAAGTATGTTGCTATTTATTGGTGCGAGGATTTGTCGCGAAGTTGTTTAATGCCAAACTAATCATAATTAATAATGCTTGTAAAATAATATAGCTAATAAATAGAAAACTATTTTTTCTATTGAAAGGCATTACCAGTACGAAATATTGGATTAGCTATAATGAATGAACAAGAACAGAAAGAACATATCTCATCGTCCAATTTGAAACAAATAATATCTATTCGCGCTGATCAATTACTTAATATAACAATAACAAAAACTGGTCTTGATCTAATTAAACATATATATGATTTATTTACTGATGCTTATAATGAACGAATACCACTGAATATTGATGATTATGATGAATCCATGTTATCTTTGTGTAACGCAACAGGAAAAGAAGTAATGATTGATAATTTAGATGGTATTGAGGTAAATTTCGTGTCGTACACCTTTTCCTCCTCTCTATTGATTGTTTCTTTTCATTTAACAGTTTATTGGAAATAGATTATCAACATCAACTAATATAAAATACAATGAATCTATTTCATTAATTACACTAACTGAACGTCAGTCAGCAGCTAGATTATCAGTTATTGCAGAACAAAATTCTAAAAGACGACAAGAATTATCTGTGAAAGTAAAATAACTTATTTCAATTATTTAAAAATTGTTTTCGATTTTGGGTTTTAGATTGGCAACGTTACTAAAACAGTAAGCTTAAATCGAAGTTGGAAACGTGTTTATGATTTAGGTCCATCGAGAAATGCAGATTGGCCAATTCAAATGCTTTGTGATGCACAAATACGAAATGATCGTCGACATGTTATTCTTGGTTCCATTGTGAAAATTTGTAATAATACAATGATGCCATTAGTACTGTTAAATATAAATTCATTTGATACAACAAAAAATTATAAAATTGCAAAAATTAATGTTAACGATGAGTATTATGTACCCATTCATTTACTGTATACGTATTCAATTTCACCGATATTTTTGGGAATTGACGAGTAATAAGACTATTAGATCGGTTGTTTATTTGAAAAACTCTTCGTATGTTTTTTTTTGTATAGAAATAACAACAATGATGAAATCAATGATTTTTTCTCGTTCAATTGGCAAACAGAAGTTTCAGAAGAAAAAAAATTAAAATTGAAAAATGGAAATGAAGCACATTTTACTGTAAGAAGTTTGAATTAAAATTTAATTTTCACTCAACAACTTATTTTGAATTCGTAGATTTTCAAAGAAGTCACTGAAGCTTATCTCGAAAATAGTGATCAGCTTGGTCGATCTAGTTTTAGTCTTTATATTCATCCAGCTCTTCATTTAGTCAATCTTTTACCAATGAATATTCAATGTTCAATTGACGTAAGTGACAAAAAAATGAATTAAAATTTCTCGGTTAGATTTCTGATATTACAATTCTATATACTATATGACATGAAATAATTGCTTATTTTCTAGTATATCATATTTGATCACGAATGTGATCTAAGTTTGGGTGTGAAAAATACACAATACCTGAGAGCTTTTGAAAACGAATACTCTTTTTTTTCGTACCGAATTTTATTTTATTATTTATTCTTTATATTAATGTATTTTTAGAATATTGAACAAATTACTATGAAACCAAGTGAAGTGTATCTGACTTCTTCCGGCAATAGATATTCCACATTAATCTTCACTGTATACTGTTTTTTTTCGTCATACTTAAAAGAAAATTTGTTATATTTTCAATTATTTAGATTCCATCCTATGTTAATGCAAGTTGGGTATCAGAACCAGTTAATTTAAAAGTGGAAGGGACAGATGATCATAATGAACATCATATTGTGTTTCATAATAATACTCGTACTCGATCTCAAGAAAAATTGGTAAAAATCTAATATTTACTTTTGAAAATGTAGAATAATAATTTTTTAATCAATAGCAAATGTATTTACGTTCTGATTTATTTCAAACAACAGATCGTTTGTCATTATATTCACCATTTTGGATTCTTAATCGTACTGACTTGAAACTTGAATTTCAAGTAAAAGATGATAAATGTTCATTCTTCTTAATTTATTTTTGATTTATCTTCTATAGATCGAAGATCATATTACATTTATCGGAGTTGCCGAAACACCAGTTTTAGTTTGTTCACAACCTTTTGATAATCACGCCAATAAAAAGGTAACTATCACATTTAAAATAAAGTAAAGACAATATAATTATCAAATAGGGGCAAATTCGTCTTTGTACTACTGTACAACACGATATTGTAGCTGATTGGTCAGAGAAATTTTCACTAGATGTTATTAAAAGTACTGGTTTTGCATCTTCTAAAGTTGACAATGATCGAATCTATATGGTAAATCAACAAAATTTAACAAAAAAGAAGAACTATATAAGTTCTATCATGTAGATTTGTGTTGATATTGCAACGTCATCTTTTGGTTTCACAAAAATAATTACATTTTCACCAGCCATAGTTATCATCAATACATCAACTGTAGATTAGAAAATCGATTCTCTTTGAAATTAAATTCGATTTATTTATTTAATTTGATTTTTAAAAGGTTCAAATTGAAGTAGTAGAAACAGTATCGAATAAAGAACAAGATAAATGGGAACAACTTAATCCCGATCAAGTAAAAACCTCCTTTTTATATCGTCTCTCATTTGGAACTCTATTTAAGGTAATTCCATTTTGGCCACATAATATAAAAGATGGACTGATGCAAGCTCGTTATACAGATAATCGAATAACATCAGTTCCATTTCTAATCAATCAAAAACATCGAACACTTTTACGTATGGAAGATGAAGAACGCCCAGCAATTCATGTTGAGGTCACAGCAACTGACTTTGATGGTGTACGAATTATTTTTGGAGATTACAGAGTTGGCGATGCACCTATTCTTGTTGTGAATTGTCTAAAAACCTATCCTATTTCTTTTTGTCAAAATGATGATGAGTAAGTGATTTAGTTTTTAAATGAAATTTTACATATCCTTTTTATTCCATAAAAATAGACGAACACAAGTTGTACCACCACAAAATTATGTGTATTATACATGGTTTAATCCATTAAAATTAAGAGAATTAATTGTTTCTTATGATGCAGAAAACACAAAGGTCGACCTTACTGTAAGAACATCTAATTACTCATTTTCTAGTATTATTTACATTAGCATCGCGTTTTTCTTCTAAATTATTTCGATATATTTTATAAAGTTTAGATATAATACTATAATAGTTAATTCTTTTTTTTTTTAATATTTATTTTCACAATTACAAACGTCTTTAATCTATTTCACACTGTATATTTGTTACTAGTACCAGCAGTTAATTATAGTAATACACCTGAGTAAGATTAAATCGTACTTGTCTAATCGAGTATAAACAAAGAATCGTGTAGTCTATAAAATATTAAACGATTTGCATTATCGAGACAGAGAATATGTAAAACGAATGAAGGACATTAGATAGTTAATATCAGTATCCTTGAAATAAGATTATTTCGAAATCTGAAGCGATAATAGAAATATTTACATACGGATTAATACGAGATTGATCTTCCTTGTATCTATACTATTCATCGATAAATAAGATTCAGTCAGACAAGTGATCAACAAAGAGACATTAATATTTATTGAGCGTACATATTTTAACCTATGTACATACCTTTTTTAAGTGTGAAAATGTAAGCTTTTAAACGAACAAAAGATCATGTTTGTTTTCGTTCCTTGTCCATTTGAACAATCGTGCATGTATTATCAAAAAATACGATTTATTTTCCTAACATGAGATCGTGGATTTTTTTAAATTTTAGTAAAATGAATCTTTTGTTTATGACTAAGTGAAATGTTTTGATATTCGTATCATGCTATCATTCTACTTATCGATGCATTCAGTAACTTAAGTCTGATAACAATAGTTTAGTGGTTACATGACTTGACATACATGTCGCAAGTACTGTGTTCGAATCTCGACACTATCTCATTTCTGTTTACAGCTCAGAATTGAAACTATAATTTGAATAGAGAGTGTATTGATATATTTCAAGTCGCTATAAATCACTTGTCGAGACCTGAAAAAACATACACTGATTCTTATGTAGCTATATAGAAACTAATATATTTGCATGCTCACTCTGTGTTCCGTTTATTCAATCGAATGGAATCCAATTTTCTCGCATGCTAAAGAAATTCATCCATGGAAAATAGAATTCATTAAATAGATTGATACTCATTTAATGAAGTATCAATCTTTCATGTCTGTTTTCTACAAAACAATTGATTTAAAATGATTTTTTTTTGTTTTTGTTCATTTTAATGATGCGCGTTTGAATATCAACAATCTTTTAGCCTCAATGTGGATTAATCAAAAAAGATGGTGATCATATTATCAACTATGCGATATTTATGGATGGTGTTCAAACTGTTTTACTCATTTCTGATAATGCAAAAATCATCGAAGCAGCTTCGGGAGTAAATAATTAATATGCTTTTCTTTCTAAATGTAGAGAAAGAAAAAACAATTTCTAATAAATTTAGATATCAGCATTGGTTGAATCAATGTATCAACGCCTGCAAATTGGTATGCATGATATTGGTGTATCTATTGTTAATGATATGACTGGAGAAGAAATTCTTTACATAAGTATAAATAAATCAAAAGTTATTTGGACAGAAATAAAACGAGCTCGTGTTCGACCATTACCAAATGATATTAATGCAAGCTTAGAAAAACTTTATAAAACTCACGTTGAAGCATGTGAAACTAATCCAGATGATAAAAATCTTTCTAAAAAGAGCTATTATATGAAAGATTTTCAAGTATAATTAATTGATTTCGTTTTTTTTCTGTCTAACAAGATTATTTATTTATTTATTTATTTATTTATATTTAAAAAGGAAATATTATTTGATAAGAATACGGCTGCGTTAACGAACTTAAAACGACAACAAGTATTCGCTAAACGACAAACATTAGATGGTCTTTGGATTGAATATGCATGGTCGGCAACGAGTGCTGCAGTACATTTACGTATTAATCGTATACAAATTGATAATCAACTTGATTATACACTATTTCCTGTTGTTATTTATCCAATCGCAGTAAAAATAGATGGTATTGCTCTGCCTGGCAAAGCATTCATTGAATTAAGTGTTTATGAATCAAAAACAAATCGATCAAATGTAATGCATTTTAAATATTTTAAATTACTTGTTCAAGAATTTGCTGTTAAAATTGATCAGGATTTAATTATTTCAATTTTAGCATTTCTCAAATCCGATGAGGTTTGACCTATGTTTATTTTCTTCTTTCGTTGTTTCACATTTTATTTACCATAGATTACAGCAGCGCCAACACTCCATATGGATACCGACTTGAAACAAATACAAAAACCACTGAGTGCTCTTATTAAAGCACAAATAGATAGTCCATCTGGTGAAATAGAAATGTTTTTTGATAATATTCATCTATCACCTATTAAAGTATGAAGAATGACAATTTTGGCGTTTGTTTTTCGTGTTTACATAAAAATGGTTTATTTAGATTTCTATTAGTTTTTCCATGCAAGGAACAAAACCAAGTAAAGAATTATTAGCTAACTATCCATTAGTTGGCTTTTTATTACGAACATTAAATGTTGCCGAAGTAGAAGATGTTATCTTACGGTAAGAATCATGAAAAGAAATTGTACAAAAAAAATTGCTTAAGATTTTAATTATTTAAAGATTTATATAGAGAGTTTCCTAATTTTTCACAGGTTGGGTTATTATGAACAAGCACATGGTCGATATACAATAACAAAACTAGCAAATGAAGTTTCATCTCACTATCAAAATCAATTTATGAAACAAGTACATGTACTTGTACTTGGCCTTGATGTACTTGGAAATCCTTTTGGTGTTATTCGTGGTATTGCTGAAGGTGTTGAATCACTTTTTTATGAGCCATATAAAGTAAAAATAATTATATAAACTCATATTTCTTTATGTATTTTTGTTTTGTTTTGTTTTTTCAAGGGTGCAATCGAAGGTCCACTAGAGTTTGCTGAAGGTGTAGCAACTGGTGTTCGAACATTATTTGGTTCAACTGTGGGTGGTACTGCTGGTGCTTTTTCGAAAATAACTGGTGTCTTTGGAAAAAGTTTAGCTACATTAACACTTGATGAAGATTATAAAGCGTCACGTATAAGACGAAAAGAACCAGCAAGGAGAGCAGCGACTGATATTGCTGCTGGAGGGAAAAATGTTGTTATGGTATGATTGAAAATATTTTATTAGATTTATAACTATATTTTCATTTTTCTACTCTAAAGGGTTTCGTCGATGGTGCTAAAGGAGTTGTAACTAAACCTGTATCGGGTGCGAAAGACAATGGTGCTTTTGGCTTTGCTAAAGGTTTAGGAAAAGGGTTTATTGGTCTTGTGGCGAGACCAACAGGTGGCGTTGTTGATTTTGCAAGTACTTCATTGGATATAATTAAACGGTAAATGATAAGAAAGTTGTACAATTTAATTTGTTACAATTGAATAATTTAGAAAGGCACAACATGAAAAAGTATTACGTTGTGTTCGTTATCCACGTCAAATTGGTCGTGATGGTCTTGTTCGAGTTTACATTGCTCATGAGGCTATGGGATTTTTCATTTTGAATGTAAATAAATTTATCGTTATTTGAAAAATTCTTATCCTTTCATTTATATTTATTGTAGAGATTACACGAAGGAAAATATACAAAATCGGATATCTATGTGGCACATATAACTTGTTCAGAAACTCCACTTGCTTGGTTACTGGCAACATCGAAGTAAAAATTGATTTATAAGTTTTATTAGAATCAATCGTTTTCTTGTAGACGTTTATTATTTGTTACGGAAATTTCATTTCTTGGTGTATTTGAAGTTGATTGGGAAATGGAATATGAAGAGTTAAAAGAAGAACCAGTTATAAAACCAAATTTAGGTCAAATACAAATATTGACAAAAGTATTTAAATGAAGCAAAACAAGGACGTGTATATTTGATTTGCTTTTTCTTTTGAAGGAACCAAAGAAAGCGGGGAAAATTAGATCAGCTGTCTCTTATGGGAAAATGGTGAAATATCGAAATACACCAGAAGCTCGAGTAAAATTGTTTTCTTTTTGTTGTCTAAAGCTTTACATTTCTTTTAGTATATTGTTGAAAAAATAATCTATGAGATGCATTCAGTTGGTCTTTGAAGGAGAAGAAGAAGAAGAAGAAGAAAAAGAAGAAGAATCTCTTGTATTTTTCTCTATTTAATCCAGTATCTGTTTTATTTTATTTTTTTGCCTATTGTTGCGTTTAAAATTAAGATATTAATCAATTATTGTCTATTATTGAGCAATATATTTTCAAATTATCTTTTAAGAAACTAATCGGTAACATAAACACCTGTTCTTTCATTTTATATGCTTAAATTCTATTTTTGTGCTCTATTTTATTTTTACCATAATATAAACACATACATCTATGTCATATAAAAAAGTATCTTCTTTTGTTTTTAAACATATATATATATATTAATGTTTGTGCCCATTTATTTTGGGTGGTTTATTTTGAAATAAATACGAACTTTTTATGTGTATGAATAACGAACAAAAAAATCTTTCTCATCTTGATAAAAGTTTATCGACATTGTTTGATTCATAAAAATGACAAGTTTTAATTGTGCTTTTGGTGATAAAGACAAGCGCAAGGACAATTCTCCTATAAATCATAGTCAGCTAGGTTCCTCTTTTTTCTGTGTTGTATTTTATATGTTTGATATGATTTTAAAGAAAACCTTGATAAAATACTGATTATATTAACGGGATTGTATTTCACAAGGTTCATTCAATTACTTTTCTTCTTATCGTTCAATTCACAATTTTGTCGATGACTGTGCAATGAATAAATCAATCGATATGAAATCAGATCCGAATTATTTTTATTTTAATCAATAGCACAATCTTTTCATCAATTGAATAATCAATGGTACTTGAATAAAAATGTAAAACGAATCGATCTTGGCGTCAAGTATCTTATTATATTAGATTATCCTCCTTTATGTTTCACATAATAATTATACAATTGGAACAATTCATTTGTTGTATATATATTAATAGTTGTTTATTAAGCTTGATATTGAATAAAGAATTTTTATGTTGCAAGAAATTAATTTTCTATTTCTTTCAAGTTAAAAAAAAACAAAAACATGGTTCTAAGTAATATTGATATATTTATTGATGAGGCACAAGGAAGAAGCAAAAAGTATATTTTCATCTTTTTTGCTAATACACTATTAATATGTACAGAAAAATTGTTTGACAATCGAATTTAATTGTTTTCCCTGTCAGATTATGTAATAGCGTACGAATTAAATAAAAAATACAGTATTCAAGTTTTTCATATTGCTTTATATCTACGAGTTACCAGTCTTTAATTATGTGGCGATGATCAATGTTCTCATCGATGTTGTCTTGTAATCGTCTTCTTTTTGTCAATAAGAATCAACAGAAAAAAATTGACATACAAAATTGAACCTACTTGATTGAACTTCTACGAACTCTCTCTCTCTCTCTCTCTCTTTCTCTCTCTTTCTCTCTTTCGTTATTCTTTTCATCGGTAGTTGAAAGTACCAATATAAGCGAATGCATATAGCTACACATGAAATTTATGAATGAACAACATAAAAGCTAAGCATCAAACAGCGCACTTGTTGATCTTTTTTCTTGCAACATTTACTGACTTCGATGCCATATATATTTCGGGCTTCTATGATGAAAACAAATTTGAGAAGCAATAGTCAATCATGTAAATTTAAAATGTTTATCAAAGTATTTTCTAATCGAACTCTGGTGTTCTGAAATATGTTTCATCAATATTTAAGGTAGAAACACAATTAATAATGTTTATTTTTTCGCATCTATATTATTTATTTTAAATAAAATGTATTTCTTTAATTTTCTTTCTATTTACCTGGTTGTTGTAAATATTATTGCGTTTGAATATTGTTCGCTCGTAAAATTAATAATAATTGCACCATGATAATAGTAATGAAATACTCAGGTGTTTTTCTCTCTTCTATTACTTTGCTGTACCATATTTCTATAAGGTCACAGAGTCCTGTGACTTTTCTGTATAAATTTAATACACATGTCCATGTAGTTCTTATGGTTGTTGTTGTTGTTGTTGAATAAAAAAATATCTTTATAATACGCCTCATCAATTTCTCATTCGACGCCTACAATTCTCTTAAAATTATGATAGGCGTGCATTTTTATATGATCATAAATAAATGAATCAGTTTCTCTTCGCATAGTTTTCAATTTTTATACGTGCTTTTATTGATTTGGTAACCGAACGATGAAATATTTATACATTTATGATAAAGTGATCAAAAAGAAAAATGAAATAGAACTCCAGTCTTGTATTCAATTAGTTGATAGCATATACGTACCTTTTGCTATCTTATGAATGATCAAGCACAATGCACAGGAGTGTAAAAAGTGCTATGCCTGATGGCCAAGTTCAAGATTGAAGAACTCCTTATTTGTATTGCCTATAATTATTAAACTTGAGATGCATATAGACAGAGCAAACAAATATGTAGATATAATATTAAAGACAACGATCGAAACATGATAACAGAAGAGGACTATACTTGTCTGGTCGATATATTGGTTATGTCATCATGATTGACTGAGTGTCTTTTTCAAAATTTTCATCATCATCATCATCATCATCATCACCACTACTACTGTTGTCATTTGTTTTCTAGATGAGATGTTTTCGCACTCGTCAAATATACAAGAGAAACTGTATGTGTATGTGAGTAGGTCATTCGTTCAAAATCAAAATATGTTATGATGACGATTGATTTCACACTTGATATCTCGTCGTTTGTTCACACTTTTCAATTGATATTTCTCATCGAATATTACCAACGAAAATCAATTGAACAAAAGAGACAGTACATCATTTCGCCGCCTTACTACTCGTCTCTTTTCTCTCTTTGTCTTCTTCATCCATCACTAATGTACTAGATGAAATACTAAAGAAAAGAGAAAAAAAGAAAGAACAAGCGCGTATGTATGTACGCACGAAAGGAGAACGATGACGAGAGAAGAGAGAGTGTATGTAATTTTCTTGTTTGATTCTCTCTTTTATTCTATACGACTTTTTTTTATAAATAGCAAAAGACACACGTAAATCTTCTTCTCTCTTATTTCATGTTCGTTATGACACATTTTCTGATCAAAGATTCGCATCTATTTTAGCCTCGATTATATACTATTGTGGCCCTGGGATTGTGTGTAGGTGTATTTACGCCAAACATGTTTTATTTTCTTGTTTGGTTGTCTCCTATTCCAGTATCGGCTGATCAATTATCACTATTACAGTTATAATAATGTTATTTCAAATCCCTTTGACGAATGGATGGCAAGAAGACTGATTCTTCTGTTCATACTAGCTGCCAGTCTTTCCACTGTGGTAAGAAAGAACTTTTAAGATGGCAAGATATCGCTTTGATTTCTTTATCAGTTTGTTGTGTTGTTGATTTATAAGAGTCTTTCCAATTTTCTTCTGTTTTTCTTCGGCTCACTGCACATGAACTCGATCTAATTTGAAGACTACCATTCATTTCTAATGAGATATCATACATATGATAACATATCAGAGTACGATCTTCAACAATTTTTATATAACCATGATGTATAACTTCGAGTTTATATCTGTGAATTTCTGGTTGTTTGAAAGAATTACGTTTTGCAAAACGATAAAACTCATATGCTAATCGTATTGAATGAAGATCAGTACGAATTATTGATGAATAGATTTTAATCGCTTTAAGTTTCATAAGCATGATCATAACAGAAAAATATAATCATTTACTTCCTTTTTTCTGCCTTTTCTGATATTATATTTAATAGATTTTTCTTCCAAATATTCATGTTAGAGTATATTATGATATTTGAGTAGTAGAACACAAATATTTGAATTAAAACTAGGAGAAAATTATCATCATCAGTGAATACAATCGGCAGATAGACATACATACTTCAGTTAGTGCTTTTTTCTTCTTCATAGAAGTAATGCATAAAGAAGCATAACAACTCAACAGCAAAAAAAAGAAACAGATTATTCACATTCTACTTGAATACTTAATTAAAATAAAGATCCGCAGAGAATGTTTAATTTTTTTATGTATCACATCTATGATGATCTAGTACGTCAGACTGTATCGAGACTTAATAGTAGTAATGACAATGATGATGATAGAGAGATATCTTTATTTTCATTCTTATTCGTTACAAACAATTGAGTACGTCTGTGTAAATATATGCATATTCTATCTACTTCATGATGACTATAATTATATGATAACAATGTTCAATCTTTTGATAGATAGCTCGTTTTTGTTCCATGTGAGTCGATATTTTTGTTGTTTTTTCTTGTTCTTGTACTACACAAACATACTGACAATGAGGGATTATCAACTATACTTCGTTTGTCGACAACGTTTGTTTGCATTTAATTGCCTTTTGTATGCATAGAAATAGCATCAGCATCAGCAACAACGATGACAACACAGGTGTGATTTGACGACTAAGAATACTATGTCAAGAATGTGCGCGTGTTTGTATGCATTAGCTGTTCTCTTAATATGAGGCATTCATAAGTAACAGAAAATGTTTTGAATACCGGCAACAAGATGATGTTATTAATGTTGTTGTTTTAAGACATAGTAAAAAATGACTTTCATGAAAGCAGTCATATTCTTCTTGTTCTTTACATGGTTAATGATGACAGAAACCGATGATAAAGATCGTAAACAATCTATATTATTATATCAGTGGCACTAAGTATTTGATACGAGATAGATTACATCAGCGATGTAATTTTACTCGCAATCTTTCTCAATTGTTCAGTTCACTGGTAGAATTTATTAGTAAAAATAAAAGTTCATCATTGATTCGATTGTTTTCAACTAATAGTTTCATTTATGAAATTAAATGAAAATAAAAAGAGTTACATCATGCTTATACGTACATATGTAATGGCTATTTCATCTTGATAATGATGGCTGTGAATAATTGCCAAAAAGTAACGATGACAGAGAGAACAAGAATAAAAATAAATAATATATTGCAAAAGAAAATGTAAAATAACGCGAGTCAAGAATTGAAAATATTAATATAAAAAAAAATATCTGAATAAGAAATGAGAAATACATCGATAGGAAAATAATTGAATAGTTTGTGGTGTAAGATTATAAATTTTCTTTTCTCATATAGCCACTATTTTCCTTGTCTGCACCCATACTACCTGTTGAACAAGAGCATTTATCATCCTATATTCAATATAAAATTGACGGCAATCATCACTATCGACCATCGTTAGTTAGTTTTGTGCATCGACAACCTGACGGCTCTCAATTAGCTACGATACGTTACTATCGGATTGTGTTTCATTGTAATATTTTACCTGGTTCTCTCTATCTTCGATTTTCTAAGACGAAACCTTATCGTACTATTGTACAAAATCGACAAGATCCTTCAAGTAAGTGACTTGTTTTTATTGAAGTTTTTGTTTTGAAAGGTTCTAAATAAATTTCTTTATAGCTATTTTCGGTTTTCGATCAGTGGGTGCATATAGCCGTGTTCAAATTCAAAATCATGTATCTGGTCTATGGTTATGCATGAATGAACAAGGAAGAATAGTGCCAAAAGTATATTATTGTATTTGAAAGTTTATGCTCTCTAGAATAATATTTATTTTTCAGTCAAATATTAGCGTGGATAATCTAGCTTGTACATTTCGTCAAAACTCAGATGGACCCTATTTGAAACTTATCTCTGAACTTTATCCTTCACGTCAAATGTTCTTTAATACGCTTCGTCTCCTATCATTAAATCCTATCCTACGCCATCGTTATGCTCAATATATGAATTATGGTAATGAGTTCTTCAAACGTGAACGATGTAATAGATTCATGTTCGATAGTCAAATCGACAAAGCATTATTCAATAAAACAAAAGATCCATTTCTTCGATTGAGACATTAATTAACATTCGTTTTGAGCAGAAGAATGGCATATAATCAATTTTTTCCTATTTTTATGGCTCAGTCAAATGTTTCTGTTTCTCTTTTTTTTATTTATTTATTATAAATTGTGCTATGAATTATTCTCTCGCTCTTTCGCAAACGCGCGCTTGGTGCTTTGTTTATATATTGTAGTTTTCCTTTTTTGCTTCGTGTCATTTTGTTGAATTATGAATGTTAGATCCTTTTTTTGATTAAACAACAAAGTAACTGTTACAGTTAATAGTTCAAAAAATTGTCTTTTTTTTGTGAAAAATATCAAGATTTATCAAAATCAGAGTTTGTATAGAAAGAAAAATTCGTAGCATAGTTAACGTTGCAATATTCTTTATTCCATTGCAAAGAAAAACATTATTAACATGTATACAGCACAAAATTTTAGTTTCAGAAAGTCTAAATTAGTGAATTTTTATGTCTAATTCTATTCATTCCTCATGGATGAGCTACGTTGCTTTGAAATTGTTTTGTGGTATTTCGAATATATGGCTGTATTTTTAATATCACTAATAAATTTTGAGTTAAACATATTCCTTCAGAAACGAAATCAATACGATGTAACAGTTAATAAATACTAATAATTCGATGGGTGTAACTAAGGAGAACAGATAAATTGTTTTATTTTTGGTTTTGAACAATATTAAATAAAACACAAATTTTCAATATATACATAAATCATTAGAATCGGCTTGAATTTCAGAAATCATATTGTTGTAGCACTCATTCAATATTCCTATGAATAGGTAACCAGTTCTGTTGATTTTGTTTGACAAAATCAATCGTATTGATTCTTTTGTTATTCTATTCAATCAATTGAATTCACAATCATTTAAATGTACCATTATGTAATTGATGTTAAAAGATTACCATAAGATCATATATGCTACTTTGTTGTAGGTATTTTTACTCGAATTCATTTATAAACCATTGCATTGCTTCTCATTGCTAAATCTATTGATGTCAAAACTTCTAGAAAGAATGCTAATACTACTAAGTATTTATATTGCATTCAGTAGTCTCAAATAATTCATAGTTTCTCACACGATACTACAGCATTTAATTAGATTGTGACTTCCCACACACTAGAAGGTGAGTTTGTGTCACTAGGTGAGATAGATGTGAAGAACAGACCTATGTCGATAATCTCAGTCGGCGTAGCATAAGCATCAAGTAGTGAAGCAATCTTACAATGGAGGTACTTGCACTGTCCGTGAGAAAAACGGGGTATGTTCGAACCAAATGAAAGCTCTCATAGCCAAACTAACAAGGTTAAAATATTAGCTGCTATTGGCGTGCTTAGACTGAGATGTTCGATTTTTCAGTGAATTTTCTCTACAGGACCGGCTTTCCCAGCAATATCATATTTTCGAATTTGAACCTGAAACTATGTATGCATGAAGGTCTCAAGGAGACTAGCTTACAGAAAAAAANCGAAGAGAGTTTTTCCAAAGCTTCTGATTTTTTTTTCTGTAAGCTAGTCTCCTTGAGACCTTCATGCATACATAGTTTCAGGTTCAAATTCGAAAATATGATATTGCTGGGAAAGCCGGTCCTGTAGAGAAAATTCACTGAAAAATCGAAAATCTCAGTCTAGGCAAGCCAATAGCAGCTAATATATTTTAACCTTGTTAGTTTGACTATGAGAGCTTTCATTTGGTCCGAAAATACCCCGTTTTTCTCACGGACAGTACAAGCATCTCCATTGTTAGCTGAAGTCAGTGTGAGTATGTTATATACTCAATATTAGATAGATCAAAAGCCGAAACACGACGTTTCTTCCTTGCTTAAGGAACTCATCGGGCATCTTCAGGATTTAATATTACGTAGAAAAAAATAAGAATATCAGATGATACCAATGCAATTCAACAGTTAAATTTAATATAAGAACCTAAAACTTTGAACAATAAAGGTCAAACTTGAACTGATTTCTATATGATATATAAAATAAAAACTTTTATTCATATCGTAACAACACTAGAAGGATGTGGTACTTATTTTCACTAGTTTCAAAACACAATGGGTTGTTTAGCCGTTTTCTATCAGCATAGATCATATATCACTGCAGCTTATCATTATATCGATGCATCTTCTTCGATGAAAGAGATTATACGTTAACATCCGTGAAGTTATTTATCATAATACAATCAGATACCTCAAAGTTTTACCACTTTCCTACATTTCTATCAATCATATATGCTACATATCTATAGATTTGAATGAATTTAGACTCCGTTGTCTTTACTATGGCCGTCAATTCCCATGATTTATAGAAAACTGAATGAAAATGTAGATTGAACAACTTACTGATTGATTAAGGAGAATAGCCAAGGGGGAAATAGCAGACTTTTGAACTTCAAGTTACTTCAAGTTACTTTGAGCTACTTGGATGGTACTTTGAGCTACTTGCCTGATACTTTAAACTACTTTAAGCTACTTTAAGCTACTTGAAGGTACTTTGAGCTACTTGACGCAACGCCATGCTGCTTGAAGCTTCTAAGTTATAGCTTGATCTTCTCAGCTAGGGATGCAATGGCGGTGATAACCATAAGTACGGTTACACCGTCCCTAATAGATTCAACCCGAGTTGAGCATTGCGCAGTGCTGAGAAAATTTCCTGTTTTGACGTTGACTGTAAAGAAAGTGGTTTCGGAGAAAATATCGATACGTTATAACGGTTGAGGAAGAAAAGTCGGAGCTGGGCAGGTCAAGTCTGAGGTCCATTGGCCTTGAAAACCCATTGGTGGTCGAAAACCAATAGGAATCGAGTTTTCAGAAAGATGGATTTCTACACATAATTTGAGACCGTGAGTTCGAACCTGAGCTCCATTTGTCCCTAAATCCTATTGGTTGATCAGGAACCAATAGGAATCAAGCTTTGAGAAAAATGGATTTCTAGTGGTAATTCGAGGCCGNGCTGGGCAGGTCAAGTCTGAGGTCCATTGGCCTTGAAAACCCATTGGTGGTCGAAAACCAATAGGAATCGAGTTTTCAGAAAGATGGATTTCTAGTGGTAATTCGAGGCCGTGAGTTCGAATCAGAGACGAGCGCAGGATAAGGTTTTCTGTCCTGTTCTGTCCTGCTAGCTTCTCGGTCCTGGCGGCCGGCAGGGCAAGACGAAGATCAAACTTCGTCCTATCCTGTTTTGTCCTGCTAACTTTTCTGTCCTGATGGGTGCAGGACTGGACAAAAATCGAAATCTCACACTGTCCTGCAGGACAGGACGCCAGGACCGCCCTGTCCTATGCCCATCTCTGATTCGAATCTAAGCTCTGTTTTTCTCGCAATCCTATTGGTCGACCAGAAGCCAGTAGAGATTTCGATTTTCAAAAATATGGAGCTCGCATGTACCAACTCCACGACTCGAAATACCCCTAGAAAACCGCTCTCCTGAAAACTCGATTCATATTGGCTACTGACTCACCGATAGGATTTCGTGCTGAATATAACTCAAATTCGAAGTCTCCGTCTGAAATTAAACCTTGAAAAACGTTTTTGTTAAAAACTTGATTCCCATTGGTTCCAGATCCATCAACACTACGTTGAGCTAATGGAGTTCAGATTCGAACTCCACAACTCGAAATACCAATGGCGAGCCACTTTTCGAAAATCTCGATTTCTATTGGTTCCTGATCAACCAAAAGGATTCCGAGACAAAAGTAGCTCATATTCCGAAACCCACCTTGAATTACTCGTAGAAATCCATTGTTATGAAAACCCGATTCCTTTTGGTTTTCGGTCGGCAGTAGGTTTACGAGGCCAATAGTGCTCAGTATCGGCCTAGTCGGCCCCGACTCCGCTTTGTCAATCTTTAAAAAGAAAACATTCCTTTACAGCCAACATCAAATTAAGAATTTTTTATGCACTGCGTCACTGTTTAACTTGGTTTGAATCTATGACGAACAGTGTAACCATACCTACGATTATCGTATTGAGACCGATAACCGTAGATACAGTTATCGCAGCAGATTGATAACCGTCAGCGTTGCATCCCTGTTCTCGATACTTTATTGTACTTGATAGTACTTCGGAAGACTTTGATGATACTTGACTGGTACTTGACTGGTACTTGGTGGTACTTGACCAGTACTTTACGAGCACTTTACGGGCACTTTATGGTACTTGAAAGGCACTTGAATGTACTTCGAGCTACTTCTACGTACTTGAAGTTACTTGAGGTTACTTTTCTACTTTGGTGTACTTTTTTACTTCAAGTCTACTATTTCCCCCTTGAGAATAGCGAATAGCTTGAGTTATCGATTTTCGTCTGGAAAGTCAAGCAATGCTGTAGCATTGTTGTTTGTCATAAGAGTTAATGTTATGCTATTACGATTAATTGGATACTTGAAATAGTTTTATATTAAGAAAGAGGAACTGGATGTAAGGCTATTAATAGAAACCTGTTATATCGTGTTGTCCTTTCATCTTTTACTAAATGAGCAGTTCGCGTTATAAATTCAAAGAAAAAAAATGATAAAAGTCGAATATCAATGAGTTTAAGATGGAAACCGCTAGAGTGTAAGGTTTCTCTTTAGCAACCCAAAGTCACATCACTCATAATCACACTCTCGGATCTATGTAACTGTGTTACAAAATTTAAGAGCAAGTCTTATGTGTAGCCAAAAAGAATTAAACTTTCGAAATTCTAATAACAATAACGTAGCTGGAAAATTGTTTTATGTGATGTGCACACTGGGGGAATAAAACTTGCAGGAACATAAAAACATTATACTTCATGGATATGGTATATCTGTTCTAGCATCTGTTAGCCGTGTGGTATTTTGAATATTGAGATACTACGTAAAATTAAGCGTTAGGGGAAAATATTCTTAAAAAATGTCATTCAAATATCATTACATTCTCATTTCAAAATTTTCTGAATATGATCTATGATATCAGAACATTCGTTTTAGAAGTAAAGAAAATACTTATTCATTTCAATCAAACTGATAAAAACTGTAATACCCGTTCAAAACGAGTCCTAAACCGACTTATTCACTCGAAGATCATCTATTTATTGTAATAGTAACGCTTGATAAATTGTCAAATAAGTTCTCTGTAGGAATTGAAACGATCATTTAGCATTCCGATGATTTTGCATTGACAGCACGATAAATATGGTGATATTACAATCAAAAGAATGTTTGTTTTACACAAACTGAATATGAAAATTCTACTTGCTTTTGAAAATCTTTTTATGATATAATTCTGATAGTTTACAATAGAAATTATAATTATGAAACAATATGTAACGAGTAACATATATGCTAAGAAAAACGTGCACTTGTAAAGCTGTTGTTAGGAATCATATTGGATAATTAGCGAACAAATTGGTTGATGCGTAGGGTCGTGTTGTTGAACGAGTTAATGTTTGATTCCAATGTTGTAATTGTTGTTGTTGCAATTGTTGTTGTTGTTGTTGTTGCCAATCGACTTGTTGATCAATGGAATTTTGAAATTGCCATGATTTTGACGATGGTTCTCTATCAACAATTGTCATACTACAATAATCAACTCTACTTGCAAGATTCAAAAGTTGTTCAGGTCTCGGTTGCTCATTCATCAATTGACGTGTGAGCACTTCAAGACTAGGTGCGTGTGCAACAATTAAAATGGTGCCACCTGTTTTTCTGTGCAATTTAAATAATTTTTTCATTGTATCTTTTGAACGTTCATAATATTGATATTCATTTTCTGATGGTCGTAAATACTTGGTATACGAATGATACTGTGTATCAATATTAAGGCCACCATTGATTAATTCTTGATAAGACATAAAATTAATTGGTGATCCAGCATACCAAGATGAACATTCAAATAGACCAAGCTCAATTCGTATTGGCATATGCACTGCATAGTTAAAATAGAACTTAATATATTGAACACTAAAAAAAGAAGAGATAATTATTTACTTTTTCTATTCATGCCTCCAAGAATTTGATCAGCTGTTTGAATACAACGAATAGCAGGTGATGAATAACAAGCTGCTATTGGTATATTCTGTTGAGCAAAAGCATTGCCTACATTCCATGATTGTTGTAAACCACGAAGAGTCAATGGTGCATCGGTCTCATAATCTAGCCAATTTAATCGAAAAGGTAATGAGGGTGGCATATTCGCATCGAATGGATAATATTGACCAGTATAATTAAATGCATGTTGTGTCCAACCAGGACCATAATTATTATCGACACGTTCTCCATGGCGAATTATAATAAATCGAAGTCTCGTATCCTTTCGGCCACTAGTAGAGCTATAGTAATCAGAGTCTTCGGATGCTAGATAGCCATTATTATACAGCAATGATTGACGATGAAGAGAACGTGGTGCTTGGTAGTATCCGTCTAGTGCTGGATACATAATTCTATTCTGAAAATGATATTAATAAAAATAAAAAAAGTCATATTGCTCGAAAAATATCATTTTTAGAAAACAATCCGTACGGAAAAAAATCGATTACATGAGATATCATAAAGAAAAATTTAGAAATAAATGTTCTCGATATAAATACTAGATATGTTACTGTATGAAAGGCACATGTCTGTCATATAATCACCATAAAAAAAGTAACTAATACACAATCAGTTGATTGTTTACCATTTTTTTCTTTTGCTTTCCTTGGGCATAGAGAGCAGAAAATTATGATTAGCCATTACACCGGCAATTAATGAGCATATGGGTATATTTACCTGTCAAAACAACCATCATACATGTATATGTATATACTCATAAGAATATCGAGGGCAATACTAATATGGATGACTGATTTATTTTCAATAGTGATATTATTGGAAAGAAATTCAAAAGCAAATGAAATCGTTTCCAAAACAAGTCGCTGAATAAATCACTATGGCTGGAAAAAAATCGAATATCTTTATCATAGTTTTATTACGTGAAATGATTTTATTTTAATTTATAATAAGCGATTATTTCTAGTGAAGATTCCCAATAGAAACATTGGATGATAAAACAAATTTTCTAGGTACGATTGCAGAATCAGATACATCAAATTTTATTCTCTTAAATCTAAGTAAAAAAGTAGTCTCAAATAATTAAAGTAAATTCCACTAAATTTATTATGGATCATTGAATCAATAATGATACTTTTGATTTTATGTTATTATTAGGAATGAAAGAAGTAGTTACGCAATCATATCAATATTCTAATTTATTTATTGCTTATAACTGTTTTATGTGATCTATAACGAGATTATAATTTTCTTTATTTGATTAATTTTACAAGCGTTTTTCTACTAAATTTCAATTTGAATCTAGAACTAAAATCTCTGTATTGTGTTCATTGATTTTTCATACTTCTTAAATATATACATAGATAGCTTCTATCTACTAGTGAGTACACGGAGTTATATCTGAATCTGAATCTGAATCTGAATATAGGTATGTACGAATATTTTTAAAGAGATAATCATTTACTAGCTATGATGAAGACATAGAGAAGAACTGTAACAATTAATACACTGATTCAGATAGATCTGTCAAGAGAAAATGAAGAAAAAACAAACAAACAAAAAAATAATCTGATCAATAGCGAGATCGTATCTGACAACTAAAAACGAATGATATAAAAAAACCAGCAAAGCTTTAAAAACTTGTAATGTTATTAAAATTTATTCTGAGAAATAAGACGTCGATGGCAACATTCTTCACAAAGCAATGTATCGCCTAATGGATAACAACGATGATCTTCCTCATTGCCCAATTGCATTGAACAATCCTAAATAATGTTTTATTTTTATCGAAGACTTTGAATTTATATATCTATATTTACTTCACATTGATAGCAGCGAACATGAAATGTTTTATCCATCGAAATTATGCGCACAGTTTCATTTGAGCCCTAAATAATAGTGTTTAAAGAAAACTATACTTAAATTTATCTCACATTTTCAGGACAAATTGGATTCAAACATTTATCACAACGTGGCCCATATGTTCTATAAAAATAAATGTAAAAAAAACGATGTTGTTCTTTTAATAATTAGAATCAATGAATTTCTTACATATGATAATCGTGTACACAAAAAAGATTTCGATTTTCATCTTTCATAAATGGTAGACCATCCAAACAAATCGAACATTTTGAGCATTTAAAACATGTTAAATGATATGATTGTCCAAATGCTTGTAAAATCTAAGATAGATTTGTTTTACGAAAAGAAAAATGAATATAAACTCAGTGAAACATATCATACTGTATCAGTAATTAGATGACCACAACCAACACATTGTTCAAGAGTTTCGTGAAAGCCCGTATACTATAAAATAATCATGTATTTAGCTGTTTTTTTTTATAAGATAATTTTTTACTAAAAAGTCTTCTTCACAATATAATTCATCTCGAATAAAAAAATGTTTATTTTTGACAGATCGTCCACATTGAACACAAATAGCACAAGAACTATGATAAAGTTGACCAAGTATATCGCATGGATCATCTAAACTTGTTATTGTTTCACCACATTTACAACATTCACCTAACAAAAAATAAAAATGAAAGAAATTTTCATTTTATCTTTATGGATCATTGAAAAAAATAAGAGATTATTTATTGATATGATAGACTTGATTTCTTACCGTAATATTCTCTGATATTTGATTCATTTGCTATTTCTCGAATATCATGATTATTATTATCAATACAAAGTGATTTGAATGGATGTTCAAGAAATTCGTTTCCATTAAAATCATTTTTTTTGACTGATGATGATATGACAGGTGATCGGAAAATTACTCTTGGTGATATAGATGAATTAAAATCATGAATTGTTACTGAATTTTTCTGATGGTTAGTTCCAGAATTCCGTGGTGGAATAGCAGGCGGATGGAGAGGACAACGCGGTGGTGGAGTTGGCGGATCATCTTGTGATGAGAGTTGAGTTATATAAAGTTGAGTTGCATTTAAATATGTTGTATTTGTTTTTATTTCATTCGGTGAATGTTGAGGTAAAACATCTGCACGATAAATATAATTATTGTTTGTTGTTGATGCTATGCGTGGCATTCGAGCGGGAGGTGGTGGTTTTGTATCAGAACTTTGTTTTTCTGGTAGAAATTTCAAATAGTCACCTAAATTAGTTTAAAAAAAATTATATATTATATATTCACTCATTGTCAATCGAAATTTCAAGATAGAATTTGATTTTACCTCTCATTGACTGTTGTATTTGATGATAGATTGAATCATTTGACGGTAGCGATGACATAGAAGTTTTTCGATTGTCCATAGGTCTATTCAAACCATTTTCGTCGTGAAATAGTGGAGAATAGCTTGGCCTTGTTGATGATTGTCGTAAAGGAGATGTCTCTTTAAGAGTTCTTGTTGTATTCGGTCGTAATGATGATGATGAGACGACAGAACAAAATGCTTGCTGTTTACCCGAAATGAAATTTCGATTGTCAAACGCTTGTGCCATTTACGAGAACGTAATACTATGTGTATGCGTATGTGTCCTTTTTCGTCTTCTTTTACCATATATGCAAACACGTATTTTACTCGTATACAAAACAAGGGAAGAAGGAAAGGAAAGAAGGAAAAAAAAGAAAGATTTGTTTTCGTTGTAAATATTTCACACAAAAATGAAAGAAAGAAAAAGGCAATGATTTTGTTTGAATAAATCAATGAAATGAATTAAAGCGATAAATGGAATCTAAATTAAATATATATGTCCGTTCTTGATTCGATCGATGAATTGAAATTAGAAGGTTTTTTCGTCTGTTCTTTCTCTTTGAACTCTCTTTTTTCTTCTTCTCACACGTCGTTTAATCGCAAAATGCCAAACGAAACGAATGACCATAAAACGAAAGAACGTAAAGACAATTTTTTTCTTTTTCACAAGCACTCTTCAACAGTGATATCAAGCTGTGCTATGTGTTGAGATAGAAATAGACTTGAATTACACATTCATACTCACATTTATTTAAATAGAAAACGAAAATGCCAAACAAACGATTCTTGTTAGATAAAGTTATCTTATAGAATGATAAGCATCTTATCATTTTCATTTATTAATCCAAAGAATTGCCTGTCGTCTACTTCCTTTCGAATGATTTTTCATGTCAAAGATTATAGGAAAAGAAATACGATTTTGAACAGAAAATCTTTTTGAAAGCTCAATGAAAAGACTTACTAAAGTAAGTATTATAATTTCCAGAAACAAAAACTATGAGTAATTGTCCAGAAATTAGATAAGTCGATTTTTACTTCTTGTTAGCACAAAGATCATACTTTGTGAAAAATTTCGAAATAATTCAATTTTTTTATGACTCTTTCAAATGTATTCGTATTTGTATGTTCATTTAGCGAAGATAAAAAGTGCCTTTTGCTTCTGATCAGCTGAATAACTATTAAGACGACATGTTCCATCAAATCTTGTTTGAGTATTATCATAAGATTGACACGTTGATGCTAAAATGTTCACAGAAGAATAATAATGATAATACAGTTTATTGAATGATAAAATATTTTGACGACATCTAGTATGCTATTTATTTTCTTCATTTACATATATATATACAAGCATGTATTCAAGTCAGCATGAAAGTGTGCTTAGGTTATCTTTTTTCTCATCATATGAATCACTCTGTGTTTAGTACCCGGTAGCCGATATTGCCTAACATTGTGGTAACTATATAAACGACAAGTGGCGTTAAGGGCATTTTTCGATCTCTTCATTTTTCGAANAATAAGCCAATTTCCAATATTTCAACGTTGCTTTTTTTAGCAAAAAATTTTTTTTTCAATGTTGTGGTTTATATTTTGAAGAGTGTCAGAGAAACAGGCAACTTAAAATGATATCGTTCGAAAAAATCACTTCATGGCTCTCACCGACTGGATATTGACAACGAACCAGTTTGACCCTTCCCAGAAACCTCATCAGCAGGATTAGCAAAAGATATCTCTAAGTTACGTGACAAAACCTTTTAAAATGAAAGAGAAAAGTAAATAATGTATGTTAAGAGTATTTAACATTGAAAAAAAAATTTTTTGCTAAAAAAAGCAACGTTGAAATATTGAAAATTGGCTTATTTTAGCAGATATTACCTATTTTTGACTACTTTCCGCAACTTTTTTTCTAATTTCGAAGTTATATTCGGATAGAGCATGAAAAACTGTACCGGGCTGCATATATAACTCATTGGATGGAAGCATTGTTTTAAACAAATTTGACTTACATTTCGAATAAAATACGCCTTTTTTCCTATATTTTTCATCCTTTAGCAAAATAAGTGAGAATTTCTTGTCTGTTAGTCCCTCAATCGGTCTGTAGTCAATGTATAATCGTTTGATGTCACATATCAAACATTTTTGCGTTTCAATACTGATTTTTCGAGTCGCAGGATAGCGACATCTCGAATAAAGTAAGAAATCGATTGGGGTTGGAAATCGCCTTTTTTTCGTTTGAATAACATTTTTATGCAAAACCAACCTTATATTCGTGATCAGCAGGGTCGATAACCGGTGTGCGGACCAAAACGGTGAAAAAACAATTAAAAAATTTTTTTTTAATTTTCCTGGGGTACCACGGCAAAAATTTTTTTAGAAAAAATTTTTTTTTTTCTTTTTCAAAAAACAGGACATAGATTTATTCAGAATTTTATGCTGATTCTAACCATGTAATTTTTTTCGAAAAATGAAGAGATCGAAAAATGCCCTTAACGCCACTTGTCCTTACTCATGATGTGAATCATCGATTTTTTTTCCTAATAAATATGAGAGTGATTGTCATTGGTGTATTTTAGTTATTTTTCGCTTGCTAGTAATAAAGATACATGGCCACCATAACATTTGCCGTAGCAAAAGTCGACGTATGCACGAAAAACCATGCTACAACTGAAGATTTAAGTGAATTTGATGTGGCTCGATGGGCAGCTAAAAGTCAAAAGTTATCATTAGAGAATTTTCAAACCAATTATCCGTTAGTTAGTGATCTTAATGGAAATAATCATCGAATTAAAAATGCTTTTGTTGGATCCGTATTCAAAGCTTATTGTGAACATTATCCACTTGAATTCAGTGTCGAAGATATTTGGGTTGCTATTACTCAAGGTGTCAGCATTCATCTAAATGAAAATGCTGAAAAATATCGAGAATTAATGGTATCACATGAAGGAAAAAAAACATTGACACTTTCAGTAGATAGTCTTCGAATACCTGATTCTGCTCGACCTAAAACAGGAAATAAATCTGTACCTGGTATTAATTGGCCAGCAGCTGTTAGTCAAATGGGTGAATTAATTAGAGGTGATATGAAAACCGATTTAGCTACGCTCTTGACTACTCCTTTTTCTGGTACAACTCAAGTCGAACAAGCTGTTTTTGATTGTACATTAATGGATAGTGTGAAAGCGTATTATGATTTTCGATTTAGTCTATGCTGTGGTCTTCCACAAGTGACATTACGCGGTTCACCAGAAGATTTTCAACAAGTTATTAATCGAGTAAATCAACTTCGTAGTATTTTTACTGATTTTCATTGGTGGCTGGATGTTCTTCTACTCCATTTGCAACAATTAAAGGCAAGTGCTGAAGGAAAACCTGATATTGATTGGTGGCAAAAAATCTGTCACAGTGTAGGTGGCGGATCTGATATTAGTATGTTAGCTGGATGGCTGGCTGATTTTGTTCCGTATGTTGATTTTATTGTAAACAACAAAATAAGATTCATTCAATCGTTTTTCCTTTCAGATATATTTCAGATGGAAAAGGCCATTATACAAAAGCTCGACGTGATCATCATCATCATACACAAGTATTTATTATTGCTCATGATTAAATCATTTATTTTATGTTTCTTTATTTCAAGGGTATGATCAATGGCATTGAATTTGGTGATTTTAGTGAGGCCGTAACTCAAACAGATTTTATTTTGGACGATAATGGCCATGAAACTAAAATGAAATTAATTGCTGGATTTTTAGGTATTGGTCAAAATATTAAAACAGGTGCACTTCGTCCATGTCTTGGTTGGTTAACAGCATTACCAGTTTAGTAGTGAACTGCTCATGGATTACGAGAAATTATCTATGAAGATATATTAGATATTTTCAATGCCTTTTATCTATAAATGACATTTTCTAAGCTAGATGTATATATATATACTATTCATAAAAATACACTATTGTTAATCTTTTATTGTTTGTTCAAATAATGCTTTGCCAACATCATCGCGATTAAATAATTCTGTACGCATTTCTTTTCCATTACCCCAATCATAAATATTTGGTGCAATCAATTGAAAACGATGATCAGAACCACTAACTGATGATGATGATTTTCGATGATAGTTTCCATAAATGCGTACAGTTGCCTGTGGACCAAGTTCATAAACAGGAAATGTATAATCGATACGATGACCATCTACTGTTCGTTCAATATACCAACCAGTTAAATCTCGTGGTTGATTACTAGTATTTTCTATTTCAACAAAACAGCCATTGACATCAACAAATTTAATAAGAATGTTTCCTAAAATAAATATTTATAAAAATATCATCTAGAAATAGGACCCTTATATTTTTTCTTTTTTCTTTTACCTTTATATTTTCGTGTAATATGAACTTTACTTTGCAAAAATTTTTCATCAATTTCAGGTACATAAGCTGTTGCGACTTCTTCTCTTCGATTGCCACTAGTGCCTGTTGCTTGCTGTCCAGTGTCAGCATGACCAAAACGACGTGTTGTTCGTGTCTTGATTGTTGTTGTTCGATTTTGATCAAGCAAATTTTGTTGTAAATCATATCGATTATTATCTACGCGTGTTGGAATAATGGTTCTTTCAGTTGATTGATCACGATCTGTACTTTCACTAGGCGCTAATGATGCTGTACCTGAAGAAACAGTTTCATAAGTCCAATTATTGCTTGGTTTTTCTACCTACATATAAAAATAAATGACATCATAAGTTTATTATTTTCGCATTATTAGTTTACTTCATTTATTTTAATAATAGGAATTGTATTATCAGTTTTTTCTTTGATAGTTTTCTTTGTTGTTGTTGTTGTTGTTGTCGCTTCTGTTAATAATTCTGATGATCGATATGTTTTTGAATTATCAATTGCTGAATGTTCTTCGTTTTTTCTCTGCAATGAATTTAATAAAGCTTCATAAATCTTCAATTCTTCTTCAACACTGAATCGAAGTGTGTAAGCTAGTTTATCCAATTCATCTTTTAATGCATAATATTCTGTACGTGTCAAATCAGTATCATACTCAAGATGCGCATGTTGTTCAGCATGTTTTCTTGCTTTATTTCTTAATTCAGTTTCGAGATCTTGTAAAGTCCGTCGTTTAAGTTGAATTTCTTCAGACAATATTCGATAATCATTTTGTAGACGCTCATTCTCTTTTGTACTTTCATCAAGGCGACTTTCAAAACGTTGAGTTTCTTCACGACGTCGTCGTTCATCTAAAATAGAAAAATTTTTGATAACAAGAAATCTTTAAAGATCTAAGAAATTTTCTATGTAGCCAACCATTTTCATCAATCGGTAAACCCATATGAATTTTTTCTTGAATTTCTTTTATTCTTGTTTTCAATTGTATTTCAATATCCATTTGTTGTTCTTTAGCCATTTGTTCATAATCGATTTGTATTTTTTGTTTAATTGTATCTAAATAATCACGATAATAATTTTTTGATTCTTGTGATATACGATTGAGTAAACGAAGCCATTCATTTATTTCTTCTTGATTATAAGCTAAACGTAGATTATAACGTTCTTTAAGTGATTGAATTTCATTTAATAGAAGTTGTTTATCTAATGCAAGTTGTGCCCATTCCGATAGATATGAACGAAATTTTACTATTTCGTTTTGATAATCATCATCATGCGATTTAACTTGACCATTACTTATATCAAAACGTAAACGAATTTTACGTAGTTCTTCTTCTAATTCGTTTGTTAATTCAAAAACTAGTTGAGATTTATCCCGATGAGCATTAACTACACCAATGAAAACATTTGTGACACGATCTGTTAATTGAGTTTGTTCATTAGAAATGTTTGCTTGAGCATTAAAAGTTAGTTTATGACGATTTTGTTCACCTAGACGTTGTATTATTCCATCAAGTTCGTGTAAAAATTTAGCACGAGTCTCTTCATGGATACCCCAATTTGCTATTAGCGAATTAAGATCATCACGTAATTTATTATTTGCTGTTTCAAGACCATTTAAACTATGAAGCAATTCTTCAAGACGATCATTTAACGCATGAAGATAATGTTTATCATTCTCGTCTTGCCGTTTTATAGCTGTGAAGTCCTGAAGAACTTGACCTACAGATTGTATATCATCAGGAATTTGTCGATTTGTTCCAGCATGAGTGGATAATTCAGTTGTATAACGTTGAATCAACGCCATAGTCAATGAATTGTATTCATTCAATATACAGTCGTCTCTCGTTCTTTTTTCAAAACGTATTTATAGCCTCATAATAGAATTCTCAATCGCAAGTCTAATCATAGTCGATATCCATTCCTCAATGAAATCCCCATTTGTGATACATTGATTTTTAATCATATTTCTTTTTTCTAGACTATTTTTTCGTAACCATGAAAAAAAATCTAGTCATTCATCATTCATAATCTTCATGGTTATGTCCTTCGAAATCGTGTAGTCTTTGAAAGAATAGAAAAGAATATGCGCGTGAATAAAGTTTCTTCCTGGGGAATAGAAAACGCCGGTAATAATGACAATAGTAAATAAAAAAAACTCAACAATAAATGATAACAAGATGGCACGCCAAAAAAAAGTCACACATTTTGTTCGTTTATCGTTTTTTTATTTTATTCATTCTTATTTTCTTTTTGTAATCATCATTGTTTACATGCATTCGTCACCATGTCCACCTTTTTTCTCTTCTTTATCAAGCTTAATCATATCATCAATACGTAAAATAGTAATGGCTGCTTCAGTTGCATATTTCAATGATTTTATTTTTGATACGGCTGGTTCAAATACTCCAGTTGCTTTGCAATCACGGACTTGTCCAGCTTGAAGATCTAAACCAAACCATTTAAGTTGTTCTTTATCCTTTTGTGTTTGCGATGCATTATGATAAGCACGAAGTTTAGCTACAAGTTCCGTTGCATCTTGTGCAGCATTAACACTTAATGCTTTCGGAATCGATAAAAGTGCTGTTGCAAATTCAGCAATAGCCAATTGTTCTCGTGAACTCTAGAAAAATAGAAGTAGATTTCTTTATTGAAATCAAATCAAATACATACAACTGTCGTAGCAAAATTTTCTAAATAAATTGAAAGTGCTGTTTCACAGCAACCACCACCTGGTACAACTTGTTTCGATTCAAGTACACGTTTAACAACACATAATGCATCATGTACAGAGCGTTCAATTTCATCGCACATAAAATCATTTGCACCACGTATTATAATGGATGCAGCTGTACGTGCTTTGGGTCCTCGAATAAGAATAAGTTCATCATCACAAATACGGTCTTGTACAACTTCATCAGCACTGCCAATGACGGATGCGTCAACTGATTCATCACCTTCCATATTAGCTAAAGCGGTTAATAAAGTTGCTAGAAACAGAAGAAAATAAAAGGAAATACAATTATCAGTATTAACAATGTCTTCTATTTTCTTTACCTCCTGTTGCTTTAGCAATACGTTTTAAATCAGCTTTTTTACAACGTCTCACAGCCATGGCTCCAGCTTCAACAAATTGTTTTAAACAGAGATCGTCGATTCCACCTGTTGTTAATATAACATTTGCTCCGGCATTTAGTAATTTTGCAACACGTTCTTTAGCAATATCAGTTTCTCTAGAAAAACAAATTTATTTTCTTTTTAAACATATATATATATATATATAATTTTAGAAAAAAGAATCATTCTAACCGTCTTCGAATAGCTTCAAGTTTTTCAGGATCTTCAACAACGATTTGAACACCTAATTTCATTCGTACTTTTTGTAAGCTAAAATCCAAACATGCTATTTTAGCATTTGTAATTCGTTTTGTCATTAATTGCGATGCAACTGTACAATTTAATGCATAACCAGATATTAAAATACTTTCATGTGTTGATCGGCCATGAGCTTTCAATACATTTATAGACTTTATTGGTACTACTACTCTATCTTTTTCATTGAATTTAACAAGACTTGCTGCATCAACACACATCTTGGCAAAAAAATCTGCATCCCTAAAAAAAACATACAGTGCGGCTTGTATTGATGAATTAGACAAAAACTCAAAAGAACATACATTCCAATAACTTTACTAGCCATTGATGTTTTAGCAACATTAATTAAACATTCACTACCTAATTCATCTACATTGATAATCATTTTATCATGTATATATTTGACTGCTAATCTATAAACATGTATAATTTTTATGTAATGAAAATTTAATTAATTAATTCTTACTTGCAAGCAAGTTTATAGCCACTTATAACGGATGTTGGATGAATCTTTTGTTTAACAAGTTGATCAGCATTCTTCAATAATTCTGCAGCAATGATAACCTTTAAAAATTTATTTGTTCTATGAAATCAAATATCCCAACAAAAAAATGATCAAATGCATACATACCACACTAGTAGTACCATCACCAACTTCCTGATCTTGTAATTGAGCCAATTCAACAAGTACTTTTGCAGCTGGATGTTCGACTTCAAGTAATTTAAGAATTGTTGCACCATCGTTTGTAATAGTTACATCCTAAAATTGAATGTATTTTAACGGCATTATATAATACTGATGAAAAACTTACTCCAATATCATCGACAAGCATTTTATCGAGACCAAGTGGACCTAATGATGTTCGAACTATGTTCGCAATAGTCATAGCAGCAAGAACTATTTAGTTAAACAAGAAAAATATGATATTTATGTCTAAATACAGTTTACTGACCATTTTGAGTTCGAACTGAATCGCCTAGATATCAACGTAATAAAAGAAAAAGATTACTTTAGTTTCCTTGAAATCTAACTGCTCATAATACCTGTAATACGTTCTCCGCCGAGTGACAATGTAGCTTGAGCCATTTGATGAAAGAAAAAGCGAATGAATACTGATCTGAAAATATACAGTTATAAGATATGAACTCGTTTCACTACGATTATGAATCGGTTGTCAACACAACGATCGACTACGGTTTGTTTACAAGCTTTCTCCTTTTTAATGTTTTTTTTTCTTTCTTAATTTGTTCTACGCGATCCAAAAAACTAGATAATCTCTACAAATAATAGATGTATATCCAGTAAGAAAATCTGATGACTTCGATGAAAGAGGTCACTATAATCACTATGAAACAATTAACTGAAGGTACGATCGCACGCTACATGGTGTCCGTTCATGTTTACTCTATTTACTTCTCCGTCTATCGTTCGAATTGTTCATGTAGAAACGAAAAATACAAAAATTCTAATCGAATCATATCCTTAACTTTGTAGTCGACATTAAATTCTGTATTAAAATATTTTTTTATCAATCAATTTTTAATAAAGTGGACATCATTCACAATCATCCATCGATATCGACTGGTGCATCATTATCATCGGCAAGAATGATATCGGGTTCTCCTCCACTTCATTCTCGTAGTCCAACATCGAACGGTGCATCATCATCATCATCATCAAATCCTGATGGTTCATCATCCGATGCATGTAATGGAATAGTTGCTACTCTTCTATGTCATAGACAACGAACAAATGGTGAAAGTGAAACCTTTTCAAAGCGAGCTATCGAAAGGTAGGAAATAACAAAATCAATTGAGAAGAAGACCATAAACAGCTTCATTTAGTTTGGTAAAAAAGTTGAAAGATAAAAAAGATGAACTCGATGCATTAGTAGCAGCAGTTACATCGAATGGACAAATACCAACTAAATGTGTTACAATACAACGAACACTCGATGGTAGATTACAGGTTTGATATTAAAACAGATTTTATTTTGACACCAACGAAAAATTTCCTTTTGTTTTTAACTTTAGGTGGCTGGTCGCAAAGGCTTTCCACATGTAATTTATGCTCGTATTTGGCGTTGGCCTGATTTACATAAAAATGAATTAAAACATTTAAAAGTTTGTCCACTCGCATTTGATCTTAAACAAGAATATGTTTGTGGTACGTTGCAATATTTTCTTTTCGTTTTGATTATATCATTTTTTGTTTTCTAGTAAATCCATATCATTACGAGCGCGTTGTTTCTCCTGGAATAGGTAAATAATCTAATCGATCATTTGTTTAACAAAAAAATTTAATAGATCTTTATTTTGAAGATTTAGCAGGAATGCCACTTGTACCACGTTTTCAATTACTCGGTCATGGCGATCCATCATCTTCAAATGATCGTGATATATATTCAACACAAGACGGATATCGCTTTATGAAAGGTGAATACGAATATATTCTTTCATCTTTTTTTTTCTGAACGAAAAGGCATTTTCTTCTTCATAGATTACAGAGACGATCAGAACTCTCCGCAACCTCTAGCTGCTATTCAACATCAAACATCGGCTACGACTAGTCCAAGTCCTCCACATCTATATACTACTAACGGAACAACAGTTTCAAATACTAATAGTTTTCCACCAGCAATGATTCCACAAGGTAAATTAAATGCTTAGAGAATTTTAATCAAACTAATTTTGTTTTTATTTTATTTAGATACATCTGTTTCTTTATGGACACAGTCATCAACAGCTCCAACTAATTTATGTAAGTGTTTGCTTTGCATTGGTTTATTTTTCTGAAAATCCTATTTTCATTGTTGACTATAGGGTCACAGCATCCTCTTGTTCCTACTAATGGTTTGAGTGCACCACCTACTCAACCATTAACATTAATTAGTAATTTTGGTGAATATTGGTGTAGTATAGCGTACTATGAACGTGATGTACAAGTTGGTGAAACTTTTAAAGTACCTGATACATTTAAAGAAGTGACTATTGATGGTGGAACAGATATGGCTACAGTTGGTGATAGGTTTTGTCTAGGTCCACTAAGTAATGTTCATCGTACAGATGCGAGTGAAAAAGCAAGGTAGGATTTTTATGTTGGATTTTTGATTAATAATGATAAAAATTTTAATATAGACTGCATATTGGAAAAGGTATTCGTCTTGAATGTCGAAATGAAGGTGATGTATGGATACGGTGTAATAGTGAACAAGCCGTTTTCCTTCAATCATATTATCTTGATCGTGAAGCTGGTCGTGCACCAGGTGATGCTGTTCATAAAATTTATCCTCAAGCTTGTATTAAAGTATGCTTGCGTGAGAGAAAAAGAATAAAAATTTCGAATTCTACTTATTTATGATTTAATTTTAAGGTATTTGATATAAATCAATGTTTTTCTCAAATGGATCAACATATAAAAATGGCATTGCATGCTCGAATGCAACAAAACCATGGTCAAGCAATGGCACTAGCAGCTAATTTAAGCGTTGATGAATTACGACGTTTGTGTGTGTTAAGACTTAGTTTTGTTAAAGGATGGGGACCTGATTATCCAAGGTGAGATTTTCAGAAAAAAGACTATATGAATTATCATCTATTTTATTTTTTGCTTTTGTGATTATAGACAATCAATAAAGGAAACTCCATGTTGGATTGAAATTCAAATTCATCGTGCACTTCAATTACTTGATGATTTATTCAATTCAATGAATCATCCATTAACAAGTGCTGTTGTAACAGCATCATCTTCCATATCATCAATCCCATCGATGATTTCAAATAACAACAGTAATTTATCATCTAATACTATTAAAATAGAACCAACACATTCATCATATAATAATATGGATAACTAAATGAACTTTATGATCATTTTGTTTTTTTTTGCTTTGTTATGCATTTAATTTATTTTAACTAAAAAAGTTGTTTTTTCTTTTCTTCTTTTGTTTTCGACTTCGATGCGCTGACACATTTATTTATTGATCTTATTTATTCTATATGAACGATAAAGTACACTGGTTTTACAAAAAGATATGTACAGAAGTTTTTCCTTGTTCATCAGCAATATTCCCTAAATTTTCGTTTGTTTTTCTTGTGTGGCTCGTAACGTGGCTATATTTGCTTTGTGATTTTTTTTCATTTCTTTTGTGTAGACAACTTTGTTTCTCTGTCACTATGGTTACCTTTTCTACTCATGACTGTTTTCTATCATATACCTTTTTTCTTTGAAGAAAAACAGAATAATCTATATACATCATTTTTCTCTTACTAATTGCTTCAGCTGCTGTTTTTACAAAAAAATGTTTCTTTTTCTCTTCTTACGCTGTCATCTCGTAATTTACGTTGTGTTTTTTTCTTGATGCTTTGCGTCATTGATGACTCAAGTTTTATTGTACGTATATATATATATATATATATATATATATATACTAAGGACGGTTTTAGATTTCATTTAAATAAAAATGGCTCACGGAATTTCAGATAAAGATCCAACAAAAACAGAACATGTTGATACACCAGAAATACTCGATAAAAAACTTGAGCAATTAGCTGATTGGATTCGAAATGCAAAACATTTTATTGTATTTACAGGTTTGCTAATTTTGAGAAAGCTTCTAGAATGTATTTTTAATATATAAAAATATCTGTATGAAATAGGTGCCGGTATATCGACATCTACTGGGTAAGTTAGATACTTATATGCAAGTATTGGAAAAATATTGAATGTGCTTTGCTTTTTTATTCAATAAGTATTCCTGATTTTCGATCAAGTATGAATACACTATTACCAACAGGACCCGGTGTATGGGAATTACGAGATCATCCTGGTGCAAAACGTCCGCCAAATGCTCGTACTACTACATCGACAAAAGCAATTCCATCAGTTACACATATGGCTCTTGTTGAATTAGCTCGTCATAATCTTCTTAAATTTGTCATATCACAAAATACTGATGGTCTTCATTTACGTTCTGGTTTATCATCAACATTATTAGCTGAACTACATGGAAATTCAAATTTAGAAACGTGCAGAAAATGTAAAACAAAATATTTACGAGATTTCCGTACGCGTACTTCGAAAAAAGTTCATGATCATGCAACAACTCGTAAATGTACTAAATGTGGCGCAATACTATATGATTCCATTATAAATTTTGGTGAAGATTTACCAAATTATGAATTAAAAACAAGTTTTGATAATGCAGAACATGCGGATGTTTGTCTTGTGTTAGGTTCATCATTGCGTGTAACGCCAGCGGCTGATATTCCACAACGAGTCGGTGAACGTCGTGAAAAATTAGTCATTGGAAATCTACAATTAACTCCATTAGCAAAATTAGCCTCATTAAATATTCATGCAATGTGCGACGATTTAATGCGAGGACTAATGGCTAAATTAGATATTCCAATACCAGAATGGGAACTTCATCGACGAATACGTATTACAATTCAAAATCAAACTCTTACAATAATGGGTCTTGATCTCTATCAAGATATAGCCTATACACTTCTTTCATCAGTAAGGATATTAGTTCGAGAAGGAACTGAATCAAAATATGATTCGCAAACGATTAGAAATGCTGAATCCATTGAACATAAAATAAAAGTTGATAATCCAAATGATAAAATGGATGTTTATATTGAATTGAATTGGCAAGGACATTACAATGAGCCGAAATATACAATTAAAGTTCCTTTCACGAGCTCATCAACGGAAGTAAATCTTTTTTATAATCCCAAAACAGGAACTTGGAGAGAACAATAATATACCTGTGATAATTTATTTATTCTTTTATCAATCCAGATGTTTTTTTTAATTATTTTATGATTGTTTCTAATGCATATAAATAAGTACTTCTTTATACGATAAAATCCAATATTATCTAATAAAAAATATTCTTTGTTTTATTTTTATCGAAATTTATATTGATAAGAATTTCGACTTCGAAGGTGAATAAAAATTAAAATACTAGCAACATACATTCATAAAGCGTTTGATACTAAGAATTATGGCATAGATTTATTTTTCTTCTCGAACAACTGATGAAAAATGGATTAACATGAATTTTCGATTGATTCTGTTGTTAATTCCACAGTTGGTGCTCACGAAAAGCTCAACTATGTCTTTCGAAATTTAAGATCATGACAAAGATGATATAATCAATAGAAAAGCACATTGGCCAGTTATTGAAAGTATAATTTCAGTTTTATAGCTGTTTGTTTTTCTTTGCACCATAAATCTTCATCAAAGAGAAAGATGATCTTGATAATATGCAACTAATATTGAAAGATTTTATTCAATAAATAATGCGAAATAAATAACTTAACAATTTATTGTCATCATACAATATAGAAAAACCAAGAGATATTTCTTTTTACAGAACAGTATTCTCAATCGAAATAAACTATAATGCTCAACACAACGATAGTCAGTTAAATTGTATAAATACTATAAGTAAATAAGTTCGTTTGATTTGTTTTGGTTGTGTTCTCTATTTTCTTGCAAAGTAATCATGCAGTAAATGACACCAGCTTTTCTGTCTCATGCTTTTGCGTCTTATATTTAGCTATATACAAGTATATTATTTGTACCTGACTGTAAGTCTTCACTCGATTTCTTTTCTCGTGTTTTCATTTGATTGATTTATGATAAGAATTATCGAAACAGAAAGAATGAGAACAGTTTCCGATGGAAATTCTGCGAAAAATTATATTTAAACTATTTCGAAACAGTATACAAAAGTACGTTCTGTATGTTTTTAAAATAAAACAATGCTTTAATGTAGTGAAATCAGTTTTAACAAAAGCATTCGTCTTTAACGAATCAATGATTATGACCATTCAATCAAAATAAATTATTAATCTAAATATTTTCTTGAAAAAAATTTCGTTTCAATTGCGAAGGAGAATAAAACAAATTAGGTATATTTTATTCTTCGAACAATGATGATAAAATGTCTGTAATATATTCATAGAAAGGCACGTACTCTAACTTGTGATTACTTCTGTATTTCAAGCAAAATCAAAATTGATAGTTTAATAAATAAACTGACATACATCTTTTAGAAATGAATCCCACTTTTATTCGTTTTTCCAATTTGAACAATGGTAAATAATCATCTATTTTGACGATATCATATCAAAATATACAGAACTGTCAATAACATGATATTTTATGCAATATTTTCAAAAAAAAGGGTTGCTCGATGTTTTTTCTCTTATCATATGACAAGAAAAATTTTCGGAAGTGAATAATTGTTCGTCGTTTCACATGCAACAAGAATTCAGTTATCATTGTCATCACGAAGTATATGACATCGATAACATAACAATGTACCATCCGCTAGTGGACAGCAACCACCCAAGGCAGCTATTGTTTGTTCATCACTTAATTTACATTGACAGTCCTAGAAAATTAGTGAAAATTAATGAACGAATAGAAATTTAACTTAATCATTACTTCACATCGATAACATTCAACATGAAAATTTAGATTCATCGCAATCACCCGAGTTGTTTCATCCGAATTCTATTCAACAGATGGGAAAGAAATTAATTTTATCGATCTGATGATTTTCTTACTTCTTCTGGGCAAATTGGGTAAGCACATTTAGCACATCGAGGAGCATATGTACTACAATATAAAGTCATAAATAAGAACAAGTATGTTGACAAATCAGAAATATCTCACTTATGATAATCATATAAACAAAATAAACGTCGTTCCTTGTCAACAGTAAATGGAAGACCGTCCAGACATTCATTACATATTGAACAACGAAAACATCCCGGATGATAAGCGTTACCAAGTGCCTGTAGCATCTTTAATAGACGATAAAAAAACTTCATTAAATCAAACATTTTCGATCGAATAGAAAATACCTTGTCCATGATAAGATGATCACACATACAGCATTTTTCTGCTGTTTGTTGAAAGCCAGTAAACTGAATTAAATCAAAGAAAAAAAAAAGATTATTTCAATATGTTATTAACAGTAAATATTGAAATGATTTCTATCAGAAATGCTTATACATGTTACATATATTTTCTCACCAAATAATCTTCTTCGCAATATACTTGATCATGTATAAGATAGAATGCTTTTCCACGTAATGTTCGAGAGCATACGGCACATTTAAAACAATCATTATGATACAATTCTCCCATAGCTTGACAACCCTCAGATGAACCAGTCACAGATTCGCCACATTTAGTACATTGACCATAATATTCACCAACAGTAGCTTCTGTTTCGAGTTCTTTTTCTAAACGTGATGTAAGTGCAGCTAGCTTTCTATGTACATCATTCATAGCCGACGAAGCATTTTCAGACGCATGTGCTATTGGCATAAGAGTGTTAAATGATGGTATTCGAGTACGAGGTGGACGTATATTCGGTGTTCGAATAGTAATACGAGAAAAATCATGTGTTCTGTTTGTATTTTGCTGTTGATGATGAGAATGAAGACGACCATTGACTGTTACATTAAATCTAGGCCGAGGTAAATGTAAAACAGGTCTCTGTTGATTAATGTATAATGTACTTGAATTGTGAAAGGGGGGAGCAGGAAAAGGTGAAGGAGACTGATCTTGTGCTCGGTTAATTGGAGTGTAATTCATATCGAACTGTTGTTCAAAATTAATTATGCGATTGTCAATCGAAGGTTCACGTGATAACTGTATTGGATAATTAATTGTAGACAGATTAACATTAAAAGGAGAATTTGAAAGACCAATGGCTGAACTCAGATTTTGAAGAGGAGATGTTGAAGGATAAATGGAAGATGATATTTTCGATTGTGGCGAACCCAGATTGGCGATGATAGATGTTCGTTAATGGGAGCAACATTCGATAGGCGTACGTACAAGCGTTTGTATGTATTTTTTGTAAGAATAGAAATCCGTCTGATACGATCTCTATTTTTTTCTGTTCTGTTCTTTTCTTTCTTTTTTTTCTTTTTATCATCCCTCAACGCGTCGAGGACATATAGAATCTTGTTGATCATCGAAGAGAAAGAAAAAAACTAACGGTCGCTAGTAGAACTACGACAAATGATGCATCCTGATTTCCCAGCATAAGTTAATCCTTTGTTCTTATCCACAGATAGTAATAGTATCTACCAATCTGTTTTCCTCTCTGGTTCTTAGAACCGTTCTTATTCCTTTTTTTCTCTCTTACATTTGCCACTCGGCTGTTGTTGTTAATTCATATTTGATTGTTTCGTACAGAGAAAAGCAATACAGATACAGAATGCTCGTCTATGTAATGTCTATCTAATTTAGCAATACAAAAAGAAAAAACAAAAAGGTCAATATTTTTGTTTTTGTTCTGATGCATATCAGAAATGCTGTCTTTCATGCAACGTGTCTATACTCGTTACTAACTTTTCATCGTCAAAACGTCGTATGTATCTTCTTCAAGAAATCCTTTATTTCTTTTAAAATAGTATATGTACGAAATGTTTTATTTTGGTTTCCGAAAAAAATTAAACTTCTTTGAAAAATATTTATGTTTCTTCAATTCAGAATAAAATCTCAATTTCTCTGATAAGATACAAAAGGATATATTAAATTATCGTACACATAAGAAAGCTCTCCAACGTCGAAGTCATTACAAATAATCAATATATAAACAGGATGGTGATTCTAAGTGATATACATGTAGTCGATCAATCAATGATATAATGACAAGAAATGTCATAGATCTCAAAGGTATTGGTTGAGACAAGTCGAGTACAAAATGGAAAACTCGTTTAAGATAACCTCCAGCAACTATCTCATAGGACATCAACAGTAACATATTATGTATGAATAATGCATACAAACAAAGATGATGGCTGATAGCGAATAAATATTGTACCATTGAATTCTCGTAACAGCGTGTGCCAAATAGTCGTGAGTGTTACGATGTTTCTATCATTACTGTTGTAATCAGGAAAAGTGATTTTTGGAGAGTAAATATTCATTAAGTGATCATGGCCAAATATGAAATTATACTTCAAAATTAAAATAATTTTAGCTCAATTTCTTACTATAAGACAAAGAAAAAGATCAAATATGTGAAGTTATGACAGTGATAATGAATACTGTCTTTAAAGTTCAAATGTCTCTGTATTTTTCGTGTAAGTCAATTTATTTTAGCCAATGATTGTGTACGGAACATTTGACATGTTTCATGAATTTTTAATTTTCAGTTGAATATTTTGAAATCTGCTATAATTTATTCAAAAGAGCATTTGTTAAATTAAATTTAGGTGAGAACTAATTTGAAAAAGTTCTAACTGAAGCGAATAAATACAACGTATGGGTATACCAAAGTAGGGAGCACTTGATTTTTTTTAGAAATCTTCAATAGTTATAAACGAAATATAACCACACAACATATTTTCATTCATTTTATCGCAAACTTCAATTGCTAATCTATTTGATTACCATCTGATTGTGAAATCATTGATTCAGATTGGTATTCATTCAAACAAGCTTCTTGAAAATATGAAATACAAATCTTAGCAAGTAAATTTAACAGTTTCAATGGTGATATTCTGAGCGATGCTTAATTTATTCTATAATTTATTACTAAAGAGTCTTACGAAATATGAGTATATTGTTAACTATCATCTTGATCGGAATGTGTTTCCAATTTGTTCAACGTTTTTTCATGCTTGTTCGAATAATGTATATATATATATATATAAATCAAAATTGATATCACACTCTTTTTAATGAATTAATAGTGATTGACTGTAACTAGCGCTTCATCGTTAAAAATGAAAATATTTTAAAAAGAAATTTTTACTGAAATTCAGCTTAAGAAATTCTTCGCTGAATAATTGTAGCAAAATTTCAAAATGCTTAATTAAGAATCGAAAATTTATGAAATATGTAAAATATTCTGTCGAAGATTATCTACTAAAATAAGTTGACAAGCATAAAACATAGACTAATAAGTAAGCTTCAAGTCAATATTCATATATGTCAGCTGGATGATTTTCATTTTGTATACTATAGGAGTTAGTATTCGAATATTTTGAAGAAACCATTTTTAAATAAAATAATTCAGAAAATAAAACATGATACGAAGTTACCGATGTGCTTCGGCTTATAATCGATAGTTGTATAATACTTAGTTCATGGTTGTTATTTTTTCTCTGTGAACAATAAGACGAACATCCCTGAGCATAAGTTATGATATATGACATTAGCTTTTTATCATATTATGATTGAGCTTTATATATTCGTAAATATTGCTTCTTTTGATCAGCTTTCGTAGATGTATGCGCTTTCGGATCAAAAGATAATTTGAAAGGATCATTTATTTTCACTAATCTAATAGACTACTGGGCTATGTTTTTATAATGTCAGCTTGTGTTTCATACCTTAAATAGTAGATCAGCAACAGTTTAAAATCGATCAATTGGTTCTATACCCTTTCTTTTGCTTTACACGGACTAAGAATGATGATTTATTCGGAACGAAATAATTGTGTCAGAGAACATTTCGAATCAATACAATCAAAATGCAGATTTTTCTTATTGATATTATTTTTCACACTGAAATGTTCACAATACAATTGAGCAACGGTATTGCCTATCAAGGAAAGTATCGTTCACAATCTTGAAATTTATCAATTTTGGAGATATAGCAAACGATTTTACATCATTTTTATTTTTATTCAATTTACTTTTTCAAATCATTTATTTTTCTTTGACAGTCACTATTTATTATAAGCTAAAAAGGATTTTGTATAATCTTAATTGAGTAAAGAGCATTAGCTAAAACCTATTGAAAAGGTTCTGATTTTTTTAATATGCATTATGGCTTTTGGATATAGATAAATTATGTGAATATGAGAAGGTGAGACTAGTTGAGTACTAGCAAAATCATAAAGATCCTTGCTTCCCGAGCAAAAAGTGAGTTTGTGACGATTATAAATATATACAGTAAAATCTCTCTAATATGAACACCATTGGCACTGATCAGAAGTACTCAGTTGATAGAGATAATCATTATTAGGAGTTTTCACTTGTTTTCTTTCTCTCTCTCTCTCCAAAGGATAAGTCTTCGTTTGCACTCAGTTGTCGAATGCATCAAATGATGCTCACCAGGTACTATTATTACTACATAAAAAATTAGTTTTATTTAACCTATGACACACAGATTAATGAGGTTATTATTACTAATGAGGTTTCAAATGAACACTCACTATTCGGAATAATGAGGCATTTATACAGAGAGGTTTCACTCTAGTCAGCAAAGTACAAAAACGTGACTTCTACTTTGGAAATAACGTTTATTGTGTCGATAGCAGTCGAGTATTCAAATGTAAATTAAAATAGTTCATTAGAGAAATGGGTTCGATCTAAATCGATGTTTGCCGAATAACGAACAATGTTGCTTGTGATGAAACTAACGATTAAAGTTGCTGTATAGATAGCTTGAATGAGTGATATCTTTCATGAAAGAAAATATTCCAGTCCATTGAATTATAAGATCTGATAAAATAAAATGAAGATCTAACATATATAAATTCTAAAATATATCATAAAAATGAAGCTTAAACTCGATGAAGATAATTGATCACTTTGACAAAATGATACTGGTCAGCTGACAAATAACGTCATTGCAGTGTTCGATGCATTATATAAATTCAAAACAATGATTATCGATTTCACAGCTAATTTTATGAACTTTGCAAAACATTGGTATAAAGCTACAGAAACTAATATTTGGTTAAACAAGCGTAATGTTTGTCTCATCGTATCAAACTAAGCGAGAGACATCTAAATAATCTACAATCAGAGTTTTCTTTTTCGATAGCTGTACAAGTTAGATACCATCAAATAATTTTATGGCCATTGTCAAATTAGTATGATTCAATTTATGTATTTATTTTGGTTTATTTCAATAAAATTGTAAAATTCATAAAGACATCAGATAAAAAGAAATTAATGGATACATCTTAGTCTCTTTCTCTCACGACATCTTGATGCACTTTGGAATAGAATAAAATAGTTTTGAAGTTGAATATACTTGATAAATACCGAATCAATAATTTTCATATCAATTACTTGTGTTAAGATAAATAACAAATGTGACACACAGAGATATTACGAACTTAATAACAATCTCGCCATGATGAACCACATTCTCGACGAGTAAAAGCTAAGATTTACTGATCATATTTTCATTGATCATCGCTTGAGCAAAGATGTTTGCTTTATCTTCATCTAAATTCAAAGTGACGCAATCCAAAACAATATATTAATTTTAGAAACAATCCTAATAGATCCATTTTCGACGTCAGATTTCTCTGTATGATTTGTTTTTGGAAAGTGTGATTGCTCAATAAAATTATAATTTTGATATTAGTTAAGGCAGATTTTTCTGTTTAACGATTGCCATTCGTTTCATATTATAGCAAAGTATATTTGCAATAACAATATACAATGGTTATTTGCTTTTATGCTTTGAAAAGTGACAATAAGTTGCATTCATCTTCTAACAAATTAGTAATCGATGTTTGATCTTCATTTACAAAAGTACAATATAGTGATACGAAATATAAAACATTTAACACATATCGGGGGTTTTCAAAAGTTGAATGAAAGCAGGATTCAATCTTTTACCAGTAAGACACGTTCTGTTTCTATTGCAATAGTCTCCACCATCGTATTGTGTATTTCATTTTTAGGCATTAACTCTAACATATGCGTTACGTCTAAAATATTTTTCACAAGGGAAGAAAATCGAAGCGCTGCTTCCTTAAACCCATATAGATAAACCAAATATTTCCATAATATTGTTACGTGTACATTTTGAATTCTAACAAGATCCATTGATTTCGATATAATTATAATATGTTCTTTCTCATCAAATGTAACAATTGAACAATTGCTGGAGAATATGATGACAAATAGCATTATTTTAATAAGACTGCCATTTGGATCACATCGCGCAGAATTCCTCGAACAATCCATCAGAAATTCAGCTCCGTAATATGCACTGGCAGCATTAAAAAAAACTGAATTATTGTATAGATCAAGCTCACGACAAAGAAAAATTCCATTATATGCACCGGTAGAGCTTAAATTGTGTTTAGTAAGAACTCGACGAGCGTCAATCGATAGAGCATGCAAATTTGGTGAATGTTCAATGAATGATTGAATACCGGTAAAAAATTGACCAACCATATTGTATGTATCCGATGATTTCAAACGTAGTTTAGGAGGCAATAAAGATAATTCGTGAAGGGAAGATTGAATTTGTGCAGAAGGATTCTGTTCATCAAATGCATGAAGAATATTTGACAGAAGAGTCCATTCATTAGTTGTCAATGTTGATCGATCATTTCGAAGTAGACTAAGTGGCAAAGGCTATATAAAGAAATTCAACAACACAGAGCATTTTCAAAGAAAATTCAAAAAACTAATATTACTGTTGGCAACTCAATCTGCTTGCACTCGACCATTCTTTCTTGTTCCGTTTTGTTGGAGAGAACAGTGGAATTACAAACACGACTAATTAACTTAGGGTTCATACCCATTGCTAAACATTTCTTCAAACGACAAGGGAAACAGTGGCTACGTGTCTTTTTTGTTATATTGCAATCATTTTGAAATTGACAGACTGCCACGAGCTAGTTGTATCATTAGTATAAAATTGTTTACTTTTTAAATATGCATATAACTTACTGATTTTTTCTGTGCATTTCTACGAAAAAATGATTCACAGGACATACATGTAATAACGTTGAAATTCAGGCCACATGCCATATCACCACATATACGACAGGACATAGAAAACCCAGATGTTGCATTGCACAAAGTTTTTTTATCTTTCATTTTTTTGTTAAGAATATACGGCAAACGTTTTTTATGAATGAAGATTTCCGCTCTATTTGGTTATGACCAAGTGGTACAGTCTATGCCTCTTTGAATCTATGTCAATAAACTGTCTGAACTATATTACCTCTCTAATTAAAAAGAAATAGAACAGCAACAGAAAAATAATAAAATAAAATTTATTAGCTTCTCATACTTATCCAATGAAATTTGTAGTCTAACGCGCTATAATAGTGTGACGCTACATTACAGGATAAAATGACGCATTACTCCATTTCTTCGAGAATCTTATACTAATGTCGGTATATATATATATATATATATATATAATATTAAGAAAGCTATCAAAACAATTTTTGTAATCTCAAATGATTAGTACGATACGGTTATTTGTATTTTAGACGAAAGGGTAATAATGACAAATTATATAATATATCAGCCCTTACTTAAGATATATCGATAGACGTAGCGCTAGAGTATTCACTCTAAGTTGAGTACCAAATACAGCTCTATCATTGGAATAAAGTAAAATGTAATTTGCTAGACCTACCTTCTAATTTTAACAGCGTAATAAACAGTTTCTATTGAACTCGCGCTCAAACGTGAAATGTTTTAACTATATTTTAAGTGAGCCACTAATTTTTCCAAGTCTGGAATTTAGAGAATTTTTTTCGCAAAAAGAAATGATGAGACTTCGAATTGCATACTACTGAAACTGATACCTAAAACAGTATAATTAGCTTAATAGTCTTTATTTTGTGATCATATTATTTGGCATGATTGTTGATCTTCTGAAAACAGCTATTTAAAAATTAAGTTACCAGAAATTTTGTCAATCAAAGTACTAAGTAACTCTGGCATCTGGTGGAACACGAAGTCAAGCATAATTATTATGACGTGGAGCCATACCCGCACGTCAGAACATATTTCGAAATTTCTCTTACGCATAAAAAACTGTTTAAAAGGTAAAATTGCTTTGCAGCGGACTATTTAGAAACAACCTTAGTTTTGAGCGATTCAACACTTGAAAATAAAAATCATTCTTAGTTTTGATGAAAGATATCCTTCATTTTTCACTTTAATACTGCGTATTTTAGAGCATTAATAACAATACTCGGGCTTGCTAATTTTTGACAGAATACTGTCTACCTGTTTTATGGAGAAAAAAATAAGACATGGCCCGTTAGAAATCATTTATTGAGCACCTAATACACGTTTTAAGTGATTTTTAGTTTGATTGATTGTTCTACAGTATTTGATATTATCATGAAGTATTATTATTCTGCGATAAATTGTATTTAGAACGTTTGGTAGGGTTACTTTGTCTGTCGTGTAACTTGCTATGGAATATTCCAGGCAGGTTATTTGCTAAGCTTTTTGTTTCATATGTAAATATTTGTACTACACTTTCAAATCAGTAAGGATTTTGTAGTCTGTTGATCTTGGAACGTTATACAATTTATACACCTGTTTATCCAATAAAAAAAGCTATTTTTTAATAAATACAATTTCTAAAATCAATCCTATATAAATTAAGCTAATCACTACTGCGATACGCATGTAATTTTACTTAGAGCAGTGGTAGACGACACATAGAAAGACGTTTGTGGTGGTAAGACGACTGATCAACGATCTATCTATTAATATTTAAACTCATGCACGCCGAAAATCATCCAATGCCATCTTTAACCAATAGCTTACAGTAGAGAACACTTGATGATGATGATACTTTCGAACAGAGTTTCATCAAAAAGAACAATATAAAAAATTGAAACAATAACATTTTTGAATGAGCCTCTAACCACACTTCAAACTTCAAAAGAGTAAAAAGTAGTGCCGTAGGTATCACGAAAGAAAAAAAGATTAATCACAATATCTTTTGATCTTCAACTCTCTAAGCATTTTTCTGCATTTCATGAAATGAAACAATTGATTTGATTCAAATAACCTAACCATAAAACATGAACTATTTCTTTTACTTGTTAAAATTGAATAGATTCAGCAAACTTCAATTAGATCTTGATTAACCTGTTCTAGTTTCAATTATTCAGCTACTTTGACGGTTGAATACACCTAGTTGTTATATTGAATTTCAAGCGTTTCGACAACTCAAGAATGTGACGCAAAACAGAAATCATTTTTGTTTTAAACGCTTTTAAAAAGTGGCTCTTGGCTTATTCAGATAAGAGAAACGCAATAGTCAAACACAACACGTATCTTCTACACACTATAATCAACACGAACTACAAGTCAATTGATAGACATATGCTAACAACTTTTGACATCCGTAAATATTTTCTGGTTCAGCAGTTGAATCAAACAGAACACGCTTAGATTATATTAAGTCAATATATTAATGTCATGGTATCAAACTTTGAAATCAACGAAAGTTTTCTTTCAGACAAAATTCCTGTTAACATAGTCTTCATCCTACTCAGCTCTAAAATGAATATTGCTCTAAAAATATTTTAATTTTTTAATCAATATTTTGAATTATTGTGCTACTGATCCGTAGTCAACAATATTTTTTAACATATGAGACAAGTCATATATGGTTGATAAATTTCAGTTGAAACTAGCAAGAAAGACTCTTGCTAAGAAAAATATTTTATAGTAATTAAAAAATTACCTGTAGTTTAATGATTACTTTAACCCAACCAACAGTACGGTTTCATATTTATCACATTAGAAAAGAATTCACATGATTCAAATTAAATTGATCATAGTTGGAGACTGCAGCCATGAAACACGTTATCTACTAAATAATATTTGCCTCATATGTGGCCTACATTGGGCAAGTAGAATTAGTTTTCAATTTTTTTCTATTCTAAAATTTATTTATAATAGTAAACATTCCATCATCATAAATTTCTCGATCGCATATGACCCTAGAGTTTGCTTGATCCTATTTTGACCTTTAATCACCAATTGTTGTTCACGTTCAGTTTACTTTTATGTAAAAAACAACAAAATCAGCCAAGACACGCGATTCACAATAATTGAAATTTTTCTCATAGTTATAATATCTATATTTATAATGACGAAAAGTCGCTAGGCATCAAATTCGTCTGTTGTCATATACATGCATTAAGTGAGAGTAGGTTCACTCGGATATAACCAATTTAAGTTGTGTTTCTTTTACAATGGTATCAAGGACTCGATTACGATTTTTCCCATGAGGCGTTGCATTTAACGTACTCATCAAATCCACCGCATTTTTTACAAGTCCAGAAAATCTAAGTACCGCTGCATGAAATCCGTATAAATACAGTAAGTATTTCCATAACATAGTCACATAGATATTCTGAATACGAACGAGATTGATCGAACTTGATACAATGGAATATGGTTCTTCATCATTATATATCACAATTGAGCAATTACTTGAAAAACCAATGATGAATAACAAGATTTTAATGAGACTACCATTGTGATCATATCGTGCAATATTTCGACGCATTTCGATCATATATTCAGGCCCATATACTTGAGCAGTGAGATTAAAAACAGCCGTATTATCAAATACGTTTAACTCACGTCCAACGAAAAGTCCATTCATCACACCAATAATATACAAATTATGTTTAATAAGAAGTTGACGAGCATCGAATGGTAAACCATGAAAATCTGGCGAATGCTCTAAAAGTGATCCAATACTTCCATAGAGCTGACTAATAAGTTTCATTAGTTCTATCGGTTTCGAACGTAATTTTGGAGGTAAAGCAGAAAGTGCATCAAGAGAACATTGAATACGTGTCATAGCGTTTTCTTCATCAAATGCATGAAGAATATTTGAGAGTAGAGTCCATTCATTCGTTGCCAATGTTGATCGATCATTTCGAAGTAGACTAAGTGGTAGAGGCTATATAGAAACGAACATAGAAACATAATTTAAAAAAACAATGGATAATAGTACAGTTGGTAGCTGAGTCTGTTTGGACTCTGTGACTTCTGTGCGTTTGTTTTTCTTCAAGATCATGCTGGAATCTGAAACGTGCCGAATCAGCTCAGGGTTCATTCCTAGTTCTAAGCATTTTTTCAAACGACAAGGTGAACAATAACCACGTGTTCTTATTGTTATATCACAATTACTTTCAAATTGACAAAGTGATGACAGCTATTCAATAGATAAAAATAGGATTTTTTAATATATTTTGAAAGATACAAAAATCTTACCATTTTTTTCTGTGCATTTCTACGAAAAAATGATTTACAAGACATGCACGTCATAACATTAAAATTGAGACCACGAGCAGCATCACCACATATTCGGCATTCCTTACGAGACTCAATTCCATTGGCGTTTACTGTTTTTCTATGTTTCATTTTTTAAGAACGAAAATTCTGAAAGTGTTGAATTGACGTAGTTTTGAAGAAATATCATAAAGTGTTTCTATGTTGACGCCTATGTTCTCGTAAGGAATCGCATCGCAGAATGAAAAAAAAAGAAATAAAATTTATTGGTTGACTAGCTTATCCAATCTTATCTTCAAATCAGCACGGTAATCGTTTGACGACAGGTGCCGTGATAGCAAAATGTCGTTTACTACTTTAAAAAGGCACGACTTTCATCTGAACATTGAGATCGTACTGATCCATCTTGCACAATATACTGCTACATTATATATCAAGTGATATTTGAAGCAGAATGATACTACTATCTTTATGAACAAAACATTGCGACAATAGGTCTCTCTGTTTTTCAGTTGTTAATATCGTGCCATTTGAGCCTCATGAAAGGGGACATCCCAATTATGATGTGGCATTATCTATTTTTTATCATAATAAATGTTAAGGAAAAGCACGAACTATGATAGAATAAAAATCGAACCGCGTGGCCTCGATTTTGACGTGGTGATAATGAGAAAAATATACAAAAGAGACATTTTTTATTTTCTTCACAATAGAAAGTTCTTCTCATTGTCCCTACTTATGTTGATATATATATATATATATAGGAGAATATTAATCAAAAATAAATAAGAGTAGAAAGAGAGAAACAAGAATTTTTTTATGTGGTTCGACAACTATGTTTCAAACAATTCATCTTAATCGCCGTAGCCGATAGACAGGTATTCTATGATGGTTACTCGATGAAAACACAAAGGAGTCTGTGGTATTTTGACTTCTATCGAGTTGTCTTTTGTGACACTTAATCAAGTAAAACATCGCGAGAAAAAAGAAACATCATGAGAAATACATTACGAACGAGAGTTAATTCCATTTTTGCTTTCACACTGCTGAAAAACTCTTTTGATGAACTAATTGAGTCGGCCTCTCAAAGTTTTTCCTAACGACTTGTCGAACAAAAACAGTTGAGTGACGGTATTTATGGCTTCCTACAAGATCTATGCTACCACGCGGATGCTTTTGTTTTCGGAGCAGCATTTTTAAGGTTCAGGTAAGATAGAAACACACCATGGGTCCTTCTTAACCCTTTCCGGCCGGCTGTTTGAAAATTGCCGTACCCCCCTAGGGGAAAATGTTGCCATTTGGCAACACCCGGCCGGAAAGGGTTAAGAGCATAAAATTATTTCTAAATTTGTTTTGAAAATACATTTTTATTCTTATCTTTATTCACTAAATATATAAAGAAGAAAACAAATTTCTGTAGTTGTTTGTCCCTCGGACACATTTATTTAATACTTGTAAAGCGTTTATTTTTATTTGAGAAGCCAATCTATTGCACTTACTAGCAATTGAGAGAGCATTCTCTGTTAAGTGATAAAGACAATTTTTTCCTGAAAATTCATATAAACAGATATATAAGTAATATATTACGTTTAGATTTTTACATCAGATGCGCTCAAATTGTATTTTTAGTAGAACTAGAAACGTAAAATACAGTAGTCGATCACTAGTTTTGACGGGAACAGATGAATTGTTGACTTTCTCGCAGATGTTTTTGAACACTTTCGAACAAAATTTTGAATTTTCCATCAGTTCATACAATACTTGAAAAACAAAAAATAACATTACACTATTCATGAAAAAGCTCATCTACTTTCAATGCATTCTACTACACTACTATATACACACTTGTATATACTTCATTTTCTACACGAGTCTCGTCATGTATTACTCATCAGACGATAGAGTTCTGTGAATTATCTTTGAAGTGTTTCCATTTCAAAATTTAAAATATTCATCATAGCTTTAAATGATATCTTGAAATGGTATTGTATCTTTCTTTCTTTTTCCAGATATACGTATTTACTTTAACTACATGATACAAATAACTTGGACAGATAAGATAGTCTACTTCGTCTGTATATATTAACTCGCTGTATAAATAAACTATCTAATTTTGTCTCATTTAATTATGCTAAGTGTTCCATAGACCGTATGGTTCGATATAATCTTACATCATCTATAAGCAGCAAGCTTTTCAGTCACAGAAAAACATTTACTTCTTTTTGCTGTTTATTATGTTTACAAAGTAGTCTATTCTTATTTTCCATAAAAGGATGTGGGAGTGTACATATGCAAAAAATGATACTAGCGCACTGTAATCAAAATAACTGATGATGCATTCAAATTATATTTCGAGAATCGAAAGTTTTTTAGATATTTAAATCCATTCACCATGTAAGCTTCGACTAGGGACATAGTCTTTCATAGTATGTATTCAACGTCCTTTCTTCGAATATCAGTTTTTGAAACTATTGAGTCTTCTGTGAACTAACAACCTAAGTGTCTTCATCTTTATGCTCGTAACTTTCATAAAAATTTAGCTCACATAATCGATCCATTGAAATAGGATGCATTGATTTCAATCGAAACTAGGAAGCAAGTTTTTTATTTACAAAAATAATGTTACAGTTTCATGCTAGTGGACTTTGTTTTCATTTTTAACACATCACTTTTATTCAATTTGATTTTGATTTTGCCTAATGAATAATAGATAGTAACCATGGTACGGCATGAAGTCTTTACATTGACAATATCGAATAATGGCTAAACATTAGATGCATCCATTGCCACGTGAAAACATGAGCTAAACTCTAATTCAGTCGGATATAACCAATTTATGCTCTGTTTCTTTTATAATAGTGTAAAACATACGATTACAATTATCGCTCTGAGGGTTCAAACCTGACGTGCTAATTACATCGACTGCATTCTTTACAAGTCGAGAAAATCCAAGTACCGCTGTATGAAATCCGTATAAATACGCTAAGTATTTCCATAGCATAGTTACGTAGATATTCTGAATGCGAACTAAATCAATTCAGCTTGATATAATAGAATACGACTGTTCATTGTCATATTTGACGATGGAACAGGGGTGTTACTAATTTACGCGAACAGCACGAACACCCAACTTTACGAAGTCGAATATCAGTTTCGCTTACGAACACCCACAACTTGTAGAGTTATATTCACGAACACCCATTTTTTACTAGCTATAGGAAGAAAAACTGTCAACCAATGCGAAAAAATGATCCCTCTCAACACGAACATCCAAAATCTCTCTTTTTGTCTATAGTAACATCTTATACTTTTGCTTACGAACAACCACAGAACTCCATAAGCTACATTTTGACTAGAGTACATGGCATTCTCGAATGGATTTTTATAAGTCCGTGAGAAAACCACTCTACGTACGGCACCGGAGAAAAAATATTTTTTTCGATTGAATTAGCTTAAATGATAGGTCTGTTCGAACCGTTGTTAAATTCAAAATATCGAATCATTTGGTTGTTCCTATGGAAAATGGCAGAAAAAGCAAGTTTAAAGGGTAAATGGACCTCGATCGAACTTCTCAAGTTTGTAGAACAGATTTGTGACATATCTAATTTTGTAGAGCTTGTAAAGGCGCATCGAGTGGTATGTAGGAGCTCGAGTTTTCACGTTTGAAAGGCCTATATATTGTTTATAGCACGTAGCAATCTATATGATACTCGTAGAAATTGTGGGTCCCTATGATGACATAGTATAAATTTATAAGAACTCCTTTTTGAGACTCGGTTCTATACAGGAATGGATGCTATTCAATTTTTTATAGCCGATACTTTTTATTATTGCTTTGCTATAACGATAGAGGGTCGTCTTGAAGAACCCTTTACGAATTATGGACAAATTAACACTTTCATATACTTACTTCTGTATCACAGAGCAATTGAGTAACAACGTGAAAGTTTCTTAGAAACTGCACACTATTGACCTCTACATATTTGATAGATAAGATCTTTCAGAAAATTAGGAGCTCGTTGTTAGCTCAGAAAATAATTCACTAATACAGCTTTTTTCCTAAAGGGAGGGCTGAGTATATTGATAAGATTTCAATAATCTGCTACAATCCTAACCAACATTTTTACGTTACAATAATCAGCAGAGCAACTTCAATCGATGTGCATGGATAAGTTCTTTGAATACTGAAAAAGATTTGCCCTTGTTCTGACCCTGAAGAGGTCTACAGGGATACAATAATACCTACACGAGCACTATTTTTATTGTCTGTTTTACCAATGTCAATTCCGACTAGACAGATTTTATTTATACGTTGAACCTTTGAATAATACGCAAATATCTTATGTATATTGCAGAAACATATTACTTTCATATACCTCTAGGCCCCTTCAGGGTCAGAAGGAGTTCTTATAATTGTCCTGATAAATCGCTTATTATTTTCCACAAGTTTATTTTGTATTTCATCATAACTCAATTTTTTCTGGTAATAAATAAGTGTAAATAAAAATGCATATATATAGGATGGCGTAAAATTTTACGGGCTTTCAGAATATGTCGTTACTTTTAAAAAAAATATGTTCTTTTGGTAACAATACTCTCAAATGCAGAGTGAAACTTATTTTTTCCAGAGGTATATATATACAGCTTTTATATCTAACTAAAACTTCACTAAAAACTCGAAACTAGTACATGATCACTTTGTGAATGTTTTTTTCTTTTGAACTATTTTGTATTTTGTACTTAGTATTAAACAATTTCTCAGTCAGCCCACTAAATAGGCGAAAGGAAAAATATTGTTAAAAACAAATGTCACTATAATACAACAATTTGTCCAAAACACATGATTATACGGATTAAAAGTTTTTTTTCGTCTAAAGAAATAGCAAAATTAAGTGGTTTTCGGAAATTTTCTACTTTCTTCGATAAAATATAGGACAAAAATAGAACTTTTTTGAAAATATAGGAATTATAAGAAATGTAGGTCGAATCGCAGCCCAATTTTTAACAAAAATCTTTACCTTCAGTATGTGAGTCAAATCAGTCGCTAAGAAAATATAGGTTAATTCTTCCAAATTAAACATTTCGATGCATTCCTACATGAATATTTTTGTCCTATCGTAATAACGGCAGCTAAATGAATGTAGCCAAAAGTATGATCTACAATTTTCTAAGAACATCCATGCTCTTTTAAAACCAAAAAAAAATTTCCTAACTACAGCTGATATCAATGAGATACATCATTGGCATGTTTATGAGAAAGAAATTATGCAGACGTATGCTATCAACTTTCATCGACGAAAGATGGCATCACTTTTGAGATTTGACATTGAACAGGATATGCGATACATACTATGATTTTGAGCGAACATAGCTATGTGATAAATCTATAATGTAGAGATGAAAAACGCCAGACATCTAGAAATCATTAGAACGGGTTTTGAAATAATGTATTGACTCCTCTGGAAAAATAAATTTAGCAAGCTATTCTTCTTCCTACGTCTGTTTTATTTTATTCTCAACAATTATAAGTAACTATAATGATCTATTTGAAGTTCATGAGAAAATATTGCGATGCAAATAATTATTTAATACTCGTGTGAATACACTGTTAGATTGCTTCGTTTAGAAATGTTCACAAATAGTAAAATTCTAATTTTGACTTGTTGAAGTGCGTCTTGCATTGTGCCTTCTGATATTATATATGGCATGGCTTACGGCATAAGTATATCAATGACAGTTACTAGGGGATAGCAATGTTCATATTTCTAGTTATTAAATTAAATCCTCATCGGCTATCAATTGACATTTAAGAAGACACTATCGAATGATGACATATTTGTATCCGATTCATTGACGCTTTTATAACGTCGGTATTGTTATTACGTATGACGAGAAGTAGTCCAAAGGATAGGAGAATGTTTCATACTAATGATACTAAAGAAAAAGTAATGTGCATTTCTAAGTTTTTGAAAAGTTTTCAGAACTCTTGTTTATCAATAAAAACTATGTATTTTGTTTTGCAAGTTTATATTCATATCAATCATATTTGCTAATGACATTTATACAAATTGACAATATTTATCCAGGATAGTTTATGTAGGTTATCACCATCTCTCTGATGTTATACTAGAGAAAATTCATTATAAATTAAACTCAATGAATATTTAATTTTAAAAGTAGTACCTATTAAAATTAAATTACCTACAGATGAAATCACAGCTGCATAACTTTAGCGTTGACTCGCTAATCTCGTATGTTTTTGATAATGATTCATTTTATTATTCTTCATATAAACTATTTTATTGATTAAAAAAGCACATGAAGATTATTTTAAATATATAAACTGCACAAGGATAAACAAGACGGCGGGAAATTTTGAGATTCTCTAAAATAAACATTAAAATGTGGAATGACTGCAATCCCGAGGTTTTTCTTTACACATAAAAAAAAAGAATAAAATTAATAAATGGTAATGATAAATGATAGATATCTCATACTTTAAGCTTTCATTGCACAGACAGACACAAAAATCTACACGAAAGAATACGTACTGTTCTAAATATGTCATTTATTCAATCATTTAAGATCAACATCACCATTGATTTTTTTCCCAATATCATCAATCATTGAACGAAATATTCGATCAGTACGTAATGTTGACAATGATGTGTCATCATAATGTTTTAGAAATAATTCCTTATTTTGTTCTTCAACATCAGCAATCAACTGGCGAAGTAATTGTACTTCCAATGATCGTTCTTCAAATAATGGATTATCGTTTAAGTATCGATTTAATGCAGTGCTAGCATTTTCAACATCAATACATAGTGCACACATTGTTGCTCTAAAATCAATATTTTTAAATAAGTTAAAATCAAAGTTTCCATTAGTTACTTTAGCCAAAAATCTTTGGCACTAAATTTAAGCATAGCATCATCTTTTGCTTTTTGAGCCATTTCTTCAAATTCTTGTTGTGCTTCTATAAATTGATGTTGAACTACAAGTGTTTCAGCAATTTTCTTTTGTACTCTATTTGCACTCGCTTTTTGTCCTTCTTGTTTTAAAAATCGATATGCTTCTCGTAAACATTTTATCATATTTTCATAATCATTCATTTGTTCATATAGTTCTGAAATTTTTTCCAATATTTGTGATGCCATTGTCCATTTTCCTTGAGACATATTTAATTCAGCAGCACGTGTTAACGGTGATACAGCTTGAGGTAAATCAAACATTTTATATGACGATGCAATCGCCTCATACATTTGAGTTTTTTCGAAATCCTCGGTACTTAAATCCAACGCTCGCTTATAACCTTCGACAGATGTTGGATAATCACCTTCAGCTTTTGCTGCATTACCCGCTTGAATAAAAAGTTCACGAGCATCGTCGGTTATTCCACTACCTGACCCAAGCATACGTTGAAAAAATCCATTCGCTGTTTTAGCCTTTTTATTTGCCTCTGCCATTAATTGTGCAGCGGATTTATTATTAGTTCCACTAGCCATAAGTAAAAGAAAATATTTAAAATATCTAAAAAACAACAAACGTTTTATTTCAATAAGGATGACTGAGATCCGTTTAAGTAGAATTCTGTTAATTACAAAAATGAAAAAGAAGGAAAAGACAGAAGCAAAAAAAATGAATGTAACATCAAGTTGACCAGCTTATTTTGATTTACATCTGAATAGAAAATTAGAATTATTTTTTATAATTGAATTTTGTGTGTTTTATTTTCAAAAATTTTACCTTCCAACGTAATCCACAATTTCTACAAAAAACAAACAATGTCATGGGTTCATCAGCACTACGTGTTTGAACTTCTGTATAAGCACAATTATTTTGTTTACATCTATCAGTATTTCAAAACATGGGTTTATATCTTATTTTGAAAATAACCAATAAAATTTACCGTTTACATGGAATGAGATCAGTACCAGTGCCTTCATCGACAGCAAGTTGATATTCATTAATCGCTAAATCGGTTAATTTTGATCGTTCTTGTTTTAATGCATCACTTGCCATGTCCTATTTTAAATGCGATGCTCTTCAAGAACCTTCTAACTGATAGAAAGTACTTAACAAACCTCAGCAGTAAGTACAGCTAATCGTTCTGGTATAATTATACCGAGAAGTACATTTCGGCGAAGATTTGGATTTTTTGCATCTTTCAAATTTGAAATACGACTTCGTATACGGTTACGGTATTTAACACCTGTATCTTTAAGTTCTTTATAAATAGCTATAAAGAAAAACGAGAGATGTTATTTCGAATGAAATATTTTTCGCTATAACCATCTTCAACGCGAGCAGACAACTCCACTGGATCAGCAGAACCTTCGGGAAGTTCAGACATTGAAAGAGCAGCAGCTAAGAGATCGCGTGATTTTAGTCTAGAATAAATAAAATCTTATTGATATTTATGAATAATTTGAGTTCGTACCGAAATTCATCTTGAGTTTGTAATGCGGTATAAAACTTCGATGAAGACGGTTTTCCTGATAATTTTTGTTTTGTAGATTTATTCGATTCAATATTTTTTCCATTGTTCACATTAGTTTCTTGTGAACTTTGACTGTTATTCGTATTGTTTGATGTTGATGATTTTTCAACTTTATGTATCGGTCCTGGCGATGTTTCTAATTTAAATTAACACAAAATAAATCAATTAATTCGCCATTTGTTAAGAAAATAAATAGCAAACCGGATACAAGTTTTTTCCAATTTTTTAGAAGGCTTTTAGCAACGATGGATAAATCTTCATTAGTAATTAACCGTCGTAAGTTATTGACGGTTTTTCCAATACCCGTTGTTTGTAGGATAACAAGTGTTATGCGTGATTCTTGTAAACGAACAAGTAGATCTCGAGCAATATTTTCATCCTAAATACATATATGATTAAATAAAAGATGTGAATTTTTTTTTCAGAAATTCAAACAAACCACGTCTGATTTATTGATCATTTTCTGTAATTTTCGATTAATTTTCATAATTTCCTCTTCAGTCATATTTTCAATATGATGCTTTAGCCAATCTATAAAATTTTAAAAGATCGCCAAAGCAATAAGACAGCTTGTTCTATTATTATTCTTAAAGGAACTATCAATTGTTGATCGTAGAGATTATGAGTCATTTGTGTTTTCATGTCAAAAAGTTATGTTCATGAAATCATTTTTATTTGACAACACTCAATTAGAATAAATCAAATAGTTGATTAGAATATCTATCAACAAAAGATTCTCAATGTTGAACAGATGACGTTGGTAACAATTTTATGTAAAGGCTAATGACTAAATTCTATTCGTCTTCTGTTCAGCCAGTTACTTGTTCTCGAGCCTGTTCGTTTTTCTTCTGATTAATTTAATCGTACTTAGTGAAGTCATCAGAATCAATTGATTGTACGTTAGTTGTTCATACGATTAAAATCAGATCGAACAGTAATTGATTGATCAATATTAATAGAAGTAACGATGAAAATTTCTATCATGATACGTACGGTTTATTAAAAAAAGAAAATTTTCAAGTCTAGTAAGCAAAATAAAAGCAGAGATGAAATCTGATTATAGTCACGACTTCAATTAATTTGATTCAATGAAAAAAATAAGTTGTTCTGATCGAATATTTCAAGGACTGTTACGTGTCATAGAATCGTAAAATATGTAATTTTTTTCTTGAAATTTTAACATCTATGTAAAGTGAAATAAACAATGAACATTTCCGACCTCAACTGTAATATCATTATTTTGTGTTAATGATTTTGCTTTGATCATCACATAAAAATCAGCCCAATAAAAATTGTTACTGATCCAATTTCAATATCGGGTTGTTGTGTTTTTTTTTATGTCTCCATCGTGTCTCAAAAGGATTTATGCATTTTCTCTTTAATTTTAGTAAGTAATTTTTACATAAGACGCTTATGCTTACCTGATTCAGATTTTCATTTAGTCGGTGATTAAGTAGGTTTTTTTTAGAAAATGGTTGGATCGATTTTTTATCATATCAAATGAACATAAATGTATATTGCAGTAGACAAAATGATTCTGGGTAAAGTAACATATTTTTTAACTTAGATTCTCATGATCAATTATAAAGAATCTTAGTGAATTAATGGCTTTAAATTGCATGAAAACTCCATTAGCAAAAATGTTCTTCTAGATGTGACTACCAATAGTTAAACTATTGTATGTGCGTATCGAGTCTATCGTTTTCTATGCTATAACTATTGTAGTTCATTCAGATAGCAAACGTATAGGTTATTTAACTGACTTGAAAATTTAATCAAAATATAAAATATAGAAAACCAATTTTATAATATTTATTTTATTTCGTAGTATATGATATAAATAAAATGGTAACAAATTAAATTCAACTTTCTTTTCAAATAACCTATATATTGTCATTAGCAATGTTTGTAATCTAATCTATCTCAATCCTTTTTTTTTGTTTTTTAATCAACGTTCATTGATATAAAGTAAATGATAACTACTTATGTAATTACTTCATGTTACGTTATTTTCCCTATGAATGTTATTGTGAACTAGATTTTGAATAGTTTAATTTTTCGATGTAATATATGGTTGGTGAATAGATACAATAAATAGATTTTAATAATGAAAGATTTTGATCTATTTTTCTTTTACCAATTTGGATCATATGAATCGTTTGTTTGCAAACATCACACTCGTATTGTATATAAACAAAGCGAGAAAGAAAGAGATTAGAACGGGCTTGATTTAACTTCATCGAACGAACGATAAGCATCAACAAGCAAAGACTTAGTTGCTATTATTCATTCATGTACAATGACGACAAGTATTTTGACTTCTTTTATGATGATTATTTGGTTAGCAGTTAAACAAGGTATAGAAAAATGAAACAAAACTTCATGAAAACTTATGGTTTCTTTAGTTCGAACTGATTGTCTCAATGATACAACAACTGAATCAACATTTGTCTATAGACGTGTGTGAGTAAATCTATGAGACAGAACTGTTTTTATTTTGAATGACTACGTATGTTTTTTTTTATTGTTTGATAATAGTTGCTATTTTGCTAATTGGGCTGCTAAACGATATGATAATATAAGTCGTTTAACTCCTGAAGACATAGATCCATTTTTATGCACACATATAAATTTTGCATTTGGAAAAGTACTTGAAAGTTTAGTAATAGCACCATATGAAGAAGATGATTTAAAAGGATGGACAGCAAGTTCCAAAGGCATGTATGAACGTGTATTAAAATTAAAAGAAGTCAATCCTGATTTACGTGTACTTCTGAGTGTTGGAGGATGGACACATGCGTCTCGTGGATTTAATGAAGTGTCAAAAAATGCTGCAAATATGTAGGTGCTTTTTTTCTTCAAACATACATTAAGAAAGAATAAGTAAAAACTTTCCTATTTATTGTATCTAGTAAAACTTTTGTCAAAAATAGTGTGAAATTTTTACGTGATAATAAATTTGATGGCTTAGATTTAGATTGGGTAAATAGTTTATTTTCTATTAATTGATTAAATCAACAATATACATTTTATTTCAATAGGAATATCCAGGAGCAAAAGATCAAGGCGCTGAACCTCATTCGAAAACTGGATATACGAAATTAGTAAAAGTAAGTGAACAATCTCAATGAAAAACAATCTTTAATAAACGAACGAAATTTAAAATAGAAATTGAGTCGAGTATTTCAGCGAGAAGCTGAACGTACCGGACAAGAAAAACTATTATTGACATGTGCTACAGGTAGTTTGTTTAATTTGAAAAAACGAAATGATAAAATCAATAAATTCTATTATTATAGCTGCTGCAAGACATCGAATCGAAGCTGGTTATGAAGTAGAAGAAGTTTGCAAGTACGAATGTCTTTGAATATCTGATCAATTCTTATTTGTTTTTGTTTCAAGATATTTCGATTTTGTATCAGTTATGACTTGTAAGTAATCGAATTTAAAGACATCGCTTATTTTTTAACAGGAAATATACTTTCTGAGATAGATGATTATCATGGGAGTTGGGATGGTAAAACTGGACATAATAGTCCATTATATGCAATGCGTAATGAACGAAAAAAATTTCGTGAATGGAATATAAATAGTTCAATGCTTGTTTGGGTTGAACTAGGTTGTCCAAAAGAAAAACTTAACATTGGTCTATCTGCTTACGGTTTGACATTCTTCTACTTTTTTTTTCTTCGATATTTTCATACGATAAACTATTACTTTAGGACGAGCCTTTTCTGTTTTCGGAGAAACAGGTATGACTAATGGTAAACCAGCACCAAAGAAAAAATCATCGATTGGAATGAAAGCAAGTGCAGCTGAAGCCGGAAAATATACACGAGAAGCAGGTGTTCTGGCTTATTATGAAGTAAATTTTTCATTTAGAAAAACAAAAGAATTCTTCTTTTTTTTCCTAAATCAATAGATCTGTGAATTAATTCAAAATAATCCCAATAATCGTGTATTTTGGCATCGAGATATGAGTGTTCCATATGTATCAAGTAAAGCCTTGTGGATTGGTTTTGATAATATTCGAAGCGTTACACTTAAAGTAAAAAAAACAATACTTACATTAATGAAATGCTTCTCTTTTAAAAATAATTAGATGCAATTTTTGAAAGAGCATGGTTATGGCGGTGTGATTATTTGGTCGTTAGATCTTGATGATAAAACAGGTGAAGTTTGCCATGAAGGACCTTTTCCAATATTTAATGCAGCAAAACGTGAATTATCTATTTTACCTGAACATCTTGTACATACTAAAATTAAAAAATGCTCTGATATTAATGCAACAATTACAGTCGAACATCTACGTTCGAAAACGACAACAATAAAAACAAGTTAGATTAATAAAAAAAAATGATTGTTCAATTCATTGAGAATGATATCTGAACTTTTAATTTTAGATATATTCTTTCTTTTTTACCTGGTGTTATTAAATTTATTTAAATGTTAATCATAATAAATAACGAATGGCCTAGATTCATTTTATCTGTTACTTCGTTTATGTGTTTTTTTAATTTTTAGATTGATCAATCAAATAAAGAATTATCAGAAAAAAAGAAACTAACTAGATCATACTCTAATATAATTACTAGACATTTAATTTATTGATTAAATATTTTTCAGTATAGCTCTGATATACGTATACGAGAAATATGACTCATCAATCACTACGATACATTTAAAAAAATAGAATGCGCTTGATAGGAGAGATTAATTTTAAAACGAGAACAATAATTAGTATTCTCAATACGATGCGAAAATGTAATAATATATTCAAAGATTATGAACAATTAAACTACAAGGAGTTCTCTTTCTATAGTTAAGAAATAATAGATTGAAAAAATAAAATCCTTCCAATTTGTCAAATAGCGAAAGTTTCTAACATGTTATCTACTGAATTTATAGACATACTTATAAGATATTGATCATAAATGAACTAGTATACAAGAAATTCATTCATTTGTTCAACGAAGATTCGAAGATGATATCTTAATGTATTGTGTTCAATAATATTTCAACATTAAATGGAAAAGAAACGCCAGCAAGAGAAAAATCTCTGTCCTATCTAGTTGATAAAAAAGATGTTAGTGTGATTCCTAGGAGGTTTACATGTGACGTTCAATTTAATTGTTTTTGTTTATCACAAGACGAGTATATTATTATATTTATTTCGGAGTATGCACCTTATCTTCACTATTCGTTTACTTGATACAGATGGCTCGTGTTAATATTTCACCCTTAGACTTAGATGTTACTTCAAAAAATGAAGACAATTATTTACTATGAACAAAACATGATAAAAACAGAGGTGTTTTTTAAAATTCATGTACGATCTCTTCGAAGAAAATGAATAATTCGATTGTAGACTCGCACATAAAGTTGACTGTCAAAAACTATAACGATTCTACTTTTGCATTCAAAAAATGGTAAAACCTTTTTTTCTTCCAAACCATCATTTTAAATATGCTTACTGCAAACTATCAAGTATTTTTCATTGAATGATCGATTAACTGTAGCATTGATTGATGCATCTATAAAAAGAAAGAAGACGGAAAGATTCATGACTGTTATTGCTTTTGATTATTTCAAGTGCAATTGAATCAAACGAAAAATACGAGATTTTTTCTCTTCTAGATGACTGACCATTTAATTGAATTACGTGAACAAGCTGGCCTTGCTTCGTGCGCTAAACGTTATAATGAAGTAATATCTATCTATAAAAATTATCTAAAAAATCATGGTGACATTCCACCACTTGATCGTCAAATGCTTTACATAGCTTATAATAAACTAATTCTGGATTATAATTTCAAATCTTATTGGAAATTAACATCGATTGAATTGAGTAAAAAAATTGATTTCGATTACTTGGAAATAATTGAAAATGAAATCGACTTTTTATGCAATGATATAATACAATTAATTGATAATTATTTTCTTGCATCGACATCAAATAAAGATTCGGATATTGTTATGACATTAAGACAACGAGGTGATTTTCTTTTTTTTAATTCATCTATTGCAAGACCAGCTACGAAACAAATTATGCTTCAATCAGCTTTACGTTCCTACACTGAAGGTAAATTAGAAAACATTTTCTTTTTTTTTGTAATTTTCATTATTGTAAAAAAAAACTAAAGCTTAGGTGTCGAACGATCTCGTTTAACTTTGCCAATAAATGAACCTGAACGAGTATTGATTCAACTACGTAAATATGCCTGTGACGTACAGCTGTCCAATGGCATATGCAATTCTCATACGCATTCAGAATTAGTTGATGCTATACAAGAAATGAAATCTTCTATTTCATCATCGGACGAAAATCCGTTACTTGTTCAAATGGAATCATATCGATTGGAACTAGAAAAAATGCAATTTTAATGAAAGTTCTTTTAGATTTATTTGTATAGATGTTTTGTTCAGAAATTATAATGCTATTAACTTGAACGATTTGCTTGTTTTCTAGAAATAAAATGATTAGAACAAAGCTAAAGGGAGTTTTTTTTTCTTTCAGTAACTAAATTTGTCTTGTTAGGAATAGAAATTTTTTGATAAACAAAACACTCTAATAACTCAAAAGATACGAGCTAATATTAAAATAAACTATTGTTGTTTGAAGGCACTACAATTTTCTGTGTAGAGCAGATAAACAAGTGTTTTTCTGATTCTAAAAAGTATTATTTTTCTACTCGCAAAATTCGGTCAATGTGAGTATAAATCTTTAAATCAACTTGCGTAGTGATACCAGTCAAACTTCAATCCTAACTAATTCGAGACCTCTATCACTCTATCGACAATGATTTTATACTTTGGAATTTCATCGATAACATTTGTTACTTAATACACAAGTGTTGTGTATTGTTGAAAAAACTGAAATGGAGAAAGAAATATGTTCTTGCAACTTGTCTCAGTCGGGCATTTGTTTTTGCAAACTTTGTTTTTTTTACCAAAAAAGGTGATTTTGAAATGCATACTCACTCCTAATAAGGTAATGCATTGCCTCTATAAACGATAGATGATTCATAAACACATGTCTTTCATTCTGTTCTCTGTTTCATCATATTAATACTACTGCATTGAGTAAAGAACATTATATCCTGTAAGCTTTTTTCTTCTTCTCTTGATGCCTATATATTCATTATATTCATCCATATATGTATACATATATATCTTCCTCTTTCTAGAAGAAACAAGAAGCTTCGTGCCAGAATATGGCATCATCAGATGAGATAGAACATTGTCCAATAAATGACTTTCCTGAGCTCATCTTAGTTCAAATATTTTCTCATTTATCAATCGATGAACGACCTGCTTTAGAAGAAACATGTAAATTATGGTATAATATTTTACGAAATTCTCATCAACTTGCATTTAGTTGTGTGATAAAATTGCATGCACTTGTTGAAGATCTAATTAATCCAAATCAAACACGACTTGGTCGTGTTTTACCACGATGGACACGGCAAACTCAAGATCACCAGAAAAATGTGAAACCTATTGATCCAAGACCATATGGATATATTCAACAATATTTAAAACGATTTCGTACGAATATTAAATATTTATATATTGATGTTGAACAACATGATCCTTCATGTCGTTATGTTCTTTGTCAACTTTTAACACTTTTTGGCCCTGAGCAATGTCCACAGGGTAGACAAATTCGTTCCTTTCGTTTACGATTTATTAGTCATAATCCGTTACTAATGCCATCTTTGGATATAACTCAAGCATTACGAACATTTTTTCAATACGATTCTTCGAAAAATCGTCGTGAATCTCTTGTTTCATGTGATTTATCTGGCCTTATGATATCATTAGATGATGATACAGTTTTAATATTGACTAAAAATAATCCATATTTACGTAAATTAAATCTACAAGATCAATGTCTAGTTTGTAGATTGAGTCAATTTTGTATTTTAAAAATAATTGATACTCTTGACGAACTTGAAGATTTATGGGTTGATATGATATCATTATCAGATGAATTTATTATAATGCTGAGTGGGAATGATGATGAACAACAAATATTTAGAAAATCAAATATCAAACATTTAGGTATAAGAATAAGACGAGAAGAAAAATTTTCAGACGAAATCGATGCAAAATTATGGCAAAAATTACATGAAAAATATCCTCATTTAAAAGTGACATTGAACTTTGGTATAACAACGCCGCTCCATCGCATTCGAGCTTATATGAAACCTGATTTACAATTACAAGTATGTTTAAAAGCTTGAAGATAAAAACGATGAGTTTTGTTCTTCTTTCTACTTAGGTGCAAACATTAATTATTAATACACCAATTCCAGTAGCTGATGAACTTTGTTTAGCAGCAAACAGTTTTGGTGATACTTTAGAACATGTTTATGTTCATACGTCTGGGCAATGGGCTGCAATGACACGAACGCCAGCATTTAATCAAGCTGTTATGTATTTAGCGTATAAATGTGTTCATTTACAATCACTTCATGTTGATGTTGCACTTAGCGAAGACACAATTGAAGAAATTTATCAGTTACATCCACACTTGAAAAAATCTGGTGCAAGTAAACTTCTTATCACTGATAGTCCAACACACATTATTAATCCAGAAGATATGGGCGAATTGTTTGGATGAATATTAAAATTAAAATTTCTCTTATTTTCACAACCGTATGTAATACAATCGTTCAAAAATGGTTATTTATGAAATATTCATATTGGCACTTTGACAATAACCAATTTATAACTGTAAAAGAATGTTTGTTTTAAATTCTTTTGCTTTTTTTATTTTTCTGAATTTTATTAACATGATTTATGAAACGAAGTTTGATATATTGTTGTTTTTATATACAACTCATAAGATCAATATATCTATTTATCAATAAATAACATAATAGATAAGAATAAATGATTCGTATTATCATTGATATAATCACTACGTCTTTTAAAACCTAGTCTTTGTCATACTGACTTTAGTTAGTAATATTTAAGCATTATCATATTTAGTTTTGATGTAATCTTACGGTAACGATTACCGAAATGAATTAAAGATATCAAAACTTTATTGTAATTAAAAATATTGAAAAGTAAGTACCCATCTAGCCGATAATGGAAAAATCACCCATTATTTAGAGTAATAGTTTTTAAGGTAGAAAATTCACCATTTTCGTAAAAGAGATATTGAAAAAGGGATCTGACAAGTAAATGTTTGATTTAACCCAGCTTTCTGTGAATCAGGCACTTTTCAATAAGAGTCGCGCAACTTAAAGAACTAATAAATCTAACTTGAGTCACAGCGCTCAGAGTATTTTTCGAATCCATCTTCTCCCATAATGGAAACCTAATCGTATTGTTAGAAATTACTAGGGAATTCAAGGAAACTACAGTGTTGAATACTTGAGTCAAAATCTAATGAGATACAGTAGGGTGCAAAAAAATTTGCTGGTAGTATTTGATAAAGTTACCTCATTGAACACGACGAATATCGCAAGGTTATATATATATATATATAAATTATACATACAACAGAGTATACAAGTATAATAATCAAGCTAGCGCTCTTTTCCTCAGCCAAAAAAAGAAAAATTCACTATAGCTTCATCGATGCACTAAAATAACTTAGGTTTGTTTTGGCTACGTACATGGATTGTGCTCTAGTCTAAAGGATTTGTTTAGAGAAAAGTAAGAGAACCCATGAATTCCGTTTTACGTCAAGATCTTGTAGGCGAAGTTTCAGCTCGATACGACGTCTTCTCGGCTTTTAAGGCCGGGAAAGAAACGCATCACTACCTTCTCAACTTGAAACCTCTATTTGACGCTGAAGATGAATTTTGATAATTTTTTACTTGCAACAACATGTTATCTACTAGCAAAAATCTATCTACTCTGAAAATTTCAAGTCGATTGGAAAAGTCATTATTGAGATAGTGCGACAATAGGGTGGGGGCGCTTTTTGTGCTGGGAGTTCTACATATTGTGATCTTCCGTTTGTTTCTAAGATGCCGTATGGTTGGAAGTCATTTGCATTTCGTTAGATACTATGGGTAGAGACCTTGTTTAAGAGAAAGATTTTCGCAGTTTAACGATCGCCCTAGTCGCGGTACTGTAAGATAACCGCTTGATATTCTAGAAAATTGTGGGCACTCGAATCACGATGTCTCTCGCCGTATCGAACGATAGTACTTTTTTAAGCAGTATCTCTCTCACTGCAATCGATAGCACAGCCTTGACGGACGATAAACGTTTCAGAAGAATCCGTTCATGTTCTTCAGAGAAATGGCTCGAAAAAACGCTCAAGGGCAGCAGTAATTTTTTTGCACCCTACTGTATATCAGATAACCATTTCAGTTTCCAAAATATTTCCCCACACAAGCTGAAGATTTTCCGAGTTTACTGAATCTCGAAAATGTGCACTAATGAACCAAAATCCGATCTCGAGTTTCTATTTGATGTAGCGAAAGGGTATTAGAATTTTAAATGCTTTTAGAATATTCTGTAGAATAAAAGAGATCACAGTGTTCAAACCTCTTAAAAGAAGTTCTCCCTCTTCGTCATTGCTCAGTTTCGGATGTATCTAGTAAACTGAAACGGCTCACAGTATCAACTATAACCGATTCGATCAAGAATCATTCGTACATGAATTAGTTTATTTTCCAAAGTTGAAAATATTTTCATGCTATTGAAACAGCCTTATGTCATCTATGCTATCTTGAACGGTTCTCGGTTTCGACTACAATGCGACATGATTAAAATGGTAAGAGTGAATTCAATAATAATAAGTTATTTATTCATTGCCTTTTGTTTTAGGCTCTTATCGATCTGATCGAACTGGTAAGTCACAGTTCAATATTAAAATTATTTCTATTTCTTTTTTCTGTGTTTTAGGTTGATATCGATTACGGTCGAAACGGTAAGTTCGAATTTAATAATAATAATAAACATATTTATTCATTAATTGTCTTAGTTTTAGATTCTTATCGATATGATCCAAATGATACGTTATGGGATATATATATATGAGGGTTGTTGAAAGTTAATGGGTTAAATTAAGTTAGAGAGATAGATTATAAGGTCAAGGGGATAGATAAGTTAATATGTTAAGGTTAAAGGATTAATTTAAGGGAATAGATGTGCAGAACCACAGAGATACAATTATCGTTATTAGGATATCGATTTAATAGGATTATATAGATCTTGTGTAGCAAATGCCAAATATGAAGTTTTCAATGCATTATAATGAATTATTTGCACATAACGCATTGCAATGCAATGCAATGATATAACCATGCATTATCATATAATTGCATCCACTGCATCTCTATAGGAAAATAATGCATTGCAATGTCAATTATTTCGTAAAATCGGCTACATGGGTAAGCCCAATGAAATAGGATAGTCGTGTAACACCATGCTTAATTCTGGGTGTTGTGTATGAAAGTATTGACCATATAACATAATAAATATTCACTCACATTCATTTATTATCGATTAAACTATGCATGTTGATATTTTGAGAAATGGCTAAAAATTGTAAAATATATAGTGTTGGATGGATATTTCGAATATTCTTCTAAAAAATTATACTCAATGTGCCAGTGTTAACAGTCACCACTTAGTGTTACTGTCTTCGCTTCTTCAGTGAACATTAGCGAAAAACAATTATCAATATTTGAAAAGAAGGAATTTGGATAGTGGTGCAAAGAAATATTGCACTCAGACTATATGAGAGCCATTACCTTCGAATACATCACTAAATATGGTGTTAATATTTGACATCTTGTCATTTGTTATTTATTTCATTTTTTAATGTAGCTAAGAAAGACATAGATTTGTCTTCATGAAAGTGTTAAAGTATTCTTTTCACAGGCACTAGTCTTTCTTGTGAAGTCAAGACAAGATCAACGTCCTCCTTTTCAATGGAATGATTTTCAACATGGAAGTATCCACGTCTCAATCTTTTAATCATTTCGGAAGTCATTACTGAATCATGTTGTTTGATCATCGTTTCAAATTCTATGCTAATTTCGTTGTATTATTGCACTTGTCTTGCTTCAATTATCTTCTTTATGTCGATGATCACACCGTGTATATGATGTTTATTTTGAGATTGCTATTCAAGTCTTGTGTAATTATCCAGTTTCCAATGTTGTTCTAGTGAATCTTTATTTTATTTTATTTTTTGACATTTTCGTCATATTTTGCAGATCTTCTTGTTAACATTGTTGATCTAATCAACGAATTCGTACTTATTTAAGTTGATAGCCACACTTACTGAACTTTTCGGTACTGATCAATTAAATGTGAATGTAAATATGAAAGTGAATTAGAGTAAAGAACAGACTTATACTCGCCTGTGCTTGCTCTAATATGTATAGAATGAAAAGGATATATAAGGAATGAAAGAGAGATATATTAAGAGCGAAAGAGACAAGCAGTATCACTGATGTTATGTGACAGAACGAAGAAAAAGTGAACTTCGTGGGACTCGTACCCACATCTTCCGCTATCCGGGTAGATGCCCTAACCCAGGTCGAACAGTCCGGCCTGGAAACGACCGGTTCCGGATGGTTCCGTTGATTTTGTGGAAGCAGTATTCCGGCTGGAAAATTTTCGCATTTTTTCCAGTGATTTCTGATCAATTCCTGCCGGAAAAGTCCGGCCGTATTTTTTATCGTAATACTGCTTCAATGTCCCAGCAATTTACCGTGTTTTCCTGCAGGATATTATGACTTTCCCGCATATTTCCTGGAGTATCCTACGGGATCCGGTAGCCGGAATGTTCGACCTGGGAACCAGTTAGACTAGAAGAACATTTTAATCTTCGTTTAGTGTTAGTAAGTTATATCACTAACACTAACAGCATGTCACCTCTCATCCACACCCACCTCCTTGCTTTATACGTTATATATTTTTGATAGGATTTAATAAATAAAATTTTAAATACATTGCATTTATCTGATTCATTTACTTTTTCCGTATTCGATGCATGATTCAAATAGTCCTATTTGTAAACTTTCATGCAGTTTAGGTTTTTACTATTGTTTCATACCCTAATCGACTCTCCCCCAACGATTCCCCGGGGAGTCCCCACAAAATAACGAAATCCCTGGGGAGTCCATGTCGTGAGTCCCCGGGGATTTCTCTGGGGACAATTGATGAAATTTTTTAAAATAAAAAAAAACTTTTTAATTTTTTTAATTTTTAAAAAATTAAGAAGAATTTATTAGTAATTAGATATTTCATCGATTTTGACCAGATAACGCCCCGGGGAGTCCCCGCAAAAGAACGAAATCCNAATTTTTTAAAATAAAAAAAAACTTTTTAATTTTTTTAATTTTTAAAAAATTAAGAAGAATTTATTAGTAATTAGATATTTCATCGATTTTGACCAGATAACTCCCCGGGGAGTTCCCAGGGAGTCCCCGCAAAAGAACGAAATCCCTAGGGACTCCCTGTCGTGAGTCCCCGGGGATTTGTCAGGGGACTCCCTGGGGATTCTTCTAGGGAGAGTTGACTAGGGTAGTTTTATTCACAAGAGTATACTCGCATTAGCTCAAAGAAACATTCATCTTGCCTGATATCTAACGTCCTCTAGCAGAACATTCGTATCAACGATTACAGATGCTATGATTGGGAAAGGAAAGGAATAATAATAATAATGAATCATAAATAATGCAGCATTATGAGTCACTCACGCATTGTTAATTTTTTTCATAAAAAGTTTTCTAAAATTTCAAATTGATCTTGTAACAGATACCTGAATTATGTCGCACAAACATTAAATTATTTTGCATTGATATTTTCGTTTACGTAAGATCTTCTAATAAATAAATCTCCTCATTAAACTTGTTTCTCACGACTATTTTCGCAATAATTACCCATTAGAATATTCCAATAGTTATCAAAAATAATATTTTGATGTTTATCAACCATACTCAAATGTAAATTATTTTTAAAAAGGGAGTTAATCAACTGAATAATATTTTTACTAATTTAGAAATTGGTATGTCATCGATTATTTCACGTAATCCAACTAAAAAGATGAGAAAGCGTAAAGAATTTAATTCTTTAATAAGATTTAAGTTAACAAGAAGTACTTCAAATGATGTACTGCGAAGTTCTGAAGATGAATTATTTATACCTCATCGAAATATGTCAACTACTAAAGTGTAAGTTTACTAAAGTTCTTCTTGAAAATTGTTATTTATCTTGCCGATATAGACATTCATCTCGGTATCGTCGTTGTTGGAAATATTCACAAAACATACTTTCTTTTATTCTTCTTGGCATTTTTATAATTGTTTGGTAATTGTATTTTACGATACGATTAATCAACGTTGATATTCCTTCTTTTACACAGTTTTGGTTTGACTTATGCAAATTTTCAATTGAAAAATGAAGTCCAAAATCTTTCATCACGTCTAGATGAAAGTAAATTATCTTATATTTTCATTTAATTTTATCTCTATTCTTTTGTTTTGCAGTTGAAACGAAATTTTCAAATACGCAAATGAACAATAGTTTAACAGTTATTGAACAAATAAAGACTCGTCTTAATTTTCTTGAAAATTGGAATATTTCATTTGTGTATAATCAATTACAAAAATTAAATGCTCAAGTAATTAAAATACTCTATTTATTTGTTTTTTAATAAAAAATTTCTACTTAGATGTTACTAAATATTAAGAATGACGTTTTTTCAACGAATCAGCCGAAAATTAAGGACAAATCAATACACTCTAATGAAAATATCAATGAATTCGATGTGAAAATTTATTTGTTTTTTTTTCTTAATTTTATAAAGAATTTGTCTTTTAATAGAATTTGGAAACAGAAATCAGATTAGGAACTATGATGAACAAAAGTGTTGCTCGATGGAATGAACAATTCAATTCTATTCGAGTAAATCATTTTTTTTAATATGAAACAAAAAAGAATTTTTTTTCTTTTTTTAAGAATGAAATTAAAAGTTTTAATCAAAATATTCAAATAGAATATTTAATACAACGTTTAGAAAAATTAACTTTTCTTGTACATAAATCATCCGATAAAGTAGGATTTTATTTTTCAAATTCATTAATTAATAGAAAAATGTATATATTTGAGAAGAAATCCGTTCTGTTAAACGACTTTCAGTCCGATCTTGATAAATTACGAAAAAAAATAGATGATTGCAAGTGTTCACAAAGTAAATCAACTCTTCTCAATGAGTGAGTATATTCCAATGTCTTCATTTTAAATATAAAATGAATAATATTTTAATTAATATTGAAATTTTGAATCTTCGTTTTCATTAGCAATTGATTTCTGGTCTACAAAAATGTCTTCAATGGCATTTAAAAAGTGTAAATATTTTTGATTAACGTCAATTCAATAGTGACTTTGTATTTAACTAGTAAATGATGAAGATAAACTACTTAATTGAGCATTTGAATAATGGTAAGTAACAAAATAAAAATAGAAATTTTAACTATCATATGATCTTGTTTTTTGATTGAAAAGTTAATCAACTTGTCATTCACACACCAATTTCTGGTTAGTTTAATCTGCCCATTGTCTTTCATAATATATTTATTCTCTATACGATAAACAGTACTTACTAATGCTCGTTGTCTCTTTTGTTGTGTATTTATAAAAGATTATTTTTGATGTTCTTCTTTGCATTAGAAATGAATTTGAATAGCTAATATCTAGAATTTACTTATTTTTATTATATAAATGTTGTTTGAAAAAGAAAATTGCGAACAAATAAAAACTTATTTTCATTTAATTACTTGAAAACATTTAAAGAAATGGTCTTGAATCAAATAAATTGAAATACGAATATTTCATCAATAGCCGAATATAAAAATGAATCTCTCGATAGCCTTTCAAAATAATGGAGTCATTGCCTATTGATAAATATTTTATTTGGTCAAATGGTATGAATCAATGCAGAATACACCAGTTGTGAAATGCTTTTCTTTATCTTGCGAAACTTTGATCAATAATCAATCACAACTATCTTTTATTTAAGTCTATAGAAATATTGAAGATCTAATTATTTATGTAACTGATCATTGTTGTTAAGTAATAAAATAGAATTAATCAATTTTTTTCTACAGTTTATGCATATTATCTTGTTCCATTTAAAGGTCATTGAAAAATAGTCAAACTAGTGTACATTCTTCGCAGACTATATTTTTTCTTTAGAATAATGTAAAATTTAATAAAATGATTCATAAATAAATCTGATAAATATAATGCATGCATAGAAAATCATTATTTGCAACTTTGATTCATATTTTTTCTATAAATTGTATGTTTTAGTAACTGCATATACGTATATATATATATATATTAGAATAAAATGAAGGAAACCAATTAATTATAGCTTGTATTCATTCTAGATTGATGTCAATAAAACGTCGACAACTATTCGTTGGTCTTCTTGATAATCAAATATGGTCAAACGAAAAATTACGTGCCTATTTCAATAAACATGCCAGTGAAAATGATGAACAATATATTGTTGATTGTGACATCATGGCATACAGTGAAACAATGTTCCAAGGTAAATTATTTTTAAGACTTTATTATATGTTTACTAATTTGAATAGGAAAGTCGTTTGCTTTTATTACATTTACTGATTCAGCGTGTGTAGACCGTTGTATGGCTAAAAGAGTACAAATTACTAATAATCATGGTATTACAATAAAACGTCTATTACCAGATACTATAACTAAATCTGAAAGACTTATGTCATCAAAGGATATTGTCATTCGAATAGTTTTATCAGGTAAATGATGCATAGAATAATAATTAATTGAAATTACCATATATTTTTTCTCTATCCAATAGATCCATTCTTCACTGATACAAATATTCAAGCATATTTTAGTGAATATGGAAAGATTATTGATATAAAAATGCTTGAAGAAGAGGATAGTGCTGGTATTTGTTTCATCACATTTGAAGATTTCGATTCTACTGATCGTGTTCTGCTCGATACGCCACATTATTTAAATGGACAATTACTTTCTGTTCATAAATATATGGCACCCGAATATATTTCTAGTTTATCACAATATCGTTTTATTGATGAACGAAATGGTCATCAAGTAAAACGATGGTATCCTATATTCCGAAATTTTATCGATTTTATACAACCACTAAAGATTTTATATAAAACACAAATTGCTTTAATTAAATATAATATGCATAAAAATATTGGTTTAGGCAATCAAAACTTAAGCAAAGCAAAAGAAAATTTACACGAATTTGAAAATAAACATAATGATCTGAATCAAAATTTTATTCAATTCTGCAATTTAAATGATGAATTAAAGCAACATATTGAAGAACTTGTCGAGAAAAATGAGAAAAATAAAAATGAATATGAAAAACAAATTGAAGAACAGCAAAGAAAGAATCAGGCATTACAAGATGCCATCACATATTTAAATGAAAATTCTGCACAATAGAGAATTATTTATTTTATGTCATTTTTTTATATGAAACCTGTTATTTACTATTTTTTTGCTTATATCTTACAATAAAATGCCAAAATCTTTTTGTTGTTATTGTTGTAATCAACATTTTTTTAGTGCTGATTTAAATTTCAATTGCTCAAGGCACACTTCCTTTCGAAGTGGTTCAGACGAATTTCAATGACATGAATTCCATATTGATGTATTTTATAAAATTTCGTGAACTTTCGTGCGATTATTTTTATTGACTGATCAAACGAAGTAATATTATAGAATGTCTTTTTATCCTCATGCGAGTAGGCTCATTATATTAGTTTGTTTTTTCTTTATTTTTCTTGTAAATAACAACAAACTTTTGATGTATAGATTCGTCGTTTTCTTTTGCTCTCATGGCAAATGTTGACCACTTCTTAGAACTAACCGTGATCAAATCAAAGAGAATCGATTTTTTTGTTCAAAGAAATTAAAGAGAAGTTTCCAACGATGTAAAACTCACTCAGGGATTCCCATTCATTCGAAAGGCTCGGAATGAGTTTTTCCCCCTTGGAATAAACTCCACATAAGAATAAACAATTGTGACGAAAATGAAAATTCATTTGAATTTCACAAAGATCTATTGATAATCCATTGTATTGTATGAATCTATATTAAGTAATCCCTCAAATTCATCGAATCGCATTTTTTTAAATTCAGTAGTAGTGTTATGATAAATTATTTCGTGATATTTCATTCTAAATAACTTAGTTTGTTCTGTCGCTTGATTCGTTCTTTGAATTGTGACAAAAATATCTTTTACTTTGCAACTGATTTTATTCAGCTAACCCCCTTGCATTGAAAGTTTTGTTATATAGTGAGATTCTATTCCATAAACCTATGTTCGAAGAAGAATAATTTTTGTCTTCATTGTAGATGAATATTAATTAAGTTACTTCTTTTCACTGTAATATTAAACTCAATGGTCACTTCATGTGTATGTCATTGACTTTAGCGAAAGAAACGCAATGCTTGAATCATATATTCGAATCATAGCCCACACCCTATACTATTTAAGCTATAGATACAGAAAACATCTTGTAATATTCTCTATTCTTTGTTTTACCCGGCGAAAAACTTATTGGTCACCTATAGAAGACGATGAATTCACTTCATGCAATACTTATACAATACACTTGCTGAGGAATTCTTATTCAAACGCTACTAGCACATATAACTGCGCCAGATGGTAATTGTTGTGACAGAAAATTGTCACTTTTTTTGACAAATTACGCACCGACAGTCATTTCTATTCATTTCTTTATTTGTGAAGCAGAAGCAGAAGAAAAAAAGATTTCTTTTGTTTTTTATTACTAATGTTTGTGAGAACGTTTCACCATTATTATATTTACAACTGAAATTTGATCAATTGTGTCAGAATTCAGTGTAAATAATGCAAACGATGCACGAAAGTCGTTCTGTTTATAGTAGATTACAAACACATGAATGTTACATTGAAACATGCATTGATGCAAAATAATTTACGTAAGTAATCAAGCAAAAGTTAAACTCATACCCATGGTCTCGAACATTGGATTTGTTTTTTTGTACTTTACTTGATTCTAATCCATCCATAACGATAAACTAATCAGAAATCACAATAACCAATACAGCTACTGATTACAAAAAATATTTCACAACCTACTCTGTTCGAAATATAGAGATTATTCAGATCCAACATGCACAAGACTTCTCACATTTTAATTTCTAATGACGTTTATTCTTTTTCCAGGAGAGAGTCGATTTTGTTCATTTATACTATATTTCAATCATGCTTCCTATCCTTTTTATACTTTTCGAACACTTACGTGAAAACACTACAAAACGATATTTATTCTTCCAACCTTTAAGCTACGAAGTCAGTTTCATACACATGAAGGTCTTACACATACATGTTAGAAGATTTTATTTTCGTTACAATGATTTAAGAAAATTTTCGATTACTTCTCTTTTTTATTACTTGCATTTGTTTTAAAAGAATAATCTAACATATCAACAACAACAAAAGTAGAAATATTTTTTGATAAAAGTTTCAGTAAAAAGTAATTGTTGCCAG